TAAATAATAACCAGAATAACAAAACTATCATAACATTGCTCAGTGTCTTACGAAAATTGATTGAGGGGAAATCTAAGGAAGAGAATCAAGGAGAACTTGAAGTAGAAGGAGAAAACAATGAAATGGAAGAAATGCAAAATCTCTTCAACAAATTAGGAGCTACAAGAATGGTATTGACAGTACTGAGTGAATCGACCACTTTAGATAGTGAAATGTTGAGACACTTTCTTATGTTTATCAATACTCTCCTTTCTGGAGGTAACAATAAGGTTCAGAAGACCATTTCTGAATTCATGAAAACGTATCCCAAAAGTGAAGTCATTTTCAGTAGGTTGAATAATGTTATTCAAGCCTAAATCAAACAAATTACTATAAAGGCTAAGGATAAAAAGAATGAGGACTAGCTATAAAATCTATAGTTGCAAATAGATGAACCAAACATCTAAGAATTGCAATAAGAGCAGGAACTTGAATTATTGCTGACTCAAGTGTTGAAGTTTCTTCAAAATTGTTGTGAGGGACATTATTTGGATTTGTAAAATTACATTCGTCAACAATCAAATTCAAGAAATTCCTATAACATGATCAATTAGGTTGCTGAATTGTTGCTCACCTATTATTACAAGGACAAAGCATAATATGATAATATGGTTTTGTGTTTAGACACTCTAAATGAATTGGTGTAAGGACCATGTCCTGAGAATTAGGTGGCAGTTGCTGATTCTAAATTTTTTGAAATCGCATCAGATTTATTTGGATCCAGGAAAGATAAGAAATCCCCAGGCAAGGCTTAAACTATGGGTTCAAATCTTAGGACTATTAAGACTTAAAGCAACAAATATAAGAGTAGCAGATTTTAAAAGCAATAGAATGGATCTGATTTGAAGCCATGGTAAATCGAGAGAATGCAGACAAAGTGTTTGATCCTAATTCTATCATTGATCGAAATGAGAGAGATCTCAGATTCCAATCCTATTATCAAAAGAATTATGAGACATCTTACTCCTTCACTTCTGTAAAAACATTTGGTGAAGTCATTTGATAAATATGAGAAGCAGTGCAAAGAGGGGTATTAGATTGAGGTCCTGGATCAGATAAAGGAGGATCCTGATAATACAAAGGAGAATGACGATGGCAGAGATGAGTTGATTTTGCAAAAAGGCTTTTATATTTATTTCCTAATGTGCTATTATATGGAATCAGATAAGAATGCGGAAAATCAATTTGTTTAGATGTACAGAGCCAACACTAGGAAGAAGTTAAAATAAGACAAAGGAGCCTTGGAGGATTTGCTGTTTGGAGATAACATCATAGGTCAATTGGTAAGTTTTGTAATGTCATTTGCGAATAGTTGGATTGATCTAATGAATCAAATCAAGAAGGAGGCCTAGAAATAAATTGCCAATTAAAATCAAGGACCTGATTAGTTGGACAAGTTGAACAAAGAGAAATACGCAGAGCAGAAGGAAGAGAAGAAGGCAGAGAAACAAAAGTATATTAAGAGGGCATTTGATTTCTTCTATAAAAATAGTGCGTCCATAGAGGTAGTTAGAAACAATGAAATTGAGATAGTGTATTTTATTTTGCTTCCTTACACCAATAATTTGCCGAAAGAATAGAAGGTTGAATTTCATGAGAATGTGGATAGATCATCGACAAAATCAAAAGTTTAATTTTTAGTTTAAGAATCGGAGAGATTGATAGAGATTTGTGAACATGAGGAGTAATTGAGACGGATTTTCTAGAGATAGAAATTCTTGGCGTTGTTTGCTAATTATGTGAAATTATGGAAGGACTTGGCTTTCTTATTTACTTTGCTGTTAAATCTTTTCATAATCGGATCATTTGCCAAGAATGATTCTGGTAATAGACTAACAGATTTCAGATTATTTCGAGACGAGAGATATTCTCCATAATAGACCAGAAACATCTTTCTCATATGTGGAACTATAATGGCGTGTTGTTCGATCTTTGTTGTATCCTTCTTTCTGTTTAAGAATGCCCCTTTAATCATCAGAAAGGCTTGGAAGACGAAGTTACCATTTGAGGATAAATTTACTTATTGGCCAATACAATTGATATACAAGATTTTCAAGTTGTTGGCAGTTCTCTTTTACATTTTAAAAGAAATAGAAGTGGTGTATTATTTAGCATATGGAGCCTTGGCTGTTATTGGGACAGTGTTGCATCCCTTTTTCTTTAGTTTCCATTTAACAGAGATTCTGATTAGGTATCCAACCTTGAAAAATGTGATAAGATCAGTATGGGAACCCAAACAATAATTGGGACTCACATTGGTTCTGTTTATCATTTTAGTCTACGTGTATGGTCTCATTGCTTACACTTTCTTCTTTGAGGATTATAAAGGCAAGTGCCAATCAACTCTCTTCTGTTTCCTTTTCACATTTGATTGGACATTCAAAGCCAATGGTGGTGTTGGAGGATATCTATCAGGTTTGGAGGACGAGAATAAAGTCGATAAATATCAGTTGGGAAGATTTGTGTTCGACAATACATCCAATATATTCTTAGTCATTATTATGGTGAATATCGTTGCAGGTATTATCATTGATACATTTGGATCGTTGAGAGAGGAAGAAAGCAATAAAATAAGAGATATTGAAGACAAATGTTTTATTTGTGGCAATCTCAAGACCACCTTTGATCGATTACAGGATAGTTCATCAATGGGCGGGGGATTTGATCATCACATAAAAGTGAATCATTACATGTGGAATTATATATTCTTCATGGCCTACTTGAAATACAAGGATCCCACCGATTACACAGGAATCGAACAGTATGTGTGGGAGAAGATTTAGAAGAAGGACTTGACTTGGTTCCCATTCAACAAAGCCAGAGAATTGCAAGGTCTAAAATCAGAGGAGGAAGAGGACTCGAAAAGAATAGAAAGACTATCTACAGATGTATGTTAATTTTTGTATTTTAGATGTCGAGTGTTATGGAATAGATGTAATCAGTTAACCAAATGCTGAATTAAATTAAAAATAGAAAGTAATCCAGACATAATGCTATCAAATCAGTTGAACTGCTATGAAATTATCAAATTAATTATGATTCATAATAAAAAATCATTTTTGTCTTTTCGTCCAACTCCGCTCTTAGAAAATTGATAAAGTCCATACTAGAACAATCCAGAGTAAATCGTTTCATCATAGTCATTTATTTCAATATTTAGATTCCATATATGATGTCATTCTAATCAATCTCCAATCCCTTTAAGTCCAAGTTCAAATTCATCAATGACTTTATCGATGCCAAACTGCTGAGAATACTACTAACATTAGCCATCCTTGTCCTAAGGTATATCAAAACATAGAAGTACTTATTTAATATTATTTCAATATCTCTAATTATTGCGAAATCACCCAACAATTACATCAATTTATCAAATTCTTTATTATCGACTTCCTGATCATACAAATTAATTTTGATTGATATCATAGTCGATTTTTAGAGTTAATCTGTGAGTCTTAGTTGTTCGTCATTGTTTAAAGAATTGAGTCTTATGAAGGTAATGGGTGGGTCTTGATTTTGATTCAAGAATAACTTCTAAAATGGGATAACAGCACTTTGGGAAGCTAAGGAATGGAGGTCTTTGATTGATGCTCGTTGTTAAACGGAATTTTTCAAACTTAACATCAAGATATTGGCTATTTCATCACTTATCTAAATTAAAAATAAGTTTGATTACCCATATTGACTTTTGATTTCTGAAATCAGATCATGAACTATGCTAGGTTAATGGATCCCTTCCAATTCTCGATTAGTGCAAAGGAGAGCAGCCTTGACAATACAGACTCCAAATTGCCAACTATCAGACATTTTTGAAAATTATTGTGATTAATTCAGTTTCTCAGGTGGGAAGTAGATGGTGTCATATTCTTCTTCAGTTCTAAAGGCAAGTCCATCAATTAAATATTTTTCCTTGTATTTTTCGTTGGGTTCTGAAATTCCAGTCAATTTGAGATTGTCTTTATTGATAATGATGGAGGTTGCAGTTATTCTATTATTATAGCATTCGTTATTGTGTAGGAACACTAATGCATCCAATAATTTTTAGATTAAATTGCCTAGTTCAATATTGGTGAATGGAGTTTTTTTCAATCTTTTCTCTTTGATAATCTCCTCCAAGTTCTGACCTTCATAAATTTCAATGGAGTGTAATTTAACAACATCCTATTTATATTAGGATGAGAAATAATGTGCAAAATGTTACGATTTACAAGATCTTGGCTGTTTAGTTGATCCAAACATACTATCCATAAAATTGAGCTTTTAATGTAAAAAGAAGATATGGATAACTTTGCAGATGAAAGTGAAATCTGTGAAATATAAATGCGTATCAAAATAATGTCCAAATAATTATTCACTTTGATGTCTAAGAACATAGAATTTATGCAAAATCACCTATCTTCCTTAGAGTGAACATAGTGTAGTTTTACCAAATAATGATTTCTTTAAGACTTTTTCTGGTTTAATCAATTTTAAGAGTTCTGACTTAGATGATATTTCTCTTGACAATTCCTTCTATCTGATGGCATCTGCTCCTTCTCTTAAGAACTCCAACAGTGGCTTACATAATGGCGGCGGTGATTTTATCAATTAAGATAGATATTCTGCAATCATTTGTTCACTTTGTTTAATAAATGCATTTTCTCTAAAGAGGGAATATAAGAATTCCTTCTTCGGAAATTGGGGTAACTTAAATTGAAACTTAAATATACTTGGTAATCTTGGTTTAAATCTTGCAATTAGGAATGCAATTCAGATAAGAAACCATACCTAACTCGAATTTCCCTATACTCTAGAGTCTGCGAATTTATTATACGCATTTTGTAAAAAACATTATCAGAATGGGTCTCCACCCCTATTATTTTGGCATCATAAATCATTGGGTTTATAATATAATTAATAAAAATGAAAATCGAACTTAAATGAATATTTTTACTATGAAAACTATATAAAACTATTTCCTATCAAAATTGACCATAAACAGCTCCGATCCAACCAAACACCACTCCTGTGATTTCTAAAATAACTATGTAATAATTCAACTTGTCTCTATATTCCCTTAAGTAGATCAGAACTGGAATAAGACATACCATAGTTGTGCCTAGGAGTCCTCCTAACACAGTGACATAGCGACTTGGAATAATACAATATGAAACTACTTGATGTTGGGTAAAATGAGAGCAAGTATGGCACTACCAAATTGTAGTGATAAGGTTGAGTAGATGTGAATTTTGGATCTGAAAGAATCGACACTATCAACTTCAAAAGTAATCTTGCCATCTTGGGCTTAAATCCTCAGACTCTTATGTTTGATTTGGTATTCCATTTCATCGGATAACAACATGTCATGTATAATTTATCTGCAAGCCAAAATGTTCAAAGGAACTGCAAAGAATAAAGCAAAAGACATTCCCAACTTACCCATAAAAAAGAAATCTCCATGATAATTATTGATAACCCAAGCTTTTGTGTCATCCCCAAATCTTAAGTAACCGCTTATGCAAATAATTGAATAAACTATATAACAAATTAGAGATTGCCTTTTCCATATCTTGGACTAACGAGAGATTGTTGGGTTATGCAATTCTTTTCTTATTGGGAATATAAACAAATGGCATATATAACAGAAGAATGTCATTGCAAAAGTAGTGAATATACTGAAATCCACGTCTATCAATTTGATTTTGATATTGTCGTTGTATGAACCTCTGACAAAGTAATCAAGTGAAGTAAGGGAGGTTATGTATATCACGGATATTACGCCTATCAATGAGAAGTATCTTAATTTGTACAGAGTCTTCTGAAAGGATATCAATAGGTTTGGTATTATGAATATCAATTGGACTATTATTGCCAATTCCCTTTGATCTACGGCAATCTCAAAATATCTGAAAAGTTCATAAATAAATAATTGAAAAGAGATCTAGATTTATGTAATTCCCAATAGACAATAACAGATAGTTAATATTTCAAATAATCTCTTCATCTTGTTTCCTAAACTCATCTGAATCAGTTCGCTATAAGATGAACATTGCAAATCACCTGCACTCCAACTTAAAATATGCATCGATACACATGAGATTATTCCACAAAGTGCAATCAACAGCAACTCGGTTATGAGTCCCTATTCTTTTGCTCTATCTTAAATACAACTCAATTTTTATACATGGCAAACCCAACATGCCAACACCCAAACATGGAGCCAACAGACTGATAATACTCATTCTTATTCCACCCTTTTTCATAGGACCAAATGTTCGTTGACACCAATTCAGTTACTATTCCTTCTCTTATATTGGCTCCTCCATCTCCATATAGTTGCTAATGAAGGTTGATTACATATCACTAAAATGAACTTGTGAATATGACATTATTAATATAATGAATGACATTATTATAACCAGACGAGAACAATTTAGAATCGAAATTCGTAAACAATCCTTAGAAAAGTAATTTCAAATCAAAAGAGCTTTCGCTATCCCTCAAATCTAACGATCATCACTATAAAATAACTTCATCCAATTTGAGCTCAATTTTACACATCAAATTGAAAATTAGATTTTGCAAATTCTACATAACCCAACCAACTCCAAAATTGAAATGCTGCTCTCCCTAATTCAGGAACTTGATGTCCAGAATAAAATCACCCTAATCAATAAAAATGTGTATGAATTACTTAAATCTCCCAACTTAGACCTCAACTTGACTTTGCTAGTGATGTATAATCTATGCAGCGAACCAATCATTATCAATCACATCTTTAGCGATCAAACCTAAACTGATAGATTAATGTAGTTCATAAATTACCTCAATGGCAAATTAATGGATGCCAACATTATTATGTATTGGGAATTCCTTTACGTCCTATCAGTGTCATAAAACACTTCCTTTCTTTGTCTTAAGCAGATTTATGTTCTGTGTTGTAAAGAAGTCATAGAATCTCGAAATAACACACTATCATAATCAGCAAGGATTTTCCCATAAATCATCCAAAAATTTCCTGAAAATTTTCAGTTTTATTGGGATACCATTAATTAATTAGATGATGAAGGAAGAAGACCTTGGAAATGTATATTATATTTCCTGAAACAATAAAATGCAGATCATTTTTCATGCCAATATCTGTTGCTAACAATTTACTATTTTATCAGATAAATTAGTGATAATTAAGAAGATTTTAAGTTTCATCAGATTGTAAATTAAGAATTAATTTCCATTTTATTAATAAATATGAAGAGACATGAAAAAACATTGGTGGTCTCTGCCCAACTGTGTTTTTCAATCTTTGAGAGAGATAATACTTATTTTCCTTATGTGATTGAGGATTTATTAAAGTTACTATACAATATATCTATCGAAGGGTAAATTGAAGTGCTCAAAATTTTGGATTTGCTACTTAGGGATGAAAACATAGTAAGGTTGGCAATCAAATCCCAATATATTATTGAATAATTGTTTAATCTCTTAGGATCTAATATTTAAATCATTATAAATTATTTAGCCCTTAAATGCATTTCTAATTCAATCGCTCGTTGTTCAAACATATAACTTTTTTCAATTATTTGCAATGAATAATATAAATCAACTTTGGAAAGGTACTCTCTAGATGCCAACAAGTAACTCAAAGAAATGGCTTAATAGCTCTTAGATTTTTACTTTGAATATTGAATAAATATATATATAATTTAAATCAAACAATGTTTTTCGCTCCTCAATTTCAAGAATTCATGGAAAAAGAAAAATCCATTTACTCCTCTTTGTAAAAACATCTTGATATAATATTAGTACACTAATTTACTTAAATAGGCTGATCAATTGGATTTCACATATCATTCTGTGTTTCAACTATTCTGCCATATATCCATTTTACACAATACCCAAGCCACTGTTTTTCAAGCTCTCATGAAAATGGTAGGTAGTTTGGTCGAATAAAATAAATAGTAAAAACTTAATGATTTACTTCTTATCGATAATCAACCAAAATCAGCTAAAATTTTATAACCAAATTTTTTTGAAATATTTGAAGATAGGCAAACTCAATCATCCAAAACACATAAACTATAAAAAACTAATGAGGAACAGAAGAAATTTTCTATTTAGACTGAGATCGAGCTTCCAAAGGAGAAGGTGTTTAGAGAAGTAGTTAAAAATAGAAAGGAAAGATAACAAATGGAAGCTCATTAATGTGAGGAATGTGAAAGATTTTACAAAGCCTTGCCGAATACTAATTAAACTGAAAAATTAAAACAGGATTATTCGAGGCATCGAATGAATCATAAGATAAATCAAGAAAAATTATTATTAACTCCAGAATGATTAAGAATTTCGTAATATTTTTATCTATTTATTTTAATTTATGTTAAAGCTTTTTTAAGTACCCAACTCTTTGAAATAGGCCCTACAATGCTAGGTGTATTCAGTTTATACTTAGTTTATTATTTTTCTTACTTCAACTATATGAATATAAAATAACATTTTTATATTAGAATAAATTTATAATGTTCTAGAATGCCACATTATTTTCCTAATGATAATTATGTATCAATAAAGGATATTTTAAAGCTCTTCAATTTGAGTTCTTTCCATTCGTAGCTGCCTTTTGACCTTACAAATTGAATTTTAGAAAGTAGAAAATGAATAATTTTCTATTTTTCACAATACATATTATTCTCACATTTATGGGGTTGCTTCCTTTCTTGAGAACAATCCCATTTTTTGAATTATCTTAACCGAAAACTTAATTATCTTAATTTTTTCATAAGAAAAATCAAAATAAGAGTTATATTTTGAAGATTTTTTTTTATTAAAATTCTTAAATTTTCTGTAATAATTTCAAAATATACGAAATATTAAATTTTGTATTGGTTTTTTGAAAAATATCAATTAATGATAAATTTTAGCGATGAATTTGTATCTTGAATATATTAATATTTTATATTTTTAAAAAGTAATCCTAAATATGTAGTAATGAACAATGTGAGACTTAAGAGGTTTTTTGAATGGGATCATGATGAACTATAATTTTTTGTTTTTGGAATCGTTGCTTAGAAGTTTCTACAGAAGAAAATTATTTATTTATTTATTAATAATGAAAAATTCTGGTTAATCAAAGTGGGAAGTTAATCTAATAAATAATATGGCAGAGAAAACTGGATTTGAATGAAGTCCAAAAATTGGGGGAGGATAGGAATTTTGCATGGGTGGGATGATCGGAATATTTTTAAATGATTACAGTATCAGATAATGGAAGGATCAGAATTTTTGAAATACATTTTTTGTGACATTTCTATCGTATTAAATTAAACTAAGAGGATGTTTTTTCTTTTTTTTCATTAATTATAATATCTCAATAATAACATATACATGAATTAATAGATACCATAGGAATATTTCATTTAGAAATTTGCATCTTTACATTTGAGTGAGAGTAAGAATATAAAATTAATCGTAGCTGACGATGATACTTCAAGAAGTCAAAGTCCAGTTTTAGATTCTCGTTTGAAGGAGCTTTTAAATGGATTGCCAGTTCATATAAAATAAAATTTAGAAAATTTCAAACCCAGCTCAAACTTCTAACTTTCGAAATAAAGTGATGAAAGCATTTACTTTGGTTTGATGGAGGGAATCTTAAAACATGGAGAAGGAATTTAACTGTGGCCTAAAATTGGAAATTTATTAAAAGGGTATAAATGAAGATTTAAGTTTTCTTAGGACTTGGTAAAATGACTTACTGGAAGGTGTGTGCACCATGTTTTATGCCAACGGAGACATGTAATTATTGTAATAATATAGTAGTTTTGAAGCTTATTTCTCATAAGGCACGACAATTGGTTATGGTATGTTTAAATCAGAGAAAAAAGTAGTAAAAGGTATAAACTTGGGTAATCTATTTAAGGAATCTGGATCAATAATCAGCTCCAGGGAGAGGGATAAGAGTTAAGGAGCGATGGTACTACTTATCAAGGATAATTTTGGGCTGGTAGGAAGTAAGGGAGAGGCATATAAATGTTTGCCGACAAATGCAAGTATAAAATCTTTTAAAAATTTTTTCAGATATGAAGGATTCTTTCAAAATAATAAATTTGAAGGAGACGGAATATTTACATGGAGTGACGGTAGTTACTACTCAGGTCAATTTCATAAAGGATTAATTAGAGGATTCGGTAATTACAATAACAATAATGGACTTTAATTAATTGGACAGGTATATTGTAGTGTATTGAGTTTTTTAGTTTTAGGAGATGAAAAAGACAGATATTACCGATTAGAATCTTAATAAGAATCTGCAAACCATTACATTTGTGAATCAATACAACTAAACGTTGCTGATCGAAAAGATACGCATTCTCTGACTTGATTTTTTATATATATATTTATCAAATTTAAACATTTGATCTGTACTGAGAAAGAGTATATATAATAATTAAATTAATTGTATAAAAATAAAATTCGTTTTTGGAATTTTTAACATTAATTATCTGGTGTTGCCTTCATTATTAATAACAATAAATGTATAAATTAGCAGTCTGCACATTGCTTATCCTTAGCGTTACAGCAATAGATGTCACCAACTCAGTTTGGACAAGTCATGACCAAAAAGCCTTTGCCCAAATCAAATAATCCGGTTGGGGAAACTTCATTTTGAACTTTGGTGAACTCCATTTATCAACAGGAGGTATCCTTGCAGAATTAAACACCGAAATTGCCAAACTTGTAATGCCTGTTTTCATTAATTCCTATAGATTGATGAATTGGATGAGGAATTAGCAGAAGTCCATCACTAATATCAAAGAAGAACAGATGTTCACAACAGAGAAGTAACAAGACTTGAATAAGAAATCCAAGACAAAGAAAGAGGTAACCCTATTGACTCTATTCCATTCTAGAGGTCTTCAATGCTCACGATTTCTATGATAATGTCTTAATCCCATAAAGAGACAGATTTGCTGCTCAACTTGAATAATTATAAGAAAACATTGCTTAAAACAGAAGAACACTTAACGAGGCAACAGTCTAAAGAGCTAATGATCACGCTGAGTTCGAATCTCAAGTTGCTGAACACAATGAAGCCATCAGTGCCATCGATGAATCCTTATAATTGCTCAGCCAATTGGAATCACCATCCCTTGTCCAAATCCAAAAGGTCTAAAAGAATTTGACCAAAATCCAATAATCCCTCAAGAGACACAGCACTTTCTAAACCTTCATCAAGACTCTCTTAGAAATCGCTGTTGAAGCAAACTTCGCTGATCAAGGTGCCCTTAGAGAAGTAACCAATCCTTATTAACTCGCTCTAGATTCTTACTGCATTCAATAATTTGAGAGTCCAATTGGTTGACTCCCTTAATCAACTCACTGCTGATGAAGCTGAAGCTTAAAAAGACTTCGAAGCAAGAGTTATCTAATTAAACCAAGAACACGCTGAATTCCAAAGAGCTGTTGTTGTCAAGACTGCTGAAATCGAGGCTAATGCAAGTATGCACATCTTTCTATTCATTTCTAGCCAAGATTGAGTAAACCCTTGATTTGATTGATGTCTTACATGATGATTTGGATACTTTGAATGGATAATTGTAAGCAGAAAACGACGACTACGCCTTTGCAACTGACGTCTACAATGCCACCGTTGCAGAATACAATAAGGAATTGAATGCTGCCCATTAAGCCTTGGACTTATTAAACCAACCAAGATTCACCGATTATGTCAAATCCCAACTCAAGGGAGCATTTTGATATTATTCATTCAATAATAGTAAATGAATTCATTGTATAAACCATTCTTCATTAATTCAATTTATTTCACCTTCCACTTGAATAACAAATAAACATTTGAACATTTTTTGTCCCTTGTGTAACAATATCATAATGGTGTTAATTGTCCTATGTTTACAAATAAACATTATGAAATTCTCGATATCCTTGGTTCCATTCTACTTATCGATTCTGAATGGGACTCAACAGCGATATATCTGTTATTTAATTGAATCATTTTTTTAATCATAAGATACAGCGAAGACTTCAAGAATTTGAATTACAATTTATAATAAGCTTTCACAAAGACTGATATTTATTTAAGCTAAAAGTTTTTAATTACTATAATTTTATTGTAAGAATGTTGCAACAAAGTCATTTACAAAGAAGCTCACTTACTTGTTGAAATTATGTAACGAATTTAATTTTTCTATTTGTATTTGGTAAGTTCTTCAAAAAGTTTCTAATTAATTGCTTAATTTGTTATTATAATATTATCTATTTTTTACTCCCTTTATCTCTTGTTCAATAAATTGATCTAAAAAGGATTTGTAGATACATCAAATATGAAATGATATTATGAGAATAATTATTCTTAGCACAGTATTACATTTTCTGCAATTTGTATTATTTTAGAAATGATAATCTTTATTTATCTAGTTATATTATCTTATCATCTTTAGGACCTTTTGATCATTCCTTGAAATTGAATTTTTTGTCCCCTTTGATTCGTAGAAGCATAAACCGGGTAATTATACTCACTAATTGTTCAAGTTAACTAATTAGTGCTATTTATTATATCCATTTTATAGTCAAACATCTTTTAGTTCCACAATTCCCCTTCTGTCTTTTCGATTTTGAAAATTATACCAATTAAAATATGCACATAGTTCCCTAATAAGATAAGTCATTCTAATAGCAATCAGCCATTTTATGATTTATGCCATTCCTTTATTATTGATAATTTTAATACATCAAATTCTGAGGAACATGCACTTAACTTAAGATTATTTATTTCTCAGAATTAAATTAATTAGAAGCAATCCTTCTATACTCTATTCCTTAATCAGACTTTTTTATCATTTTCCCTCAAATGGCATATTGAAAATTAAAGTTGCCTTTAAAACAGATAGTTCATCAACAACAATATTCTATAGTCTTATCAGATATAACTAATTGAATTTTGGCAAGCATAAAACAAAATAGAGTTAGTAATTATATTTATTAAATAATAGTTAAATTCATCAATGAAGTTTAAGATTTCTTATTTCTTGAAGCGGTTGCTCTATTCCTCGTATTCTTGCTGTTAAATTTAAATCCTTTGCCATCAATGTTACCCTTTTTGCATGAAAGGTACACTATACTGAATCTTCGAACAAATCTACCATATATTATTCAGTTAAAGTTTATAGACATTCTAGGGATTTACTAGAATATCTAAATTCTTTAAACCCAAGTTCATCCGATACCTTGATCCCTGTCTACCTTACAAACCTTTAAAATCCTGCTCGGCGGCAAACTAATACGCTTGATGCTTATAGTTATCTGATTTCTTATAAAACTTTTGACATCGGTTTATTTCTCTTTTAGAGCTTATCCCTTGCTTTTTATACTTGAATTGCAGAAATTCTTTCTACCTTTTTTTTTTCAGATTTTTTGCTTCTTTCATTTGATTTTTCTGCAATAACACTTTTTTCATCAGAATCAAACAATGAATGCATAAAGCTTGGCATCTTTTCGTTGTTGTCTACTTAAAATGATTAGTTATTATTCTCTTTATTTGTCTTTTTATTCGCCATCCCTTTTAACAACTATTTAAAAATAATATTAAAAATTTGTAACAAATAAATCAATATCTACTCACAATAAAAATTTAAGATATAATTAGTGCTTTTCCAATTTCTGGGTTTTGAGTAGGTGTTGTTATGATAAATATTGATCAACATAAAAAATGACTGTTATTTCATTAATAAATTTAAGTGAATAACTTAGGCATTGATTATTTATTCATTAATACTAATCATAACAATATAGCAATTGATTTTCAATTAATCAAACTCATCCAATCCTTGAATTATTTAATAATTAATAAAATATTTGTTGAATAATATATATATACTATCCGCTTTGATAAATACTCTACAACTAATTAAATCATTGAGATTACTCTCTTATACAATTAGGATACTTTAAAGAATTAAATAGATATCCTATTACATAATTTAATATATATTAATTTTAATTGAGATCATTCAAATGAAATGGCTTCTATTGTTTACAGATGAAGTTGTTTCTTCTTTTAAAAGGTTTGGATAGCCCATAGTATTTACAAGTTAGATATATAATAATGCTTCAATGGCTTTCTAGTGCAAGGATCAAAATAACCATTTTTTTTTGTATGATTCTCAAGAACTAATCTTTCATAAGTTTATCCGCTATCAGTTAACACAGGATCACTAAAACCTTCAAATGTGATTGGACAAGTTAAATACTGAGGCATATCATCCTCATGTCCTAAAGTTTATAAAATAGTTTGCTCTTGTAAAATTTTGGACCATAGGAATTACACAAGATTCTCTTTTTATTCATATGGCAATTCTGAATTCTCTACATATTTCAACAATTTTAGATCCGCTTCTGACTTTTTCATTTGTTCAATGAGGAATTCAATTTTATTTTTCTCATTGCTTAGATTCATTAAGGAATATACCTATCTACTTAAGGCCTATATTTCAACTATAATAGGAGAGTAAAATATACTGAATTAAAGGGTTTATAGTTGGTTTCTCAAGACATCTAGTATCGATGATGTTGGCTTTTATTTTATAAGTTCTACTGTGGAAATGGCTTCTAAATATTTTGCTCTATAATTATTTTCATCTAGTTTTAAGGCATAGATGGATAGATCTTTGACGTATTTCCAAATTTGCAATTTCTTATAACATAATGCCTTATTTGAAAAGAGTACAGACATTTAGTTATTGTGTTTCTGAATATAATTATTATTTGTATTACAATAGCCTGATCAAAAGCAGATATTGCATTCTCGTATTCTCCTTTTTTATATAACTCATTTCCCTATTCTTTATATCGATTTGCATTTTATAAGCTTTCTTCATTTTGATGGATATTCGTCTCATGAGTGAAAATGCAGTCTGAATCATCGCAATTCTTTTAACATTAAATGATTAGCCTTTCATTCTTATGCACATCCAAACAAGTATTAAAGTTTTCGCAGTTTTTATTACATTTCTTAATATTCAAATCAATATACAATTTAATGCTTTGCTTTTTCCAATTACACCTTATAAAAGAACCCTTAGTCAAAGCTATGCAAATTCTTACAATTTTAAATTTAACATTTATCATTAAATTCACATATTCTGATTCTTTCGTCGTTCATTCGATAATATTATATATAATTTAATAGAAATAATGAGAATATTTCTTCAATTTTCTTTAATTGTACTATTAGATGTTTTGCTAAACTAATAAAACAACCCATAAAACTGACTATCTACATAGAATTTGATTTTAATTGTTAAATTTGGTAATGTAAAATTCTATAAAACAGTTTAAAGCTCTGGAAGGAAATATTCAATTATTAGCTTAGAATTAAAGGAATAATTTGATATAGAAATTAATAAAATTGGAATTATATAAAAATTTGTGAATCAATTTGTATAAATGTGAGATTTATATGTATTTAATATATATTCTATCTTCAAGTTCTCTACACAGTTGGAACATAGATTTTCGTATATCCACACGAAAATAGATTGAGAAAGACGATTAGAATAAGACTCAAATAATAATAAGGATACCCATGTAGATTAAAACCATTAAATTGCACTGCAAAGATTACAACAATTGGTTTATAATCAAAATATTCTTAAAAATATATTTCTTTAATAATAAATTTCTAGAAAATGTTGAGAACAAATGATTTTAGCTACTTAGAAAGGAGGTTATCGAGAATTAATGAATAGAAAATATTGAGTATTTTTACTCTTATAAAATATTGACCTAAACCAAGTTTATTTTATAATACAGAAATTAGTTTTTTTTTATTTAATTTGAGATAGTAATAAAAATAGAAGCATTATTTTTTCACACATATAATATAGGAATTTAGGGTATATCATGAGAAAATTAATATTTAACGCAGATTAAGTACGGAGAGCTTCGACTGTCCTTTAGAAGTTTGATTTTAGATAAAGTTTGACAGGGTCAAAGTAAGAATCATAATAAAATTGAGCAACAAGGATTTGATCGATGTGATTGTTTTTGTGTTACAGAAGCCTTGTGAAATGAGAACACCAACGGATGTCTTTATGTTGAGATCAGCAACTAGATCAATCGAATTTTTCAATAACTTAGAGTCTGATTTATTACATGAGCAATGTTGTAAGTCATTACAATACAAGTATTTGCAAACCGAACATTTTATTTTTAAGGAAGGAGATATTGGAGATAAATTTTATATAATAATAAGTGGTAGAGTTTAGGTTCTGAAAGATTTCAATCCAAATGATCTATAAGCATCGATATACGATCATGAAATAAAGTAACTATCGAATGGTGACACTTTTGGAGAGAGAGGAATGGATGTGGAAGCAATAAGAACTGCATCATGTAGAACTCTTGAGAATACTCATTTAGCCTATTTGGATAGAGAAAGCTATTTGACCATTTTGAACAATGTGAAACATTTGATGAAAAAGACATATTTTGAGGAATTTGCAAATTTGGATTTGTTTCATAATTGGAAATTTCAAGACATTAAAGCATTCTACGATAAGGCGTTTATAAAGAAGTATTCCATGAATGCTTGTGTTTATAAAGAAGGAGGTTCCTTGGATTATTTGTATATTATCAAGAAGGGTGAGTTCAAGATAGTGAAGACAGTATTAACATCCACAATAGATTTGAATGAGATGTTCATGGGAGATTTTGAGAAAATATTATTAGGCATGAATCATAAATAAAAAACACTATCGGAAATCATTGAAGCAAGATATCAAAAGAAGAAGTTTGGAAATAACTATTATAAATAAATGAAGAAACTAGTTACTATTAAATACATTACTAATGGTTAAATGTTTGGAGAAATGGAATTGCTGATGCAAAATCAAATCACAAGAACTCATTCAGTTTATTCTAATACCGATCAATCTGAATTGTATCAATTGAAAGTAGAACATTTTGAAGCTATTCTCGATAAAATACCTCAAATTAAATAGCAATTGATATCATTGTCAGAACAAAAGAACAAGTACTTCATGAAACAACTCTTATCTTATGAGAAAAACTTTAATGATCTAACTGAGGCAAAGAAGGAAATAGAAAAAAATATCAATCTTGACTTTTTGGAGATTGGCACTAGAGAAAAGCCTAAACCAACTAAACCTATTCCACATCTTGATACTGAATTCTCTACTACCAGAAAACAAAAATTCATCAAAACTCAAATAGAGATGCAACAATAATAGTAGAGCAAAAAGAAATTCCTAATCAAAAAGCAATACTAAAATAGCTACTTTTTTAATTCTCTCTCCTCAAGAATGAGAACTGACGATAATGAAGAACAAGATGCCAAAAATTAATATAATTTTGTCCATCTATCTTATAAATGAGAATATTATATATATATAAATAATCTGTATTTACAACTATTAATTTCAATCTATTTGTACTCCTCTCCCATAGAATGATTAAAACTGCCCTTTTTGTGCTTATTGTTAAGGTTAAACTGACTGATTGTAGTATTGTTATTTTTATTGGTTATTTTATGTCCAATCATTCTATTGGTCTTTTTGAATCAATCCTCCCATATTATCAAACTGCAATATTTTGAATTCTCTATATGAATGAAATGCCACATAACATGATTCTATCTAATAGAAAAATAGTATAAAATATGAGGCTCCAAATTTTTTGGTTAGAAGAATAAAATGCTCAACTCACCATTCATACCAAAAAATATAGAAATCATCAATAACTAGGTATGAAGGATTTTCATACATTTTATAAGAAGTAAAACACAGCAATAACACAATTTCACTATACCACAACAATATTTCTATGTATTTCATAATAAATACACTAATTACACTCATGATTTTGTATATAATTATTATTAATAATTTATGATTTCCAATAGTTTCGAACTAAATAGAATTTTCTTGTGTAATTCTCTTACAAAACTTTTTTATTTGAAATTGTTCTAAATCTACTTAGTATTTGAGAGATTTACTTATTCCTTTTGATTGGACTTCCTACTCTTTTTTTAGATCTCTACACATGAATGCTATTTATAAGGATAATGTGTTTCGATGTTTAATATGCAGATTTCTTAATAATAATTACATCTTAATCAATTCTTTAATAAAACATAACATTTTTAATCCATGTTAATCAAAAAATTTTATATATAACTAACAAGACTTCTCGCCATATTTCACTTTGTGTGACATACAATTTAATAGCGATGCTAAATTGTTATAAAAAAATTCAACTAGAGTATAGTGATTTTGGAAAAGATATTTTCTGTAAAATTTTTTGAGCAACACTTAATTGTATATTTTTGATTTTTTACTAACTTGTTTAATAATATTTTTGTTAATAACAAATATGTTTTTAAATATTTGATATTATACTTGTCATGCAAATTATCTTAAGGAACTCTAAATAAGAACTAACAATAGGTTCAATAGAATGAGTTAGAGTTACTTGACTATTGAATAATAGAGTTATCATTAATAAAGTTGCTAATTAGATATCAAATTTTAAATTTTTATATTTAACTAAACAAATTCATGATAGTGAGACAAAGCATATCACCAAAAAGGAAGAGTATGACTCCTTCAATGTATGAAGGAAGATAATATTAATATACACTAAGATGTAGCAATCTTAAAACTGAAAGTCTGGATAATAGACATGTTTATTCAAGGAATGATGATTCCAAGAGAAAATAGCAAAACATTTCAAATCCCAGGAAAAGTATTTCAATATAAAACCCTCAAGCCACTTTGAATAGTTCTTCTAATTCCAAAAACCTAAAAACTCTATAATCATCTACTAGAAAATTATCTCTATAAACGTAACTAAAATACACTATTTTAGTAAGACAATGATAAGCAGCACTACAAGCGACAATTGCTAGATTACGAAGTTCTTTCTTCATCCATTAACTAGTGCTCTATAAACTTGTGAAAGGCTGATAAAAGCCTAAAGATTAGAGGAAGCAATGAAAGAGCTCGAAGAAATCGACCATCCTCATATCAATCAAGATTACCAATCATAAATAGCATTTCTCAAGGGGACAATACACATGCAAAATCGACAATATGAAAAGGCAATTAACAGTTTTTAAAAATGCAGACAATAAGGAGATTTTAATGGGAATGCATTGGTTCTATAAGCCATGTCTTTAGGAAAGTTAGGCAACTACATAGAAGCAATATAGCTTTTGAAAGACTTTCTATTGAAAAACAATGCCAAACAATCTCCAGTCTACTATGATGCAGTATTGTAAAAAGGAAAGCTTTTAATGAAATTAAAAAAATACAAATTGGCTATGCAGGATTTTATGATCGCCTCAGCCTTAGAGAAAGACATACAAATGTTTTAAGGGACTTTGGGGAAAGGGGATTGCTTAAGACTTTGTGGGAAAACCTTTGAAGCACTTATAATATATGAAGGAATCCCAGATAATAATCAAGTGCTCATTCGAAAGGTGATATGCTACTAAGAATTGGAGTAATTTGATAAGGCTTTGGACATCATCAATAAGATCTTAATTTAGGATTCTAGCAATTCGTAGGCACTATATTTAAAGGGCTCAATATTTATGAAGAAAGGGGAATTTAATGAAGCAATTTTAAGTTTTGAATAATCGATAACTGAGAATCATAGCAAAAAAGCAGTCACAAAATCATTAATTGAAATAGCTAAAATTAAAATTGATCAAAAAGATTTCTATTCTGCTTATTATACTTTATAGAGAGTAGATCATTTAGATGTGGAAAAAGCATCAATCATAGATCTTAAACAATTTACAGAAGGAGTAATATTTTTAATGAAACGGAAATACAAGGATGCAATTATAATCTTCACTGAATTAATCAATAAATAGTAATTTGGTGAGTTCATCAAGAAACATATTTTTGTCTATAGAGCCTATGGTATTAAAATGTATTATATATTTAGGGTTCATTTCAGTGAACAAACATTAAAACGCTCTAAAAGATTTTAATTATATATCTAATTTTTATCCTTTAGATCCACCATAACTTTACAACAAGGTGATTTGTGAGGGAGTCGTGATGACATAATAAAATTATTTTGAGAAAGCATAATCTTTGTTTTAGAAGGCTTCTTAGATAATTCCTGGTAAAATGGAACCACATTTTTATAAAGCTTTAACTTTAATTCAATTTGTAAGCAAACTTCAGATGAATGGAAAAGATAAGTTAATAAAAAATGCATTAAAATATCTTGATAAGGCTGTAACATTAAATGATAACAGTTCAAACTTATTATATCATAGAGGAATAATAAGATTTTATTTTGGTTAATTGGAATTAGCTCTTTAGGATTTAACTATATCCATAGAAAAGAATGAATAACGAAATCCAAAAATATTATATGCAAGAGGTCTGGTTCAAGCATGTTTAGACAATCCACAACAAGCATTAATCGATTTTACGGTGGCAATAAATTGGGATCCAAAATATGCTGAAGTGTATTTGAATAGAGCAAAAGTAAATACATAACTAGGAAATAGAACTGAGGCTTTTGAAGATTTACAAACTTACATTTCAACAAAACCAACTGACCCATAAATTTACTTATGGGCAGGGAATCTACTATTTCATCTTGGTGCTCATGGTACTGCCATAAAAACATATTCTCATTCTCCTGATCTTTAAAACGATGTTCAGCTATTGAGTTATCGAGCTATGTGTTTCATTATTGAAAAAGATCTTAATAATGCCCTTATTGATTTAAGCAGAGTTTACGAGCTTACAAGTGATTAAAGATGGTTCATTGACAAAGAATGTTTGAGTGCATTAAAAATGGCAATAGAATAAAATACAAGGGAATTAATATTAATTTCTAATCCAATGAATAAATCTATTAAGAGATCTATAAGTTACAGATTGGCTTCGAGAAAATTAAAGTAAATCATAAATTTAGATGTTGAAGGCTATTTATTTATGAAATCAGATTTATTGTTTTACAGAGGAGTTATGAAATTTTATTAGGGTAATTATATCAAAGCAATTAATAACTGGAATAACTCTTTTGAATTAATGAAGCAACTATAAAGAGAAGGGGTTGCTTCAAATGTTCAATCAGATTCTTCTGAGGGATCGGATAAATTGACCGTCGAAGTGGATGATATTAGATTCTAAGATCATACTTATAATATGTATGAATATTAATACAATGTTGCTGTGGCCACTATTTTAGTAATAATCCTTATTATGGATAGAATAATCTTAAACCTGAAGGAAAATTATTGCTTGAAGAATTGGGTAGATTATTACCTTAGACACTTGCTTAAGGAATAATGTAACTTAGAGATGCTGTAGATGGCCAACAACTTTAAAGTGTTTTTGTTTTCCCAGAGTCTAATAGATTGTGCGAGGTCTTTCCTAAATTTAAGGTGGGGAATGCAGAAACTAGATTGTCGTTTTGCTTACCCAAGCTACCTTCTCCTTGTATGAAACCTGGATTTGATCAGTAATTATTATAATCCATCTAAGTAATTTAAATGTTTGATATGTATGAGCATAGTCTATTGATGTGGAAAATAAGCCAGAAGCACCATGGATTAAAAGGACTCTTGATGGAGTTATTTTTACAGAAAATGTTCAATATATTGATTTAGACCTTTTAAGCGAAACCTAAAGATCAGAATTGGATTAAATAGAGGAACAAGGTCCAGATTAAATTGAAGGCAACTTTTATACACTTGAAAAATCTACTTGTATAAGTAATTGAATAATATCACCAATTTATATATATATATATAGATTATTTATATTTTCGATACATCATATTTAATCAATCTTAAACTAACTTCTAAATTAAGGAGATAGATTCTATTAAATAATTGTTACTTTTTAGAATGTTTCCTTCATGTATAAAAAAAAATATGGCATTATAAAGTTCATTTTGAATTATCAATAATTTTAATAAATATATATTATACAATTTTATTAATCATAGTTCTTTCAATATTCATTGACAATTGAATTATGGCCTTCTATGAAATCCATTTGCTTTTGATAATTGAGTCTAGCGAATTCTTCATATTCTTATTAGTTATTTATTTGAATTTATTAACTATGTTATTGTTCTTAGTCTTGGTCCTCCTCTTTTTTGATGTTTTAGTGCATATCGTAATATGGGTTCCATTGTTCATAAGGCATTTGATGAAGTAAGTGCTTATCATACATCATCATTAATTATTCTTAATCAAAATGGTGTTATTGAAGGTTGACTTCTTCTATGATATTAATAGAAATTTCTAACCTGCCTTGGGAATATCGCTCGAAGGATTCTTCTTTTTTCTCCCAGCTCTGCTTCTTTCGGTTCGAGGCAAACGCTTTCCATTTTCTCCCCTCAAAGCATATGGATTAAATTTTTAATGGTGGCTTCTGCATTGGCTGGGAGTTCTTGTGCCTATAAGTTCGCTCATTTATTTGAATATTTTGGAGGTTTTTTTCATCATAGAAGAAGTCATAATACTTTCATACTATTAAAGAAAGCCTATGTAAGTTGTATGCTCTTCTGTGGACCAATGTCCAGTGTTAATGTGTTCTTTTTTTGGTTTCTTGGTTGATTGATGCTAGCCTTTTTATTTTTGTGTTTGTTGGGATCCTTCTTGAGATCCTTAAGCTTCCTGATTTGAAATGATGTCTGATTATAATTTGGGCATGGGAGCTCCTTAAATGCAATGAAACATCGAATAAGGAGTGATTTGTTTGGGTCTATGAATAAATAAATGGGTTTGGTACATTTGATCTCTCTGTACTTGAGATTGAGCAGGCTCTTCGATGGCTTGCTTTGCAAACTCAAGAGTTTTTGGAAGTAATCCTATAGAATCAGTATTCCTTGGCATAGTGGTATAATGTTTACTTGATCTTCTTGCTTTTTTTGTATTTTTGTTGATGCATGACTTCATTTTCAGGAAAACAATCGACCGAGTATCCAGGGAATGGGGCAGGATAAGAGAACTAGGGCAGATAAGCAAATTCATTGTAATTCTAATATGGAATATATTCTTGAAGAAATCTTGTATAATACTTACTTTGGATATCCGACTCTAGTTGGAATGCAAACTGTTGGTCACCCTGGAAGAAATATGGTTACATATTAAAAACAATTAATTTTTTATATTCCTAATTAGTTTATATAAACAACCTTTAAATGTCTCTACGAGGTAATCCCTTTCCTTAAAAGCCATTCTAATTCAAAACTTATTGAATCCCCTCGTGTACCCTATGAAGATAAACGGCAAAGCTGAATAAATTTTCAATAGAATAACAAATGTATTAATTTTTATTTCCCTCTTAAAATGAAGTTGATTCAAGGTAGTTTTTGGGTTTCATAAGGAATGAATTGGGGGGAATGGCAAATGAGAAGTATAGTTTGGATGCAGAGCTGAGTCAAAGAGAGTCTAATGACTAATAAGTGTTATAAAAAGGAAGGAAATATATTAACTAAATATTCCGTATTTATATTTTTTTTGTTTTTCATAAAATTTAAGTAATATTTATATCAAACATTTAAACATGTCAGCTAAAGAATATGAAGCAGAGGATGACTTGTTAGGATCTATTCTAAGAAGTAATATTTTAGTTACCTTAGATGACGATTACGAAGAAGTTTTTTCTAATAATAATAGTCCTTTACGGAAATAAGGCTTTGAAAGTGATAGTGTGATTGAGAATGTAATAATTGAATGAAATTTTTATAGGTTTCTACATCTGAAAAACATTATTTCGATAGTTTCAATCGATCCTTCGAGCAGATGTCTTTGGGATCTGATCTGGCCTAAAGTCCGATGTCTAATCGAGTTCTTTATCCTCAGTGTCCACCGAATCATCTCAAATTCTCAAGATAAGAGGATAGGTAAAGTGTGTCGATTAGTTTTGACGGGCCATCTTTTTCAACATAAGAAAATTCAATCAATTACAGAAAAGTTGGAAATGAGCACTTAGGATACTATAATAAACAACACATTCGATTGGTTGATTATTAAGTCCCATATTCTCCAGGAGTGATGAGACCACAAGGGATTTATTAGCCTGGATTTAATTATTAATAGTCACCAAATGGATTAGGTTTTACTGGATATTAATAGGAAAGACAGCCTCTCATAGAAATAAATGATGATATTCAATTGACAAATGATCTGGTAAGATTTTGTGACTATTTAATCAGGACAATATGTGTGGGAATTAGTTGTTGTCAAGAAAAGTGCAAAAGATATTTGAGCATGGCAAACCAGATCAAAGAGAATTGATTTTTAATAAAGTAGAAAGATCTTGTGTTTAATTTTCCAAAGACGTTTTTGGGAATTACTTAATGTAAAAGATTTTCGAAAAAGGTAATTATAAATAGTCTATCACCATTAAGGAACTCAACATCAATAGTAGAGATTGTTCAACAAGATAAGACCTCATGCTTATGAATTGTCGAAGAACAATTTCGGATGTCGAGTTATTTAAAAGATCATTGAGATCATTTCCAACAATGAGAGTTTCCAAAACTAATTCATCGACTCAATCAGACTCTAAGTGAAATCATTGCTCTATGATTCCAGTGGCAACTATGTGATTCTCAAATGCTTGGAAGTCTTGCAGAAGGAAAAGATCGAGTTTTTCTTATAACCAATCGAAGACTCAACCTTATACTTATGTTCATCTTAATATGGATGTAAGATATTGTTGAAAGCTCTTGAATTGTTTTCTCCCATTCAAACTGACAAGATCATGACCACTTGTTTGTAACACCAATTCAATCTCTGTTAACAAGAGTTCGGAAATCACATCCTACAATTTGCCATCAAGAATTCACATTATCAGCCACTTGTTGTCAACTTTGTACTCTCAAACTTTGAGAAATTGTGTATGAACAAATATGCCAGTAATACAGTCGAAAAGGTTGTGGAAGCTTCTACCAATGAAGTCAAATAGCAGGTCATCTCTATACTTATTTCTAAATCCCAAATCAATGGATAGTATCATAATATATTTATTTATTAGAATCATTTTTGTGAACTTATCTATCAATCCATTTGGAAATTATGTTATGAAGAAAATGGTCATTATGTCAAATCATAATATTTTATAACCTTTGATAGACATTTTGAGATAAGATTAATATCTGATCACAGCAATAAGATCCTCTGACTATGGCTAAAGAATCTATTAGCTAATCGAAAAGACCTTATTAATGTACAAATCATGAATATAATTGAGATTATGATGACAATATAAATATGAATAAAAAATTAGACAATATTTATTAATATTATCATGTACGATTTAAACTCGCATTCTTAAGGATTGATAAATAAAATTATAATCTTTAAGAGATCATCGATTATGTTTACATCAAATCAAAGAAAGATAATTCAATTTTGATATAAAATAAAAAGAATAAACTTATATTAATTTGAAATTTTTAAGAATGACTTTTAGTTAGAATGTCTAATAGATACGAGCAAAAAACTGAGTTCGATATATTTTTGAGAGATTACTATCACACCTTAATTCTCATCTAAACTAATTTATTTTATAATACTAGTGTATTTATGATTTCAATTTTATATCTATTTTCTTAGTAGATTCTAAACATACCACTATATTAAATCAAAAGTCAGCATAAAAAGGCAATTTGCATTACAAAATTGTATATTTGATAAATTGATTTCACCATTTTAATAAGAATTTTAATAATTAAAATATGTTACTTTAATAAATATAGTTTCTAAATTAAATGAGGAATTCGAAAAAGCATTATTATTACTTTATAATTTTTGTAATATAATTAACTAATTATTTCCTCTTAAGCATTTATAATATACAATTAAAAATTAGAAAAAAATAGATTGTCTTATTTGCATTAATATTTGTATTTATGAATTATGGAAATTGCTATTGATGTATAATCTCAAACTTTGTTTGCAAATGATTATTTAGCATAGATACATTTGTTTGCCATGGCGATTTTAATATATCCTTATTCTCCAAAAGTAGCACTCCAAGACATCTTTAATTTATAATATGGTAAGTAGCCTTAATCTGTTCTGGCATCATATCCGACAACTAAAGCATCATAATTCAAACTGTCTCCGCAAGGTTTGTCATAAACACCCTTCTTATATAATTAGAAATAAATGCTTGAAACTGAAACTGGTGAGCTTATGATAATGATATAAATTACACAACAATATTTTCTGATAATGCTTAATAATAGTCTGAGTCTTCAACAAATTAATCTTGATTGATCATCTCATAACCATTTAGCAGCTAGATATTGTCCTTAGAAGCAAGACAAGCTCCTTTTGTTCCAGTATAAGGAACAGATGCATATAAATCTAAATAATGTTGATTATCAGTCACCCAATCCCAAGTACTTTTTACTCCTCCTTCTAAACAAGGGTTATCCTAAGGAACACAATTTATCAAATATTGAGGCGAGATTTATTCATACTCTCCAAGGTACCTGGCACCTTCTATAGAGCCAGCCACAGCAAAAGCCCAAGATCCTAGACATTTTCCTTGATCGTATGGTTAAGAATAACCCTAGATAGTTGACCAATCATAGTTGTCAGGTATATCGGCCTTAATTGCTTTTTTCTATTTCTTGGTTGTTTTCTCAAATGAGTTGTTTATATATTCCTAATCTGGATATGACGAATATAAATAAAGAGATGAGAATTCATCAAAAGTTAAGTCAGCAAATTAGTTGGCTTCGATTTCGAAGTTTTCTAATCCTTGATTATATCTGGCATTGTGCTCGTTGACAATTTATAAATTCTGGTGGAATATTTATTTTCTATAAGTGTCCTCAACTCCTTAGTATAATTTCTTATGATGTTATTTCCATTTGGAGTATTCATCTGTCTATTGTTCAGAATTGTACAATTATAATGAAAGAAGTGAAATACTTAACAATGCGACAATGTATAAATTTTTCATAGATATTAATGCTTTAAATATTTTATTATGGTATATGTAGAAAAATAAATATAGAACTAGCAATATCATATGCATTATGCATAATTCATTATAATTATTTTAATTTCCATCTTGATTCATATCATTCAGCATTGATTACGCAATTTCGCACAATTCACTCACCAAGAAATACATTGAGTTTTAATAATAAAATCTTGCATGCTTCTCGCGTGCTTGCCTCAAGGAGAGCACTCTTTCCGATTGGTGTAGTAACTCTTTGAAATTATTAATAGATTTTAAGTTTTCTCTCCACTTTAATAATAATTTTCACTTAAAAAAACAGAATTCATACATATCAATAAATGGATTCTTCAATTAGTAATATAATCGAGGATCAGGAAGATAACAATACTTTGTGTATTAAATATGAGGAACTTCTTATTTGGACTCCAAAAACCAAAGATGATGTCAAATTAAAAAACTAATCTCATATCGCTCGGAAAGAGCTGAGTTAGGTTGGTTCTTTGGCAACCACTAAGGAATGGACCAAAACTTTATTGCACACGAGCACATTGATTAGTAAAGAAGCATATGTCAGGTCACTGAACTCAATGGAAGCTTTTTATGAAAAAAAAGAAAAAGAATCTGCTGATAATCAAACCAAGAGTCTTTCACCAGTAAAACATTAATTTGAAGAAATATCAGACTATACTTTTAAATTATTGGGTGGTATCAAGAAAGTTAGATTTAGATTAAATTCAGATTATCAAGCATGACTTCTACATTGTGAATAGTATTTATGTATATTGTCTTTATGTATATAATTCGTATAATCCAATTTTCATTACTTACAAATTGTATTTGCCAAAACAATAAATTATAATGTATGATTAAAAATTAAACTTTCATTATGAAATTGATTACAAATAGAATTAAGATTTAATTCAATTGTAATTTATAATAAAACTAAAATTTCTAAATTAGTGATAAGATTTCAATACTTTTTATTTATTTGCCAAGGTCCCATAACCCCAATAAAGAATAAAATTACGTAAATGAAGTCATCCTATAGATCAAATATCATAGCAATTATAATCAGCCAATTTTAAATCATTTAAGTTAAGTGCGAATAATAAGATAACTTTTTTATCTAAAAATAGAATTTATTAATTATTACTTCATTGCATACTCTGTATTAAAAAAATTAAACAAAAAAATTAATTTAATATATTTATTTAAGATTTAAGAATTATAATATAAGAACTATCCATTTCAGAATATTGTAATGTTATGATCTATTCAATTTTGATTACAGTGAAGTGCCATATTAAATTATTTAACACTCTCAATGTATATTATGGTAGTGTGCAATAAGGCTATCTATAAATTTGTTTATTCAATTGGAGTTCTAATGTTTACCATAAGTTCCTTAATACTTAGTAAAAATGAAAATTTACTTAAGTTTGAATAATAATTGTAAAAGTAATTAACTAAACAATTCACTAATATTTGCAGTTCTTCAATGTTCACATAATTATTCAAATAAATTATATTAGTAATAATATAAAAATTTTAGAAAGAAGAGACATTTTAATTATTATTAAACACACTAAATAAGTTGAGTTAATGATTTGAAGGAAGAGATCAATCTGTAGTTTATTGATTCTCAGAAGTTGAGATTAATTATTAAATTTAATTATTTTAGTAGGATAAATTTTAGAATGCAAAAATATTTATTGGATAATTTACCGCTTTCTTTGCAAGAGCGAAACTTACTCAATTCTAGTGGGCAATAAGTCTATGATCAAGTTATGAAGGATGGAGGGTTCGTTAAAGTATTTTATATAATTTTACATTAAGGTATTTTGTCAAAGGGAGTTGCCTGAATATATGAAAGAGGACGATTGGGTAAGTTTTTATCAAAGTAAAGTAATTGCATATGAATACAAATCAATGGTTGATGGTTCTTGCATAGGAAAACCGTATTATTATAATTATAATGAAATGCTAAAAATATATGAAGAGAAGTCGTTATCTTGGTTAAAACATCAAATAAGTATTCTCACAATAGATCCAAAAGCATTATAAATGATAAATGTGTTTTTTAATTTTGAAGCTCTCAAACAGAATCATGGCAATTAATCCATTGATATCAGAGTATAGTAGCCTGGATATGATTCATTTTTACCTTGTAAAATAAATTAACAGCTGGAAGGAATGAAAATTATGGATTACGTGGATTACCTTAATGATCCATCAAAAATTATCAGAAAGGAAAGACTTTCAGTAGATCAAAGGTTGTTCGCTGTAAATGTTAACATGTTAGGATGGGATAGGGAAATAAACCATTTAAAATAGTTCTTACCAAAGTGTTTGAGACCTTAAGGTGATAATGATGGATTAAGCTACTTAAGATAGGAAATAGATGGTGTAAATATACCTTAAATTTATATTAAAACAGACGGAGTATGGACAGGGGGTCATTAAGAAAACCTAAGTGTTAATGCTATCAATATCAATCATGGTCCTGCAGATTGTATTTGGATTACAGTAGATAATGAGCACGTTTAAAAGCTAAGACAAAAAGTCTTAGAACTTTTTGATACAGACATATTTAAAAATGAAGGCTTGTGGTTTAAAGAACCTGAATTCTTTTTAAAAAACGCTATACCTTTTAGATACACTTTATAAAAGAAAGGTGATGTTGTTATCTTAGGCGCAGGGTGTTTGCATTGGGTTAAGTCTTTAGGATAAACAATCAATACTGCTTGGAACTAGGTTGCTTTAGATGATATGACTCTTGAGGCAATGAGTGAAAGACACACGTTAAATAAAGAAATTAATTACAGAACTGTCATTCCATATAAGAATTTGATGTTAGATTTATATATCCATGAAAAGTCTTTATCATAGTTGGCTATAGAGAGAATTTAATTAGAACTTTAAAATTTTTTTGAATAAGAAAATAGAAAGTTAAATTTAATAGATCCACCATCATTTTCATTGGTTGAATGTTGTAAATAGGTTTAATTGTGTTCTAAATGCGAACATGAGATATTCTTATATTTTTACCATGACAATGACGAATATTTATGTTTAGATTGTGTACTGGATAAGTCTAATCATAAGGGTCTAGCTATTTCCATGAAATACAGATATCATTGCTTTTATTTCTTATTGTAAGCGTAGCCAACAAATTGCAACCAAGAGTTCTGTTGTTCTTATACTGGAAAAACAAAGTGTTCTATTTAACAGGAACTTAAGCCAGCATAATTGAAATACTAAGGATAACACAAGTTAAATTCAATGCTGCATGGAACTGATAAAATGAAGAAAAAGAAAGTTGAGAGAATAGATCCTGAAGTTGATGTAAAAACAATAGAAAATAATGATAAATAAAAGACTAGAGGTAGAAAACAATCTATAGATAAATCATAACCCAAAATGAAAAAAACTAAAAATTATTGATTTAATTATACAATTAGAAATTTAAATATTTAATTTCTAATTTTCTTAATTTTGTTTATCAATTACATCATTAATAATAAATATTAATTATTCATTTATTTACTTACAATTCTTGATACATAATATGTGGATTATTTTGTTTTCTTTATTTAAACAAATTCCGTTTCTATTATTCTGGTTTATCACTATTTTTAGTATGTATTATCTGGAAAATAAACCGAATTTATTATCATCAATTTTACAACCTTTTATGTTATTATTGTAATGTGATTGTTATTTTGAAAATAAAATAAAACACAATAAAAATGATTGATCTATTCTCAAGTCCATCTCCTATTCCCTAATAGTCTATTACAAAGGATGAAAATCTCTAATGTAAATGGATGTAATAACGTTTCTTATTTACCCAAAGCCATTGTAAAAAAATTGACTTTGATAACAGTCATACTACGTAACTTTTGAAATAATCTTGAAGGAAATCCATTTTTCCTATCTCTTCATAAGAAGAAATACGAATTCCAAGCGCAAAAATTGAAAGTAAAGAGTTTTCGGATCCATTACTTTTAAGCTCATACACTTAATCATACATTGACAAAAACCAATTATCCCTTGCTTGTGGATTGTAAAAGAGTCAAGTCACATTAAACCTATTAATTGCAGGGCAATCTGGAAGTGGAAAATCCACTTTCGTTGATGCTTTACTAAATAAAGTAAATTCCGAAAATATTCATTATATAGAAACCTATCGCGAGACAATATCAGGGAAACTCTTCCTAAACTAATTAAGTCCAAGAATCTATGGGAGTGATTGAATATGAAAACCAAATTGTTTATTTAAATATCTTCGACGCAAAAGGTTTTTAAAAAAATGACTAAAAAGAATGGTTTAAGGAAATCAGACATTTTATCGATTAGAAGGTATCCAATATCCCATATCCTAGTTTAAAACCTAAATTCGAAGAAACAAGTATGCCTATCTAAATAAAACCCTCTACTCTCAGGTGTCTAAACTAGTAAACGACGAACGAGTAAGCACTTTTTAATTATTCCATAGATTCACTTATGTCTTTACTTTCTCAGCGGACCTGCATACTTTAATGAGGATATTCTATATTTACAAAAGTTATCCAACTTAGTAAATGTCATTCCAATCCTGGCCAGAGGAGATTAATATACAAAATCAGAAGTTCTTGAATTAAAACTAAGATACAATAAGACCTTTAAAGAATTCAAAATTGATATCTATGATTGTCTCAAAATTAATGATGAATAATTTAAACAATAACTCATGTAAGGAGAATTTGGATAGTGTTCTCCCTTCATGATTATTGCTTCTACTTATGAATATTACAATGATTAAGGCAAGAAGATTTAAGGAAGACAATATCCTTGGGGATAATGCGACCTATGGAATCCTTAGCATTCAGATTTCTTGCTGCTCTACAAATCATTGATAGGATATTACATATATGATTTAATTAAACTTACTGATTTCTATCAGCATAGCTTCATTAAAAGAAAACAAGAGACTCAGAAAAAGAACAAAAGCAGAATGGGCTTTTTAAATTAAATATTGGTTCAGATCAATTAAATATTATATTTAATTGATTGATACTTTAATTTCGTATTATTTAATATACTATAAATTTCATAAAAGATTTTAAATGCAACACTATTCTATGAACTCATATACTCTAGTATGTTCTCTAAAGTATGATGTTGGAATTAAATAAATAATATTAGTTCCTCATATTTTAATTTTGCAAAATAAACATTTTCATCGTTCTTCATTTTGACAGAAGACTTTTGTTTTTATATTAAATCGAATATTTACAAAAATAATTGTATACATTCCTTATAATTAAAAAAATCAAACTGGACTGTCTCAGCTTATTTAATTCCTTTTCTTACAATCGAAACTTTGCACATTACCTTAGTGATTTTCCAAAATTCTTAATTTAAAAATTAAACTCTTAGTTTTGTAATAAATCCTATATTATTTTAACTATGTCTGTATATTAAAAATTTAATGATTGATGATTATATCTAAATAATAGTAATGAATTAATAAATCTATTAAAAAACATTTTGAATAATAATTGCAGTTTACTCAATGATTATTGCCACAATCTATGGTTTTACTATATGACCCGACTAGATCTAATACATAAGTCTGCTAGGTCAATTTATAAAATAATAATTTAAAAATCCAATTGGGATGATTAGACCTATCTTCTCTTATAAAATTCGCAAAATGCCTTGAAGCCATTTTAAATCAAATAAGACATATATCTAATTTTCATAATTATTCAAGTTTACCATTATTATAAATAGAAATTACAGGTGAATACGTAAAAATTGCTCCTCATATATGAATATTATATCTTAAAATTTTTAGCCAGCTTGCACAACTGAATAAATAAATCCCCGACTTCGGATGTTAATTTGAGTCATAATACCTTTCTTATATTATTTTAATTATAATACATATTATTGAACATACTCTTTTTCAAGAAAATAATGGATAAATGATTAAGAAATATATTAATGATTTTTAATATTGATATTAGTAAAAAAAACTTAATTCAGAAGATAGTATAACACCAGTAAAGTCAACTTGAATTCATTGATATAGATTTCTAGTTTCATTCTATAGGCAATCTAGTTATTGTAATGTTATATCTTTCATGGCTTTATAGAATTATCTACAAGCGTTCAGATAGGATCAAAATTAGATAAGCATTTTAAATTAAAAAAATGTTGATTGGTAAAATAAGTATAAAAAGTCCAAGTAGGGTAATTCAATATGTGAATCAATGTTCAAGTGTGAAGGAAAATGTTTTAAAATCAAGAATATGTTATAGAAGATTCTCAGAATAGATCAATAGATTTTAGACATCAGAGCCATTCCTTTTGAATGTGTTGTAATAGTATTTATCATAATCAGAAAGATAAGTATATAAAATCAATAATCATATAGGTTTGGAATCTGATAATTTCTGCTTCTCTTTACTGCAATTCCTTCTCATAACAATTGGATTCTTGATAAGTGCGTAATTTTATTCCATGCCTAGACAATCTGATTATATCAATTGTTCTATTTAATCTATATCATCTCTTTGTTTTGGTTTTGACTTTCTTAAGGAGCAGCCCATTTTTAAAATTGTTAAAGTTGAATGGAATAATTAAAAATATTATTATAAATATACATATTTTGGAGGAATTATGAAATTGGAACTAAATTGAGTGGTTTATGAATGATGTGAATTGTTTAAGTTAATATTTGAGACAACCATTTTAAATAATAAATATATAACATTAATTTTATAATGATCAAGGATTAGGCTAACTTAGAATAACCAATCTTTGGCCCTTAAATTACACAAATCCCTGATTTAACTTAATACTAGAAATAGCATTTGGAATCCTAAGAATCCTTGAGATCGATTGAAAGTCCTAATAATCAACCAAATCATTATTTAGTAAGCAGACGGAGGTTATAAAGATTAACAAGGATAATCAATCCAATTTAGAATAATTAACCTAAGTTAGAGTAAAAGATAAACCATAAAATAGATGAAAATGTGCAATTCTCCAGACTTGTAAGAAAAAATAGACTTATATAAAAATTCAAATAAAATTTGCTTTTGAACTCATACATCCTTCCAAATGCTTTGAAAAACAAAATCTTATCCTCAGAAAAGTATATTCAACCTCAAATATTTCGATTTTTATAGAGTATTTATTGTGATATATCAAGATAGAATATGACTAAACTAAATTATAATCAGCAATACTATTGCCATAAAGTCCTTTTTTGTATTTTTGGGACTTACTCACATTACTAGCAAGCTTATTGGCTTTGTGGATTTGCCCATTTCTCTTAAGCTTCTCTTTTGATGAATATTCATTTCCAAAAATAATAATAGGATTAATAACTCATTTGATAATTGATAATATTTTGGCCATAAATAGGGCCTATATAGAATAAGGGGAAGTGATAGTGGAGAGAAAACATATACTGTAGTAATACATCAATCATCAAGCTATTTTTGAAGCAGTCTCTTTGATACTATGGATTGGTATTTATCCAAACATTCTTAATGAATTCAATTAATCCAAATAAATATTGTTGATAATGTAAAACATTATAGTACTCATTAAATTAAAGAGAACAAACACAAAAATGGAGAACATTTATTTAAAACATACTCTAAGCAATGCTGCTGATCTATTGACTCTAATTTTATCCATATATTATTTCGCTCATTTTATGGCTTGTCTCTTTCATTACGTGGGTGTAATTAGTGAAGCGAATGAAATGACTTGGTTAATTTAAAGATAAATTAGACATGAATCAGTATGGATCAGATATAACACATCATTCTATTGGGCAACAATGACCATTACGACTGTAGGGTATGGGGACATTACTCCTCAGAACTAAGTAGAGATGTTATTTGTTAATTTAATAATGTTGCTTTCAAGTTTTTTATTTGCTTATTCAATGAATTCAATAGGAATTATTTTGAGAAATCTATATGAGCAAAATAAGAATTAAAAGTAAGTATTTAAACCTATACCAAATTTAGACGGTCAATATTACAATTAAATAATTATATGAATCATAATTAAGTTGATCTCTCATTACAAATTAGAATACGTAATTATTTAAAACAAAAAATGACTAGTGTGAATTACGAATAGATTGAATTTATTAATAAAACCATTTCTGAATTACCTAAAGGTTTAAGATTTGAGTTGAACCAAAACATCTCAGAAAAAGTTATAAAATCAATTAAAATATTCTCAGATCAATTCTCTAAGATGACTCAACAGGCATTGACCTAAAAAATGAATCGATTGTTGTTTTCACCAGAGGAATATATCTATCATTAATATGAAATTGATGATTAATCCTTGTAATATATATAATTATTTAGAGATATTATGTAAAAGAAGGAATTGTTGATATTTGCGAAGAACAAAGCCAATAAGTCATATAATCAGTAACAAAAGGGCAGACTTTTGGTGAATATTAGTTTTTTACTGGTTTTCCAACAAAGACCTGTGCTTTTAGTAGAACTCAAAGTGAGGTAGTATAGATTCATAGATCCAACTTTTTGAAATTGATTAAAGATGAAAAAAAGGATATGGAAAGATTCAATCATATCAAAGATAAAATTCTGTTGTATTCAAATTATAACTCCATTTTGCTCAATTGTAATCATTGTAATAGAAGCTCGCATCTCAATATCAATTGTCCATTGCTCACATATCAACCAGATCTAGAAGCACTGATAAAGAAGTCAAATATCAGAAAGAATCCATAAAAGAGAACTAGTTATCGTAGGAAGGGGGATAAAATAAATACTAGAAGAATGTTAGCGACCATTCAAGATTCCCTCAATAAATTTTAATCAGATTTTAATAACAATTCAGATGACGAATAATCAAGATACATGTCTCCTGATTACAGCAGTCGCATTAATTACAGGAAAAAATCAATTAAGAAACCTCATTAAATGATTTCAATTTAAAATACTGTTAATTCAGATAAGGAAGTGATCCCTTCTGATAGGCATATTTAAATTCTTGCTTCCAGAGAAAATTTTGAAAAAAGAAAAACTACTCCATCTAAATTTCTCATTCAAGGTGAAGAATCTTTATACAAAGAGTAAAACAAGGATATGCTATCAGAATTTGAGACTAAGTTTCAATTCCATCATATCAACATAGATTAAATAAAAATCTTTTAAGAGTATATGCCGTATAATAATTTTCATAATGTAATTAAAGGTCTTGAATCGATAAATAACACATTATAATTTAAAAAACCTGAAAAATACACCTTTAATTATGTAGCTAAATAATAATCCTAAAGTTTAAGAAAATGGTATGAAAATCAGTTTAAATGATATTCTTTTTATATGTGTATATATATATAGGTCATCTTTATCTAATATTAAAATTCAAGAAATTTGTAATAATAAAATAGAATTATTAATATTATGAGTTTGATTCACTAAAAGTTACCATAATTTGACATTATAAGAGTTGCTGGCTCAGGGAGCTTTGGTATGTATTATCAATAAATTTAGGTTATGTTTTTGAGGCCTATGATCATAATAGAAAGTAAAAAGTTGCTCTAAAGAGAATTGAAAAGGTTGGAACTCAACTTAGTAGGGAATATGAAATATTGTTTGAAGTTAAGGAATGTGAACATGTAGTTAAAATCCTTGTATAAAATTCATCCAATTTAGGATTTTTTCTATTCAAGAAATGAGGCGGGGAAATTAATTCAAAATATCGTATTTGAATATATGGAAGATAATCTTGAAAATAGAATTCAAACTTTTATCAAATAAGGGAAGACATTTTCTGAATTGACAATAAAATGTTACATATATTAGATTTTAAAAGGATTATAATTCATTCACCAAAAAGGAATTGTTCATCGCGATCTAAAGCCGTAAAACTAAATACTTAAATCAATAGCGAAAATGTCCTTATAAATAATAAAGATTAAATCAAATTGTGTGATTTTGGAAGTTCAAAATTGATCACTTCATCAAGTCAAAACACTCCGTATATAGTTTCTAGGTATTATCGTGCACCTGAGTTGATACTATGCCTAACTAAATATGGAGTTTCTGTAGATATTTGGGCATTAGGTTGTATAATGGGAGAATTGGTAATAAAGGATGCTCTTTTTAAAGGGAAAAGTGAAGGAGATCAACTGTTTGCAATATTGAAAGTGATGGGTAGTTTCAGTAAAAAAGATGTGGAGTACTTTTCAAGTAGAGTTCCTTTTAATAATCAATCAATATTTAAGGAACTCTCTAGATATAAAAAATAAAATCTCAGATAAAAATTTAGTTAAATTAAAGATTTAGATAATTATTTAGATTTATTGAAGTAAATAAAATCAATATGAATTCTAGTTCAATGTTGCAATATAATCCTGAAAAGAGAATCAGTGCTAAGGATGCTCTTAAACATCCATTTTTTAAAGATGTAGTAAATGAATGACAATATATATTTACAATAAAATATTTTACTAATGTATTTAATGTAAATCACTTATCTTAAGCTTCTCTAGAACCTACAATCTTCTCTTCTCCCATAGCTGATAGGACTGAAATCAATAAATCCCTAGATATAATATAAATATATACTTGCCAGCATCAAACTAATCTCTAATTTCTTTGACCAAATTGAAATCATCTTCAGTTTCGGGTAATTTAAGATCTTCCTTTGTTGATCCATCATCGTTCATAAGAATGACAAAGCCATCGCCTTGAATATCCATTAAAGTATATTCCTTTTTAGTAACAAATGGAACATCAATATTGTGAGATGTTGGGGCTGAATCTTCGTATGTTTTGTTTGTGAAGATATCCTTTCCAACAATGGATGCCTAAACATGTGAATGATAGAATTACTTTAGCATGACCATGCTTTCCAGCTTTGGATGTTGAAACATCGGTAATCTTGCAAGGATGTCCTTTGAGCATGACGTATCCTCCTTTCTTTAATGATCCTGCACTTTCTGTGTAGGTGTGAGATGATCCAGCGTTTCCTTGCTCGAATTGATTTTCGTCGTCAGACATTTAATTATTTAAATATTTTATTTCAAATCGGGGATTTGAGAAGTATTATAATAACACTATATCAGAATATAAATTCTTTAAATAATTCAGAATAAGTTGACCCAAATTAGTTAACTAAACTCATTTAGATTGGCGTAATATTAATCTATTCATTAAAAACTCTTTCCAACAATCAAAATCTAAGTTTTCCATAGGAGACACTTCGCCATGGCATCTCTACTCTTTATAACATGTATATGGATATTTCCAATCTAAATTACTTGTTGTCATTATATCCAATTACGTTCTAATATTTAACTTATTTGTACTTGTATTCAGTTGCCAATATTTGATCTGATTGTATATAATTTGAACTCTTTTGATTAATTAGATCAATCCATTGATTCTGTTTATTGTGCTACAACAATGATCTATACGAAGTTTATTAGGATTGTTAATGTATAACTGATTACTATTGCTTCATTAAGTATGATTACTATTCAGTTTTTCGGATTGTAGGATCAGCAGGAGTATGTAAGGAAGTACTTGGTGTTTTTTTCATTTGTTTTTTAATATACTTCTTTGCAGATTTATGAGCCAATTCTGTCAACATGTTTTTAAATGATGCATTTTAAGGCATTATTACTATTGTATTCTCATAAGATGATTTCTATTTTGCATCACTTATAAGATGTTTAACATCCTTTTTTGATTTTGGACAATAAAATTGCTTCTATTAGGTATCGCATCTATCATGGGTGTAGATAATAGGTTGTTTATTGAATGAAGAAGTTCTCTTTTTGACATTTCCTTTATTCATTCACTCTAATTATTATCTTATATTATATTTCAATTTAAATAATAATTAAGTATCAACCTCAATGAAAAATTTTGGTTTTGTGGTATAATATATATAGTATTAAAACTACCTTCAATATATTTAAATCTATTCAAATTCAAACACCTTTATATTACCATATGATAAGATTTACTGAAATTTAACTAATCTATTTTTTGTTTCATTCATTGAAATATTAATCATTCCCTATTCTTTTAACATTATTTTGAATTCAATATTATAAACTCTCATTTTAAAATTGAATTTCTAACATTTTGTTCTATAAAGTTAGCTATCATATTTATATCTAATTAGTATCCATATTATAATATTATTATATGGCTTTTGATAGAATACTAAAATTTAATGGTAAAACTTATAAAATAAATACTTTTTTAAAATGGATTAAGTTTGATTTTATTTTAGAATGACGTTGAAATAATTCGTATGTTATTCTCAATTATCAGGTTATAATTACTTTCTATCTTAATTGTAATTTTACAAAACCCTTAGTTTTTCATATTCAACTAACGCATTCTTATTATTATTTGTATTTGCAAATGTATCCTAAAATACAACTAGTATTTCTTTAAGGTTGACTTTTTAATTTTATGAGTTGAATTGATTTCATTGATTATTTGTTTATGTATGTTTTAAGCTATTAACTAAAAGAACAAAGAGACAAAAAATGAAATAGAAATAGATTATTTGTCTCAAACCATTCATTCTTTGCATAAGAGTATAAATTTAAGTAAAACTGACTTTAATGCAGTTGAAGTGTAAGATGGTTTTAAGATATTGATTCTATATGGAATAGGAAATATCAAATGATGTCCTTGAACATTAATCACCAAGCAGGACTAAATGGTGATTCTTCAAGTACGTAATTCCTTAAAGTTACTCCTTGGGTGCCCATCATTCTAGCTATTTCCATCTCATGGTTTAGCAGCATAACATCCATCGGAGCAGTTTCATATAAGGGCTTGGTTAATTGCACAAATAATGAATATTCTTATAGTTCTGGGGGATATGCATTATTCATATATATTTTTTCATCGTTCTACTCTAGTCTTATTTATGGCCAACCATACCAAATTTGTTCTTGCCTCTAAGTGATGTTTGAGCTTAGGTACTAAATATTGTAAGAATCAGAATCAAGATGACCAACTTCATGGTAATTTAATTAATAATTAATTTAAATCCGTTTTTTATTCATAATTCATTTCAATCTATTTAGTCTCATTAATTACTAGCATCTATTTTTGTAAGAAGTCTATTACCTCAACTGTTTGATTTTGCAATTAAGGAATTTTCTATTTTATAGGTTTATTAAAATATTATGATTAATCGAATAACTAAACTTTCATTTCATAAAGATCTAATTATAAAAAATATGTTAATTATACATAACTTATCAAAACTTACTGAATTACTTATGGAATATCAAAAAATACTGGATTCGAATGGCTTTGCGTTTTTTATTGCAACAATTATTTATTTTTATTAAGATTGGTTTACATTTTTCAAATAAATTTATTTTTATTTTATTTTTACTTAGATTTTTTCTCCTAATTGTCATATTATATTATTGTTATAATAAAAATTGAATTTCATTAAATATAAAGTAATAGTTGCTATAAATGTGTAAATTGATTCTTAGAAACAATAGAACAATTAGAAAATTGACAAAGTTTTAGCCATGATAGTATATTACCACCTTTTTATTCTTTGATATTAGGTTGCTCTTTAAATCTTAATTATTCAATTATTCATCTACTTAGCCAGCTATATAGTATGAATTTGATTGGTTGCTTATATTATCAAAATAAACAATAATAATAAATAAAATTTGAATTGCAATAGCATTAAATAATTTAATGATTGGTGAGTTATTGATTAGACAACTAAAGATTAATAAACTAATTTTTTAATCTAAGTGATTATTAATACTAATATGTCTTTTGATCGCATTATTAACAAAATAAAAATATTAATCGAATTTATGTTAAATATTATTACGTAGGTTTAGGTTTAGATATATTTATCATTTTATATAGAATATCATTAAATCAATTCTAAATTCCTAGTTTGTCAGTCAAAACTAAAATAATAATTATAAATACTTTTTCTTCTCAATTTAGTTGGAACTTTTCTTTCCTCTAATGTTTTTCTAAATCTTTAATCCAATTAATTTTTATCATTGCTAACATCCAAGTACAAAATTAATGATTCAAAAGTCTATTCATTTGATTATTGGAAAAATAATTAATATTCTTTCAAAACCTTAGATGACTCAAGATAATTAGATTTGGATTTATTTCTTAAAGGAGTTTCTATCACAATAGACTCTGCCTTAGGTGATTGACTATGTGGTTCTTAATCACCTATTTGTTCGGCTTCCACAATTTATTTAATAGTCTTAATATCAAGTTTTCCTTTTTATTATTTAACATTTGCTGCAACCTTGTTAAATATTGCACTTCCCTTGATTGAGATTCTATGTAAGGCCTGCAAAAATTCATCATAATTCATTCCTGGTGGTATACCATCAATGACCTCTTTGGATCTAGTTAAATATCTAAAAAGTTATAGAACATCATCTTTAGATACAATTTCAGGACATAGATTAAATCTATCAGTAAACCATGCAAAAGTCTTAAAAGTAATTTGTTCTCTCGAAGATGGCTAACCAATAGGGAGAAATGTTTCTTTAATTAAGAATTAAAATAGAGAATTCAATCCAAACTAATATTTCTCTATTATTTTTTGATAAGGTGTGGATTTAAAATTATTCTCAATATCTTTTTCTAAATTCTTTTATTCTTATATTCTTGATTAATTTTGAGTTAATATTTTTGATCTGGCTTATTCTAAGAGTAATTTTTATTTTTTTAGTTGATCTTATTTATCTTTTTCAGATTATTGTATTTTGGTCTATCCTTATGTTATTATTTCTTTTAATTTTGTTATTTATTTTTAATTGAATTCTTAGAAATTATGTTTCTTCATTTAAATTTCTTTTTCCTTTTTATCCTTTTCTTCTAAAATTCTTTTCAATTGTTCTTCCTTTTCCCTCTCATTCTTTTCTTTAATCTATTCATTGTATAAATATATTTATACCTTTTGTTTCTATTCTGTTAAGTAACTCATCCGTTTATCTAATTATTCCTTCTTCAAATTATTTTCAGTTTTGTTTTTCTCTAATCTTTCTTTTTCTAATGATTCTTATAATTATTTCTATTTTTCTCTCTCTTCTCTCAATTTATCCTTGATTTCTTTTTCTCTTTACTTTCTCAATTATTCTTTTTTCTATTCCCACAATTCCTATTCCAATTATTATTACTTTTTATCTTCTAAAACTCTATTAATAATTTAATTCTATCTTGTAGCTTATGATTTATTATGCTCTATTGCAAATATCATATCATCAAGCAGATTTGCAACATTTTCAGCTATATATTTGTCTTTAAGATTGCATTTAGCAATAGCCAATTTCATATTCAATGATAATTCTCTTTTTGGTTCGATTTCAAGAACCTTTTTCTTTTGTAAACTTACATTCACTTCCTTAGTCTTTTTATGCTTAATTTTGAATTAGTCATCAACAGGCTCTTATTACAATTTAGATTAAATATATCCAAAAGCATCAGGTTTAGCCTTAAATACCATTACTTTTTTGGATATTGGTTCAATAATATTGATTCTATATATTTCATAATTGAATTACCCCAAAGCATCTCTCAATAAGTCATTAAGAATTTAATATGGTACATGAACATTATCGTCAAGCAAAGGGATCTCATAGGAGAATTGGATCTCAAAAGTTGTGACTTTCTTGTACCCTTATGGCAACTCATAATCTGGATCTATGAGTAGTCTTTAATTGAATTCTTTAATAATCTAAAGTTGTCATTAATATTTACATCATTCTCCATAAAATATTAAGTCTCTGGATCATCAAATAAAGCAGTACTCTATCCTTTAGAAGCAGTCACATTTCTTAGATGATTGATAAACTTAATTAAACATTAATATGGTTGTATGTCTGCCAATTTATGCTTAGATAGAACTATGGATAGTTAAATTACAAACTAATTAAACCCTATTTAATCAAATTCTTTAAATTCTGTTTTGTTATGTAGAATTTGAGTTCCTACCTACCTTGCCAGAGCTTGAACATTTTCAACTGAAATCGCGATCTCATATTCATGAATAAATTTGCTTATTTCTGCAATATTTATACTTTCAGTTCTCTATTGATACTAATCAAAGGAGTTAGGTTATTTCATTCCTTACAAACAAGTATTAGCATATTTAGTAAAGATATGCCTAAACACTTTAGTATATTTTCTTAGAATCTATTCAACCATTAATTTTTCAATTTCCTCTTCTAAATTTAAATCCAATAAATCAAAAGTTACTAATCCATGTTTCTTCTCTTTAGCTAACTCTGTTTGTCTGCTGCCATCAGGAAATAACAACTTCACAGTTACATCCTTTTGATTCAATGATGCAATTCCTTATTCAATTTACCTTTTCTCTAATTACTTTCTCAATTTCTCTTTTTTCAACTTCAGTTACTCTTCTTAAGTAAACTTTGATATTTCTTTTTCCATTTGCTTCTCTTGATACTACTTTTTTATGGTTGAGATATCATTAATAACTTTTGGATCAGTTTCTTTAGGCATTCTCAATTTTGCTAGATGATACTGTTCTTCCTTAGTGAGTTTAATTTTGGAGAACTTCTTCAAGTTCTCTTAAACCTGTTGTACTTCTTTAACAGAGGATTCTGAATAGATTTATTTATTAGTTTAAGCCTCCTAATACTCCAATTCAACTTATTGCATGATTTCATTGATATCACCAAGTAAAGAAAGAAGCACTTAAAGACCTTTATTTTATTTAGATATCATTTTGAATTATAAATTGGTATGACCAGCCATCATTTTAATTACTTAATTAATACTTTCATTATGAATTTGAGCTAAGCTTTTTAGTACTTCAATAATTTAAGCTTTTCTCTATTTGTCCACAATTTATTAATTTGGTTTTTTTTTATCTGACTTTTTATAGACAGAAAAATAAACAGCAAGACTTATTTTTACAAATTTTTATACAAATTCTTGAGTGCTTGGTGTATTCTAGGTATTTGTAACCATTTAGAGAAATATCTATGATGCTATTCTATAATGCAAAGTATCATAAATAGCTATTTTAGATAATAGATCCATCATTTGTATTTACGATTTAGTTGTTAAATTAGGATTATTAGCCACATTTGCAAGGAAATTAAATACAAACAAACTTGGATAAGTTTTCTCTTGTAAATTGATTATAAATGGATCAAGAACTATAGATAAAGGGATTGAAGGCATGGTTTAGAATACTATCAAGAGATTCTACAATATGAAATGAATAAGATTTTCATTTGTTAATTCAATTAGCTAAATGGCAATTCTACACTTAAATAGATTATTACATTTTATATAATATTGGAGCCTCTGGAATTTTATTTTTTCCAAAGTATTCTAAAGCAGAAAATAAGAACTATATTGAAAATATAGCAACACATTCTCTAGGATCTGATGTAGCTGCTTTAAACGCATTATGCACTCTTTCTTAATATTATTGATATTGATTTTTTAACCAAATGCTATGTACAAGTCTCAAAATAGATATTTTCTCATCAGATTTTAATGTATTAGTGTTCTCCAGAATCTCCAATGCTTATTCTAACCATTGCTACATTATACCCATAGATTAAATTTCCAAAATGTAGTCAGGTGTAAGTGAATTAAATAGTTTCTCAACATTTATTAACATTTCAATATTATTTGCACTATGTTATTTCAGAATTGAAGTGAAAAGATCAACTAAGTGAAATTTACAGAATAAGATCATTAGATCAACCAAAGAATCTACTAATTAAGGATGTCTTTTAATTGATAAAAGTGTTGTTTAAAAACAAGATTCAACATACCACTTATAAATATCCTCCTTATATGAAATCTTATTATTATAGGCTTATATAGCAAAATTTCCAAGGGTTTTTATAGTTTCGATGCATACTTCTGGCGATTTAGATACCAACCCTGGTTTTAAGAGATTTAATGAAAAAGCTAATGCCTTGTCCTTTTCCATGGCAATCAAATTTTATAAGTGTTCTACAGATGAAAAGACATCCTTATAAATAGAAATTATTGGTTCATAAACTCTTTGAACTCCTTTTGTAACAATCTATGCCCAAAATTTAAAGTTTTCTGCATATAGTGATAATACCTGTTTGTATTAGAGATTTAACCATTTTGACAATAACTATGTAAAGTATTCCAAAGTATTTGAATCAGAGATTTGAATTTACTCTTGTGATTAGCTAAGGTTTAAATGGTTATAACCTTGTCCTGATGGTTACTATTCAGATAAAATTCTATTTCTCTGATTTGGTGATGTCTTAGATTTGCTTAATCTGGCTTATTGCAATTTTAGATAGAAGTCAAACAATTGATTTAGAGTATCTTCAATCACTTAAACATCTCCCATCAATATCAGTTTTTTAATATCGTTGTTTATGTCATTAGGTATTTGCAATTGGTTTATTGCACTTATGATTATGTTCCAGTTGTATAACTTGGTGGAAGCCGTGGTTAATTGTTTTAGTTAATCTAATTGTGCTATTGGAGTAAGAGTTCTCAATATATGGATGTTTAATACCTTTATGAAATCTCTGATTTTAAATTATGAATAGATTTAACTAACTTGCCTACTGCAATTCCATTTTCAATCAAGTTTTGCTATGATTCTGTTAAAATGATTGGATTTTTATTGGCTTGCTTGATTGTTTCAAACACTTTTAATGAGGATAAGTGATTATAAAGTGCATATGATAATTTCATAGTTATTAATATTGTTTATATCAATTAAATGAAACCAAAATCAATTTGCTATTTGTCTCAATCTGATCAAATTTGAATAAACTCCATTTTGAAGTGTCTGAGACTAGATATGAACTGCTAGATTGAATAAGAAAAGTTAGATTTTCATTTTGAGAGCCTGAAATTTGAACCAATCATGAATGGCAAGAGATTAAATGATTAATTATATTAAAACTCATATTAGTAATATAAAAAAAATTCAACATGTAATTTTTCGAGGTTGTTTGTGATCGTCATCAAATTATTCTATTGTAGTTTGGCTTTTCGATTTTATACTAGAGTTCTTCATGTATATTGAATAATAATTACTTCTAAAGTGGTTTAAGAAGTTCCTTTAGATCGACAGCCAATTTCATTGCCATCTAGTTAGCTTTTGGCAATGAAAAATACCATAATGTCGCTTTCTACTATAGTTTGATAGCTATTTTTATGATGGTTGATATTGTACCCAAAAATGCGATTTAAATAGTCTTGTAACTGAGATTTCCTCTCACGCAAATCAGTAGCATCGGAGATATTAACTAACTTTTTCTCAGGGAAATTTGGCAAAGGAAAATCAAGATGAATGCTTTTCAATTGCCTATGATAATCTCTAAGGTCTTAGAAGCGCTGAGTGAATTTCCAACTTTTGTTTGTAATAGTATCTGTTACTTAGATTGTATATAGGGCAGAATCATCGAAGATGATATGATCTTCAAACTTAAAAATATATTACTATCTAGAAATATTAGAAGTTTATACTTGTTTTGTAGCTCAATTTTCTTTTGGGGCAATGAAAATATTGAATCCCCATGTTTTGCTAAATAGGATTCTTTGAGTTATTGAATTTCTTGCCATCTTCTATCAATAGGCTGATCGTTTTGTTTCTGTCCGCCTATTTTGGGATCTTTGGGAAGCATCTCTTCCACCACTCCTAAACAATGTAATTCTGGGCAGGCAAGTATTTCATTGAGATATTATTATAATTCTCCTCTCTTTAAATACAATCAAAGTTTACTCGCTTGATGATGCTTTCTTCACTCTAATTTGTATGAAACAAAAACTTCTTTTTAGGAAAATGAATCAAGGGAATCTTTATTTTGAATATATGGATCCACTCTAGTATTTTTTAATGCATGGACTCCAATTCAGAATATCTTTTTTTTATCTCCTTAGGTTAACCTCCTTCCAAGTTGTACACACTTATTGTGTAGTATACTTTCTTATCAATTATATCATGTTTAGGTATTTTCACAGAATATCTTTGAACTGATTGTTTCATTTAATTAATTATAAATTCAATTTTAAACAAATTTTAGAACAATTACATCAGCGTAATCTATTCTGCAATCCTTCAATTTTCTCTCATTCTCTTCACAAAATGCTCCCTCTCATTCCCCAAATGCCTTATCTTATCAGACTAACTCAAGTTTTAAATCTAATATTTCTAGAATTTCTACAAGGTACAAATTTATTTTAAATAGGAAAGTATAAATTTTACATATCCATATTATCTTAAGAATAATAATATATATAAAGTCCAAGGACGCTTTATAATCATTATTTATTTCTTCAATAATTAATTTAAACCCATTAATTAAATGATTCAATAACAATTGTCAAAAATCTATAATTTAATTGTAATTCTAGAATTTACAGAATTTTGAATTTGGGTTAAATCCTAAGAATTAAATATAATTAAAACAACATAAATGAGGATTGCGAATGTGAGACAACTTGGATCATTTAGAATTCCTAAAGATTGTTTTATTGATTTCATATATCAAAAACTACTATTGGAATCAAATATTGTAGATTTTTGGTACTCCATTTTCACAAATTTATTAGAAGTTAAATAAGAGAAATTTAGTTATTAATACAAAAAAAAATATAGCAAATATTATTGAATTATGGGGAATGCCTGTAGATGCAATTAACACTCAGATATAATTAACGAGGAGCAAGAATCGAATAATCCAGAGGTATATCAAGCTAAAACTGACAACCCAGAGGATGACAAATGCGAGCAATAGCAATAGCTTTCAAAATGGCGAAACATTTAAGAAGGTTTAATTTACAATCTAATTGAGATGATAACCTACCACTTCCGGAGTTTAGGGAAGAAGTAGCAAAATCTAATAATGGAAGCCGAATTCAATTGTCTCCTGTAACAATGAAATCAGGGAATATGTAGAGTTTATGAACTAGCTTAGTTATGAGGGAGAATGGCTGAATTAGTAAAAGGATGGCAAAGGGAAGTTCACTTGGAAGGATGGCAGTTACTTTGAAGGAGATTTTGTATAGGATAAAGCATAGGGAATAGGAAAATTAGTGCATGTCAATGGGGATTCATACGAAGGAGAATGGAAGAATGATATGGCTCATGGTCATGGGGTTTTCAATCATTTTAGAGGAGTTAAATATGCAGGATAATGGAAATATGATCTTTAGGATGGAGAAGGACAAGAAACATGGCCTGATGGTACTGAATATAAGGGAACATACAAAGAGGGGAAGAGACATGGACAAGGACATATGCAATTTTAGGATGGTTCTAAGTATGAAGGAAACTTTGAGAATAACGAAATCTGTGGATTTGGCTGTTATACTTGGAAAGATGGTAAGCAATACAAGGGATAATGGTTGAATAATAAAATGCATGGTATTTTGAATTATCGAATATCTTAAAGGTCAGGGAGAATGTATTTGGAAGGATGGAAAAAGTTATAAGGGAGAATATGCAGATGATAAAAAGAATGGGTATGGAGTATTCACTTGGGCCAGTGGAAAAAGATATGAGGGATATTGGCAGGATGGCAAATAACATGGAGAGGGAATTATAATTAATGCAGAAGGAGTTAGAAGAGAAGGATAATGGGAGTATGGAAAACCAAAGAATTTAGATTGATTTATTTGTATCTATGACACTGTTAAAATTGAGAGATTAATTATATAATTATCTTAATATAATAAATTCAAAATGGATGATGTTGATGGGAATAATTTTGAATGTTTAAGCCAAGAAGGGTCATCTTCTTATTAACCTATGGATAACTTATTGTAAATCTATTAGGACAAAGTTGGCAAAAAAACAGAATAATAAAGAAGATTCTTCAGTGGATAAAAATAGGTTACAGAACCGATTGAATAATTAAGTAATAATGAGATTTCAAATTCTGACAGCAAGGCAAAGGGGAAAAACAAAGAAGCTGTTCAAATTTAACTGATCTCCTTTTATGAATAAAACCTCCAAAACTTAAAGTAGATGGTTATAGATAAGGATGAAGAGATCAAAATGAGGGATGAGAAGATCCTTGAACAATCCATTCTCATCAATCTCATAATCACTTAGTATAACAAGATTCTCAATCTATTATAATAGGAGAGGGATGAAATATTAGAGAAATACATGGGAGCTATGGATGAAATACAAAATCAAAGTCAAAAATATCAGCAACAATAAAATTAACAGCAATAGTAACTTCAATCTATGTAATAAAAAATCTAACACTAATTGCATTAATAATTAACACAACATCTACAAAATTTTTAAGTTCCAACAGACTATGACTCCAAATTAATAGAACTCCATGAAACCAAGTAGTAGGTCAACCATTATAAAAATTAGTGCATCAATCTAGAAGTCAAAGTAAAAGAAACAGAGGTGAAATTAGAAGATGCAAATTTAAGATTGAATGAAGCCTATATCAGAATTGATTTGCTTGAAAAGGAAGCTAGAAATGTTTCATAGTAGAATGTACAATTTTTGTGTTTGACTTATAGGTTATGCTTGATAAGTAATTTAAATCCTTGTTATAACAATTTGAATAGTATTAATAAATCTAGAAAAAGCAAAGTTAATAACTCTAATTCCGAGAAGCCACAAGCATGATGAGTAGTGCTTACAGCAATGCATCAAGCAGTGAATAATAGATTCTTCAGAATCTAAGTTAGAATGCTTCTAAACATGAAGGATTACAGGAGAATGATAATTTAATAAATGCTTACACATAATTTAAAAAATAGAACAGTATTAAATAATTCAATCAGATGTTAGTTTAATCTTAAATCAAATAGTAGAATGGCAAACAAGACCCGTAGTAAGTCACTTATAATCAAGGAGGAATTTTGAATTTTCCATCTGATTTTCGTACCTAGTAATAGAAGGATTTAGAGTTTCAATTAACCAGTTAGCTGAATGAATTGACAATAAAAAAATAAACTTTAGAAAGCGAATTAAATAAAAAGATCAACATATCAAAGAGTGCTTTGGAGAGAAGAAAAAGGGAATAGCTTGAGCAAGAATTAGATTAAATTTAAGATTAAATAAATAAAGTTAGATTAAAGTTAAGAGAAAATAAATTTATTTGATATATTTATACTTGTTTAGCATTTAAATTTAATTAGTGCTTAAATAATATATGGAAAGAATCAATTAAATTTGTTTATGTATATATTGTTCATATTATAAAATTTGAATATCATTTTTTTGTTTACTGTTACAACTTTTATTATTGCTTTTGTTACGCCTTCTCCAATAGTCCTTCTAGTTAGCCTTTTCTTTGAGCCATCTTAAAAAGTTCTAAAATGAATGGAATGTAGTTGTGCTTTCTTCTGGAATTTTCTTCCTAAGAGTGATAACTTTGGTAGAAGTACTTTATATTTTTAAAACTTTGCATTCTCTTCACTTAGTATGATTTGGGCCTCTTAAATTCTATTGTTGGCAAGAGTTAATCTATTTTATAATTCTTCTGAGGATTCTTGCAGTAATTCTTATTCAATATTCTTGGATGTATAATAGTATTACAATTTACTTATTAAGTTGAAAGTTGAAGTAATTGTTATTTCTAATCTTCAGTTAAATCGACTCCGATGAATTCCAAGGTTTTGAGACTCTAGAATATTTCATTTTAAGACTATAAAATTATGTTATTTGCCTAAATAGATTATTGGCAATACTTTGAATTTTCTACATTAATTGACAGCCAACAAAGTGAAAGCAGTTTCCTTTTCTTAGTAGTGTTGGATCCTGGTTAAGATAGCTTCCTTTGCTCTGACTATCCAATCATCTTGATATTCGCCTATCAAGATGGGTCCATCTTGGAGACCATCTAATTCATACACTTTTCCTTTGAAGGGGATATAAGAGACAAAGTGAAATACATCATCGCCTTCCTAGAATAAAGAGGGGGGAGACTTACCTTAGCTTTTTTCTTATCGTTAGAGAAGATGAAGGGTTCTGGTCGAGCAAAGCTGTTGTGAGCCGTCTTAATGATATCGACTGCACCTAGGCAGTTGCCTCTTTCTTTAGGATCTAGAGCAAGGGCAAATTCCTGGATGATGAACAGTGTATTACTTTATAATTTTTGAGTGCTTCTCCAATTTCAATTTATGGGCAATTGAGTAAAATAGAAATGATGGCTTGGGTTGCACATGCATTTTAAATGACTTAGTTGGCAAAGAAGAGATCTTGATCATAAATTTTGAGAGATTCTCTTTTTTCGCCTTTGCTTGTCCATCGGAATAGGAAGATGAATCCATAAATTGGTTGCATTTAGGCTATCTATTGTTCGTCATTTAGGTCGTAGATCTCTTCTACTTGAACTCCTTGGACTCCGATTGCGTTGATGAGCTCAGTGAAAACTCCAGGGTCGGACTCGATTGTACACCACTCTTGCATAAATTATTATATTTATTTATTAATTTGGATGGATAAAGAATAAGTGATACCCACTCTGCAGCAACAAGAAAAGGAGTTGGAGAAGAAGCGTGGTGGAAAGGGTTTGGAAGAGCACTTCAAATTGTTTAATGATCTTTTGAAATTGAAATAAGCATCCTACACGAAGGCCATAATAATGCTGATAGTCGCCTTTATCCATCATATAATGAGTTAAATTCGACAGTACCGTAATCAGTATATTCAGATACAAGAACGTGATAAATCTCCACTATTCATCGGAGTCAACAATTCTTAATTAAATAATCGATTCCGGCACGTACTTCGACATTCAGGGTTTACTAAGACAAGACATTACGATTAATTACATAATGTTATCCATATTTTTGCTTGCCACGATCGGTAACACCCTATTATATTTCATTCTTTACATACTACAATCGGATGATTATCGAGTGAGAAAGAAGTTCATAGGGAAGGTACTAAATGCTACTATCTAGAAATTTGTGCAATTGTCTGAGTGGTACATTTGGATATTCCATTATCCAGCCTTGGTAGTCTTTTTTGAGAACATCGTTTGTGGTCCTTCCATGGATTGTTCAATGAATGCCGAGAGGAAGATCTTAATAGCCGTTTCCATATTAGGGTATTACTTAATATTACATCAGAGTGTGTTTCGGACTCTTCAACATATTTTTCTTGAGTGTATTCTTCCATAATGACAGCAGTCAGAAGAAGGATTGTTTCAACACAGAGAATTCCCTCTATTTAGCAATGTTTCATATATTCAGAGCTTTCCAGGCCTTTTTAATTTCGTTTAGGTATCAATTAAACCATAAACTCTATAGTTCCAATGAGTACTCTTATCTATGGGTTATGATGATCTGTATATTTTTGGGGTATTCTTTCTTTCTTATAAATTGCTTGTTCTACAGTGGATACATGGCTTTTGCCACTTCTATTACACGTAACACATTTCTAATCTTACTCATTATAATGGTCTCATCTAGTTTTTCAATGATGATTGATGAGTTGTATCGTCAGAACACTATTGAACAATCATTCGAGAATTTCAGTCTTTTTTTCACTTTGTCATTCATATTTTTAGTTTGTTGCTTTGTTTACAATTTGAGAAACTCCAATTACGAAGACATCAACTATGAGAAAGCCAGTGACACTGATTTTTCGAGATAAGTATTTGTAGTTAACTCATTGCTCGAAGTCACTAATTAAGATATCAACGTAGACTTGTTTTTTAAAGGCATCTTACAAAGACATATGGAGTAGGAGTGTCGACATACCATAATATAGGGGGAAGGCAGGTGTTTTTGTAAGAAGAAGAAAACTTTTGATTCCAAGAAGAAGAAGGAAGTAATGTTGGATGATTGGCTTATTCATAAGACTATTTTTGTAAAGTTCCTGATAAAATCCTGGATGGAAACTAAACTGATGGACAATCCTAATTCAATTGAGTTGCAATTGCTTTATGCTAGGTACATGTTCTTTAAATTTCAAAATCATTAAATTTCATTGCATATATTGAATGGTTTAGAAAAACGGTTTCTGTTTGTCATCAATAGATATAAGGCCTATCAATTGAAAATGAAGATTATACGATACATTAAACATAGGAATCAAGAAAGTTATAGGGAGAGATTGGAAATTTAGAATGCCTTATTCATTGAAGATCTGATTGAAACAATTAAAAAGAACATTAATCAGATAATGATACAAAATTGTGCATTTTGGAAATGTTTATAGAAAGAAGTGATTGACCTATAGGAATTGGATGAGTTACTCAAGAATTAATTTGAGAAGATTGAATACACAAATAATTTATGGGTGTAGATTCAGAATTATTTGGATTTCAAGAAAAAATGGAAATTTTATTATGCTTGGTTCACTCTCTATATATAGAATAAGAAATTAAAAAATAAAATATTAGATAACTTCTAGGGATTGTCAGTGAATGAGAATGATATCTTCTCTGAAGAAGTCCAAGAAAATAATTTAGAAGAAGACATAGCTAGTGTGAAATCAGATCAAGAACAAAAATTGGATATGGATAAAATTGATATAAAAAGCAAGAAGATTATATTTGATAAAAAAGCATGCATTATACAAACGACTGATGATCCTGATGCTCTAATCATCAAAGTCAATAAACAATTTACAAAGATCTTTGGATATACTCATGAAGAGGTTTCAAACAAATTTCAAATCACTCAATTGATGCCTGACATATATTCGAAGGTACATCCATCCTTGTTGAATGATTACAAAATGACAGGCAAGGGACATGCCTTGTATTCTTAAAGGAAAGTCTATTGCATCCATAAACAAGGGTTCATGTTCACAGCCCAAAAGTTTCTAAAACTATATGTGGATTTGAATGGATAGTCACAATTTGTCGTAATGATTAGACCCACTGATTTAAATAATGAAAAAAAGCATGATGTAATAATATTGAATTAAGACTGGGAAATCAATGGGATGACTCCAAATGTGATCTAATCATTATAAATAGATTAGTCATTGTTCTAGAAATAGAAACTGCAAACCTTAATCAATATTTTGTTATTTGCACCAAAGTTAATATAATTTAGTAGAGCATGTCAATTGATAAATGAAGAAACTGACTTAGAATTGTTTGGGATGCAGAAAATTAAAAAGAAAAAAGAAGAACCTTTGGGGAAATCAGTTAAACGTGTTAACAACATGCCAGGTTAGTTTAAAATATAGGTCAACATGACAAATTCTAGTTCTCATAATCTAATTCCTGGGAGAAGTGGAATCACCTCATCCGGTGAAGTTGACCTCTCATCAAATTATTTGCAGATGCAATCTTTAGATGTGCCAGATGATAACAAACAATTTCTATAATAATAGAGTAATGCTAGTGAGAGGAATGATGTTCAAGACTTTAAGAATTAAATCGATTAGTATTCTGAAATGCAGAAGGATATAAATGAATAGTAAAATAAAAAGGTTGATGAATAGATTAAGAAAATGTATGAAACATAGTTCCAGAGCAATTATAAAAGAATTTAAACCAAATTTGAAAGTAATGTTCATGTTGCAGGAGGAGACTAGAGTGATGACAACATGAGCAAGGATGAAATTGTTAAATAGAAAGGCCAATTTGTTTTGGATGGTAAAGTAAACAATGGAGAACCCATTTCTTTTCATATGAAACTATCTGATAAGTTTTTGGCTGCATGTAAGCACTACACTGAATCTAAATACAAACTCTATTAGATCAAGAAACAATAAGATGATGTAAATGTATATACATATTCAAGCATGTTAAATAAGAGGAGAAGCAAGACAAGGAAAGGGAAAAGGACAAGGGCAAATTGAAAGTGAATGATAAGAAACTATTTGTGAAACAAGGCACTTAGTAAAGAGAATTCAAGAAAAGAGCTAGATTAATGTTTTAGAAAGCAGCTGAAAGAAGAAAGAATGATGAAGACAAAGGGTATTATGAATTGATAAAAGAGATATACTAAGATATCTTGAAAGATCAATAAAAAGTTAAGTCATTTAAAATTATTTGCACAATCTCATTCTATAAAATAAGAGATGAACGTATTGGAATCATGAAAGTATCCAACATTTCAGAAATACTCAAAAACAAAATTCGTCAAAATGTTCGTAAACAATCTTATATGATGTTAAATAAAGGACTCTCTAGAGGTAACTTTTATATATATTATAATCATTCCTAGATATGTCAAGACTTAAGAGTATACAAAACATAGATGGTGCAAAATACTTAACCATGACTAGTGATGGAGAAAGCAAAATAGTTTCACCTCATCAACCATAGTCTTCTCCAACCAATTCAAATGTCAAAATCAAAGTAGCCGCTAAGTCAAATGGATTGGGATATTAACTATAAAAAGAGGACAATTTGGAAGACTCGGAAGACAAGGATGCTTTAGTTGACTTTAAAGGACAACCGAAAATGATCAATTGGGATACCTTTCAAAATCAGTTTAAGATGCAATAAGGCACTTAAAGCTTTTCTTTAAACGTTCTTGATAACATATTTAGGAAAGAGGATAATAATAAGCCCAGGAAATTACTAGTCAAAATCTCGTATCTCACTTGGTTTCTGCGATTCATGTATGTTACAATCTTAGCATTAAATTTAATCACTTACTTTCTTAAACCTTATTCAGTAAGCTTATGATTGTATACCTAGGACTTTTTACCAATTAAAACTTAATCCGCTCGTATCTTACAATTATCGCAAATGCAAACCTATATAATTGAAGCCTATGACACAGTTATGGATTTGCTACTCTACAAAAATGCGGATTTTAAGAATTTACTAGTCGAAGGAGTGGCCCTTGATACTCAGGATAAATTCTTCACTTACCAAACCCTATAAATAGATTAGGGATACGAATATTTAAAATTATAAATTAGGGATCTGAATTTACAAGAAACCTTTTTAGATGAATCAATATTTCATAGTAATGCTATTACTGATCAGACTATTGCTGAAATTCAGAATGTGTCCATTGTCTTAGATTACAAGGATGTGTTTACAAAGGTAATCCTAGTTGAACATCAAGTGTCCATTCTATCTTCTGAGGAATTGATTCAACTAAATGAGTCAAATTCCTTGGTGAAGTATATGAGGAATGTCACTGTTCCCACTCTCTATTTAGAATTTAATGATGCTGTCTTGCTCTTGGAAGATATCCTTATCAATAAATCAAGTTCGATGTCTGATTTTGTGATCATTATTCTGATCTTGGAATCTTGCATTTTTATCATTGGTTTCTTTGGATTATTACTAATCATCTTATGGATTTGTCAGACCTACAAGGCAGTACTTAAAATGTTTATTATGATCAAGAAGAACGATTTAAATAAGATTGTCAAACAATAGTAATTTGTTTAAACTTAATTCCAATACATACTAAATAAGGATGATGAGATATCGGGCATAATTCAATAAAATGATAAGAAACTCTAAATCAATCCTAAAACTAATTTCTAATAATAATAAAATTTCCTACTAATTAATGAAGTTGAAGACTAAAACCTTACTAAAAGAAAGGACAAGCAGATTCTTGAAAAGTAATTACTTAAAAAATTAACAATTAAAATGTCCTTAATCTATATCTTATATGTGTTGTTTTCATCCTCTGCATCCTTAGTATTTTTCTTAACATTAAGCGACTCCTCATAATAGATTACCAAATTAATTTCTACTGGTGCAGACTCCATTTAAGATTTCAGTGATAGTTAACTTTTATTAGTTTCAGTCAAAGAGAAATATTTCAACCCTGATTAATATAATTAAAATTGCTTAGAATAAATTTCGACAATTTTACAACAACAAATTACTGATATCAAAAGCACTCCTTCTATTGAGAATCCAAATTATGGCACATATTATACAAGTTTCCAATCTATTTATTTCGGAAATTTATGTTAGTATCTTTAGGAAAATTCTTATTTGGATACAGTGGCTGCTGATGATTGTTAGACTATTTTGAATGGTAAACTAAAACAAGGAGTAGTAGCATTTAATTAATTATATTCATCCGTCACTGAAGGTAATAGTTCATTTATATTAAGATTACGTTTTGAATAAGGAGACTAGATTTGGGTAGATCAATTTGGAAACTATTTGGCAATATAATGTAGCCATAGATTACATCAAATCTGCCTTCAAAGCTTTACTAACTTCTTGGTCTAATGATCTAGGGAATCTAATTGATCAATACTTTACTCTAATACTTGTTTTGTTGATTGTCATGGTAGTATTTTAACTACTAGTATTTATAACCATAGCAGAAATGTATTTAGTTAATCAATTGAATAAATCATTTCAGTTCTATAGGAAAATATATAAATCTTATATGCCAAACGATATCATACAAAAAGAGAAAATTATTAGAGCATCACTTATTAAATATAGTATTATTAAAAGATGACCAACTAAAATATATATGATATTATTATATATAATTTATATAATGACCTACTTGAGTTTGAATATTAAAAAATGTACATAAATTAAATATAGATCATTTTGACTTCATTTGTAAATTCAACGACTTAAAGATATATAAATATATTATAAAAATTAAATTAAGTTTTATATTGAAAATACTAAATATTTATAGTAATTTAATTACTCAAATTAATTTCTTTCCATTTTTTGTTTAATGGTAATCGTTTCTAAAATAATTTTTAAAATATCTAATCCACTGTTTAAATAAACGTGACTAATTTAAACTAAATCACTAAAAGGACTTAATTGTTTAAACCGAATTTATTTTCTTCTTATTTTACTCAACTGTTAATTATGATTGACACTATTAAATATTTTTTTGTGTTAATAAGAAAAAAATGGACTTAATGAATAAACTTACATTATAATTTAAGGCTGCAGATATTGAATTAAAATATTAAAAACAGTCCATTTAAAAATCACTCAGGCCTCTACATTTCGGTCTCCTTTTAATGTCATTATTATTGAATACAATACAGATAATTAAGGTAACAACTAGGGAATCGTTTTCAATACCAATTATCAACATAACTTTTGTTGCCCTCTCAATTTTAAGTTTTTTCATTGTTAAGAAAAAGGAGACTCTAACATAAAAAATAATGACTATAGAAAATGCTTATATCTTATTACTTTAGTTGAATTTTACTGCGAGTAATATCCATGGCTAAGAATACTATTTATATGGGAGCAGCTTTTCTTTGATTTAGGCAGTAACATACTTTGCTACAGATTTTTATTTAAGTTGTCCTTCTGTTATTCTTCATTTGATATTCAGATTAGTTGTGACTACCTTTTATGCAGGTAGATTTGATTTCGTAGGTTTGGGCCTTACTATAACTACAGCAATATTTTTAATAAGCGTGTTGTATATATGTAATAGGGCACAAAGGTAGTAATTTTTAATGAATTACAAAGAAGATACAATTAATTATCAATTACAAACATTAATCAATAAGCCTTTTACAAAAATTATTTACAATGAAAAGAAGCTCTAAATAGATGTGCATCAAGTCAATTAAGAGCATTAATTTTTGGGATACAACCAAAATTTGTGTTATGGTTGTAACATTAGGAATTTTATAAGAAATTGTAAAGTTGGCGACAGGATCCTAGAGAAGTGGATAATTCATGATTAAAACAGTATAAGGGGCAATTGCCTTGCGGTTGTAAAAAGAAACAAAATAAAAATCAGACTTTGCTAATTCAATACAGATAATAGTTTGATTTTAATTTTGGAGAACTCGAAATTGGAATCTAAGAAGAAACAAGTTCCTTAAATTGTATCAAATCAATTAGTAGAGCAATTTTCTAATTGTAAGAAAAACCTTTTAAATATGTAATTTAAATTCGGAGTCATGTCAATTTTAATGTTAGGTTAATATAAAATAAAGACAATAAATGTTGTTAAATTGTTGAATAAATTATTAAACACCTACGTTTTTTCTGGGACAGTGACTTTGAATTTAAATGGCAATAAAATTGTAAAATTAAAGACCTATGCCTAATTTTTTAAAATATTCTTAATTCAAGTATTCAACATAATTTAGGATATGGAGTGCAATTTAAATAGTTTTCATGAAATAAGTATGAATAATTTTGACAATTATCTTGCTTTTCAGGTAAAACTGTCAAATAAGTACTAATTTTTGTAATTATACTAAAAGAACTTCTTTATCAGGTACACCGAATAGCACTTGTTGGTTACTCCTTTGAATTTGGATTTGGTATTTTATTTCAATAAATTAATTCCATTTGATGAAACGAACTCTTAGTTATGAGACTTGATAATTTAATTTATATAATAATTTTAGTATAAATGACAGGTTTTGGTATGGGAGGGCGTGTTTTAGTCGCAGAAGATGAAATCAAGAATAAAGTTATTTCTTAAAAATTAAATTAAAAGAAAAATTGCAATAATACTTTTGTTGTTTTTGATATAGTAATACAGAAATAAATTATATATAATATATTTAATATATGAACAATCAGCCTGTGTATATGTCAGTAGAGCAAATAAATGCTTTATTTTAAAGGGATTCGACATTCGAGATGAGAGACGATCGTATCAATTCGTTCTAGAATGATTTGAAGAAAAATGAAGTAATATGTTGAGTAAGTTAAAGACTTGGAAGTCTGAAAGTGCTGAGTGCGAGGAGAACAGACCGACGAATCAAAGTGAGAGCATGATGATGAGTAAGAATGTCCTTGGTTATAGTTTTTAAGTAACGAGAGAGGAGTACCAGGGTCTGCAATAGGAATACGAGAGACGCAAAGATATGGAGGAGAAGTATAAGGAGGACATAAACAGATTGATGAGGGAACTCAAATAGAAGAGTGCAGAACTGGAGAGTGTCAAGAGAGATCAGGATATACTGTGTGAATAGAATTAAAGAAGAGAGAGTATTGATTATTTATTAAGTGGGAAGCCATCCTACAGAGTCTGAGATCGCAAATACAGGAGGCCAACAGTCGGGAACAGAAGGCGGTGATAGAGTTGGCTGAGATGCAGGAGTAACATCTGTAGATGAAGCAGTAATTGGAAATAGTTTAGCAGAAATACAATTATTTGTAGAAACAACACAAATTCGAAATTGATAGAAAGGAGAAATAAATTGATTAGCTGAAGAGTTAAATTGTATCTTTGAATGAGGATAACGAAAAGTTGAAGAATGAACCTTAGGCTGGGATTCTCTATCTCGATTCTTAGAGGGTGTCGTAGGAGAAGATACAAAATTAGTGGGCACAATTCAATTCGAGTGCTTATAAGAGTAGCATTTAATTTCAGAAGGAAAAGCCAGTGACCTAGATTTAGTTTAAGAGCAACTACGATTCAAAAGTCATTTTCGGAAAAAAGTCTCAAAATTCATTAAAATAATAGCAATCATAATCTGATTTGTTGTCAAAAGGATAATGAGTTTAATATTATATATTGCATAATTAACAATTGGGTTTGTATTACGGCATATGATTAATTACAATTTGTATTAAAATTTTGGTTGTGATTATAAACATTAGTGTTATTGTGGTGTTTTGTATCTCTCTAGGGAAGTGTATGAAGAGAGTGCATAATTAATAAATAAAACAAATACATTTATATTAAGATTTAAATGCCTCCTAAAAAGGAATAACAAGAAGAGAAGAAGAATAAGTTGGGAAGACCCAGCAATACTCTCAAGATGGGTATTGTAGGTATGGCAAATGTGGGTAAGGGATGCATTTATGAAAAATAGGAAAATCGACCACATTTAATACTTTGTGTAAATTGAATGTTCCAGCTGAAAATTATCCATTCTGCACAATAGATCCAAACAATGCCAAAGTCCCTGTTCCAGATGAGAGATTTATTAAACTATGTCAAATGCACAAACCAAAAAGTGAGATTCAGGCTGTCTTGAGCATAGTTGATATTGCTGGGTATTAATAAAATAATACTAAAATAGATTGGTACCAGGAGCACATAAGGGAGAAGGATTGGGGAATGCTTTCTTGTCACACATAAAAGAATGCGATGGAATTTATCATGTAGTGAGAGCATTCGAAGATGAGAATGTTTGTCATACTGAATTGTCAGTTGATCCAATTAGGTAGAATAGACAACTATTTCATTAGAGATATGGATATCATTTCTACTGAGTTGTTGTTGAAGGATTTGGAATTCTGCAACAATAGATTGGCTGAAACAGAACACGTAATTAAGAGAAACAACAATAAAGATGCTAGAGAAGAAAAGGAAGTCTTGGACAAAGTCAAATTGTTGTTGGAGAATAAGAAGTGGGTAAGAACAGGAGATTGGAATTTCAAGGAGGTTGAAATATTGAATAAATACTATTTCATTACAGCAAAGAATGTAGTCTATTTGGTGAACCTAAGTCAACAAGATTTTATGACTAGAAAGAATAAATGGTTGAAAGGTATTAAGGATTGGGTTGATGCCAATTGTCCAGGAGATATTATACCATACAGTGCAGATTTGGAAAAAGCTATTTTTGAAGAGTAATTCATTTTATTCTAAATTAAGAACTTAAGCAGGTACCATAACATAAGAGAGATCAAAATTATCTATGTTGCCAAGGATCATCAAAACTGGATACAAAACTTTAGATTTGATTTATTTCTTTACTGCTGGAGAAGATGAAGTCAGATGTTGGACCATTAGAGCAGGAACCAAGGCTCCTCAAGCTGCTGGAGTTATCCATACAGATTTTGAAAAGGGATTCATTTGTGCTGAAGTTATGAAGTATGAAGATTTTGTCCATTTGGGTACCATCACAGCAGTCAAGGCTGAAGGTAAGTATAGACAATAGGGTAAGGAGTATGTTGTAGAAGATGGAGATATCTGTTTCTTCAAATTTAATGTTGGAGGCGGAGGCAAAAAATGAGTGTTAGAATATTAATATCACATTAAGTATATTAAATAGATAGATTGCTATAATATATATTTAAATGTTGTGTGTCAAATCTATTGTTAATCTTGTACTATAGTTTCTGTAGTTGAAATGGTTCCAATTTCCAAATGATATTGAGACAATTTAGACTCTTCTGACATAAATGGATGGTTAACTTAGTCACAGGTGATGAAATCCTGACGCGATTGAATGTATTTGAATGGGAAGGAGTGTTCTATTCTTGTGACGAATCCCTTAATCTATTAAGTTAATTGTTACTTTGGATAATTTCATTATGAAACCATCAAATAATTGATATTCAAAGAATGCAAAAAGAGTTGCTGCAATTAGGTCCAATCTAGGGTATTCGATTAAGTTCATGATCAAGAAGAATGCAGCAGGGTAGTATTTTGATGGGACATAAAATGGAAAGCAGAGGAACTTCTAATAATCATCCTAATCTGTGAGTCCTCTAAATTACAAGATAGAACATACTTATTCAACATGTAAATAAAAGTGATATTCCAAAAGCCAAAGGACTCTGTATCCATTACTTCAATGCTTAATTCTGAAAGTGAGAAACACAACAAAACATAAATAGTCTATTTATATATTTTAAATACTTGTATGATCAGATTCGTAAAGAATATATCACAAAAAAAGGGTATAGTACCATAACTTTTTTCTACTTCAATGGCACAAAGCAAAAATCCCAACAGACTTATGATTAGATTATAGACATTGCCTATTGTCTATTGATTCTATTTATACCATGAAAGAATTATGGAATGAGCAATCTCCACAATTCGAATTGATGGATTGTTTTATTAGGGACATCCACAAAGAGATCGAATAAGATATCATTTGTAAAGACATCAAGGGTGCAGCATAATATACTGGATATCAGGACGAATTTGGTTCCGAAGGTAATGCTTTACCAAAGAGCATTAACTTTATCTATGATTAGCATTGTTAATGATAATTTTATATTTTAATATTCAATATTTTTGTTTGATACTAAATGCATGAATGTCCAAAATCTCACATAATTGAGTCACTATACTCAAGATACAATGGAAATAAGATAGAAGTGAAAAGGCTAATAGAGTGAAGATCAACTTGACTTCATCAAAATAGCATAAGCCATCGGATGTAAAATAATGAGAATACAAATTTATTATGATTGCTCCCAGTGTAATTGACCAGGTGAATGAAAATTGGTTGAAATTCTAAAATAATTTGATATTATTAATTTACTTCTTTGGTTATGATTGCTAATTGCCAGATGTTTATGATCTTAGACCATTATAATCCAATAGTGAGCATATATAAATGGAACCACTTAGATAAAACATTTGTTGGTGACAAGTAGATTAAACTCATGAAGGTGAATACAACTGCAATTGGTAAGTGCAAACTATTCAAGATTTTGATGATGTTCCAATTCATTAGCTTGAATACTAGATAACAAAACTAAGCTATAGTGATGGTGCATGCAACGATAGTGATCAATAACAATATTGTATTATATTATAAAGTGATTCCATTGAATATTTCTATTTAATTTAGCCAAAAATCTGAAGAGTTCAAAGCTGTAATCAGAAAGAACAATTGAATAACAGGCAAACCTTCATCTACTCCATTGATTACTCCCAATTAAAATACTCCAGTATGTTATTAGCAATACACTCCAAAAAAGAAACCGCCGAATCCAACTCCAATTGCTGTCAACATCGAAAATGGTGTAAAAGCAATCTTAAAAGCACTTAGATACAATTATCCTGTAATCCAAGCAGCCGTACAATCACTTCCATGATCCATGAGCATTCCCAAGGCTGTTGATTATTAAGTCCTTCTTGCTTATTTTCCATCTGCGTTATCTAAAGTTTAGTAAATGAAGATAGTCAAAGTGATGTACAAACTAGCCCATTGTGGCAAACCCTAATCAAACATGGGATTCAGATATAAACTCAATAGGTAACTAGATAATAATGTACAAAATCCAGTAATGGTAATTACATTTGGAGCAACTGTCTTAGGCAAATGATCAACCTATTAATAAATCTTAGTGTAATACAACAAATTAAGCTATATCTCCTAGGATCCAATTGTATAAAATAGAGAAATTCTATCCGTTATATTTGAACTTTCTCAAATTTTCAAAGTATTATTCTTTTACATACTTTTACAACATTGAAAATAAAATTATAAGTTGATAATAAAAATTAAATAAATTAGTGCTAATTAGTCAGAAGTCAGCATCCATAGTAAATACTTTATCTTATTTTTTGCTCATGACTCCAGCTTTTTGATAGTCTCCCACTCTTCTTTCGAAGAAATTGGTTTTACCTTACAATGATATCATATCCATCCAGTCAAAAGGATTCTTCGAATTGTAAATCTTGGGAGCACCCAAAGCAAATATCAATCTATCTGCTACGAATTCAATATATTATTTCATCAAATTGGAATTCATTCCAATAAGTTCAACTGGTAAAGCTTCACTGATGAATTCTTTTTCAATTTCAACAGCGGATGAAATTATTTCATGAATTCTTTGATTACTCAATTTATTAACTAGATGCTTGTATAGAAGACAAGCGAAGTCTGTATGAAGTCCTTCATCCCTTGAAATTAATTCATTTGAGAAGGTGAGTCCAGGCATCAATGATCTTTTTTTGATCCAAAATATAGCACAAAACGAACCAGAAAAGAAGATGCCTTCAACAGCAGCAAAGGCAATCAATCTTTCAGCAAATGAATCATTATCATTTATCCATTTCATGGCCCACATGGCCTTCTTTTGAATAACAGGCACATTGTGAATTGCATGCAGAAGATAGTTCTTTTCATTTTCATCGGTTATGTACGTGTCTATCAAAAGAGAATAAGTTTCTGAATGTATATTCTCCATAGCTATCTAAAATCCATAGAAACATCTGGCTTCAGGAACTTAAACTTCTGTACAGAACTATTAGGCCAGGTTTTCATTCACAATACCATCACTGGCTGCAAAAAAGGCTAGGACATACTTAATAAAATGCTTTTCATCAGCTGTAAGCTTTTCCCAATCTTTAAGATCCTAAAATTTTATTACTCAACTAGAATACCTAATATAAATCGATTTCTTCTGCTGTCCAAAAACTTGCTTTGTGTTGTTTATACATGTTCCAAATGTCATTGTATTTGATGGGGAAGAGTACAAATCTATTGGGATTTTGTTTCAAAAGTGGCTCATCGCATTCGTTCTAATTTAGAACTGCCTGACTTGCCTAAACATTAGATAGGAGATTGAATGTTTAAGTCTTAGTGTTGCCGCTCAATTCTTGATTTTAAATGATCATTTTTTGTGTTTCAAATTTAAATTATTATTTTATAATATACTCGAATTTTGGTTTAAAAGGACAACATTATGTGTATAATAATATTTATAATTTAAAAAACGGCGGTTCACTTCTTGTTTTATAATAATTTCAATAACTCAGTAACAGTACTCCTATCATCTAAATAGGTGTACATTGCACCTATCAAAGCATTTGATAATCCCTGTTGAAATCCCTCTTGATTGTATAAATTTACTAAATTCTTTACTGCCACATCCATCGCATTAGTCCTTAGTTAATCACATAGCAGAGCAACCACTTAAGCCCTTTGATCATTCAATACTTTAATTAGCAAGTCTCTCAATTTCACAAATATCTCGTCATTGTTAAAAACCTATTGTATCAAAAGATCCTTAGTCAATACAAAGGTCTTATCATATAGAAAGGATAGGTTGCCCAATTTACATAATTATTTGGCTACATTATGTTAAGTTGATTCTTTATTATCTATTCTTACAATCAGCTCTCCTAACATTTTATTTATGCTCTCTTTCCTCAGGACTTCATTAATGACAATCGAGGACCCTGTGATTGGGGGTTTGGGTTCCGATTTCTTCTATTGCTCTTTCAATTGGCTTTCCAAATGGTTTAAATATCCTTATGTAATATTCTGCCAATAATAAGACAAGTAAGATATTGTTGTAAATGACATTAGTAAGTAGAAGTGCACTGACTTTACTTTTGACAACAGAACCAATGAAAATTTCAATTTATTTTTTGTGTTGCTTAAGACATACATATTGTTGCTGAATGAATGAGTTTCTGTTGAATATTTGTATAAATCTTGATAGAGCAATTAATGATTCTGGTGATGCAAACTTAGAAACCCATTTAAAAGTGACTTTAACATAAAATATAATTAAAATTATCATTATTTTAGTAACTTTTCAATTTCTTCGTAATGATTATACATTTCCCAATAAGTAATGAAACCCTTGCTAAACAAATCGATTTCATGATAAAGTCTAAAATATACATATAAAAATCTATTACATTTCTCCCTATAATCGATCATTCATTGCATTCATAAAATTATCAATATTGACCACTCCATTCAATCTATTATATAATCCTTTAATCGGATTCACGTGTTACTCTTTCTCAATGCAAGTATCCTGTAATGTTTAACCCAACTCTTCCAAACTAATCCATCCATCCTCATCATGATCCGATAACTTGAATAAAGACTCTAAATCTAATTATGCATTTGGAATAGATATTTTGGCATTTTCTATTAATTAATACTAATTCAATCTTTTAGTAAATCGATGATGAACCAAATAAGTAAATAATTCTTCTGCTGTCACTCCACGTATTTCTAAGCTCTTCACTATTTGAGATTGATCAGTCTTCAAGTTTATTAATTTTGATTATTCCAAAGGTTATGGTTCCTCCAATAAGCAACACTCTTTGAAATGATATCTCGGCTTTTCAGGCTTCAGAAGTGTCTTCCAATCTGTAAATAGACCTTGATAATCAGGGAGTGCGATTTGTTTATAATTCAAACTAACCAATTAAGGTAAACTATAAGATTCTTTTGATACATAATGCTTATCTGATTGCATATAATGTTAAATTTCAGCAACGTTGTATTATAAGATACACTCACTTCGTTAATCGCTTTAATTCAAAGGAGCCTAAGATACAATTGTCTAAAATTCCATTTTGACTGGAGTTAAATCCTCATGAAAAGGATCTATTACTGAATTTGCTGTATTGAAAATAAGAACTTATTGTTCTGGTTTAACTTCTTGAATTTCATCTAATATTTTTAATTCATCATTCTCCTTTTGTTCTATTTTTAAATTCTCGAGTTTCTCCATTTTCTTATGAGATTCCATCTTTTTATTTGATTCTTCTTTCTACTTCTTTTTAAAATCTAAATTTGATCTGCTGGGTGACCTTATTGAAGGATTTGAACACATAGATGTATTCCATTCACATCTCTCCTTTGATTTCACTTTTCTCAATACAACGGGTGCTCCTTAAACTTTGTCGGGAGATGTTTTTTTTTCTTTTAAGAACTTTCTAAGTTCTTATTATAAATCGTTCAGATCATTCTTCTTCTTATGTTTGGCTATTAATTCAATTAATTTCACGTTTTCGTCCTTGACCATTTACCTTAATTATAGACGATCTTCTTTCATTATTTCTACAATACACAACAATTACTAATACTTGTGCATTTCTCTATGGCTTAGATTGTTTCCAATTACTCATTCTTTCTAGATTTATTAGAGACTTTAAGCATTTTTAACGGATAATTAATATATAAAACAAAAAATAACTAAAAGTAAAAATTTCAAACAATCCCAAATTATTCCTACCTTTTTGCAATTAATTATAACTCCTTAAGAAATGTCAAGTTTTACAAAGTGAGTTCATCATTCTGTTATTCAATTATTTCATTTTACTTTTGAATTCGCTCCTTTGCTGATCGATACTTCTCATTAACTTATTCTAACTAAAAAATTAAATATAAAATAATATAATTACCTTCTCTGAATTCTATTTAAGTTGATCTTTTAATGATTCGACCTACTTTTGATATTCCGTCTAGCTTTTACTTTATACTCTATCCTTGTTGTTTAAATCTTATTCCAATTATTTGATCAGCATCTTCAGTTTTGAATTTTCAGTTTCAAATCTATTGCATTATTCTTTTAATTGGCTTGATTATGTTTAGTATTGTACCACCTAACATTTACATTAAGATAACTCTTGTTCTAAGGTTTTTAACTTGTTGCTAGTAAATTACAATTCATATGTCAATTTATCATTTTTTCTCGTATGTTCTTTCACTTGATCATCTAATTGAGCTATAGTGGTATTTTGTTCGACATATTCTGGGATTTCATGAAACTAAGTATTGGTTGATCTTTCAATTTTATTAAAATGCGAAAATTCAACCTTTTCTTCCAATTGTTTAGCCTTTTTGAATGTTTATTGATATTTATTTTCTAAGATAGAATTTTGGATTTTATAATTTTCAATTTCATGATTCAATTTTTCATTTTAAACTTGAAATTAGGTAATTTGCTATACATTTTCTTTTAATTTAATAATTTCTTATTTTTATGATTCAAATTATTCTTCTAAATACTCATTTTCATTTTTAAGTTAAATAATTTAGGTTTTCAACTTCTTTAGTTCTTCTGTGTAATTAGATTTCTCATTTGTCAATAGAGTGATTTAATCTTGGAGTTGAGTATTCTTGATTTTTTATTGATCAAGATCTTTGAGACTCTTTTCATATAGTTCTTTGGTTAACATGGCTTCATAATTGGAGAGTTGTTAAGTAGACGACTTCTTCTGACTAAGAATTCTTTGGTTAAGATTCTCCTTGTCAAAACCAAATGAATCTGCAAGGGTTTTTTGGTGAAATGACTCACTGGCCCGACTTTCACTGAGGTCAGTTTCTCCAAGATTGAGGACTTGATAGGTAAAGTAGATTTTAGCATTTGGATCTGGGCTTCTTTCTAAATCGAGTGCGCATTGTCCTTCAATAGGCATGGTTTCATTAATATTAAAATTAACAACGCCAGCCAATTTAGATTGTCCATCAACATTCAAAAGGGCAATAAGATGAGTCTTTTTTTGAGTATTTTCACCAACATTGAAATCCAGTGTGAGTACCTCGTTAACTATGAAAATGTTCCTGGTTTTTTCTTTGGTTCTAGTCAGACATTTGTTGAGTCCTCTTTTCCACATCACCTGTAAAGTGCAGGGGAACTTAACGGAGAGCTCTACTTTGCTGATGTTGAGAGTAACTTAATAGCGGAAAGCCTTCATTTAAATTGTGAATCGGTTAATTAAATAAATGTATCAATAGGGAAACAACTATGATTTTAAGATAATTTTAGGGAGAGTGAAGGAGAAGAATATGCGTTTGAGACTGTAGTACAGTTAGACGAAGAGTGAAGATTATGAGATAGTGATCAAATTAAAGGTGAAGAGCGACATCGATGTGAAGAGTGCCGATAGCGAATTCAAGGAGAGGTGTAAGAGTACTTACACTATTCTAACATCGTTTGTGTAATAAAGAATCTAGACGATGTTAGGAAATAGATACGAGATTTTTTGAAGCCCACATTTGCACTCAGTTATCATGTAGATGAACAATATGCATACATCACTTTTAAATATGCTAATCAAGTTGAGTTGTAGGAGTTTATGGAGATCTGTTAATTCATTCGGGAGACAATGGAAAGGCGTAGGAAAGGGAAGAGGTGGAATTATTGATTGAAAGTGATTTATCATTTGAAAAATTGAGTGAGAGCATATCTAATGCTATTTATCAAATGAATTTGGAAGTGCAAGGAAAGGCTGAATTCCAAAAGGATAGCATAAAGTTGTTGGAAAACCTGAAGATGTGCAACCAGGAGAATTTGCCTTTCTTTTTGTAAAAAAAATAATTGAATCAAATTTTATTATATCTTTAATTATTATAGAAGGCACATGCAGAAGTAGAAATAGACAAGGTGGAATATGATGTGGGATTTGCTCAACCGAGCGTAGAATTACCCTTCAAGTTTGCTATCTATGGGAAATTGCAAAGATTTGCTGAACAATATTTGGATGATGGGATTGAGTTGGCAATCAAGGGGCCTGGTTTGAGCGTGGAGATTAATTTCAATTACAAAGGGAGCATCTTCTAATTGATTGACAATGTTTTAATTATTAAACAATGAATGCTATAAATACATTATTTTAATTATAAAGAAATGAATGTTTTGGAACAATCATTAAAATAAATTTAGGAATTGCACATCAAGGGTCAATACAGAAAAGCCTATGAATAACTAAAGCAATTAGGGACTGATCTTGAGGCCTACGACCCTACTTTTAAGGTATTCCAGAGACGAGCCTGCAACATCGAAATGCTGGCTGCCTTCTACACAGAATACGGGAGTGTGGCATTAAAGTTGAGCTTGTTGGATATCTCGAAGGAGTGTGTGCAATGTGCATTCTATTATTTGAAGGGTTTCGCAAACATGAACCTATTTATATTGAATGTGCTCACCTATCAGAGAATCAATTTCTGGCTCTGCAGGTACGCAATTATTTCTTAAATAGATTAGATATCTTGACTCCATCCACTTGTTAAAGAGACTCTTGAGTGTTGTGCCCAATTCACTAGTTCATTACAAAATAGAGATCTATATCAATATCGCCAATTCCCAAAGAGCCTGGTGCTTTTATGATGATGCCGAAGTCTCCATCAATCAAGCTGAGCAACTGGCCAATCTGCTCAATCCCTCCTACCAGAATGACCTGCTCAAAACCAACATCCTATTTCTTAAAGCCAGACTTTATATGGATACGGATAGAAGCAAATATGGACTGGATTTCGCACTAGAGTATGCAAATCAAATGTTAATTAGTTGTCAGTTGTTTACAGCAAAGAGAGATGCTATTGCCACGTGATCATCCTGATATTGCGATAGCCATGGAACTTGTAGCCAAAATCAATTTTAGTTAGAATCTAGTGCAAGAAGCATAAAAGTATCATGATTAGGCCTATAAGATGAAGATCAAGGCCTTCGGATTGCACAACTTTGAAACCATAGATTCTATTAATGAAAAGGGACGGCTCTTGCTCTCCTCTAAAAAGGTATCCTCATCATAATTAAGCAGGAATAACAAGCCATGTATTACTTTTAATTGATCGGAGAAATCAGTTAAGTACTTCTGGGTCCTCTTAATTAGTATCAAGCACTCTCCTACAACAATCTTGGATGTGCTTTGTTCAATATTGGCAAATACGAAGCCTCCATACAATAACACTCTAATGCTCTATTCATCTATGAGAAGTTGTGCGGGCTAGAACATTCTAAATTAGTGTTCTCATTAAATTAAATGGCCAATGCTAATAAATTACTTAACAGACCTAAAGCAGCCTTCATGATCTGGAAGCGTTGTCAAACTATCCTAGAGAAAAATCCTCAAATCAATTCCAAACAGTTGAATGCTATAAAGTCTAGTTTATAAGGATTGTCTATACAAGAAGAAGATTGATTATTATTATATAAATTGTCTATTTATTTAATGAAGGTTAATCATTGCCAATATATATTCATCACTATTGCAAATCGAATTTAATTAACTATGATTATAAGACTATATCACTTTTATTGTATTTATAACTATATTAATAATGCCGTTTATTTGGGTGTAAAATTTAAGTAGTTTATTAAGAGTGAGTAAATCAAAATTATATCTTTAAATTATAATAAAAATTAAATAATAACATTATGGTATTCATTTTATAGTTGTGACTATCGAAAAACACTGATATCTAATATAGGTAGACTATAAATATAATCAGATAATAATATTTAAGGATATTTCTTAATATATATATATAATTTATTGTACATTCACACTAATCATCCTAATTTTACTTTCTTTTTATAATTAATATAAGCTTAATCTTTAGATCTTCCCAATGTTACTACATCGCCTGTCTGAAGTCCCTATTAAATGTCTTCTTAGTCTATTTATCCATCTATTTAATAGTTGACTTTTCCTCTCTTTTATTGGATGACTGATTATTTTGATGGTTACTGTTATTATTGTTTAGGTTTAGTCTTCTGTTGATGTTCATCATCCAAAACCATCTTGATGAAGTTTCTCATCTTCCTCATAGCTTTATTGAAAAGAGGTAATGATTGATTCACTGCATTGTCTACTTACTCACTTGCCAACTCAATGTTCTTATATTGCAATCCCATTCCTAACAATAAGGCTGCTTGTGTTCTGCTCATTCTAATTGCTTTTCCGCACTTCTAAGCAAAGAATATTCTATTTAAATAGTTGGATATAATTACTTGCAAATTGTTGGCAATATATCTAGGATTAAATAAAAGTCGGCCATACTCTTACAATAGTTTTCTAATCTAGCATAATCACTCAGACTTAATTATTATCTAAGTTCTTCCTTGGTTATGATGTTGTCATCTTTTGCAATCTCTATATCTTCATCAACATTTGCTGTTGTAACATTAGCCTTCAAAATGTCAATACAAAGATATGGTTCCAAATCCTTGAAATCATATCCTAATAAATTAATGAACCTATTCCTGAAATCAGTACTAAAGGCTTTGCATAAATTGTCAATCCCCGATCCCTCTTCCTTAACTGGTCTCAACACTATACAAGTATATTCCCCTGTTGTATCATTCTTTCTCAAACTCAAATAAGCAGGACTGAATTGATTCTTACTCCAAAATTTATAAAGTTCTTAAGTTAATCCAAATGACACTCCCAAGTAATCAATTTAAGGTGGATATACTTCACTTAACTTTTTTAAAAGAGGTGGCAACTTTTTCTTTGGCTGAATTAACTAATCCTTTTCGTCATCTGCAGTAGCTTATTCTCTGAAGTCTATATGTATTAATTAAGCGGAGGGATCCAAGATTTCACCCTTACAAAATCTATTCAATAACTCCATAGCCTTGCTTCCATAACCCATTTTTTATGCATTTGGATGAGTTGCAATTCTAATGACTCTCACTCCTGAATATTAAGGGAATTGATTATCCAAATAATACTTACTTAGAGTCCAGGGAATTAAATCTCCTGATGGTTTCTATTGATTTGTCACTTAATCAACTAAATCCTTTGGAATTGCACCTTCGAAGCATACTTACACAGCACACAAGATGTCTGGCATGGTCTTATCAGTGGGCAATGGACCCAAAAGGACGAACACTGCATGAGCTGGTGCATCTGATAATAATTATAAATCATTAGGGGAGTTCTTATAATGCGATGAGATAAACAAGGACATTAAATTGAATAGGAATTTCTCACTTGTTTTCTGTGATGAAAATAGAGTATCTCTGTTGCATAAATACAATTCGCAATCATTTGGATGAGGTAATCCTTTCTATAATTTAGGGGCATCACTTGCATCTAATAACAATAATTCGTAAAGCCATTTCTCCACTATATCTTTATTGCTATACCTAATAGGGTCATTCATCTGTAATTCTTTTAATAATCTTGCTTAACCTGTCTGTTTGGTTTCTCTTAGTTTTTATAGCAATTTTAAGGACAAGGATCGACCTGTTCCCTCATATCCATTAATTGTACTTGAAAGCACCAAAGTGTGACTTCCAAACATAGACTTAACAAATTAAATTGGGATTGCAGCTGCTTCATCACAAAATACCAAATCAGCATTGTTAGCTACCTTTACAAAGTCTTAAGGTTGGATGTATTAAACAAATTGTCTATGTGTTTTATATGCATTCACTCTGATGACTGCATTGTTGAAATCAGGATTTGTAGACTAAATAACATCAAAGTGTTGATTCTATCTAAAATCTAAGGTCTCCAAACTCTAAATTAGAAATTCAAAGAATGTGACTAAGTTTTCCGGAGATGGTGCTGTTACGAAGATATTGCTAAATCCTAATTTGAGAGCAGCTGCAGCAGCCATACCAATTGCTGCTGATTTTCCTCTTCCTCTGGCTGCACTTATGGATATGGTGTATCTGAAGACTTTTTCTTACAAAGAATCTATGAGTCCTAAGATAATCTTGGCTTAGTCTAATGTTTTGCAATTTTTGATCAATTTTTAAGCAATTTCATTAGGAACAGTTTAGGCAAACTCAGCAACTTGATTGCTATTGATAGGAGTTCCCTGTTCAATTTTTTCTAAGGCAGTTGAGGAGACTGGTAATAGGTTTAATTCATCATCCACAAAGAGACATCTCTAGCATCTACTCAAACTTATGATGAATCTCTCATTAAATCTAGGCTAGACTTCTTTGAAACTTGGAGTTCTCAATCTGGAATGAATGTCCATAGTCAGAGAATATAATTGTTTAAGGGATGACATAGTTTTGATGAGAAAAAGGATGATTCCACCACCTGCAATGGTTTCAACTGTTCTGCATAGTATGTTTGGAGTTAAGGCCTCAAAATCTTATAAAATTAACATGTTATATGTATTTCCCAAAACCTTTTGAGTTTCAGCATAATAACAGTATCTAATTTCATTGGATGAAAGAAATAGATTGAAAGGCTCATTCAATTGGGTCTCCTCCTTCATTTATTGGTTCTTAATTTCGGCTTCTCGTTTCTTCTTGTGAGTTGTGAATCCCAAATCCTTAAGGTTTATTAGCAAATTTTTACTTTCTTATAGCACCACAATACTTTTGGCTTCTAAATCATACTTAGTTTGCTTAACAATTGATGCATTGTTGCAACCTAATATTTGCTTCTATCTCCAATCATCACAAATATTGAACGAATGTGTTCATTGATGCCAGATTAAACAAGAGCTTAGATTTATGAATCAAGTTTTTTTTTCATTAATCACAAATTAAATTATATATATATATATATAATTATTTATCATTCTTTCAACTAATCACATTTTTATCTATAAATGCTTTCTGCCTTCTAACCAAGATCTGGCTTGATAGTTGAAATCTTCTAGCTAAAAGACTGCCAAGATGATTATTTCTCTTGAGCATACTTAGTAATTTTAGATAATTTGAATGTTTGCTTCATCGCCTTGATTTTCTTCTTTTTTGCTTATCTCTACTATTCATTATCAGTGGGTAGGTATTTTAGGTTATCAGGAACTTGAAATTCATCCATTTCTTCAAAATTCATCTTTTTGGAATCATTTAACTATTTCTTAGCTTCCCTTAGATAAATTAAAGGAACAATTTCCCTATTTGAATTTTTCTTAAATCTTATGTGATACCCCTCTTCAGTTACTTTTTCGATTGTTCCTAAATAATAACGACCGTCTGAGGAGTATATTGCTTCGCATTATTATCCTACAGTAAATAATTTACTATCTGGAATAGGTTGAACTTTAATAAAAATGGCATGCATTTTCACTACCTCTTAATAACCAATAAATTAGATGTCTGCCTCTTATTCTTCTGTATCAATCTAAATGAGTTTGGCATTGTACCATTTTCTATCCTATTCATGATATGCCTTAGCTAATTTATCAATATCTTCACCATTGAGTCTATTTACGCTAAATAAATTGTCTTGTGTCTTTTGCAATGATGCTATTTCTTTCTCTTGTGCCTCCTTTGCCAATAAGAGTTCATCCTTGATATTTTTTAACTCAGCTATTGTTGAACTCTCTTCCTCATGAGAAAGTAGAAGATTCACTTTAAACATATGGTTTTTCAACATAATCAAAGTTTTGTAAGCCTCGATCACTTTGCTCTGATCTAATTGTTGCACAGGTGGCTAATAATTCTCTGGTGGATCATAATAATCAAATGAGTCTATCTTCTACTTCTTATATGCTTCAGACATTAGTATTTAATTTTATAATCAAATTCACAACTATGTTAAATTAAGTTGTTTCAGAAAAGTTGGCTCAATGCGCTAACAACAACAAGCTGATATAAGCCAAACTATAGATCATCAAAGAAGCTAGGAAACCAGTATTGCAGGATATTGACGATATCCCTAAGTAAAATTACATTTATCCACCCTATTAACCTGAGATCCCAACATAAGATTATTTAAAATAAGTGAATAAGTAAGTCAAAAAAATCAATGAAGAAGTTAAAGTCATAAATCAAAAGGCAGAACTTTTTGAAAAAAAATATAATCGCGAAGAAAGAAAAAGGCAAGATGCAAAACTTTTCAAGAAGCCAGTTATAAAGACTAAATAATAAATTGAACAAGAAAAGAAAGAAAAAGAAGACAAGAGGCTTGATGATTTTGTTAATAGAATAGTGGCCAAGTATGAGCCTTATCTGAAAAAACCAGAACCGATCAAAGAATCTGAAATGAAAGCAAAAAAGATATATTAATAAAAGTTTGAACATTATTAAACAAAAAAAGACTTAACAAATAAAATTTAAAGAGGCCTTGAAAGTAAGGAATAGAAAGAATTTGATTTAGTAACAAAAAAAGATAATTGGGTTAAACAAAAATAGCAAAATCAGTTTGAATTAGTTGAAGATTATATCACACCTGAAGAAGAAATCAAGTTAGAGTAAGAATCAAAATCAATCATTATGAAAAGGGAATAAGAAAAGAGAAAGAAAAAATAGTAGATGCTATTTTACTAAATTCTAGATGAAAAAGTTAAATTGGATTAGAAAATCTTTAGGAAAAATTTCAACTTCTTAGTTACTAAAATATTTCAATAAATAGATAAATAAAAGACAGGTTATATTTCCAAGGAGGAACTTCTTTCATATTTTAAAGATTACACCATTTTTATTGATATATTCGAAATAAATTGGTAACCTTTCAAAGAATTTGTAATAAAAATAAAAGCTACTCGTAAGGGACTATTGAATAAATTGGAACTCATAGAAATCTTATTAGACTAGAAATTACATAGCAAAATAGAGAATGTTGCTGAAAGAATTTAGAATTAATAAAAAGAAGATTATTAATTACCAGAATTTGATTAAGAATAATAGGCAGATCAAGAGGAAGTTGCACCAGAACCTCAAAATGAATAAATTAGAGATCCTGAAATTGATTATAAATAGTTAGAGTTTATCACTTAAATAAATTAGGAATTTTAAGATTTAAATTATCCAATTTATCATTAAGATTTAGAAAATAAAAAGATTGATTGCTAAATTGAAAAAGAACAAAAATAAAAATAAAAGAAAAAATTAGATCCTAACTTCATCATGTTTAACAATGAGATTGGATAATTATCAGAGTAGTATAATAAAGGAATGTTAGAATTCCAAAAGAATGAGGATTTCGTCATTAATTCTTAATTATACAATTTTTAATAAAAGTGATATATCCTTTATATATATAATATTTCATTATTTAAAACCATTTCAATTATTATTAATACGCTGCTTTCTTTTATATCCCTTAAAGTTGCTATTTTAGTTATAGAATTATGAGTTACTTTATTAATTGCTACTTTAAACTGAATCAATAACAAATAAATCTAAATTTAGGTTTTATTTATTACTTTGATCCTACTTCATATTTGTATCTTAAAATAATGAAAGTACATCCTATTTAGTATAAATATGATTTATTCTACCTTCTTCTTAGCAACAATTCATATTGGTGTTTGGCTAAAGGGAATTCGATTAAAATAAATTAATGCTTGATATTTGATAAGAGGATTACTGCATTTATGGAAACAGGCTCTATTACTAGATAGGTGCTTAGTAATTAATCAACAGATTACTTGTTTAAGATTACTAATAAATGGTAGGTTGACAATATTTTTGCTAAAAATTAGGTGAATAATAATTTGATATTTTTTGATTATAATTGTTTTGTGGGATTACATTGAAGTACTCTGAGAATGGTACTTAATCAATGATTTCCCTCTGCTTATAAATCAAGCATTAATTATTCTTTTAAGCGTTATTTTATGAATTATATATGTTTTAAGTTTGATATCCTTGATTTTGTTAAGGAAAATTGAAATTGAAAAGCGAATTATTGGTCTACACCTTAAATAAATCTAGAAAATTTTGATTTCTTGTACATTGTTATGTTTGGAAAGGAAATTAAGAATTTTCTGTAAAAAAACCTTTCCAAAAATATTAACTTACTTAATCTGAGCTGATAAGAGAACTAGTCTCTAAAAATGGATTTTTTTACTTTTAAATTTAATCTTATTACGGATTTAATTATTCCTATTGATCAATTTCCTAAGTAATCTTTGAAGTTTTTTGTGTGCTTTCATTATTAATTGTTGACGATATATTTTAAGATAAAGAAGTCTAAATTTATTCCTCTAGTGAATTCTGAAGTAATCCATTTTGTAATTTTTCTTCAATTTATGGTTATTATGAAATTTCGTCCTTTTTGACAGAATTATTTATCAATTTCAACTATGGTTTATCAGATGTCAATACATTCTCATGACTGTGATTAATGATACTATCCTCTTAAATGTCTTAGTTTTATTTTTATTATTCTGGCTATTGAGAAATGACTTTATGTTGGTCTTCTTTACAGTCAATTTACTTCTAAGGACTGCATTGAATTTATAAGCTTATAATTACTGAATCCGATATTAAATTTCTTTATTTGTTATCTTACTATTATTGCTATTATTATTATTATTATTATTATTATTATTATTCTTATGTTTCTAAGATTGTCTAATTTTAATTCATACTTTTAGGACTTTCAACTTCATTTTGATTTCTATTTTATTCTAATTCCTTTTTTTCTCCAGGATCTAGATGAAGGTAAGAAAATGGTTTATTCTAAATTTCAACTGAGCTATTATTCGAGCATTTCTCCTCTAATATCTCAGAATCAGCCTTTTAAGAATTAAAAATATGTTCTATTTTCAACAAGGGCTCCATAATTTCTCCTTTTGTATTAGTACCAGTAGAACTTGAAAATAATTCATTTTCTTAAATAATTTATTTGGAGCTAGCGATAGAATAACCATTTTGAGTTTCAAAGATTTTCTGTTTTTAATCACTCACCTATTGGCAATTAAATTGTTGATCTTATTCAAAAGATTAAATTTCAAATTATTTTTTTTTATCCTTTTCTTCATTTGTCAATCCTTATTACTTCTTATATGGAGTTGCAGATTTGACGCAGTCTTTTACACAATCATTGTTTTATTTCTCATAATTTGAAATGTAACCCTAGGAATTTTCTTAATTTGATTCAATATTTTAATTCTTAGATTTTTTATTAAAATCAATGTCTCTCTATTATTAGTCTCCTATTAGGTTATAGAAAAAAAAATTACCTTCCATTTTTCTAGATTTTTCAATTTTAGCATGATTTTTTTTAAACTTCTATTGTTTCTTGGTTTTGGGATGATGAGGTGATTAATCTTTTTTTCTGTCGACTCTATTGCCTTAGGCTTCTTCTGATATTTAATTTGGTTTTGGGTCATCTTACTTGCAATATTAATCAAAGGGATAGAGTGACTTTCGCTTTGAAGTTAGATTTTCCTCTTGCTTAGGTAGAATGTGATCTACAATTACAAGTTTATTTTTAAATTAATGAGATAGTTCTTTTTCTAAATTTTAATCATAATAGCATTGTATCCGTTAAAATTTACTTGATGGGTCAATTGTAGGTAGAAATAAATCCGAAATCTTGTTTTTTATCTTTGTTATTATGCCTGGTTTAGAGTTTTTTGTAGAACCGAAAGGACTAAAGGGAGAGTAAGTTGATAGTCTATTTTCGAACAGAAAATTATGCATTATTTAATTAATATATTATAATAATTCGATAATCTAGATGATAAATAATAATATTTTTAAGAGAACCAATGTATGATACTAAATAATTATAACTAATCACAATTAAATATCCCAATACTTTCTACCATCCAAATCTCAATTTTTTAAGTAGATTGTTACACTTTCTTAAAATAGAATTTTATTCATAGTTGATATCTATGAAAATTTGAGTTATATACATTTTTTGTAAATCTCTTTCAACCCATTTTCAGTTATTGGATTTAACTATATTTAAATTACTAATAAAAGTGCCTATCAGATTCTCTTTGTTTGATAATTAAACATTCTATTGACTGCTTTATTTCTTTAATTGTAGTTTAAGATATGGGAAACTTAATACCTCTTATAAAATCAAGTTTGTTAGCTTTCATAACAAAAGTGCCATTTCTTTCAATTTGAGGAGTATATAAAAACTACAGAATAATTAAAGAGGGTCTTTTTACTTTAGTCTCTAAATCGAGGCAGCCTCTTTCTTTATATATGTAGATAAATTATTTAAATTTCTTTTAAATTTCATCTCTCTTTTGGCATAATATCCTAAAGGCGAGAGTTTATATTTGCATTAAATAATGCTTATCTAACCCAAAATTTTTGTAATCAAAGCCGAATTCAGAATTGGTTACTTAATAAACCATTTCTATCTTTTTTTACACTTTTGTTAAAAAAAGGTTTAAAGACTGTTACATATATTATTTAGATTAATTAAGTTAGACTAAGCTTGGTGGTGGAGAAAATGTTTTTGAAGCAAATGCTTTTTTGATAATATTTTTTTCATTTCAACGAACTTTTTATTATTATTTTTGCATATAAAATATGTATATTAGATGATGGGAAAGTAATTGACAATTAATAATAATTTATTAATGCTGCCTAGGATTACTTAAAGCTAATAACTTCATATATTGAATTATTCTGAAAAAGCAACTTTAAACGAAGTAAAAAGAAGAAAAAAAGAACTGGAAATATAAGCTTAAAGTGTGGAAAATAGAATTAGATAACTTAGGAATGAGGAAGGCAAATTAATTAAAAGAATTAAATAAACAGAACAATTGACATCAGATGTTTATAAATAGAAAGTAGCTGCATAAATGAAAGTAGCAAATAAATATTTATTATAGAAACAACGAAAATTACAAAAAAATGCTATTTATTTTAGAAGTGCATAAAATAATACAAAAGTATTGACGGAATAATCTGCTGGTAAGGAGAGAAATACAGAACTCTATTTTAAAAAAACGCTAGAAAGAAATTAATTGAAAATAGTCTAATAAGAATTTAGATAATATAAGCATAATGAAGTCTAAAATTATAGAAAATTATTAAAATTTGAGCAATTTCAGTTTATAGAGGAATAAAGAAAGTAGCATGAAAATTAGAAATTAAAGGCTGCCTTAAGAAAATAAGAGTAAAATTTATCTGAGGTTTTAATTCGAGAAAAATTAAATGAAAAAAAAAATAAAATAAAGTAAGAATTGGACAAAGAGAAATTCAAAACAATTCAAGAAAATGAAGAAAGAGAACTACATATCAAATAATTAGAAATTGAGGAACTGTAGATAGTTTAAAAATTATAAGCAACTCAACAGAGGGAGAAGGATGTCAAAGGCAAATTAATTGCTGCTACCAGGTTATAACCTGATTAATTTGCTAAAACATTTCATTCTTTAAATCACACATAATTTATTGTTGAACAATCAAATGCATAAAATTATGTATTTTTATAATTTATATTAGAAATAAGAAGATAGTGCATAATAATGTTAAAATAATAATGAACAAAATTAAGATTAACCTAATGGAGGATAATAAGGAACATAAACTGAAGAGTGAATTCATTAAATATATAATAACATAGTTTAATTTAGTTGTTATTAATTCTCAGAATAATTACTTTTGATTATATAGTTTATAATTGAGATAATCAATATTAATACAGCTTTATTAATATGTTTAAGAAAAACTAATATATTTTAAAGTTTCTTGGCAAACTATTAGAATTTGAAAACAAAGCCTACATCCTTCCTGAGTATTTAGTCAATATTTTGTTGTTACAACATTCGTTAGTTAATCTATCCTATATCTATTAATGGAATGAGAAATCGTGGATATAAATATTGGTACTTATTGCAAGGCCTTAACTGATAATAAAGATAGAATTCTTGACCTATTTAATGCTAGCATATATAGTTCTATGGTTTGTATTTATATTTAATCAAAATTTGTATGGTGCTTCACTGATTAGTTTATTTAATGCATTATTGAAGACTGCATTGCTGAATTTTGTGCTTGAGTAAATGGAAGATTAATTCGGACTTTCTATCGGATTATTTATCTGCATACTAGCATTTTTTGATGTTTTATTAGTATAAGGAACTCTTACTGTAAATACAATTAATTTTTAAGTGTCATACTCTAATTACTTAAATATTTTAGACTTTATATTAAATATACTGCTAATTTATTTTTACCTATTTCAATTTGATTAAATTGTGTTATAAATATTAGCTTTAATCAAGTCTGGTTTTTAATTAATTTTAATAGTTTACTATAACAACTATAGAAATAGTATAGTGAGAAAATTAGCAGCATCATTTCATTTATCCACAATTGTATTTGGAATAATTAATTTTGTTCATTATTAAGATTTATTCACTTTAGCTTTATTACCGTTTTTACTAAAAATTATTCTGTAGTAATAATTTAAAAATCATAATATTGATGATCCTATCTTAAAAGCTTCTATTTTGCTCTAAGAAGGAAAGGTTTTTTAGTGTTTTATAATATTAAACAATCTAAAGAATCTAGGGATAATGAGAAGAGCAAAATGTAATTAATAAATGAGACAGTGTATCGATTAGATAACTATCAAAATATCGAAGCCTAACCAAACCTTAAAGGGTGTGTGTTAGTAACTAATGAAAAATGATTAACATAATTTATAGCTTTCAAACTCATTAAATAATTTGATTCAAAACAAATTATTTTTACTTCAAAATTTTAAAGATCTCGATTTCAACCAATTGATGCTATATACTGATAAAATTACTTCTATTAGTCATTAATTAGAATAATATTATAACTAATAAAATAGCCTGATGGTCTAGTCATTATTAGTATTTTTTTATTCTGAAATTGTCAATGATTTGCTTAAGGCTTAATAAATATAAAGTAGTTTCTCAACATCTCAGGAAACTTAAATTAAATTTAATGATTCAATGCTATCCAAGTTAATTTATTTAGTTGCAAACTATCAAAATAATAAGCTTATAATTAAATCCATATCTAGTAATGCTCCTTAGACTTTTTGTAATAAAACTCTAGAAGAACTTGTTCCTGTAGGTGTAAGAGAATGGCATTCATTATTGGTAGATAAGTTTGTTACTGACGGTGAATCGAAATATGTTAGAAATCTTCACAACAATTATGTTGCAAATGAAAGCTTTATAGAAAATGTTTAATTTGCTATTGATATTTTTTTTACTAATGATGTGGATTTTGTTTGCTTATTCTAACCTACACTTTTATAAACCAAAACAGTAATTGTAAATCAAAACTATTAAATTGCTTCAATGAGTGCAGATTTTAGTGATTTTGTGAATTTAAGCAAATATTTTAAATTAGGTTAATAGATTGATAAATTTATACCTTCTGTCACTTCAATAACTGAAAGTTGTTACTTAGAGAACATGATTGTTATGTAGTCTGATCAAATATTAAGTGCTAATAATTTTTCCGAGCAAAAAACTGAAATGAATTATTATTGCGACGTAAATATTTCAGTTAAATTACATCATGATAAAATGCTCTATATGATTATATAATTTGATAATTTTAAAAAGTAACTAAACAAAAAAAATGAAGATTCTCCTGAAGAATAGGGTGCTGAGAAATTTACGTTCGAAATGATACCTTTTGAACTAGAAAATAATGTGATTTTAGATCCTTATGAATTTTCAGAAGACCTGAATAGTAGACCTAATAAATGCAATTATATTTATATTGATGAAAAAAATTTGGTTTAATAACAAATATTTACCCCTAGAGATGAGGAAGTTTCTCTTGTAAAATTTTAAAGAGTTGCAAAACGATTTTAATCACAATTTAAGAAATCCCAATTTTAAGAAGAGCAATAAGCTTAATTTTACGATGTACAATCTTAGGTTTCTTCGTTAAAAATATTTAGAAACTCAAAATTTTATAGAAAATATGAACTTTATAATAAATTTCTACAATTCATTCCCTACAATAGAATACACAAATTTATTATCTCCATAATGTTTCTAATTGGCTTGCTACAAATGATATTCATGATAATAGTATTTAAACAATATATATTTAGTAATTAACCAACACTGCGCTGGTCACTTTGGTAGAAGATGTCAATTTATTGGAAATTAAAAATCTAATATTTTAACCTATGGAATTGTTCCTTGTCACTAGATGGACATTATTTAACTACAAAAACCAATTGAATGAACTATAAATAAATTAAGAAGAGTATACAAATAGAACATAATTTGCATTATCGAATTTAGATTTAGGTTATGATTAATTGAACTAAAATATATAATCGGTGCTATTCAAAAAGGAATTGCAGGCCTTATTGTAAATTAAGCACATTTATGCTTATTAGTACTTAGACAGTTACAAAAATGAATAATATAATATGACTTTGAGAACAGCGATTTAGGTTTTATTAAATTTTTAATATACACTCAAAATGAATTATAAAATTGAAAAAACAGTTTCTATTGATACCCCACAAGTTTTTTATAGTTACAAAAATTATAAGATCTTAAATGATATAGCATAATAATTGAATCTAGATGTAGTCTAGTAAACTTTATTAAGAGCAAATTTGATATAAAATGAAATTGAGAGCATATTAGCTATTAATTAATCTCTATTGTTATTTCTATTACTTTTAATTTTTGTTTTGCATCAAATCATAGACAGGAGACTAATTCAGTGTATCAATCTTATATAATACGTTGATGAAAGAGAATTAGAATTTGAAATCAAGAAATATTAATCTTTTTTAAATAAACTTAAGATAGATAATTCTTTCAAATTTTAATATAGATTGGATGTGGAAGTAAAGGAATAAGAATTTTAATAATTTTAAGCCTATGAGGTGCAGACAAAAATTAAATTTTAAAAGATCTCAACTAATTCTCTTCTCAAGTTTTGTTTATTGTTATCAAGCGTTTATGTTTTATTCTCTTTCAATCATTTTTCTGTATACTTTTTATAGAAAAATTTTTTATAGAAATATCCAGAAACAACAGAATATTTGACAGGATTTGGAAATTTAGGCGTTGATTTTCCTTGTATGTTTGCTCAACGTGAAATTTTGTATGAGAGAAAAAGATTATTCTATTTAACATAGGAGGATTTCGAGAACGTATATGAAAGAATAATGTTAGCCTTAAATAATACTGCGTAATTTGATTCGAAAGAAAAAGATTTTACTAAGTAAAAATTTTAACTAATTTAGAATTCTAGTAACAAAAAAATTCTCAGATTATTATGAAGAATTGCAGGTATCGAATTTGTGCAACTTTATTCCAAAAAAAATAGAAGAAAAGAGTTTATCTATTTGTCCCTAGATCTTCAATTAAAATATGTAATTAGGTTTAAAAGCAGTTTTAATCTATGCTTAAAATTTGATTGCGAAAGAAATAGTCATTAATAAATTCACTAAACGACTTACAGTAGTATATAATGAATTAGATGGTGTCTTTATTTTATCTTAAATAATAAAGGAATTAAACTCATAGTTTGTTGAGGATTTAAAAAATCTAACCAATTAGTTAGTATTAGTTTTGTATGTAAATGCTTTATTAATAAACTAGATTATAAATATTTGTTATTTAGTATTGATCTTATTCATACTCCTGATCTGGACTACAAAATTAGCCAAGAAACTTATTTATAATACTAAGCAAATTGTGCAATTCGTATAAATTTTACCAACATATTCTCTCTTCACTAACGACTTTTTTGAAAGAATAATGAGAAGTTTTTTAAATCAAAATTGATAAATAAGTAATTGCATTAGCTAACTTTAATAATTTAACTTTAATAATTTCAGTTTTTATTTATTATTATTAAAATATATTTATAATAAATTTACCTTGGTTTACTATCTTTAATTAATTAATTTTTATTTAAGAAATTCTAATTATTTATATTCTAGTCAGGTTCACTTTTAACTCTATAGCACTAAGAATACCCTTAAAGGATAGTTAGAGAATTAAAAAATGAAATTATAAACTTCTATAGAATCATTCAATTTCATGCATTCTATTTAAGTATTCTCTTATTGCTTTGCTTCGCTTAATTAGACTTAAAGGAATATTGGCTAATAATAAAGTTGTTTTCTTTATCTAATGATTTATATTTAATAATATTACTTCATTGTTTATTTTAGTAGCAGTTGGCCACCAAAAGAAAAGGTAAATCAAAACCAAAACAACCAAAAATACTATAAATATCGCAACAGATGTAGTTGTATTTGTATCAACATCTTATTGTACACTAGTCAAAAATAAGTCAGTTGTATATGAAAAGATTTGTCTCAGATACATATCTTATAATATGTCTAAAATTAAATATCATTTACTTACCAATTTCATTCCTTTAGGTATCAGTGTAAAGGAGAGATAAAGCTTTATTTTAAGTTGAATTGGATGTGAAATTGTAAAGAGTGCCAGATATCTTATGTGAGGGATCCTTTATAATGTTATTATATTCTTGTAATTGGGATCTGATATCTTCAAAATATCTTGAGAGTGCTAAGGATAAGGATTAATCAATTATGCCCTCAATGAATGATTAACAAGTATTAATATCAATTTCAATGATTGAAAATAGGTATGAACATGCTCCTGATTTCATCAAAGAATCAAAATGTGTATTATATGTTGGATTATGATATTGAATATTTGAAGAGTGTTCCTTTTAGATTTTAGTATTGAGATCATATAACTCTTTAACAAAGGTGGAAGAGATGAGATAGGATGAGCTTCCTTTCACTTCAAAGGTGGGATCAATGATCATTTACCTTATTACATTATTAGAAAATGTAATATTAGGAACCAATTAACTAGTGGCTTCTATTTCATCAATTAATGAGCTAAAGGCATTTTATAAATAATCTCCAATCAAAAAGTGAGTTAAAAAGTATCCTAATAACATTACCATTGAAATAGCAAACTTAAGGTAAAAGTTACGCTTATTTTTTAGGTCGTATTTATATTTCTTTCTCTTTTTGTGTCTCTCCAGATACTCCTCATCTTCATCCTGCACTTCATCATCGTCCATAAATCCTTCATTATCTCTGTGTAATTCATCATCCTCTTCTCCTACTTAAAGTGAATTAAAAAAGCCTTCACAAATATTCACCAATTTCTTAACTTTGTTAATCTAAATTTATAAAAATAGTTTCATAATAATTTCTTAGTTCTGACTTACTAAACTAAACATGCATGCAATCAATGGTACTGATACCACAGCAAATGCACAAGCAACTATAAATAATGTGATGACTATGGATGATCCATTGAGTTTATCTCTCAATTAAGCTCCATAAATGTTTGCGCTCTATACAACAGCTTCAAAATAATTATTAAGCAAATTATAACTAACAAAAAATTATGACTCTGGATTATAACTCTATAGCAATTCCAAGGCCTTTGATAAAATCTAGGCAGTTCCTTAATTTAGATCCACTAATTATGTTGATAGAGTTCCACTTTGATCTCTTCCTGTCATTTTTACAGAATTAGTTCTAATTAAATCAACTTAATCTCCTTCAACAACTGCTGATTATAAAACGAATTAAAGTTCTTACAAATAGGAAATGCTCTAATTTAAGCTTTGCCTTTAATCAGCAATATTTTTGGTTTAATCAACATATGGGTTTAGCTAAATCAATAGATATAATTCTACTGTTTACCATAAAATTCTTTAACCCAAAGCAACTCTTTAATTACTATTAATAACATTCTTATAGCCATCATAGACTCCAAAAAATAGTTGTTGAGTTAAAATATAATTTAAGAGACCTAAGACCCCTAAGAAAATGATAAGTAGTGCAGCATTCCATCTGAAACATGTTAAACTTGATTAGTTTGCACTTTTGCTTTCTTTTAAAAATTGGACAAATGTCTTCTTTGATTTGTAGACATTTGCATTTCCATTATCTTATTCTTAATCTTCTTCCTATTTTGATGGCATTTAACCAACTATTTTAGATTATCCATCTTCTTCCTCTTCGAATTCCAAATTCTAATATTCTTCTGAATCAAAAAGTTACCCTCCAATTAAGATCATAGTTTTAATTCCCAAAGCTAAAGAATTGTTCTTTTCATCTAATTTAGATGATGGAGTTTTGTCATCATCATTTTTTTATGAATACTCATAAGTTTCATCTTACTTTGATATTGAAATAGCCGACATCTAAAAATTTTGATCAGATATGTACTCTCCAATAAATCTATAATCAAATTGATCTGGAAATTTAGTATTGTTGTCTTTTTTAAATTATTTTTTTAGTTATTCAATTTTCTCCTTCATTCCAGGAATTTCTTTTGAATCAAATTAAAAGAGAAACTTCTATGCTGAATTCAATTGCTTTCTTGCTGATGCAGGTCCATGTTCAGAAGGAGTTTGTAAAATGGATTTTTCTCCTCTGATCTACTCCATTTTAATGATATAACCAAATAATTATGCCTATCTTTCATCTTTTTTATGATGTTATGATTGTGGAACATTCAATGTAAGGTTAGTTTATACTAAATTTCCTTCCTTATTCTAATTATTCATAAATCTATTCACACAAATGCAAATCTCACTCACATAGACTTAAAATTACTGCTAAATGAACTAATCTCTGCTCTTATATTAGACCGTAGTTTCATAACCTTATTTACTCATAAGTTCTTATTTGAACTCTTCAAACTATGGAATCAGATCTGAAACTTGAGTTTTCTTCTTTGATATATAGTTGAGATCAATGTGGAAGAGACTTATGAATTAAGCACTTATATTTTCAATGCACATGTCAAAACTATTAACGATCATGTAAGCTTGATTTTTAAAGTATCTTTCTTGCTTTATGGCAGCAAAGAATTAAGAGCCATTAATCAAAGATGGGATGTATCTAACATAAATAAAGAATGGAAATATATATCCAGATTTATGCTTTCCTATTAAAAGCCTTTCTCGATTTAAGACCCTGCTCTCTTGACTTTAAGTATAACCTTCCAAAAATTGATCATGGTATTGAGCATAAATATTGGGCATCAAGACATTAATCTTTCGATCAAGCAATTCCGATTTTGTGTATCCAAACGTTTTAGCGCATGATTAATTCAATCCTAAAATTCTACTGAAATTGCCATCTTCAGCTGAAATACTGATTAAGGCTGTGGATTCATTAACGAAATCCTTAAGATTATTAATTATTTTTCCTCGATCCATGTCAAAAGTCTATAAATTCTTTAATCTTTCAACAACATCTTCTGCTTCTTCTCTGTCATTGAGTACATCTATCAAATATCTGGAATACATCATCAATAGAGTTGGTGGCATATCAAAATTGATTTTCATAATCCTCTTCCATTAATCATCTAAGACTTTGTCAACATACAACATTCTTAATCCCACTTCATACAATTTCCCTAGATCTGGTGTATCCTCTCTTAGTTTTATCCAAAAATCTAGATGCAATTAAGTTGACTTTTCAATTAGCATTTTAATTTCTCTCAAGTTATTCTCTGCGGTGAATTCATTTACATTTGTCAGATTTCCTGAGTCAAACATTTGTTCTTCTATTATCTTTCGTAATCTGAAAATTAAGAATTACTAATCTAAATAAGGCTTTTCCTATTCAGCCAAGGCTAATTCTTACAGGGCTTGAATGGTCGATTGCATTTTTTCATACAAAAATAAGGCATGGGAAATTCTCAATTCAATACAATTAGGGTAACGAGTTAAACTTAACACATAGATCTTTTCAACAATATAAATTAAGATGACATATTAGGATTTCATGGATAAATCTTTCACGCCCTTCTTAAATTTCTCAATCCTTTTCTCATTCATGTTTTTAGGAGAACAAGGACAATCATCTCTTTTACAAGTTACTTTATGATATTCTACAAATCCATCCAACAACGATGCAATGCTCTCATCTTTGTCATAATAACCAACCAATTTGGTTAAGTATTATAACAATTACAATGATTGATCCAAAGAATCAAATTTATTTGAATCCACCATCATTACTTCATATCTGTACTCTTTACGCACCAAAATTATGATCAATAATAATGGTGTACATATTACCCATAATTAAGGGGCTCCATCATAATCTGTGTTTTCTAGTATCAATCCTAACACAACCATCATCATAGTCCATAGGATAATCATGTGTTAACCATTAAGTAATTTGGCAAAGTAGATGTTTAAGTAAATGCTGGATTTGTTGAAGGAGTGAAATAGCTTAATGGAGAACAGTGTTAAGACTATAATGATCAACAACCTTTAATTTTGTACGTCCAATATTGTAAAACATAAGACCATCACTACTTTAAAAATCAGAAATATCAAATCTTCTCTGCCTGTGACTTTGCATTGAGGATTGTTGATCTAAAATCTCGATTCAAAAAACATCAATGTGACCAGGGTACTTACTGCAATCAATATTATCGAGGCAATACAACACAATAAAACGTGCAATAAATAATTTCCATTATAACATTGTTAATCCTTGTATATCTTATGAATGTGGGTTGAGTTATCACAATTGAATATCGTTAAAAACAACTGCAATATGGGCATGAATAAAACATAATTTAATACTTCAAAAAATATTTTTAAAATCATTAAAGTCCCAGTCATTCTGCCTAAACTTGCTGACTTTAATGCTATGAATAATACAACTATTAGGAGGAGCATAATTAATCCCATAACAATATAATTCACTAAAATATAGGTTTAGAAACTCAAATTTTTCAAATAAGGCTAAATCATAAAGTAACTAAAAAAAGAGTTGAGAGCAGATGTCCATGATTACACTTTCCAAAGCGAAGAAAACTAAATAATTAAATTATTAAACATACTTCATCAGTGAAAAAAAAATGGAATACTTATAAACTTTCAATAAGTATAAAAAATACATAAATAAAGAAAGGGAAATTATCTCCTAAGATCAAGTTATGTACTATTTCGAAAAACATTATTTTAAATGAGTGTTAAATCTTGTCCAGATTTGTTTTATCATCCTCAAACAATGAAGTTCTTTTCATTTTTTATTATATAAATTTTATATATTTAATACTTAATTTTATATAATCCATATTTATATACTGTTAATCAAACAAAAAATACACAATAATCATATCTATTATTGAAATATCCACTCATATCTTTATAACCTTGTTAAAGATGTTGACATTTACATCCAAGCTAACTTCCAAATACTAAAAGCCTTCTAAGAGCTGTACCTATTGTACCAAAGCCAATGGATTTAATTAAGGCTATTTTCTAAGACCACACCGCTTTAATTTTCAATAGAGTTGTGATTTAATATTTTGATTAATTCCAATTTTTTCTAAAGTAGTTAACGTATACAAATATGTATAATATCCTATCTGCTGCAATTTAGAATCGTTTGAATTAAAAACGATCAAAGAATATATTATCCTGTGTTTATATTATTTATCCTATTTTTAATTTATTTAATGGATTTAATTAATATTTCTACAAGAATATTAGAAATGACTTAATTTTCAAATCTCAATAAATATATTAAGATGGATTGTAATTCTTTCCCTTCCAAATATCATTCTGAATTAATATGTGTTATATTCTTATCGTAGCAAGGAGTAATTTATTACTATATCACCATTTTAAATAATAGTAAGGCGGATGAAGACTACGTGCTTCATACTAATTAATTCTAAGTAGTTTTTTTTTTATTAAGATAAACATATATTCTCTGATTCTATTAATAAGTATTAAAAATAATTTTTATTTCTTAAGGCAGACCCTGATGTAATCATTATAAATAAAAGTTTAGGCAGCAAGAAGATTAAGATGAAATAACTTTATCACAATAACTTAAAATCACAAGAAGATTTGCAAAATACTTGTTAAAATAGGCGGGACATTATGATAGAGTTAGAAAGGCATAAAAGGAATATTAAAATCTAGCCAAACGAATAGGAGATTTAACAACAATATTTTCAAAATATGAGATTGATGGGCTGATTTAATATAAGGATGAATAGAATGACTCATTCACAAAATTTATGAAGGATGCAGGACTATACGATCATTAAATTCTCTAATTGTATATTACTTATAAATTTGGTGCTTTAAAAGGAGCAGCTTTTACATTGGATGAATTCATTTTGGGAATGATTCGTTTAAAGTAAATGAAACTCTATAATTTTTAGGTGTAATACTATTAAGGATTTAAAGAATCTTTGTCCTGAATTATTAAAGAAAATATAATAAGAAAATAAATACAAAAAATTGTATAGTTATTACTTCAAAGTAATATCTTTGGGAAAGAATGTGATAAGATTTTCTGAGGCAATCAGTAATTCCTATTTAAATAATCGATAGCTCTTTGGGATTCATTATTGAAAGGTTAATTTAAAGAAATCATTGATTTTATTTCATTTTGCAAAGCCAAACCAGCAGACTTTTAAAATCAAACCAAAGTTAGTTTTGATCTATGGTGTTAAGTGTGGAAATTCTTTGAAACTATAGGAAACGATTATCAGAAGTTTGATGAGAACGGTATTTATTGATTATAGTCTTTAGATGCCTGGCCCCTTCTTATTTATGAATATGTCCAATNTACCAAAGCCAATGGATTTAATTAAGGCTATTTTCTAAGACCACACCGCTTTAATTTTCAATAGAGTTGTGATTTAATATTTTGATTAATTCCAATTTTTTCTAAAGTAGTTAACGTATACAAATATGTATAATATCCTATCTGCTGCAATTTAGAATCGTTTGAATTAAAAACGATCAAAGAATATATTATCCTGTGTTTATATTATTTATCCTATTTTTAATTTATTTAATGGATTTAATTAATATTTCTACAAGAATATTAGAAATGACTTAATTTTCAAATCTCAATAAATATATTAAGATGGATTGTAATTCTTTCCCTTCCAAATATCATTCTGAATTAATATGTGTTATATTCTTATCGTAGCAAGGAGTAATTTATTACTATATCACCATTTTAAATAATAGTAAGGCGGATGAAGACTACGTGCTTCATACTAATTAATTCTAAGTAGTTTTTTTTTTATTAAGATAAACATATATTCTCTGATTCTATTAATAAGTATTAAAAATAATTTTTATTTCTTAAGGCAGACCCTGATGTAATCATTATAAATAAAAGTTTAGGCAGCAAGAAGATTAAGATGAAATAACTTTATCACAATAACTTAAAATCACAAGAAGATTTGCAAAATACTTGTTAAAATAGGCGGGACATTATGATAGAGTTAGAAAGGCATAAAAGGAATATTAAAATCTAGCCAAACGAATAGGAGATTTAACAACAATATTTTCAAAATATGAGATTGATGGGCTGATTTAATATAAGGATGAATAGAATGACTCATTCACAAAATTTATGAAGGATGCAGGACTATACGATCATTAAATTCTCTAATTGTATATTACTTATAAATTTGGTGCTTTAAAAGGAGCAGCTTTTACATTGGATGAATTCATTTTGGGAATGATTCGTTTAAAGTAAATGAAACTCTATAATTTTTAGGTGTAATACTATTAAGGATTTAAAGAATCTTTGTCCTGAATTATTAAAGAAAATATAATAAGAAAATAAATACAAAAAATTGTATAGTTATTACTTCAAAGTAATATCTTTGGGAAAGAATGTGATAAGATTTTCTGAGGCAATCAGTAATTCCTATTTAAATAATCGATAGCTCTTTGGGATTCATTATTGAAAGGTTAATTTAAAGAAATCATTGATTTTATTTCATTTTGCAAAGCCAAACCAGCAGACTTTTAAAATCAAACCAAAGTTAGTTTTGATCTATGGTGTTAAGTGTGGAAATTCTTTGAAACTATAGGAAACGATTATCAGAAGTTTGATGAGAACGGTATTTATTGATTATAGTCTTTAGATGCCTGGCCCCTTCTTATTTATGAATATGTCCAATTTAAAATTAAATGAAATATCGATTTAATAATTAAAATATACAATGTAATCTATTTCACAAATCATCGCGATGATTACCCTTGCGATCATCATGGAATTCATGATTAGAGTGTTCTTTAATAAAGTTTATCAGTCTTTCCCTTTATATTTTGTTAACCTTCTGAATGAATTTGGTGTAGTTTTTATTTCCCTTATATAATCTAATTTTATAGATGTCTGTAGGGTCTGAGAAATCACTGAATTCATTTTGGGTGACATCTGCAATTGCAAATTTGACTTTGCTAATTTAGGCGAGTTATTTGGCGATCTCAGCATATTCAGGTAAAAGTGTTAGACTAGAATATTGGAAATTAAATACTGTTCGGAGTCAAATGAATTATAATAGAAAACAACCCAGTCTTCTGGTGAGTTTATAATTCGTTGATAAGAGTTGCCTGTAAGGATTTCAACATTTTCTGAATAAATTGGATTGTCTAATTTCTGGGATTTATAATGTTTTTGAGCTTTTCCATTTTTGAAATCAAGAATAAATTAGTCCAGATTCTATTTGGTAAATGCTTAATTGAATTTATATTTATAGACCCCATACTTTTGTAATCCAAACAAGGCAGGAGTTCCAGAGAAATCACCTATTTATTTTTAGAGTTCTGGGAACAATTGGTTTGTGACGCTGCATTTGATAAACAGCAAGTGATCTTCATGAGGGTGATCTAGACTAATGGATTTGAGTGCATCATGAGCATTCCTATCTTTCATTTATGTTTCATCGACCAGCAGTATTAAAGTAGATCTGTCTTATTTGAATATCTTTTTGGCAACATCTTCATTATATTCTTGGAGTCTCTAAAACCAATTGGTTTCTATAAAGGCTTTTAAGTCAGCAACCTTAATCTACTTTGGTTAATAGACCACAGGAGATTTATCATATTTTTTGAAAGCCACCAAAGAATCTGTGGGGCCGAACCCTAATTCTAATTATGCGTTTTCTAAAAAAGTGTGATAAAATTCTAAGTTTTCATAGGCATGACTATAATCCTTATACCTTCTAAAACCTCTGTCTTCATCATTTTGAGCCATGTAAAGATACATCAATTGGCTTTGGGATATCTTGTCTTTGATTTATTGAATAGTCTTCAATTCCTTGGTACCTTCATTCAATTATTCGTACATCCACATAATGACACTATCGCTAGTTCTGGGTCCTTCGAATTTCTTGTATTTTTTGCCATGCTCTTGAGATAAGATGACAGATGGATATCCAGTGACTTCAAATTGTTTGGCAATATCTTTGTAATTATGACCATCGACTTTGGCAAAGACAAAGCCTTCTTCTTTCAATTGCTTGGCTGCTTTTTCTACTTCAGGTTGGAATCTTTCGCAATGGCCACATTAAGGAGTGTAGAAGAAGATCATGGATACTTCATTCTTTTCAAAGAATTGTTTAGAATTCTTATCAAACACTACATGCAGATCATTTTCCTCTTTTGCTTAAGCGTAGAGTACGAAGAGGGAGAGAACGAAAAATTGCAAAAACATAAATATAAAATGAATACGTATGTTTCTAGAATATTTTAATAATTATGTTACTTTACACATGTGTTCTAGCAATAACTCTTGTGTTATCCTTGGGTTAAGAGGACTTGGAGTCCGAACTTAGGACGAAATCAAAACGAATAACTTATGAGGACCCAGTATAATCTTTATATCCATAATTAAGGATCCCTATAAAAATCTTATTTAGTGGTTGAAGGATGGCAAGGCGGAGGTGTCTAAAGTGCAGATTGAAGTCAAGAGCGAAGGCTATAGAACACTGAGAGCTTCTCAATTTATTCGATAAGGAGAGTGGGTCCTCTTCGTTCCACGCACTCATTATCTTTCATTGGAGGAAGTCAAGAAAAGTTGTCTCATCAATAGAAAAATGATTCAGCTCAACTATATTCCCAACAACATTCAGACCTACTTTGTCAATCACTTACTCTAAGAGAATAGGAGGTATATACAGTGTTTTTGATTCAAAATAGACAAAATTCCTTTTGGAAACCCTACATAGACGTGTTGCCAAAAGACGTGAGCGGATTTCCAACTTACTTTGATGCAGAGCAAGATGCATTACTTAAGGGATCACCAACATTGTTTACAGTCATGAATCAGAGGAAAATATTCAGGGAGGAGTACGATAATTTGAAAGAGGCAGTGAAAGAATTTCAAAGATATGGATATACCTATAATGATTTTGTTAAATTCAGAATTCTCACTATATCTCGAAGTTTCCCTGTCTATATAGGTGAGAATGAATAACAACAACTATTGGTCCCATTGGCTGGTATATATTATATATATATATGATAGACTTCATCAATCATGATAACAATGGATTTCTGCAATATGGGTATTCTCCAGATGCAGATGGATTCTTTATGTAGGCTGTCAGGAATATCCAGAAGGGAGAGGAGTTATTTTACAATTATGGTCAATGGTCAAACAAATACTTTTTTATGAATTATGGATTTGCCAGTCTAACAAATCCAATGAATCAATTTGATTTTGATGTCTGTTTGGATAGAAATGATAGAATGTTTAAGATGAAAGTTGAGTTGACTGGAGGAAATATTTGTTGGGGTAACAGATTGGTCAATGAAACTGATCATGACACTTTCAGACAATCTTTGGCCACTGTCAGATTCGCTTAGATATCTAAATTGGATGATTTCATGTAATTAGAGGAAGATGTCCAAAATTACAATCAATTTTGGCCAGGATGGCACACTACGCCAAAAACTATTGAGTTGGAGAAGGCTACATTCAAGGCTTTGAGAGACTTGTTAGTTTCTGAATTGGCTAACTTTGCCAGTACGATTGAGGATGATCAAAGAAGATTGAATGATCCTTCGACTCCTGAGTTTAGAAGACATATCATCATGTTGACAATGAGGGAAAAGCAAATCATTAAGAAGAATATTGAAGTTTGCGATATGATGTTGTCTGTCATTGATAAGACTTCGGAAGTATTTATTTATAATTATAAATTTAGTAATTAAAAGATTTAATGAGATATTACAATTATAGGGAAATAGCAAGATTTGTAAATAGTGAGATTATTCCTATGAAATTGGAGGCAGAGGGACTTGCATGATTAAATAGTAAATCCATCTAATATAATTATTGTGACATTTTGAAATTCTCATTTTCAATTTCAATATTAATTATCAAATGTCTTATGGATAAAATTTGTAAGTGTTCAATCCCTAACGATTCAAAAAGATCGAGAAGGAAATGCAATAGAATAAGAAACGCCTAGAAGAAAGTATCCTCATTCTTTTTGATGTTTTTAGTGAGGTTAGAAGAGGAATCCTAAAACACTAGACTCCTAAAAGTGTAATAGAAAGAAAGAACTGTCGATTTGGAATACAAGGATAGGAAAAAGAAGATGGAAGAAACCCAAGAGCAATTAGCTTTTGAGGCACAGAAATTTAATGATGAATAAAGAAGAATGAATCAAGATTTGGAAAGCAAGAAAGACTCTGTTGTGATGTTGAATGATCGAAAAAAGAGATAGGATGATGAAAGGTATGCTAAGGAATAGAAAATTACATTGGCCAAGGAATAGGAAAAGGCATAAGCCTTAAATGAATTGGCTAAGTTACAGTAATCTAAATTAATCTATTCCTAGAGAAGAAGTCAATTAATTAGAAGTTAGAAGAAAGAATCATTAACAATATGAACTATTTTTTAAAAAAGTGATCTCTAAATCAAAAGAATTGGAAACGGGTTAAAATGATGATGAAAATGCTATTAAAGAATTGATTGATCGTTATGAGAGATTAAAGAAGAAGGAAGAGGAATTCAAGAAAGATAGAGAATTGAGAGAAAACCAAAAAGATCAGATCAATCAATAATTTAATGAGGTATATCCTTATCTCATCTATAATTTTAGTTAAATAGTAAAATATAAGCTGAAACCTATGAATTCAATGCTAAGTATAACAAATTGAAGTTGGCTATTCAATAGATCAATGATGAAAATGACTAAAAGCATAAAGAAATAGAGGGGACGCAAAACTAGAACGAAGCTACTCAAAAAGAATATATCTAAGTTATTCATGGAATCTAAAATATGAAGGATATCTTGAAATAGAGAAATAAAATTGTGAAGAGGATTCTCCTATCTGGAAAAGATAGTGATAATGTGACTGAACAGTAGAGAAATAGGAAAAAAGAAAAAAAAATAGATAATCAAAAAATTGAAAAATACTTGAATTTCATAAAGGATGAACTCTAAACTTTATAATAATTTAAATAAGAATTTGATAGATATTTAGCAAAAGAAAAAGAACGTGATTGATTTATTATTTTTACAAATTTAATCAAGAATTTCAATATGATCAGATGCTACAGTCATAATAATAATACATAATTCAAAGGAATATTTTATATTATATTTCTTACTTATTAGATTTTACAATAAAGTTGCTAATTGAGATGTGCTATGATTAAGAATTCATTTCTTGAACCATTATTTATTAAAAAAGGGGTTGGCATAGTTCCTAAAAAAGATGTATCCATCTTAAAATTCATATAATTTAATTATAATTATTGTGGAATATTTAAATTCCTAGTAGTCATGAAATCAACAAAAATCTGTTTGAATTTGCATTCAAAGGTATTTCTTACAAAAACGTAACGAAAATTGTATTAACAATACGTCAGAGCATAAAGGCTTTGTGATAATCTAAGATATTAATTAACAACAATAGTGTGTAATTACAAAATCATTTATTATTAAAATCTTTATGGAAGAGTAAGTGTACATATCTGAGGAAGGAATGAAACACATTCTTAAAGTGTACGACCCATAGGACCCTCATAAGAATATCATATGGACAACTAATTATAGAATGGAGTTACCATTGAGGGTGAGAAAATCTGGAGCAGGAAGTGAAGTACCAATAACTCTTCCCGAACAATTTAAAATGGACTGCTCTCAATTTGCAAAGAAGCCAGCTCTAAGTGTAAAGAGGAATAATAAATGGTAAGAATGTAATTTGAGATATGATTAGGATCACAAGGACTTATTAGGAATATTACAATGAATCACTGTAATTTGCGAAGGCTTTGATAGCATATGGAATAAGTGAGATGAGTGCAGTCAACATAATTGGGTTCAATGCTCCGGAGTGGTTCATCTCTTTCATGGGTAGTATACATTCACACAACTTACCAGTTGGTATTTACACCACGTAAAGTCTTAATATTATACGATAGCAATAACCCTGAGGCCTGTTTCTACGTGTCAGAACATTCAGAATGTGAACTTGTAGTAGTAGATACAAGAGAGTAATTGAATAAATATTTATAAATATGGGATAAATTGCCAAAACTGAAAGGTGTAGTAATATATAATGATGAGATACCAAAAGAAGGAATTAGTGAATAAAGAAGATCTTAGATATTTAAATGGAAGGACTTTTTGGAATTCGGAAAAAAACCAGAATTGATAAATTAGGTGATGGAGAGAGTTTCGAAATTACGTCCTGGAAATTGTGTGACCTTGATATACACATCAGGAACAACTGGTAATCCAAAGGGAGTGATGTTGTCTCATGACAATTACATTTTTACAATCACACAATAGAGAAAGAAATACTAATTTCCTGATTCTGAGGAGATGAGAATAGTGAGTTACCTTCCATTAAGTCATGTAGCAGGATAATTGATTGATATTGTTGGAAGTTGTCGTTGGGGTGCACATATCTACTTTGCAAATCCAGATGCCTTGTCTGGTACACTCATTAACACTCTTAAGGAAGTGAGACCAACAGTTTTCTTTAGTGTTCCTAGAGTATGGGAGAAGATATATGATTAAATGCAATTGATTGCCAAATAGAATGGGGCAATCAAAACAAAGATTGCCACATGGGCCAAATCCATAGGAAAGGAAGGAACCTTCGCATAAACTCATGGATTGAAGCCCCCTCTTTGTTTTGGATTGGCTGACAAATTGGTGTACAACAATGTTAAAAAGGCATTGGGATTGGATTAAGCTAGATATCTGATCTTCGGAGCAGCTCCATTGTCTCCTGTCATCAGAGAGTATTTCCTATCTTTGAATATGTACTTAATCAATGGGTATGGTATGAGTGAATGTGGTGGAGTTACTACTTTAGCAGATCCTTTGCACTTTGATAAATTTGATGATTTCTTTATGAACAGCACTGGTAAAACTATGGAAGGAACTGAGTTGAAAATCGATTAGCCAGACAAAGATGGAAATGGGGAAGTTTGCTATAGAGGAAGACATATCTTCATGGGGTACTTTAAAGATGAAGATTCAACAAGAAATACAGTTGATAAGGACAGGTGGTTACATTCGGGTGATATAGGGAAAATAGACAGCAAGGGCAATTTGACTATTACTGGAAGAATTAAAGAATTAATTATCACTGCAGGGGGAGAGAATGTGGCACCCGTTCTGATTGAGAATGAAGTCAAAAAGACAATTCCAATTATTTCGAATTGTATGGTTATTGGTGATAAAAGAAAATATCTTACCATTTTATTAACCTTAAAACATTAATTGAAGCCTGATGGAACGTAGTTTATTAATTATTATTTATAGACCAACTAATAAGTTACTTGATGATGTAATCTAAGCCTTCCAGTAACTTGGTTCAAATGCAACCACTTTTGAAGATGCCAAAAAGGATCCTATCATCAAAAATTATTTATAGAAGCTTATTGATGATGCAAATACCAGGTAATACATCCTCATTATACTTTAGAGTAATTTCCAAAGCCCAATACATCAGAAAATGGACTCTTATTCCTAGCGATTTCAGCGTTGATGGAGGTGAGTTGACTCCAACTCTCAAATTAAAAAGAAGAGTGGTTGAATAAAAATGGATCAATGAAATTGAGAAAATGTACTAAGATGCCAAATTATGAAATTATAAATAAAATATCATAAACATACAAAGTTGTTATACACCATTTAATTTTGGGTTTAGAAACTCTCTCCTTTCCAAAAGTTCTATATGATTGGCTAAAAGTGAAATAGAAATATACATGTATTCAATTATCGTTCCATAATTATTATGAACTACTTCATAAAATTTACTTAAATTTGAAGTCATATTGAAATTATTATAATTTTAAAATTAAATGTCAGCAACCACTAATTGGACCACTTCCAAGAATGATTTGCTCAAATGGATAAATGAAACATTTAAAGTACTTATTTAATAGAATCTATAAGTTAACCATTACTTAATTAGAAGCACTTGGTACAGGTTGCATATTTTGTTAAATTTTTGAATACTTATACCCTAATTCCATTTAATCAAATAAAGTGGTTTGGAAGGCAAATACTGAGGTGGAATTCATCAAAAACTTTAAGACTCTAGCTGAGGCTTTTACAAAACTTAGTATTTCAAAGTCTTTCGATGTAAATTTTACTTCAAATTCTAGATTCAAAATTTATCAAAAGCAAGATACTAAGACCTGTTAGATCTCGCAATATTTTTCAAAACAAAATTCGATAAATAGGCAGAGAAGAGAATTGGATATGATCCCTTAGAATTTAGAAAAGGGGAAGAAAAAAAAATAATAATTACTCAGAACAGGAAGCCTGTTTCTGCACTTAAAGATAAAACTAATCTTGAAGACTCCAAGGTTTCACCCCAATCTGTATTAGTGAAAAGATCATCTTCAAAGGCTTAAAATCAGAGAAGAAAAAACGAGAGTACTGACCTAACCAAAACGCCTCAATTGTCATCAATAACAGAAATAGTTAATAACACAGAAGATGATGAAGCCACAAAAGTTAAAAAAATAAAACAATTGTTTATCTGAATATAAAATCAATTAGTATCTATAAATTTATCATCGATTTGTTGAGGAATCATCCTTCTGTATATAAGATGATGTACTATCCTTGGCAGAATCAGCTTCATAAAGAAGAGAATCTTTTAGTATTTTAGATTCCTAAAATTATATAAATTCAATACAGCAATTCTCCCATATATACAATTATAAAAACTTATTTTAGCAAAGAACAAGTAAGTGCTTTATAACGACTTTGGAAGGTTAGGCACTAATTATAAATAGAATGCGTAAAAAAATAGAGAGGCATAGTTAAATCCTTGGAGTGCTAATAAGAGTTATGGTAAAAACCAAATGGCTTATAGAGCATATCCCGATTATCTAATGTAATCCGTTTTGATATCAATGAGTTTCTACACCACATTAATTGTCCAAAATATCAGTAGAGTTATAGGTAAGATGTAGAGATTTAATGAGGAACATGCATCGAATTCCCCAACAAAGTTAGTTCTAATTTTAGATTTCAGTTTCTTTGCAGAACAATGAAATTTAATTCCTACCAGGATCAACACAGTCGTAATAGATGTTTATAACCAGAATACAGTTTGAGTATACAAATCCTCTGACTCAATTTCTAGATTGCAAACGTAGTATATTAGTTAGTTGCCCCAAGAGGTTCCATAATGATTGTATTGTGCTTTAAACAGCATTGGTATGCATATGGTAAATGTGAATATGCCAATTCCAAAATGTATCCAATAAATTTATTTAACTTTTTTCCCAATTTAAGAATTCGGATTTAATGTTTACTTAATGATATAGGATGAATATAAGGAAATTAATGTGGATGCCAAAAATGAAGAATTGATGAAGTATCCCTACAATTTACAAACTCGCATAGAATATTTTAATATTACATGTTTCTTGTATGCATTCTTGATCACTCTCGTCGTTCTGTTTAAATTAACAAAAATCATTTTCCTTTGATTTGCCTTCATCATTAAAAATGAATGGTGTTAATACTTGTGGTACATAGAAAAAAAGCATACAAATGATTTGGGTAAAGAAGAGGCTAATTATAAATTTAAAAATTTACATAACTATGAAATATCTCCAACCTTTGCCTAAGATAAATACAATGATGACTCCGATAACTGACAATAAGCTCATAGCTATGCAACAAAATTGAGCAATCAAGATGGGGTTATAGTCATAAAAATACATTTATGCGAAAAATTTGTATAAATAAATAATATTATTCAAAAAGATATTAACCTAATTCAATAAATAATTATTTATTCTTGTTTTTATATAGAAAGTACAGTTTACAATATTCATTATGGGGCAAGCTCATAAAGAATCTGAGGATAGATTCTAGACTTTTTATTTCTACTAGTCTAATAGCATTAACAAATGGCAAAGCATAAATTAAATAGATAGAGAAAATCCACTATTAGATAATCGATGTAAGACTTGTTCACATAATACTCGTATTCTTATTCAAAGTATGGATAACAAGCATCTTTTCTTATATTAAAAATATAAATACGGGATTCCATTATTGATGTTTGAAAATAGGTAGACTGGATGTGATTTGCACCATCCTGAACAATTATACTTTTCCTCCAGATATGCAATGTAAGAATATGAGGCCCCATCAATTTTAATCCACTTTTTACATTTTTAATATTGGGTTATATCACTGATGAGTCTATTGGTTGTGTAATGTATGCGATTATTCTCCAGGTAATCAGAATTCCAGTCTTGGATTTTCTCGATGTAACAAATACAGTCATATTTACAAAATTGAGTTTCCGCCCATAAAATTTACTCCTTTGTTTTCTCAGCAGCAGGTAATTGAGATGTCTTACAATCAAATTTATTATTCAACAACTAATTTTTTAAAATGGTTAATGAAATTGTGATATAGGCTGTCAAAACTCCAATGAAAATGACAAAGCAAGAATAAATGAAAATTATACAGAAATTTGGACAATATGAACTCAACAACCCAGATGCACCCACAATAACAACAGCTAGTCCTACTGAAAATGTAAATACAATTCCCTAAGAATATAATTCTTGATTGAATACTTCGCCATCATTACTTATGCCTCCACTCAATGTCATAAATACTTAAGAGATTAGAACAATCCCCAAAATAATAAAGCAAAAGCAATTTATTCTGATAAACAATTGAATAAACTTTAGGGGCAAGCACATCAATTAAAATTTATAAATATCTATAATTACAAGACTATTCATAATCAAACATATTGTAAAATATATCTTATTATAAATCATCACTTGTGTTTCCTAGCATGATTGTCCACCAAATCGTAAGCCTATTACACTGTTTTGATTTCAGAAATTCTAAAACATAAGATTGACTCCATACCTTTTTCCTTTTCTGACAGCATAGGCAGCATCGTATTATTCTTTGTATTCTCTGGTCTAAATAAGTAATTGTTCAGTCAAACTCAGATCTCTATTAATTATGGTCAATCTTTTCTCTAGAAGCACCTATTTATCAATTCATCATTTACTTTATCATTGGTTCTCTTCTTGATTAATTGTGAGGTGACTTCAAAGTCCTTGGAGAATTTCTCTCTTAATTCAGCAACCTCTTGAATTTGGGTTTAGAAAGTGATCTTAAATTGCTAAATTCAATATCATACCTAACTTTAAGTCTCTTGTTCGTCTTCCTATTACATCAAGGCAATTACTGCATTTCTGATATGTTCCAATTTGTCTATGATTCTTTTGACTGTTGAAACATCGAATTTTGTTGTCAATGAAACCATGATTGCAATTGGATGATTGTGGCCCAATTCTCTCTTGATCTTTTCAACAATCTCGAATTATTCTGTTTGTAATAATGATTTTCCATCTTGATCAAACACTGCAACTTATAATTTTGGAATTATTTCATTTAAAGCTGCCAACACTTTGCCATTGTTCTCCTATCTAGCCTAATATGAAGCGGCTTCTTCAGCTCTTGTTTATCTGAGTTGCTCCTCCTTTCCATTCAAAATATTCAATTATTCTGTAAGTGCATCCAATTACAATTATAATCCAACTAGAACTTGATTGACTTCACTCAACTAATTATTTTTATCCTGTCTCTCCTTTGTGAGATTTCTTAAAACAATAATAAGCCATTCGATATCCAATCCAAGGGTAGTTGTTCTCTAAACAAATATACTTCTTCAATTATTTACATGAGCATATTCAAGATCATCATTTAATTGATCTCTCTTCATTTACTCTAACAAATCACCAACCAAAGCAACTACTTCAGAAACCTTGCCTCCTTGACTGAGTTCCAAATCTAATAAAAATGTGAAATCAGTATGATCAGTCTTGATTGCTTTGATCTCTTTTAGTAAAATTGGCACTCCTGCTTCTAATTCAACCGCAGTAATTCCAAAAACTAACAATCCCAATATGAGGATAGCTTTCATTATTTTATTAATATTAATAAAAACGGGCTTTACACAAATAATTAAAAAGAAATCTGATATTAACCATAATACACTCTCTAATTGTTTTTATCCTTATCTGCTTCACAAAAATTCAGATTCCTATAAATAGAATTCACAATTACGAATTATATATATAAGATAATTGATATTATTATATATATTGCACTATATTCTCATTCTACACACTAACAATTTAATCCTATCTAACAAAATTTATAATTTGAATATCTTTGAATTCTACGATTTTGATTAAGAATGCCTACATATTCATTCAAAAATAAAGTAGATAAATTCAGAGATGAATTATTTAAGGTGATTCATAAGATGATTCATAAGATGAGCTCTTCTTAAATTCCTTATACAATCTCGGTTACTTCAAGCAAAAGGAAGATAATTAAAGATTATGAATGATTATGCTATTAATTTATTAGACATTTTTATACACTGTAAAGTTAATATAATATATCTTTATAAATATGATTGTTTCAATAATAGGAACATCTCCTTCCAAAACTCAACTGTATTAGTTAAAGTAGAAAGAATAAATTACAATGAAGTTTTCAATTTGATGTTTTTTAATGAATGTTTATTACATCAATTATTATTATTTTTACTCTCTTAATAGTGGTAATAATATACTAAATTTAAATACTTCAAACAACTTAATATATGAAAGAGCAATAAATAAAATAGTAAATTTTAAATTACACTATTGCAAAAGTTTGGGATATATTTTATTTAAAATTGCATTGTAAAATTGATGAATTAAATTGAATAAAGTAAAACCTTCAAGAAAACTCAAATTGTAGTACTCTTAGTCTAAATACAGAATGAGATCACAAGAATCAGCTTAATGGATTAAATTTATACTTGTTCAGGTAATTGAATAGTGATACAGGAGTTTTTCAGTTTTGATATTAAATATTTTATTAATCAATGATTGAAAATTAACAAGAAGACCAGATTAGCCCCATTGATTATGGGAAGCATCATGCAGAACCCTAAAAGGATCATCGAGAGTTGAAATACATGGCTACAAAAATTAGCGAACCAAGAGGGAGTGTTCAGTATCCTTAACATGTTTAAGTTGCTATTGAGGATGATAATAGTTCTCAAAATGATTCTAGATGGTATGCTAAGAACGAAACCTACAAATAACTTATTGGAAATGAGAGAACTGGATTCATAAAAAAAGTATTGTATTTTAAATAAGAAGGTCTATTCAATTATGATTATTTAATTGCTTCTAACCATGATCATGTGTTTAATCTCTTACTTGTCACTTGATTATAGGAGGTTCTAACTAGACCATAGTGGCTTTGCTTATCTGGCCTTAGGAATATCAATACTTATAGAATTGCTACTCTTTTGCGTTCCCAAATTTGCATGGAGAGTCCCCTACAATTACATTTTACTGTTTATTTTTACTTTCTGTGAAGGTTATCTGATATCAAATCTGTGCAGTTATGTTTTTGATAGATATAGTGATAATGGAGGTAATTCTCAGTATCCTATCTAGGATTCATTGTTTTGATGGCTGCCAGTCTATCATTGGCTGCCGTGATAGGATTGACGATATACGCTTGCAAAACGAAGTCAGATTTTACTACTAAAGGAGCTCTATTGTTTATGTGTGTTACCTCTTTGATACTCTTTGGAATTATGGCTGGTGTTTACTNTAAATTCCTTATACAATCTCGGTTACTTCAAGCAAAAGGAAGATAATTAAAGATTATGAATGATTATGCTATTAATTTATTAGACATTTTTATACACTGTAAAGTTAATATAATATATCTTTATAAATATGATTGTTTCAATAATAGGAACATCTCCTTCCAAAACTCAACTGTATTAGTTAAAGTAGAAAGAATAAATTACAATGAAGTTTTCAATTTGATGTTTTTTAATGAATGTTTATTACATCAATTATTATTATTTTTACTCTCTTAATAGTGGTAATAATATACTAAATTTAAATACTTCAAACAACTTAATATATGAAAGAGCAATAAATAAAATAGTAAATTTTAAATTACACTATTGCAAAAGTTTGGGATATATTTTATTTAAAATTGCATTGTAAAATTGATGAATTAAATTGAATAAAGTAAAACCTTCAAGAAAACTCAAATTGTAGTACTCTTAGTCTAAATACAGAATGAGATCACAAGAATCAGCTTAATGGATTAAATTTATACTTGTTCAGGTAATTGAATAGTGATACAGGAGTTTTTCAGTTTTGATATTAAATATTTTATTAATCAATGATTGAAAATTAACAAGAAGACCAGATTAGCCCCATTGATTATGGGAAGCATCATGCAGAACCCTAAAAGGATCATCGAGAGTTGAAATACATGGCTACAAAAATTAGCGAACCAAGAGGGAGTGTTCAGTATCCTTAACATGTTTAAGTTGCTATTGAGGATGATAATAGTTCTCAAAATGATTCTAGATGGTATGCTAAGAACGAAACCTACAAATAACTTATTGGAAATGAGAGAACTGGATTCATAAAAAAAGTATTGTATTTTAAATAAGAAGGTCTATTCAATTATGATTATTTAATTGCTTCTAACCATGATCATGTGTTTAATCTCTTACTTGTCACTTGATTATAGGAGGTTCTAACTAGACCATAGTGGCTTTGCTTATCTGGCCTTAGGAATATCAATACTTATAGAATTGCTACTCTTTTGCGTTCCCAAATTTGCATGGAGAGTCCCCTACAATTACATTTTACTGTTTATTTTTACTTTCTGTGAAGGTTATCTGATATCAAATCTGTGCAGTTATGTTTTTGATAGATATAGTGATAATGGAGGTAATTCTCAGTATCCTATCTAGGATTCATTGTTTTGATGGCTGCCAGTCTATCATTGGCTGCCGTGATAGGATTGACGATATACGCTTGCAAAACGAAGTCAGATTTTACTACTAAAGGAGCTCTATTGTTTATGTGTGTTACCTCTTTGATACTCTTTGGAATTATGGCTGGTGTTTACTATCAAAATGTTATTAATCTTCTCTACTCGTTACTTTGTTGCCTTCTGTTTGGTGCTTATTTAATCTATGATACTTAATTAATTTTGGGGGGAAGTGTAATATATTTATAAAATATATGTATTAGACTCACAAATTGTCCATTGATGATTATATCATAGGATCAATGATAATTTATATTGATATTGTGTATCTATTTGCACATATCTTAATGGTATTAATTGCATGTCTTAGATGAAGTTATTTGTTTTAATAATATAACACATACATATCATTAATTCATCCTCTCTAATCTTTCTTCCTTTCATCTTCCACTTTCTTCTCCTTATTTTAAGTTCAAACTCTCAACCATTCAATACAGGGGATAACATCTCCATGAACATAACACAAAATTGTAAAGTAAATCTTAGTTTCTTTGTATTTTGAATTTCGCCTTATGCATACTAATTCATCATTATTTTATATCGAGTTTATTTGAGTCAATAATACCTTGATGTATTTAAATCTGATTTGAAACAATTTCAATATTCATCATTTTATTTTTTATTTAATTATTTACTACTTTAATAATTAGCACCTCATTTGAATTAAAATATTTCATCCTACTATCAACTTCTCTTTTGCATTTCATCCTAGTCTGCAAAGATCTTTCTTAATTCCTAATTTATTATATCACCATTCTTATACGTTTGAGTTTAAATATTGCTTAGCGTTAGATTAAATCATTGAATATTATTTCCTGTAAACAATTCAATAATATATTGTAAATGAATCTCTTCTTAAAGGAAGCATCTATTGTTGTTGTTTATGTAAGTGTATTTGACATAAAATTAGATGAAAATTAAGAGCCAATATCAACTTTGATTTACATAACAGGGTCAAAAGGGAAAATGACAGGACATATTATTTTAAATTCAAATAATTGCTATAAACTATAATATCTTTAAATTTAATAATATATAAAAATTACTTAATTCTCTAAGATTTATTATATTTTAAGATATTATAGTTTTACTTTCAGGTTCATTACCTTCATTTTCTTAATTATATTTCACTATTATCATAATCATTATCTTCTTAATTTTCATCATCAACTTCATAATTATCACTATCTAAATCATCTTATAATACTGCTTAATTTATTTTTTCATCTAATTTTATAAATTTGCCATAAGTTCATCACTTTAGATGTTTATGATTTAGACTATTTATTTAGGAGTATATTAACATGTCTAATTTAGCTTCATTAAGATACAAAATCTTTATTGAATTGGCTTCATTTAATTTCTATTTATCAGCTTTGCGTTATTTACTGTTATTTATTATTTCATCATAGATTTCTGTTTGGCTTTCTTTATTTGTTCTTGAGTTTTTACAATCAAACTAAAATTATCGATAGTTTTTAGCAAATCCTTTAGACAATTCATAACCTGAAATTACAATTGCTTAATCTTTATAATTTTTAAGATCAATTTCATTCTACTTCTTCATTATCGCTATCTAAAATTAATAAATCCTATTTTGGATCCTTCCCTTATTTAGTTTTCATTTGTTATAACTTTCTTGGTTAACTTTCTTTTATATCTTCTTATATAGATTTTCAATATGTCACTCAAATTGATTAGTTATCCTCAATATTAAATGCATATATTATAAAATAATGTTATACTTAATTAAAAGAAAATATACAAAAGTCAATCAAAAATATCATCGTAATTATCCTTACTTTTATTTTCTACTTCTCTTTGTATTTATTCATTCTGCGCTTATTGCTCCATATATTTTTCATATATTTATCTTTCCTCTTCTGAATCTAACTCTTTTGATTTTTTATCTAATTTGATTTTCTTTTCTACTACCTTCTTATCTGAACCTTATTTCTCATTCTCATCTTCTAATTCATCTTCAGCATAAGAAGGTATATTTTCAACAACCTTCTTCTTGGAATCCAATTATTTCTTCTATGAAGTAATTTAGAGTGGTTGAAACTCTTCAATAATTTAATCATCATCAATCTTCTTAGCCTTTTCAAGATACTTAGTAAGCATGCTTCTCATCTCGTTGATTTCTGGACGAAAAGTGTGTGTTTACAATCTCCAATAGATTTCCCCTTAAGATGGAGGTTTCAGATCCAATCCCAAGAATATGGCCTGAACAGATCCTTTTTCAAAAAACTCAAATTGTAATTTATCTAAGGGTGGGATAGGCATTTCAATAGATCTTAAACATAACAAAATATTATTACTCCTATCCTCTGTAATCAACATAGTTTTCTAATGTTGAAAACAAGTGATTGAAAAACTAATTTAAACTTTCTTCTCCAACTTCCTACAAGAGACTCTTAACACTCTTGGCCATAATTTCAACTTTCTTCATGGAAATCATCTCGTATTATTATTGATACAATGCAATGGCTTTTTCATTTCCCTCTTCCAATCTAAATTTTCGAATTCTCTTTCTTATTTCTGCAGGAGATTTAATAGTGAAACCGTTCTAACTGAGTAAAAGACTCAATTGTTCTTCAGGTTGTTCACAATCCTTGTACTTTTCATAATTTTCAATTAGAATCTTATCCTCCTTCTAAGTCCAAATAACTTTCTTTTTTGGACCTTCTTATTGATAATTTTCAACGTCAGCTCCTCCTTCTACGACTGAATCTTAATAGTTTTTGAGAATAGAATCTTTTGTTGCAGCATTGGGAAATCTGAATAGAATTTCAACACTCATTAATCTATTCACTTTGAATAATTAAACAAAACTGATTCCGATTCTTCTAAACAATTAGATCAAGTTCAAGAACTCACTTTTATACTAACAAATATGATCACATAATTACTGTTAACTATTTATTTTAGACAATTGAATTGATGACATAAAGAAAATCTAATTAAAAGAAGATCCAATCTGCTTTTAGAGTGTCAACAATTCTTTTAAAATACTTATAAATTGCTATGTTAAGTTCTGATGAATTTCTTAATAGTTTGCTATTAAAAATAATGAGTATTAACTTACTCTTCTTTGATTAAATAGAAATACTTTTCCAATACTTTGTAGTCGACAATGATTGCAAATTCTGACACAAAATTACATCTTCTTTCTTTATAAATGGGCTAATCATCATCAGTTTCATTCTCGTCATCTTCTTCTTCATTTTCCTCATCCTCTTCATCTTCTCTCATTGAATGTTCCTCATCTGGACCTTTTTCAATAAAATCATTATCCTCTTCATTTGGTTGATCCTACTTTCTCTTTCTTCCTCTATTCGCCTTATTTTACTGCTTTTTGATTTTCTTCTTCAATAATTTATTTGTTCTTATTGACCATGCTTTTCCTTAGGTATGCAATTCCAATAGATCATAATATAGGGCTGTCAACTTAACTAAAGTCGACAACATCTGATCATTAAACAATCCGAATTGGCAATACCCGTATCCGATTGAGATGGCCTTGGCTATGTCTTGAGTGACAATGGTTTATAAAAGGATTTAACTGTTTCTTCGATCTGTTTATTCGACTGAGAGTGACAGTTCTCTAACGATCATAAGAAATTCGAACAAGACATTAATAACTGCGAAGAAATTTCTATAATTGAAATTCTTCTTTCTAAGTTAGGTGCTTTCATTAATCAAATTGCTATAAATGAAATTGAATTAAGTAATTTAAAGAGCTGCTTACACAGAGACGAATTCTGATGACAATTGTCCTTGATTATTTTCTTTATTTTATTTACAATGAAATCTTATAAATTTTAAGAAATGCGAAATCAAAACAAAATAATGGACTTTGTCATCAGAATCGACGATCTCTTTGTTCATTTCAATAAAGGCTTGATCAATCAATTTGCTAAAACAATGAATCAAGAAATCTATAGTGGAATGTCTCAATTCTTCCTTGAAGTTTTTCTCCTTCTCCGGATCATAGAGATCAATAGTTAAGGGCTTTACAAAAATGGTTTTCTGCTTCGATATGAGTGCTCTAACCTAAGGTTTTTGTCGTTGATTTGCTAACTTATTTACTTGATGCTGATGGAAGGGTTGACTACTTATCTACCCAGATTGAGAGAGAACTCTCTTAGTAACAAATAGCCCAGGAAATCTTGAATGTCTGGTTGGAATAGTACTCAAATGCTATTGTTTCTATAATCTATACTACTGGGCTTGTTTCAAAATGAGTTCTTTCTCCTGCTCCGAATCCCTTAATATCCACTCTGGATCAAAGGGTGTTAAGGCATAATAGAAGATCTCCATGAGCGGAAGGGCTATCCTTTGCATGAACGAGGATTTGAAATCCTGAGATATGTAGATAAAAGCAGAGAGCACAGATTCCTTAATCATACAATAAATGAAGTTCCTTTGAAGATTCCTTTTGACTTCCTTACCACTTTCCAGTCCGATTTTGGTTTCCTCGATGTCAGGAATCGAGAGGAGATTCTTGAATAGCAAAACAATCAACTCTATCATATCATTGTGCACCTTCGTTCTACATTCTTAGTCGATTTAAATACATTCGGCAAAGTGATTGATCAAAGTTTGTAATACGATTGGTTTTAAAAAATATAGTTTATATTCCTGGAGAGTGTCCAACATTTGAGGAGCGTTTGGAGTTTGCAATTTAATGCCTGCCCTATCTACATTCGTTAATTATTCCATCAGGATCACGACATAATAGGAAAGCACCTTGTCTTGGGGATAACATGTCAATAGATTGATCAAGTTGAGTTGAAACACTCTGTATTTTGCCAAATAAATTCTTGCTATAGGTTTATCAGGTATATCCTTTTTGCATTGTTGACACAAGTGTTTTAGTGCCCCTTCAGCTTTTTCTCCTTTGGCATACACATTCATATTATCAACTTTGGTGAATGTACCCAACCCCTATATTGAAAGTAGCAATTAGGTCGTGTAATATCTCTAATCATTACGTTCCTCGTCCTCAATAAGACGCTCTTCAAAATTCGATTCCGAATCAAAATCTCTATCCATAAATTATTGGCGGTAATTTTAATTATAAAATAATTCATTTCATTTTCTTTCTTTAAAGGGATTGATCAAATGCTAATATTTATTAAGTTATTAAAATTCTATTTATTTTCATAATCACATAGTGTTTTTGAGTTTATCCATTGAGGAGAATATAATAAATGGAGAAACACTCCAACAAATATGCTGTAATACATAACTATGTTTATGAGTTTTAATGAAATCTATAAGAAAAATAAATCAATTTTATTGTTTATTGAGCATTTCTTTGAGTTCTTTATTTTCCTTATATAACTTCTTTAATATCTCTTCAGTGACCAATAGTTTTTCAATTAATTACTCTCTGGTTAAATTATCATATGTCCCTAACAATCCTACTTTAGGCTCAACTCTTTTTTCCTCTTTCTAACTTTGTTTCTTCATTATTGATACTGTTAAATTAATTATTATTTAATTCACTATGAAAGATGAAGACTCAAAATAAGTGTAGAACTACATTTTATGTAAATCTATTCTCTTTAGCAAGAGCGCACGTTGGGCCAAGGAACTTTTGGCAAAGTCTAATTGGGATATCACACTATTGCAGATGAATATGTAATATTGATACTAAAACTCATAAGGTAGCAATCAAAATCCTTGAGAAGAGGATGATCGAAAAACAAAGTGATTTGGTCAGAGTTTAAAGGGAAATCTCAATCCTCAAAAAAGTTAGTCATCCAAATGTAATCAAATTGTATGAGGTAATTTTATCATAATCAAAACAAGATCATAGAATCAGAGTCATGTGTGTATCTAGTGATGGAATATGTGAAGGGTGGAGAATTGTATGAATACATAATTAAGAAGAAATAGTAATCTGAATCCTAATTGAAATTAGCCTACCAGAAAATATAGCAGTACGCTACTTTTAGTAGTTGATCTTTGCAACTGAATATTTGCATTCCTAATACATAACTCATAGAGATTTGAAACCAGAAAACCTTTTGCTCGATGAGAATCGATAATTAAAGATTGCCGACTTTGGTTTAAGCTTTATCTCCTAAACTCAAGGCGAATATCTTAAAACCGCTTGTGGATCTCCTTGCTATGCTGCACCTGAGATGCTCGGTATACATTAAAAATAATAAGTGGGTAAAACTTATGAGGGAACCAAAAGTGATATCTGGAGTTGTGGCATCATTTTATTTGCTATGCTATGTGGATATTTACCTTTTGAACATGAAAACACATAACAATTATATGAATTAATAAAGACTAGCGATTTTGAAAAGCCTGAATACTTATCCAAGAATGCCAAAGATCTATTAACAAGTATTCTAGTCAAAGATCCAAATAGAAGAATTAATATTGAATAAATTAAATAACATCCATTTTTTTTGTAGCACACATCCATCCCATCCAAGAATCTGAGTTTGAATGACTAAGGAATCATTGCAAAAATGATAGAAATGGGGTATCAACAAAATTAAATTATAACCTAATTGTAATAAAATAAACATAATACACTAACTACCATATATTACTTGTTATAAAAAAAATGCAATCAACCTCAGAAAAGAGGCTTTTTTCAAAATATTCAAAATATTGGTAATCTCAAACTTGATATCAATCAAAAACGATTTACAATTTCAAAGTTTCAGCCCTCTCAATAAGGGTCACCTATTTTAGAGAAAATAGATAAGACCAAATAATCCATTAGGCCAAAATTAGAGTTTTCACCCTATTTAAAGACTTAGATTTCCTAAAAATTCAAGAAAGTTAATTTATCGGTTTAGTCTAAAAGAGTGAGTGTTCAAATAGAGAACTAAAGATAAAAGACTAATTCTGTTTAAGAAAAACATTGCGAAAGGCCTTGCATTTTCACACAACTTATCTAGGATCAGAAGTACATTATAAATTGAATACTTTAGATCTAGAAGTTAATCTAGAAAAAACTCAAAACATTAGGCCTCTATCTAAAGGAGAGATTTAGAATAGGCAATAAAAACTGATAATAATGAGGAGAACTTAAGTAATTAGAAAGGTATTTATGCTTAAGTAAGATAAAGAAATAAAACTCAACCAAATAAAAATGATGAAGGATCAAAATACTTTGAAAAAGCATCAAAATTGAATACATCTCATTAGGTATTTAGCTAATTAAAATTAGATGGCTGAGAAGAATCCATAATACTCCCCTTATATAAACATGAATATTAGTAATCATAGACAACTGTTTAAATAGATTTATAATGGAAATTTGTATGATTTGATGAAGAAAAAAGGTGAGTTCAAAACCAGAATATTATGAAGAATTTGCAGTGATTTAAAACTTATACATAGTTAAATTACTATTATATATAAAAATGTTTAATTAGATTCTATGTATAATGATGATGATATCATTATATTATTGTAGAACCAAGGAGGAATGGAAAAATAGAACCATCTATTAATTGTTAACTGATCGATATGCTTCCACAAAATCAAATAGTACAAGCTGTAATTTAGGGAACTACTGTGGAGGAAACTTCAAAGGAATTGAAAAGAATTTAGATTACATAAAAAGTATCATTTTTATTTGATTCGAAGATTTGGGCTTTGATGCTATTTGGATCTCCCCCATAGTTCAAAATTACGATGGAGCTTATCATGGATATGCTGCTAAAAATATCTATTAAATTAATGAGCATTTCGGAACAGCATAGGATCTAAAGGATCTTGTAAATGCATGCCATTAGAAGGATATCTGGGTTATGATTGACATAGTAGCTAATCATATGGGAAATCAAGATCTAGATTTTTCACGTAATTATCCTTTTAACTAATCATCCCACTTTCATGATTTATGTGAGATTTCGGATTCAGATTTCGCTACTCATAATCTAGTGAATATAGAAAGATGTAGGTTATTTATGTTGGCTGATTTGAATTAAGATAATACTTATGTAGCAAATGAATTGATTAATTGGATTAAATGGGTAGTGAGTGAATTCAATATTGATGGTATCAGAATAGATACAGCAATGATGGTAAAGGGAGAATTTTGGAAGAAGTTTACAGAAGCAACAGGGATTTATTCAATAGGTGAGGTTTTTGATGGAGACATGGGATTCTTGAAACAATTCATAGGGCCAATGGATGGCTTATTAAATTACCCTTTGTTTTTTACTCTGAGAGATGTGTTTTTACATTGGGGTGATATGTACAGAATTGAAAGCTTTTATTATAATCAATTATAAACATATGGTAAGAACAATATTCCTTATATGGCACAATTTAATGACAATCACGACAATGCTAGATTTTTGAGTGATGAAGTCAACGGTGTATAGGCTTCAGCACTGAAAATACTCTAATTTAAAGCTTTTACAGCCTTTACTCTGACATCCATCGGGGTTCCAATAATGTATTATGGATCGGAATAGTTATTCACTGGAGGCGGAGATCCAAAGAATAGAGAGATAATGTGGAATTCTTTTAATGAGTAATTGTCTTTATTTATGAAATTTTAGAAATTCGGATACTTATAAATTTATCAAAAAGATAAATTAGGCAAGAAAAGCAGTTAATGCAGGAGCATAAGATCAAGTGCAGAGATATGCAGATAATGATTTCTATGCATTCACTAGAGGTCAATTATTTGCTGCCTTTACTAGCAAATATGACAGAGATGTGATAAGGAAGATAACTTATCATCCTTATGCTGAAGGAACCAAATTATGCAATGTGTTATTCACTGGAGACTGTGTTTTAGTGCAAAATGGATCTTTTTAGGTTTATTTAAGAAATGGAGAAGTGAAGATCTTTTTACCTGATAACATAGTCGTAGAAATGGAATGAATAATTTTAACCCATCATTTTATATTTCATACAATAATCATGCATCTTCCACTTTTTCAGTGACTTCTTCTTAAGTGGTACCATCATTCATAGTATAAATTTTAGTGGTTATAATGTGTTTTTTACCACCTTTGACAACAGTTTTAACCTTCTTCTAAACTTTCTTAGCCCCTGGAATCAACTTTTCTTTTCCTTCATCTTTTTTGTCATCATCATCATCATCCTTTTATTTTTTCTCTTATTTCTTTTTTTTCTCCTTCTCCTATTCTCCCTATTACTATTCTTGTTTGCCTCCTTGAGTGAATTTTGAAGCAAAATCAAAGACAAACACAAACTTGAAGGCCTTATGAGGAGCTCCAAAAATACCCACTTATTTATAGGCAGGCTCAAAGAAATTAGATCTGTGTCCTCTGCTTGGAACACCATCATCCACAATCAATTATATGACAACTAAAAATCTTAAACTTATAAATTTACTATCTTCAGCTGTGGATTTTCCAAAACTTATATTCTCACCAATTGTGCCTGGTTTCCATGAACCATGTCTTTCTATTCTTTGTTTTGTAGTTGAATGATCACTTCCCTCATGTCCAGTCAGACCATTAGTTCCTAGAATCATATTCTGTATTACCTAGATCCTCTGCATGATCTCTTGCTGCTTCTTCCAGTCCTTTTTCATAAGTCAAGGGTCCAACTGGTTTCTGTTTTTTAAGGAAATCGATGCATTCTAAGTTAAGATACTTGATCTACCTTGAACAGAACTTGCACCTTCCTTTGTATTGGTAGCCTAAGTTCCTGGTAAGTGTAGGATCTTATCTTTAAAGTATTTGAGCCTATTTTCTAGAACTGGAATCATTAGAGATGGGTCTTATCGCACTTTATTCTGTAATTCAAAAACTTCCTTAGCCAGTGCAGAATAATTCATTTAATTTTATTTTAATAATTTATATTATTTAGATTCAATTTAAATCACCTGATTATAAAATCTTTTCCTATAAACAATACCAAGTCCTATCGCCATATTTCTCTTTAAGTAAATTGGTTTCATTTCTATTTTGAGATTATTGATTGTTGTTTGGTAGTAGGGATTAAATGTCCATTAACATTTTATTATTTATAAGATGATAGTAACATTCACAGAGTTAGTCTATCTTCTGAAGAATATTAAACTACACTAATAAACATCATTTAAATTTCTCGCTTAGACAATAAATTTTATAATGAAAATATTAATATAATATCTAAAGAATTTAAATGTAAATAGTTGCATAAAATTCATTTAAAGGATTTATAAACATAAACACACATCAGTTACTATCTTCATCTTCTTATTACTCTTCATCTTCTTATTATTATTCTTCATCCTCTGAAAAATTTTGTTAAAAATCTTCAAACTATTAGTCGATTTATTTCTTTTCTTTCACTCTAAATACTTTTCCAACAAAGCTTATTCCAAAAGTGGAATCAGATTTAAACTTAATGCTAATAAGTCCTGATTCAGAAATTTCTCTGCTCCCTTCAAAAATATCAACTAATATTTCAAGAGCAATTTTATGTGTAATAACGATATACACCTATTTGGCATTATCTTTGCTATTCTATAATTTGTGTGTGAGCTGATAGATAACTGCTCCTAATCTTTCTTCGACTTATTCGCTATTCTCCTTCTTATAATTATTTTAAGGCAATTGTTTTGGATCAATCAAGGTTTCTTTCGTTACAGACTTCATTTAAGCTCCTGCAAAATCCAAACTGACTTCTTCTGCTGAACATAAATATGGATGCTAATAATCTCCCAATTCATATTGTGTAAATATTTTGTCATATTTTTTCTTAAACTTTAACTCTTTTGATTCGATATTAGATTTGATAATTTCTGCAGTTTATAAGCACTTCTTGAATGGAGATGAACAAATGATTAGGTTGATATCAGACAACTCAAAATCATTCTCATTACAATAATCCTAAATTTAGGTTTTAACTTCCTTTGCCCTTTTCATTGCTTAATTTACACCTGTTTCATTTAATCCATCCTATTACTTATCTCTTTCTCCATTTCTAACAAAAATAATCATCTTAAATTTTTATAATTGTTTTTATATTGTCAATATTTTCTTAATTACACAATATAAATTTCTTTATTAATTTGACACTCTATCAGATATAATCAGAAATTATCATTTTAGGATATTCTTTTGTTTAGCTAAGAATATTTCACCACTTTTACTTAGCTAATATATCTTCAAATCAAATCCTAGTGTTTATTTCATATTCTTCCAAATGATTGCTAATATATTTCTAAAAATTGAAATTCAATTCAATTTACAAAACTTTAAATTTTTTAATTGTTTTAATTTATATCTGCAAACCCCATAAATTCAAAAATTTAACCTACTAATGAGCAACCTATTAAACTAATCAAAAATTTTAAAAAGGATTCTTTAAAAGAGTTCTCTGAAAAATGATTCTATTTAAGTATGGAACTATTCTCTTTGAATTTGAAGATAGATAGAGATTATAGAGATTAATATAGTTATATATTAAAAATTTGATACAATTTGGAAGCAATGATTAGAATTTAGGAGACTCCTTAAGATATATTTTGGTTATGATACAAAGATAAATGTCTTTTTTCATTTAAGTTTGGAAACCTAAAGAGTATCATAAGATTTCTAATTTCATTAAATAGATTTTTAAGTGTCTTATAAATATGTTATTAACAATAAAAATGACTTCAATAAGGATGAAATGAATTCTTTCAAATAAATAGTCGGGAGTAATTGAATTGTAAATTTAATTATTCAATAAATTATAACAATCTTCAAGAAATAAGAAATTCATGAAGTGGATGATGAAAACGAATTTAAAATATGTAATTTAATGTAATCACAACTACATCATTAGTTTCTATGCTTTTTTAAAACTGTTTAGCATATCTTCTAGTTATTCTGGAAATATCACAAATTGACAACACTCTTACTTTCCATTATCATGCTAGAATGTTATGTTCGTGTCAATAAATCTGTTGCCTTCAATTTATTTTTAAGGAACCACACTCTCAGATACTATGAATTTACTTATTCCATAATGGAACTCTACAGCCTTTCCAACTTCGAATAATATTATTATTATACTTCTTATTATTTAGTTCTCGTAAACCTATTACAATTTATCCTTATATTATTTAAAGGTCTTGCTCAACTATTCACAGTTTTCTTTAGGCAAACCCAAATCAATAAGCTCTTTTATTAAAATCTATTCTGAAACATCATATTTTGCAGAGTTTTCAACTATATATGATACACATGCAATAGTTGAATTGATTTCCTATTAATTAAAACCTGATCCTTCCAACATCTTAAATATCTTTGCTGAAGTGTCGATTCCTTCAACTATATTCTATAAAATGTACTATGTCACTAATTTCATTTTGACAGAAGCCTAAACTTATATTGCAACACTAGTACAATTTTAGTCAGAAGGGCTGATTCAGCCAAAAACCATTCAGGACAATTGCTGTCTCCACAAAATAAAAATCTCATAATATTAATATTTATGCATTCTTATATATTTCAAAAACTTGATTGTTATAAATGAATAAAAATACTCCTTAAAATTTAGTTACCTTCCATTAAAATTTGAAACGCCCTTCATAAACATTCAAAAGCATTCTCAAAGCCTAGCTCCAACTATACTTTCCTATAAATAGCAAAGATAATATTTAACTTCTTTAGTTATAAATAACTAAAATATAACATTCCCTCTTTTTCCCATCAAATTAACAAACTCTGAACTAAGGAAACCATTACAAGAACATTTTATATATTTTTGAATAGTAGCTAGAATAATTGCATTCAAAAAAATAAATAATTAATCCATGATTTCTTACACACTTGTAGAGAAAAGCATTTATTTAAGTGATAAAGATTGTCTTATATAAATATTTGTATTTGACAGATGTTTTTAATGTATATAATTTATCAGGCAACAAGTATACATGCTCCACCAACAGCCTTAATTCTTCTTTCTGCAGTTTTGCTAAAGAATTTAGCTTTCACCACAACAGGTTGATTTGGCAATCTTCCTTTGCCCAAGACCTTAAAATAACCTGCCTTGGTAACATCAATCACTGCAGCCTTATCCTTAGATTTGGAATATTTTTCTCTGGTTTCATCTGTAACAAGTGACCATAATTTGTCAATGTTAACGACTGGTTTATGTAGTTAGTTCTTTTTCAAATGAAAGTGTCTCATTCCAGTCTATGATTTAACTAATCAAATGTACTTTTTGGAAATATCCAGGATGGTATTTGTTAAAGTTGATTCTATGATGTGTCAAACCTCCTGAAACACCTCTACCGCTTGGATGTTTTCTATGCTTGCCAACTCTACCATAACCATGGCAAACATGTCCTCTCATCTTTCTGCATTTTCTTAATCTGCTGACCATATTTTTATATTTTAAAAAAGATTTAAATATGAGATTAATATACAAGTTCAATATCCCTAAACAAATTATATATATTTCTCACAAAAAGAATTAGGAGTTCCTTAAACCTTTGCAAATAAGGAGTTCAAAAAATAAATAATAAATAAATGATGATATTAAAATAGTAATTCAATTTGCTGATGTCCTTGTTTTGAAAGGAGATTAATCATGCTATACTACTAAATGGATAAAGTATTATTATTAACCGATTAGAGTAAATTATAGAATTAATAAATATAACCTAGTTGAATTATCTCATCATTTATTCACTATTCTTAATGAAATTATTATTAAAAAATGCTAAATTATTAGCTCGATAATCAATATCTAATAAGACTATAATATTGTGATTTCTATTTGATCTACATCTGTTTCACTATGATATAGTGGTTTAGACTTCTTCAACTTTGTTTATGATAATAAGCATGAACTATTTATTATTAATCTACAATCGGTTAGTCTCAATATATTCTGAAGTGGACCATAAATTTAAATTTTTAATTTAATTTTTTCAACAATAAGTAAAGGTCAAACCATTCTCACATTAGTATCATTTAATTCTAACTTCTAATAAGGTATTTAATTTTTTATTTGAATTTAATTTAATGTTAGATTTATATAATTTATATTTAAAATCGTATACAAAAATGAAATGATTAATTTTTAGAACTTTCCGAATTCTTTTAAGATTATTTAACATGGTTTTTGAATTTATGTATAATATTATTTATTTGAATGAAGAAAAATCAATTCGGACTTTTAGAAGATCTAACAGAGCCAGGACTTGTTAAAAAAAGTAATGACGTATCTTGGAAGAATGACTAAATTTATAAATAAACAAATTTTGAAAAAAATACTACGTATTTCCATATAATGGGTAAAACTTCAAACTTAAGTTTATAAAGGTCATGAAGAATCTCATGCGGTAAGAAGAAGAGAAATATTGAAAAAGCATCCAGAAATATAAGTGTTATTTGGAAATGACATCAATTCAGCTTGGTTAGGAATCACATTTGTATTGGTGCAATTCAGCTTCATTAGTCTTTTCAACTAACTCAGTCTATTTTGGTTTGTGATAACTGCTTATGTTTTTGGTGCCACATTGAGTCATGCACTGCATGTTTTGGTTCATGATTTTACGCATTTTACATGTTTTGAAAGCATAGCACTTAATAAATTGATGGCTATATGGGCAAACTTTGGATAAGGAGTTCCCTCAGCGATCACTTTTGGCAGGTATAGATACATAATTAAATGTGTTTAGATATCATGCAGATCATCATACCTTTTTGAATTTGGAAACGTTAGATCCAGATCTCCCATCCAGATTAGAATTAAAGTATGTAAAAGGGCCAGTTATGAAATTTTTATTTGTGGCTTGCCTACCCTTATTTTATGCATTAAGACCTGTGATTTTAAGGCCACTTAAGCCAAATGCTTAAGAAGTAATTAATGCAGTCTCTGTCTTATTTGTGGATTATTTGATAGTTCAATATATAGGAGTATCAGGACTACTTTGGCTATTATTATCTACTTATTTTGGGTTGAGGTATCAATATTAGTCTAATTTAGTGTTCATCCTTTTGCTGCTCACCTGCTAGCAGAACATTATGAGTTTGTTAATAGAATGGAAACATATGATTATATTGGTTGGGCTAATTTCTTTGTTCTTAATATTGGATATCACACTGAACATCATGATTTTCCTATGATTCCCTGGACTAGATTACCATTACTAAGAAAAATGGTTCCAGAATACTATGAGAATCTGCCATGTCATACAAATTATGTGCATACATTACTTGCATATATTTTTGATGGATATATAGGACCCTTTTCTAGGATTGTTAGGTCTTCGCCTGTATATTTCAAAAAATGATCCTTTAATTTAAATTGTAAAATACATATTTTATTTCATAAACTCTTCCATTACTACATAATAGATTTCATACACAATTCATTTGAAAAAACGAAAATCTGATTGGCCCATCTTTCATCCTGTTGAGAATGTTAACCTGGGATAAGCATCGTTCTATAATGTTCAAATTCAAATGATTATGTCAATAGTTCAAAATGAATTAGTAACAGCACACAAATACCAAACCTTATACTATTACATTATTGAAACAGGATAATTAAAGTCTTGTTAAATATGTTATTAATCTATTCCAATAAGTTTTTAGGTGCCTCTCTGCTGGAAATTTTCTTTAGGAGTTTAAAAAAATCAAAGTAGATTTAATTGTTAATTAAATTATGGTTTTTTTGAAATTAAATAAATGTGAATTATCCAATAATTAAAGATTCTCTTATTCATTATCTCCTTCATTAATGATGATATTTCAATATTTAAAAATACCAATACATCTATAAATGGTTGGTTAATTATAATATTTTATCAATATTATGATAAATAACTAAAATCCTGAATGCTTAATTAAAGTGCAAAATACATTGATACTACATACTATAAAATTTAATTAAATTCCAAAAAAATAGAATGGATGTCTTAGATTTACCTTATCTATGTTTGCTATATGATTTAAGTTTTGCATCATTAAAGTAATTAATTTAAAAGAAATTTATAATTTATAATAAATAATAAAATACTAGTAATGGAAGAACAACAAATAAAAAATAGAAAGAATAGAATAACACTTTCACTTCACTAACCATTACAATATACTATCTAAAAAATATTCGAGGAAGGTTTAGAGCTAAATCTGAAACCTATAATACAATCGTCGACTAATGTAGCAATTTTAGTCTAATTAGATTATGAAATCAAATAAATCTCAAAAGTAGAATAAAATGCAACTATTTTATAATGCGAAATTACATAACATCACAATCACAGATATTGCTGATGAATCTAAAACGCGCATGAATCATTCGGTAAAAATTTTACGGACTGAAACCAAAGAAGATTTAAATTAGCGTGTTTAGACTCTACCTATAAAGAATACAACTATGAAAAACTCTTAGGTAAAGAGAAGGAGGCTTAAATTACGTATTTCTGTTATTAATCAAATGATGATGTATTCTGAAGAATAATTATAAGAAAAATGCATTGACATATTCCGAAAACTGGCTAAGCCCATAGCAGGAATACCAATATTGGAGCAAAGCAGACTTTATTAATATTTGATACAGATTTTTCATAATGAATAGATTGCCACAAAAACAGTTAGATATTTGTAAGTCCCTCAAAACATGAATTATAAGCAATACTGCGATATGATCATGGGTTTCAATGATTGGACCAAAGTTGGTAATTCATGATTTTATTTAGATATTCTGTTTTACTGTTTTTATGTGTTTTAAGACAATTACTCTGCGATATTGGATTCCAACTCCTTATTTTAATTACTAACTTCGGAGTAATGCTTTTCGGACGATGCAAATTTCATAATAAGGACATTAAGACAGAGGTAAGAGTTTAATCATAGAGACAATTATAAAACATATCATACGAAATTGTTAAAGATTCCTAATCTGACATTTCGAAGGTATAAGCGAGAGTAGGAAATGATTATTGAGAAGCTTCGTAAATAGAAATTAGATGTGTATTAGATTAAAAAAAAAATGATGATCTCTAATTTCAAAGAACACTAATTTGTAGATAAAGAAGATAATATTTATTAATTACCCATTTAAAAAGATGATGATATAATAGTTACATTTGAAACATTCAAATCTATTTATAGTCATAGTCATCCTTGTTTTTTTGGATGGTTAATGAAATGTCTGGGGGATATTGATATATATTTTATTGGTTAGAAATTATGATTATTAATAATAATATGTAATATATTTATGGAACCTTCATAGATGGATGGTACAATCTTAGATTCTTCCTGATTTCCTATTTTCAAGACAGTGAGAAAAGATTGAGGCAAATTCCAAATAATATTTACATTCTCAATCACGTAATAAATGATGATCTAGAAGTAGACGTAATTGAATTTCATATAATTATATGATAGTAAAAGATGCAAAAATTGAAGAGTTTATTTGAAGGCACCATTTGGTTCTCATATCGAAGCAAAATACCCTAACTATAATGTTTAAATTATATAATAGATTTAAGATAGTACACTTACCTCAGATACAGGATGGGGATGTATGCTACGTGTAGGCTAGATGGCTCTGTGTTAATAGATCAAATACTATTATAATTTGAGCTCCTCTTAAGAGTTGACAGAACTAATTTAACAATTCGCGGATAATGATGAAGAGGAACTCTCTAAATTTATGAATCGCAATGATGGCGATCAAACCATCCAATACAAGTCACCATTCTCCATATAGAAAATTGTAGTTTAGACAAAATTAGAACTTTAAAAATCACCAGGAGAATGGTACAAACCAAACGATATTTTGTTTGTATTGAAGTATCTCTTTCGATATTCCTAATGTATTATCAATTAATTAATAAAATAGACTAAAAACATCTTAGAATGCATATAAATCATGAAAATGCCTTTATTTTAAGTGATGTAATCAGTTTAATGTTCAATAAAAATGGAGGAGATGAAGAATGGCTTAAAGAATAGGTATTGAAAGGTTAAAATGATGAATTTGGAGTCTCAATCTTTATATTAACAAGAATTGGCTTAGAGACTTGCAATCCAGAATATCTAAAGGTCTTAAATGACATTATGACATACCCTTAATTTCAAGGAATCTTAGGAGGATTCCCAAACAAAGCCTTGTATATCTTGGGAAGAGTTGGAAATTATTATATCTACTTGGACCCTCATTACGTTTAAAATGCATAAAATTACTAAGAGATGGAAAACGATCGATCCTCCTATACTTGTTAAAGCATTTAATTAATAGACAGCGCTTAACTTGATCCATCAATGGCAATATCATTTTGCGTAAAGAATGCTTTAGATTTGTTAGATTTGTGGAGAAGAGTAATATAGTTTATGATTATCTAGTTAAAATAAACAAAATCTGAGAATGGAGAGTCATTTTTTATGGCACTAACAGAAACCCATGTATATTACCAGCTGGCATAGTCATATTATTGCGTAAGTGATGAAGACGATTTCGTCACTATCCTTCATTGAATTGAAATATACTTATAATTTAATGACCCAAACTAATTCTTTTTATGAAATTATTAAAAATGTCAAATACAACCATTTGATATTGATGTGATAAAATTAAAAAAAAATTATATGTACTGCAATTTACGAAATATAATACAATTTTGAATCTAGTTAATTAGAATGAAAAGGAAGGAACTAGATTTAAGGATTGTTTAATAATTAATAAGACTTTGTATTTAAATAACTAAAGCAATATAATAATATATTTGACGTACTTTAGTAATTGTACAGAAATTAATCTAAACAATTCTATTTCCTAATAGCTGAGTATATAATTTTTTCAGTAAATTACATTAATTTTATGAACTTTATACAAACAAGAAAATAAATAATCAAAATAGTTAGGAATCCTCCTTGTTCTCTTGCTTACAAATTATGATAGAAGAATCCAAATTTGGAACAACTTATATCAATTTTGTTCTGATTCCATTTAAAATATCACTGCTGCCACTAAAGTCATCATCAGAGGAGAAAATATCACCAAAAGGGCTTTTATAGTGGCGTTCTACTCTGTTTTAACTTTCTTTTTAATTGGAATTTCAGTTGTGTCTTGATCTAAATCTTTTTTGTTTTTTTTTCTTTTTGAGCTTCTGTTTAGTTGCCTTTACTCATATATTTAAAATATTTATTATCTATTTCGTTCCTAGAAATTCATGATGAAAATTCTTATAAAAGATGTATGAAATAAAAAAGTGGCTATTTAATTTTCAATTATTGCTGAACTTTAAATGATAAAAATACTCAAAGTTCATCTTCATTAGGGAGTTTGAATATAATCTAGCATAAGAAAACTCAACTTCAGATATAGCAATTGTTTTAATCTATATTGATATTAATCTGAATTTAATTAATTTACTTCATAATTTTAAGTATCAACTTAATTTATTGATGTTATTCAAATCAAATTAGTAATGTACATTAATCAATTGTTAATTTTATTACCTTTGCCATTCAAAATATATATAACTCAATAATTATTATTTCTGCTTTGAAGATTATATAACTATATTGTAAAGAAGTTGGAATTTCCATAAATTATTTCTTTCAATTTGATTATTTCTGAGCAAGGAACAAATAATAACAGCCAAACAGAATTTAATTGTTGATTATATTTGATATTTATAAATTATAATAGTAAATAATTTTTCTAATCTTTAAAAAATGATGTTCGTATATGAAAACTGATTTTTTATACTCAAGGATATATTTTATGAATTGGATTTCAATTATTTATAACATTGAAATAACTTTATTATAAAATAAGAAAAAAATGCATAATTACTCATGCCTTAGGTTATCTAATTAATGTCATTTTGTCATCAAGATCTTTAATCAAAGCTTATATTAAAGTCAGACTCTTGTTAAATCCAGCTGCATTTGCTCTTAAAGAATCAATCTTTGGCATTTTCACAACTTCTGGAATCGTTGTTGTAACACTAACTCTTTGATTCTTTGCAGCAAATAACTCGTCTTGATTTTCTAAAATTAATTGTAATTCAACCTTTTAATGTTTGCTTTAGACGCTCGATTTCTTCTGAAGACTAAATCTTGTTAGCCTCCTAATCAGTTTATGCCATTGCCAATTACTCTAAGACTTTATCTAATTTAATCTCTAAGTCCTTATTGGTTTCTTCGAGCTACCTTCTTTTCATATATTTAAGTACCTAATCTTATTGTTATTGAGATCTTAATCAACTTCTAAGTCTATGATTTATAATTTAAGGCTTTGCACAGTTTTTTAAAATTCTGCAATCTGAGTTTCCTTTTTATTTAATTGCTTCTCTAATTGGTTTTGAGTTTATTATAATTCATTCTTAATATTTGATAATATTTATTACTCTTGCTCTTTATGCTTCTTCTTTTTATTGCAATAATTAATTTTATGTCTATGCAAGTTGTTTATTTAAAGTTTCAATTGTTTTTTATTATTGATCTTCCAAAATTTGGCTTTCTTCTATAAACTGATTGTATTCTTCTTCCATTTACTAGTATTTTTGGCACATTTCATCATACAATTGCTTATAATCCATTTTTATCGGTATTATTAATATATAATATTATATTTAATTCAATATAGTTAATGTGATTCGAATTAATCCTCTTTATTTTGATAAACAACATTTATAAATAAGGCTATTATTCATAACAATAACTTAAACTCCAAGAGTTAAATTTGCATATTATTTTAAGGACTATAATTCTAAATGGTTTTATGAAAAAAACAAAGATATATTTTTACAATTAAAATGAGAATAAATGAATTTCTTAAAAAATTTACAAAATAATTCAAAAACATACTTATATATGTTTTCAGATGATAATTTAGAATTTCCCTCTAAAATTTTAATATATTAATTAAAAAATCAATATAGTTGATCAAATCTAGGAATAGTTCTTCGATAATCTTCCAATTAATCACAAGAAGAGAAGTCTAATCTTCTGACAACATTTCGATATGTATCACGATCTTTTTGATAAAAAGCTCTGGTTGCATAGTTTTCATACATTTATCTTTAGTATTCAACATGTTTGCATTCCCGTTTTAACTAACTTACATAATACTATTCAATTTCCAATTCAATTTCTCTTAGTTTTTCATTTGTTGAGACTTCTTCGTTGAATTTTGATCCAATATAATATTAAACCTTTATATTATAAATAATTCCTACTTATAGTGTTTTAGTGGTTTAGGAAGTTTGGTATTCATAAGACTTTTAAAAGGCATAATTGGGAGATTTTTCAAATGACATAAAATTTGATGATATAAGTATCACCATTATTATAGGAAGAAATTGCAGAAATTATGCATTGGCTTAACCATTTTCATGCTGTCTATATTAATGATGACCTCTATGTTGACCAAAAAAGGTTCTAAAGATTTCCTAACCTTTATTATTTTATTTGTACATTTGCCAAGTCATCATCATAACATGAATCTTAATAATATCCATTTTGATTTTAATAGTGCTGCTAGGGTTAAGTTTCTGGTCTTTCTGTTCCATATTGATCATAAACTCTCTTTTTATCAGGATTTGAAAGACAATTATAAGCTTATGCAACTCGTTTGAATGCTTCTTGAGTTCCTTCAGACTAGTTTTTGTCAGGGTGGAATTTCAAAGCTAATTTTCTATAAGCCTTCTTGAGCTCTTCATGAGTGGCTTATCTTGACACTCCCAATATTTCATAATAATCCTTCCTTCTGAGAAATTCCTTAATTTCCTAAGCCATTATTTTAATGTTTTAAAAAGCAACTTTTTTTAATTTCAATGAAATACAACCAACTCCAATACACGCAATAAATAAATTAATTAATTATATGTAATTTCATTTTGCAATATCATTAAGCTTAGCATCGTGTTCTTCAATAACATCCTGCATTTACTATATTTCTCCTTCAAGATCCAAAAGTTTTTATTCAACAAGTTTAAGTTTTCCTTCTATTTATTTATTATCTCCAGCCTTTCCACTTGCATCTCCAGCTTTTCCAGCACCTCCCTATTTAATAATTCAAATATATATAATTACTGTTGATTATTTCTTGACAACCTAGATTTCATCATTACATTATTAGATTTTTTCTTCAAGCTTATTAAATTCTTCCTCTAATTAGTTCTAAAATTGACTAAATTCCTCTGTTGTAACTCCAGAAGCAGCAGCACTACTACTTTTATTTTTCTTCATGCTTTCTACTTCAGTTCTAAAGTTTTATATTTCAGTAGTAACTCCTTTTTCAAAATCTTCTACATAACTTTTTAACTCATTTATTTCTTTCTACGCATCTGAATTATTGACTGCAGCTCCACCAGCTACTCCAGAACCTAATTTAGAAATTTGATTCTTGAGTTTATTAATTTCTTAATCAATTCTATCAATTTCTTTAGCAAACATGTCCATTTGTTGTTGGCTATTTTAGCTTTTATTATTTGGAGTCTATGAAACTGGAGATTAAATCTATTTATTAGATTATAAAGTTTTAATTTGGTTTTTGAGTGATTCAATATCTGTTCCCTATTTCTAGAAATCCTATTCGATATCATTGATTCTTATTTCCATTTCCTTCATCTTATTGTCAGATTATGGTGAATTCTTATCTTAATTACCTGTTTTTTAGAATGCAACATTTTGTCCTAAATTATCAATCTATGTCTACAGTCTTTTAATTTCAGCTTCTAAATCTTTTTTAACAGTGTCTAAAGCTATTCCATAAGCCACCATATTCTAATCCAAATCTTTGGATTAACTTTAACCTTGACCTTATTACTTGGATAATTATTAAATTTTATCATTAACTTTTTCAAATTCAGTGTTGATGTCCACTTACATTTAAGTAGTATCCTGCACTATTTTATCAACATAATCAGTAATTTGTTTCAAATTTTGATTTTATTATCCAATCTTACCCTCAATCAACAATTTGATATTTTTTTCTTATTTCACCATGTTATCCAAATTAGTCTAATTGTTTTTTAAAATTAACTCCAAAGTTTGCTAAATTTAAGTTTTCACATAATCAGATAGATTTATTTCCATGGCACCATTCATAGTTTTCATTAACTATATATTACCTACAATCTATTGTAATTGAACAAAGCTAAGTTTTAATTATTCATCTTAAGTTTTTAATTAATCCTCTTGAATTTTTAATTGTTCTTCTTGTATTTTTATTTATTCTAAATGATTTTTTTATTCCGTTTCAAGTCTATTGTTCGTTTCTTCCTAATCAACTTGAATTTATTCAAGTTAATTGTGGATGGTGTTATCGAAATTCGTTAATTTCTCTTCTAGTTCTTAAATTTTGCCTTCTGAATTTTTATTCATTTCAATTAAGTAAGCTTATAATTTATATTCTTATGCTTCGTTGATGGTCTGCTACAACATCAATTCAATTGTTAATTTTGAATCCAATTCATTTAGGAATTGCCCATGAGCCTTGATGGCATCAGTAATATTATTAAAATTATTTTAAACTCCTTTAACGAAATCATTCAAATCTTTCTTTATTTAATTCTTCTTCTGCTCCAATCTCTCCATCTCCTTAACTAACAATTATAATTTTCCTATAATGCCTGTGTGTCTCTCCTTATCTAATTCTTCATTAGCTTAACGAATTTATTCGATCAGATAAAACTTTGACTAGAAGTATGCAAAACTCTCATCAATTTAAGATTTCAATTGATTTCCTGATGTTATCTATAATTTTACAACTTGAGTCAGCCCATTTTGTGTATCTACTCTTAAGTGATCAATTTTCTTATTAATTTCATCAAACAAATCTTATAGATCTTGTTTAATTTTTTCAGTTAATTCTTAAAACTAATTTTCTACGTCATTTTTAAATTGAGTCAATTATTAATTAAACTCTTCGTTCATTTTGTCCATCTACTAGTTGATTTTATCCTCTAAATCCTTAGCTGCTTATTTTACTTCCTCATGCACATCGTTTAATTTTTAATTGAAATCTTCTTCTAATTTACCGAGCTATTCATTTATTTATTCATTCAATTTTTGAACAGCTTATTTGAACTCAGCATTAACATCATCCAATTACTATTGTAAATTATTCTAAACAGAATCAATTTTATTATTCAATGACATATCCAATTGATTGAGTTAATTCTCCATTGAGAATTGCCATTACAACCTGTCTTACCTCTCTCTATTAACTATATTGATAATATGTTCCTAGAAGTTTTCGAGTGTGGTCATCGTGTACATTCTTTCCAAATACATTTCAGTTTATATTTATATATGGATCTCCTTCATGGCTGAATCCATTTTTTCCATCTATTGGATTGTCCAAATTCTTAACTTAAACACATCGTCTTCAATTCCTTTTATCATCATTTTTAAGTCATGTTTAGTTTATTCTAATTCTTATTGAACATATGATTTAAGAGTATTCTCTATTTTTTTAATATATAGCTTCATCTATTCCATAGTCTTAGAAAATTCTAAGCTTAACACATCCAGTTTTGTTTACATTCTATTTTCTGAATTCAGAATTTCTTATTTCAGTTACCTTTCAATGTCCTTGACCTTTTCTGAATAATCTCTTTCAATCTTTTAGATGGCTTCATTCAATTTCTCATCCTAATCCCTTCTCAACTGTTACATTTCATAATCCAAATCCTCTTTTAACTTTCTAACCATATCTCCATATTTCTCAATCAACTCTTACAGTCTTTGTCTAAGTTCCTTCTCTTCATCAATCATGGATTATAATCTTTGTAAAATATATTCTTCTCTGTTTCTAATTAGGTCCTTCATCTAAATTGACAAACTATCTAACTTTGCATTTGTTTATTAATCAGCCATTTCTATTTCTCTAGTGATTCTATCATTGATTTGTTATGAAGACTCTAAAACTTACTGAGTAGCATCCTTTTTAGCAGTTTCAATGGCAAATTGTATTTATTCATGCAATGAGATATTGTATTGTAATTGGATATTTTTAATGATTTCAGAAAGCTCTATTCTTAACTAGTCCAATTTGAATTCTTAAGAATTTAATCCTTAATTTACCTTTTGATCTAGATTTTTCATCAATTAAAGGTATTTTTTATCATTATTTTCAACATCATTAGTAATCTTCTTCAAACTCTCTTGAAGTTCATTCTTATCTTTAATTTAATCTCCTTTGATGTTCTTCAGATTTGTACTAACTTCAGTAAAGATAACTAAGTTTTTCTGTGCAAATTGCTTTTTCCAATCTTCATTCAATGTTCTTTCATCATTCAATAACTTATTTTAAATTTCAATACTCTTTTGCATCTAAGATTCGTAACCCTATAATTATTCTTGCTACCTCTAAAATTCCTTCTGGAGACTATTATTAATTAAGTTAGCATGTTCATGCATCATTTACCTAGTTTCTCCAACTCTGAAATTTAATTCCTTTTACCCTTGTTCAATCAAGGCCACCTTAGCCAAAGATGATTCTCTAATCATATCTACTGTTTTAGAGATTGACTTAATGTTTTCAGTAACAATGGTTTAGGATGCAGCCAAATTAGCTTCTAGTTACTCCTTTGTATTCTTAATAATTTAATTTAATGATGAAACACTGTCATGCATCTATTTCATAAACTTTTGTTCTCCCAAAAGGATCTATTTTTCGTCATTTCTTATTTCCTCTTTGAATGCTTATATTTTATTTTCTAATTGATTTCTTTGATCAAATTCACTCTTTAGGCGTCTTTCAACTTCATCAGCTATTCTGGCTTCTACACTTCCAATGAGATTCTTGATGTAATCCTAGTCTTAATTGATTTTAGCCAATTTCATATTATCTAAGGCTTTGATGCTGACCTTGGTTTTCTCATTTTATTCTAAGAACTCCTCTCTTTGTTGTTTCAATTTATTGTAAAAGTCGGATTCCTGTTTAACCAATCTGTAGTGGAAATCTTGCCATTACTTTTACAAGTCTTCCACTATCACATCTCTGTGTGTTTTCTCGTTGTTGAATGCTTCTCTCAACAATTTAACTTCGAGGTTGTCAGGTACTGGTTATATAGTAGTTGGTTTGGAAACATTTAATTTCAATTCAATGCCTTCCTATTGATTGATTAAGGCACTCAATTTGAGTTCTTGATCATTGCACTTCTTTTACAAATCAAGTATCATTTAAGAGAGATTGTCTCTATTCTTCTCTCCTTAATTTCGTAACTGACTTATTGCATCTTGGAGTATGGCCTGTTTGTCATTCACTTGTTTCCACAAATGCATTTCCTACGATTCCAGTTGTTTTATCGATTGCATATACTTTTGTGGATTATCCTCTATAGTCTTCTATATCCTTCTTTCAATATTGGCTTTGAAATCAATCATCAAAATCTCTAAATCTCTGACTTTACTACTCAGTTCCAATTAATTTATCTCTTTGTCCACATCCTTCATGACCAAGGATTAAGTGGCAGCTCTACTATCCAAACGAGGTAGAGCAATTGCATTTTTTGAACCTGATGGCAATCTAGCAATTTGGGTTTGTTTTGGATCACTCTAAATATTTCAATGCTATTTACTTCTATGGCTTTCTATTACACTTATTATTGTCGAAATCTTAATTTTGGAGTTTGTCTATTATTTAGTTCGTCCATTTTTTATAAATATAAATGGTATTAATTTCATACACCAACATTATTGTTGATGATTTTGGATATGCAAGGCGAAATCCCCTTAAACGATACATCTATTTCTTAACCCACATGCACTCCGATCATTACTAAGGAATAAGCAATGGCTGGGATTACGGATAAATATTTTGTTCCACAGTCACCAAAGCTCTTCTATTAGTTAAATTCCCTGGAGTCAAAGGAGTGGTATTATTACTATCCTATCAACTTTAGATGACCATCCCTATGAAAACACCAACTGAAATAGAACTCTGCAAAAAATATAAAGTAAAAGTAACCTTTTTAGACGCCAACCATTGTCCTGGTGCTGTGATGATTCTTTTCTAAGGCTACTTCGGAACCATTTTACATACCGGAGATATGAGATTTAATATGGAGATGATTCCAAAGAACCCGCAACTTTACCCTCCTCAAAATATTTCAAATGAAAATGGAAAGTGTTCCATTGACATTGATGAACTAATTCTGGATAACACCTATTGTGATCCAATCTTTAAGTTCCCCAATAGAGATGAAGCCTTTAAAATGTTATGTGAGATCATTGACAAAAATCCTAATAATAGAGTTTTCTTATGTGTTGATTCAGTCGGGAAGGAGGAATTAATGGTTGAATTGGCTAAACATTACGACACAGTCATCGTAGTGAATGAATAACGATACGAGATAGTGACTGCTATGAATTTCTACGTTGAATATTTCACTCTTGATAAAACTTAAGGCTGGATTGAAGTCATTAGAAAAGGGGAGGTGGAAGAAAGACTCAAAGATAAAAACTCTATTGCCATAACTGCAACTGGATGGGCTAACACGACTAGTTATCAAATGCCAGATAATAGAAGATATGTCATTCCCTATTCACTACATTCTAATTTCAATGAAATGCATCAATTTGTTAAGAGTATCCAACCTGCTTTATTGTAAAAAGTAGTCAAGAACAACACAGGAAAAAGCAACAAAATTTATAATATCACTCAATTTTCACAATATATGGTGACTCTTCATCACATCAAATAAAGAGTAAGACATAATCCAACCTTATTAGGGATTTGAGTTTTTTCTAAAGAATTACACTGATGAAAAACGATTATCCTAAGAGTATAGATCAATTATGATGGACAGCAGAAAATAGAGGGAGATCAATCAAGAACTAGGAATTGAATTGACTGAATAAGATCATTAAATCATAAATCAAACCATGTTTCAAGATACAAATTAGAATATTTTCTAAAAACAAAAGCAGTAATTACAATACTATTTATTTTTTAGAGTTCGCAAAGGATACAAATTTGAGTAACCAGAAACTAACAAAAATTTTAAAATTACTCAATTTATTAGAGCCAAAAAACAATTAGTAAACACAGAAAAAGCATTACAACAGGATGTTATTCCAGTGGAAAAAGAAAAAAGAAAGGACAATAATGCTGAAATTACTGAAGTTACTAAGCAAACAAAGGATCCAATAATTATTGATTGATTTATTTAAATGTTAGTTTGTAAGTTTAATAAATAATTCTTAAGAATTATCAAAAAATCAATTAAATTATTAATATGAAGGTAAAGAATAAAGTAATTAAAAATTCAATTTATAAAATATCTTTAAATTCATATTAGTTGAAAGTGCAACCAAAAATAAATTCTATATCAGTAGTGCGAAAGTTGAGTTCATATTAAATTATCGTACTCATTAAAATTCATCATTATATAATCACTCATATAAGTTTATTATAAATATAATTGACATATCAATTTTTGTATATGGGTTAATTTTTTTAATATGCAATCTGTCAACAAATTGTTCGTAAAATGTCAATCAGAACCAGCAAAGGAACACATCATTTTCAAGACTGAATTCTTCAAGAACACCAATCACAAATCAGTTCTGCTGCTTTTGTGTAGCGATGAGCACATATACAAAATAAATGTAATTTCTCAATTGCTTAGTTTGTAGAAATAGAAGATTTACAAGGTTTCACTTTCGTCCTTGAGATTCAGTGTAAAGGCCGAATAAGCTAATAAGCAAACTCAAAAATAGATGAAAGGTGATGAATTCCATACTTAAATATACAAATTTACTTTGGAGAGAGATGACACAGATGCTAATGAATTTTACAACTTTAACTTCTAAACCATGTATTGGTTCGACAATCTCAGGAACAAGTTAAACATGCTCGACTATTAAGTGAACTATGATATTTCTAAATTAATCGGTAAAGGAACTTTTGCCTCAGTTTACGAAGCAAAATCCAAATTCGATAGTCAAATGTATGCTGCCAAGGCATTCTACAAGAAAACGCTATTTTAAGATCCAAAAGGAAAAGTATTTTAAAAAATATTTCCTTTAGGAACAAGTTGAAAATGAGATTAGAATCATGAGGCAACTCAACCATCCAAACTTAATAAACTTGCATGAAGTTTATGAGAATAAGGCATAGATCTATCTCATCATTGATTTAGCAAGAGGAGGCTCGCTTGAATACGCTCTCAAAGTACTAAATGGGCCAGTGCCTTTCTTATCCGCAAAAGTGATATTCCGTTAAATAGTAGAGGGACTCATTGGATTACACGAGAAGAACATAATGCATAGAGATTTGAAACCAGACAATATTCTCTTCAGAGATTTTGTTCCCTTAAAAAGATATGGATTAATTCATATGGGGCCGAATATAATGGTTAGTGACTTCGGTGTTTCTAGTGTTGTATAAGAAAAACTCAATGTCTATTAATACACAGGAACCCCGGGTTACATGGCTCCTGAAGTATTTGAAACTGAGACAGACCCAACGAAAACATACAATGAAAAATGTGATATATTTTCATTGGGTTGCATTTTGTATTATCTATTGATTGGCAAACCCCTTTTTGCCAATAAATAAGCGAATATGGAAATGAAAATTGATTGGATGGCTGTTGAATAGGAGTTGAATTCAAGTCATTCTCTTACTATGTTATTGTAGAAGATGTTATCTCCAAGTCCTAATGATAGACCATCTTGCAAAGAAATTTTGGAAAACAAGATATTAGAGGTAGAGTATGGAGAAGACGGAGTTCCTTTATTCAAAGACTTCTAGAGACCCAAAAGTAGTCCTCCAAAAAGATTGATTCAAGAGGATCCCCTTAAAAACAAAGGTAAGAGAGGTAGTGTGTTAATGAACAATAAGGCCATCAATATGATGCCCATCATGGAAGAAAAACAAAGGGATTCTGGTAATCATAAGTTTACCAAGAGAAATACTAATATGGATATCTAGGATATGAGATCGAGTCAAATAAGTGTGAATCCCCAATCAGTGAAATAAGCAAGGCGTTCGTCTGCAATTATACCTGGAACAGCTAAAAGACCATCACAATAATGATTAAATTAAATTAAATTTTAATATGTAGCAAATTAGTAAGGAGAAAGAGTAATAGTATCATCAGTATATGGAGTTGGAGAAGGAAGTTATGAACACTTTAGCTAAGGTCAGACAATATGAAGCCTCAATGACTTAGCTAAAGCGAAACATTCAGAAATGTCAAATTACATTAAAGGAACTAGGTAGTATTGATTAATAGAAGACATTTTAGCCTATTGGTAAATGGTAATAGGTTTCATGTAATTGATAGCTTCATTCTCAAACCAAAATAGAATATTGCAAATGAAGTTGTTGAAATCATTAAATCTCACGAAAAAGATATTGATGAATACGAGAAAGTGAGACAACACTTAATTACAAAAGGTAAAGAAAAGGAAACACAATTGTAAGAATCCATGAAGGCTCTAAAAATTTGAATTATTCCTTTTGAATGTTCTAATAAAAAAGTATAACAAAAAATTTTGTTATTCCTTTTGATAGTTAATTAGAAATAGATTATACTAAACTTATATGATCAAAATTGTTTTATCAGAATAAAGTTGGTTTAGCTATTTCTTTATGTTACTATGAATAAATGATAAATTATTACAAAAAAATCAACGGTTTTTCTAGGCATCTAATTTCCATCTTTTCTGACCTATAAAACACTAGATTTACTCTACATTAAGAACTTTAGATTATTGTATAATTAAAAGGCTTCTTCTATTTATGCTTCAACGCATTTATTTTTTTGAAAACTAGTTTAACTATTGTAAGATTCTTTATGGTGATGAAACTAAGATAATTGATTGAATCATACATAGGATGCACTGTTATTTTTAGTGGTATTTGATCCGATTGGAATTGAATTAAATTACACTTTCAACATGGACTTTACCGGAGTTGTTTTTTTATCAACATAAGGTGAATCTTATTTTGATTAACTTCTATTGATTTAGATCATTGGTCTAGGTACTTTGCGTTCACTTTATGAAATCTTATTTGTTGGTTCTTTATTTTCTGACTCTATTGTTACTGTTTTGTTCACAGTTTACTTTTCATTTGGATTTTTTTATTAAGATAAATTTTAATTTTTGTATTATTCTTTTTATTATTATTATTATTATTATTATTGTAATTATTGTTATTATTATTATTATTATTATTATTATTATTAAGGTAGCTTTTTTAAGCTTGAACTTCTTAGAACTCCCTTAAAACATTCTGCTTTTCTTGTATAAGATGATTCAGAAATGCGGGATTCTTTACTTGATGGTCTTTGTCTTAATTCATAATATACTTTAGATTGTTATTATTGCTAAGATGAAGTCTGTCGAGGATTGTTCCTAGAAGCAGCTTCTTTGGTGCTTTAAGATTAATAAGAAAACTAAGACTTATTTGCTAATTTATCCATTTCAAAATCCTTTGTTTCTCTTGTTAATCTTTGTATTTCCAAATCTATATTTCCAATATCTTTCAACAATATTTTTTTTTAGTTTGCACTATCAATTTTAACAATAGAGGGAGTTTACGCAATTGGAGTTGGCACCACGATTTATTAAGTCTTTTCCACATCTACTTCTGGAGAAGGAGTAGAATTCTATTGTGGAGATTCTTCTTTAACAAGTTTCAATTGCTTTGATTTCTGTTTCGGGTTCTTCAACTATGTTTTCTTAGGGTTGAACACAATGAATTCCTATTGATTTGTTTCTTATGGTTTTGATATTTTGGATGACTTTTTATTTTTTTGGCTACTCTCATATTATTCCAACAAATTGCCCATTATTTATTATTTTCTTAAGTAAATCACAATCATTACCTCAATTCAAATTAAGCAGCTGCTTCCTCTTCACTTAATTTACTATACCTGCCTTATTCGTTCATTCAGTTAAATAAATTAATATGTGTATTTATAATGAGCGTATTAATTTTAAAAGTTTTTTATTTTAATAAAAGAACTTACGAACGAATCAAAAAAGATAAGATTATTCCTAACCGAGGAACTATTATTCTAATCTCATATTATAAATATTATTATAAAATTATAGATCATAAAAACCCAATAAGGTTTGAGTTAATTAAAATACTGTCGTTACTAAACATTAATTTGAATTCTTTTTCTTTAATTTAATTATAAAAGTAAGTAATTTTATACTAATTACGAAAAGTAAATTTGAAATAGTATTACATATATTTACATACAATAAATTGTTGAATCAAGCATTTCGAATTCTTAAAATGGAACCCACTCCAGAATTATTCTACCTATAATTAGCGAAATTTATCACATTATTATATTGGAATAGAATTCATAATAATAATTTGGAGTAAAAAAGGAAGATTGATTCAAATAATTAAATTTTAATATCAATATAATCATTATTGCTCCTTGTAGATGATATATGATATTGATAATATTTCTTGAATTTAAAATCTATAAATGACATTATTTTATTTTATTTTATTTTCAAAAGATTTAAAATATAATAATAGTTTGAATATGTGTAAAACCTTTTTGATTATATCACAATATAGTTATAGTTTCAGATTTCTATTTATTAATTATTTCAATCTATTAATGAGTATTTGCGTGTCGGAATGTAAAATAAATTTCTCCTTATAATATTTTCAATTTATGAAACCACATCTGTTTCTGTGTGTCTATGTCTTAGTATTTTTAACTATAATAGAGCTTTATTTTGCAGTAATTAAGGTAAAGTCTATTGCTCTGGTTATTCTTCCTTTTTCTTCACAGAAACGTTGTTCTATGATCTTCTTGTATACACTTGAGGAGAAATATTGTTTAATTTAAGTTTTGGAAATTGAGATCTCTTAGTAGAGTTGATGTTATGAAAATGCCTTTAAAAGGTATTGATTTCGCTTATATTTTTATTTGACGAAGTCTCATGAGAGTAATTCTAACGCGATCTTGGTCTAATCTAATCATTGCACCAAGGGCCAAAGTCTTGGTCAAATTGCATATTGTATAATAATAATACATTTAATTTATAAATTCTTTACTCAAATTCCTAAAACTGTTGAATTTTTAGAAAGAATCTAACTCTAATAACCTGGTTTTAGTCAATTTTAATTGATATTTGCTTGAAGTAGTTTTCACCAAAGTATCACTATCTTTCAGTAATAATATTTTCTGATAGATTCAGAGTAAATATAATATCAGAATTGCTATATGTTAATAAAGAGATAATCCATCTTAAAAATGAAATTGTATGAAGATTTCACTTTAGATAAATGGCAGGTATCAATAGGATCTGATTTGTAGATTGATATTAGGAATTCTAAGTTTTTTAAATCAATGATTTCTATAATCATTTTTATGTAGAATTTTATTTTGATTAATTATTCTTTATCTACAATTTTCTTCTATTTAGTTCTTTTTGAAATGTAATTATTAGTAAACAATCATTTTTGCTTAGATGCTTGAGTCCTTTTGTGATTATGCTATCCTTTTAATTTCTAAGTAAGAGGAAGTTAGTAATGTTAGATGTTATGATCAAATCAAAAGGTGCAACTTTTTCCTATTATTCCTTATTAGATCTTGGTAAATTTTTTTAAAGTAATTTGAGTCTTATAAATTCTTTTCATCAATTTTAGTTCATTAGTTCTAAGTGATCAAAGCAAATATTTTCATTAGGAATTATATTATTTTCCATCTTATTAACAGATAAGAATAATATTTCAAGAGTCAAATATTTCTTCTCTTTTTCTTCTGCGGATTATCCTAAAATATTAACCTTATTTTGGCAATCTCCATTAATATTAACGAAAGAGTTTGTTTTTATGAAATTTCTGAATTTTAATTTTATAAATTAAATTTTTAAAGACATCTTATCAAAAGTATATACAATTCTATTGTATTTTTTTTTAATCAAATTAGCCTTTGAATAGTTTCATTTGGTTAACTTTAATAAATTCATTGTTTCTCAATATAGATTTAATTTTTTGATTAAATTTAATTTATCTTAAAAAGGGCCCTAATAATATATGATTCATTTTGAAAATTATTTAAAGGTTAGTAAGCATCATTATTAATTTATAATTTAAATTGATATTAATAAATAAAATAATAAATTCTCTTCAACACTTATATCTAAATGTTGTGTAGAAAATCTATTATTTTATCGGTAATAATCACTGCCATTTAGAGATTGACCTATATGATTGGATGGTTCAATGAAAATTCTAATCAAACAATATATATTTAAATAAAATATAAAGTAAGGCTTGTGGATAATGGGGAAATTTAGTTTAAAATTTAAAAGTATTTTGAAATGATGTTGTTTATTCAATTGAATATAAAAATCAATAGGGGAAATAGTTAAACTAATTCAAATCATAAATAATCAATTAAGAAAATGCAAATTATGATAATTTTTATATGTTATAATCTAGTAATAATGAAACCACTAATTAACAATATAAGTAAGTAGTTGAAAAGTATTAACGTTACTTGAATGAGAGAGCTAAACTGAAATAAAGGTCGGAAGATAAGTTAAGCATAGCAGTCAGAAAAATTTATTTGAATCCTCTTTTACCTTCCTTATAATCTGATCTCTATTAAGAGACGAACAGACTTACTCAAAGACAGTCTTCTTTGCTAAAAGAATAGTATTCTTAATTTAAACAAGAATCTATAGACACAATCACCAATAACATCCAGTCATCGATAGTCACTCCTATTTTGAATTATGTAGGTAAAAATCAACATCGCAAATCTCAATCCAATTTGGATGGTTCTCAACAGCAAGGATTCTTTAATGGACTCTATAAAACCAAGAAAGTAGAATATCAGTCTAGAAATATCACAATCAAGGACTTAACTTAGAATAATAGAAATTCCTTAGAATCATGTCAAGACAACCGTACTCATCTACCCTCACTATAATAACCATAGAATGAGATGAGTAAGTATGCATCTAGGAAAAATACATCAAAAAAAGTTTTACCTGAAGAAATCGCATTTACCAATAGATGGGAAAGAGATCGGGGAAACAATGTAGTGAGAATTGATAGGTTTTAAGTTGAATAATTAAATAATGATGTTTTTGATTATATCCTGTCTTAAGACATAATGAAAATGTTTTTTCAAAACACCAATCTTAATTAATTAAAAATCGTATTGTAAGAACTACTGAAAGGGGTTTATTATGAAAGCATCATTAATTTTGAATAGATGATTTAATTTTTTACTTCTCTTCAATTCACTTATCTAGAAATATTTTATATTAAGTATGCCATTGCTCAAGTGTTAATGAAGGCTAACTACAACTATCTATTTATTGAAAGAGCTCTGAATTAATTTGAGGAGTATCGATATTTAATTTAAAAACCAATTCCTTTTATTACTAAGCTTTTTGACAATGGCTTTTATTCAAGTTTAGCCAAGGATCTAATGCTTAGATTACTGAGAAGTGTTGCCTATAATAAATTCTTACAAACAAACAGGTTTGAAAGTGAACAGTTCATTGTTGCAATTAAGAATGGGCTTTTCCCCTATCTAGTTGGAGAGTATGTGGCATTGCCATTACACTCAAGAATAAAGGATGTTAAAGCTGAATTATTTAGATAGCAAATCCTTAAGCCATTTATTAATAGTACTTTTATTATTCAAGTCAAGAACTTACTTGGCGAATATAACCTAGAAGACCTGTATATCAAGGATGTAGAACGGAGATTATTATTCCCAAGAACGGAAATGGATCAATTCGAAGATACTCATTTTCCTTTGCATTACATGTTAACTTACATTTAATGTAAGAATACTCTTATCCCTTCTTATGACATTAAAGCTCTGATTAAAGTAATTAAAATAGATCCAATCATTACTGAATCTGATTCTACTATTTTTGTAGACAACGTAAAATATCTTTCCAAATTTGAATAAATATAAGATGATATTTAAGTATTCTTATGAAAATGTATATTAACATCTTTTTCAATTCTTAATTATCTTCATAAATTTATCAATATTATAATAATTGTATAATGCAACACAAGAGCATAAATTTATGATTGAATTTAAATTAATAACTCAAAAAATTCAATTAATTATTATAATTATGAAGAAATTTATATTCGTTGGAGCACTTCTCCTTCTGCTTTAAATAACTTAAGTGAATGCAAGTATTAATAACTTTAAACTAGATTGCATGCAATTGGCCTAAGATTTCAAATGCACATACATGCATTTATAATGCACAGATAATCTAAATGGTGAATGTTCTTGCGAAGATGGTTCCACATGTAGATGGTAAGATGGCATTGGAGATGATAATTGTCCATGTGGAGGAGCTAAACCAAGAAGAAGAAGAAGAAAAATACATGATGGTCTCTGATTGCATCCTTTATTAATAAATCAATCAGATTCTATTTAATCTTTAAGAGAAGCACAAAAAATTTGATACTGTAAGTAGGATGTATTGCAATTACGATAATTTCTTTTCTTCCTTAGGTAATTTTCCTGCCTATTTATTATTGTAATTTCTTCAATTATTTTGAATTCTTACTTATACCTTAGGCTTTGAATGTTGCACCTCCTTTGAAAAATAATATGCGCTATACTTTCATTTTAGCAACTTATTTCTTGGTAATCAAATTTATAGCTAAATCTACATTTTCTAATGGATTACAAATTTTATAAATTAGTTGTTAATATTTCAACAAATTATTAGACAACTACTTGATGACAATAATGGAAGGCTGTCTTATATACTTTCATTAAAATTTATACTTATTCTCATTTAAATTAGTTAATTTAAGTACTGATTCAATTTTTCTTTTCAATTTCTTCTCTAAGATATAAGTGTATTTGACAATATTTAATTTTTTATTGAAAACCTATCCTCTTTCCTTTTGAAACTTACCTTTCTTACAATGATAACTTTGAAACAACTTAGAAAGTCATAAATTACACAAAAATTAATGGAAAGACTTAATCATCTTTTTGGAGATTTATATTTTTATTAAGTCTGCGTTTGTAGTATATATAGTTTTATTATTATTCTTATTTAATAATATGTAAATCCCTAACAATTACGGTAATGCCTACTCTCAAAATTAATACTCATAATAAGGCTATGTCTAATATCCATAAATCTACGCTTAATAATAATACCTAGGATAATAAGTTCCATAGTAATAATATGCATAATAACCAATAATTAAGCCTACTGTTCCACCAAAGAAACCTGCTCCTTTCTCTTTTGAACCAGGGAGCAACAAGGAGCTTGATGATGCCCTAAATAGTATTGATACAATGTACAATGATATGTTTGACACAGTGGATAATTAAAAATCTAAAGAAGAATCTGGTAAGATATAAATATTTAAAAAGCAGGATAAGAAAATGCAGATGGGTATTACATGGGAGTTCCTGTATAATAGAAGAATGGTAATCAGCAAGTCTAGTACAATTAAATGCCTAATGCAAATGGGAACATTCAACAAGATAAGGAGAAATGGGATTATTACAATGGAAATCGTAATTCATTCTATTGAAATATGGATATTAATTATATAGTTCATTACTAACACAGTTATATATTTTTAGTTTAATAATACTTATGTATGAGTATATAGAGAATGGGGTTTGAAGTCTATGAAATAATAAAAATAAATAATCAATGGCTAATGGTGTAACTACGTAGTGGGAAGATATTCATGTGAAACATGGAAATTACGTGGAAAGAGAGAAAGTGACAACTCTTGCAGAAACCTATTAATAAGCCATTTAGAAATTAGATGAAAAGCAAGATAGCGATGATGATTTCTTTGAAGATGATGAATTCACAAAATAATATAAAGCATAAAGGTATGGGTGTATTCAATGTAGACTGTAATAAATGATGGAGTAGTCTTAGAAGAAGTTATACGGTGAAGTGTACGAGATTTCTCGGGATGAATATGTTAAACAAGTGACTGAGGCATCAAAAGATCGATTTGTTGTTCTATCTCTATATCAAGATTATATTGTGGAGTCTTTGAAACTCAATGAAGTCTTGTAGGAGCTAGCCAAATAATATAAGGAGATTAAGTTTGTTAAGATGGTAGCAACTAAATGCATTGAAAATTTTCCAGATGACCAATGTCCTTGTTTCATTATTTACAAAGACACCAAGGCAGTTTCCAATATTCCCTTCATCCACAAATTAAGAAAAATTACATTCGCCTCAATTGAAGACCTACTGATTGGACAAGGTTTGCATTTAAACATATAATGTAGGTGTCATTCCAAAGCCAGTGGAAGAGGATGAATAGTATGAGGAGATCAAGGATAAACTCAAACACCCATATAAAACTAATAATGTAAAGGATGTGGATGATGAAATAGACGACAGAGAATACTCTCATCAAGTTTAATTTTAGAAGCCTAAATGAATTGCTATAATATTTTATGGAATTTATTATTATATTTTTACAATTTCAAATTTAGAATTATATTTGGTGTTCTATCATCATAGATGTCAAGAGTTTCAGGTAAATGTCTTTGGTGTTTAATTTGTTTTTGTTTTGATGACCTTGTAATGAATTTAAGAGCGTTACCGCCATTATGAATTATTTATAAATTAAAAAATGTAAAATTCAAAAAAGAAGCAAATATTTTGCAATCAATTCGAATTATTTAAGGACAAGAAATTTAAGCAAATTCCCTCGTTAAAAGTATTTATTGAATGATATTTTATACAGTTAGTTAAAGTGGAATAGCCTATTCATTAAGAATAAATATTTAATGAATCAAGTGCAGAGGATATTTTTGAATAGATGGGAAACAAGGAAACCAATCAAGATAAACAAATATAGGCAAATAAAGAATCCAAAGTCACTAAAAATGATGATTGGAAATCCTATTATAATTCAAGATTAAAGGAAATTAAATTAGAAAGACCAGAACTTAATCATAATTAATTGACACAGTTAATATCTGAAGAATGGAAAATGATCAAAAAATAATTCAAAAAAGTTCCTTAATCCTCCAATCAAGAAGAAGACGTATTGAATAAGAAGAGAATAAAGTAGAATAAGGATAAATCAAAATTCTGTTAGGAAGTAATCTATGAAAAATAGGAATCTGATGGTGAACTTGATTTTAATGCCTTTGAATGTGCCAAGTTTATTGAAAATTTGCGAGAAAAGAAATTTAAATTAGTTATAAATGATTTAACATATGAGCTACCAGGAACAGCTATCATAGAAGCAGTTGAAAATGATTCAGTACTAATATATTTGAGTGAAAACAATAATAATAATAATACAAATACGGCATATGGAACCCCGAATGAAAAAGTAAATGCTAATTTGGAAGAAATAGGAAGTGATAGCGAATAGAGTATCTGCAAAGGAAATGATGATTTTATTTTGTAAAACAATATCAGATCATTTTTATGATCAAAATAGATAATCTTTATTAACATCTTTTCTGTTTTGAAATGATTATGGTTACATATAAATTTAAATTTTGAAAACAAAATCAAATATATATAGAGGTATTTTAGAAAGGTTCTGTCAATGCAATATATTAAGTGTTTATTCTAAAATTCAGAACCCAATCTTAAAAGCAAGACAGTGATTAATTTAGAATATTTAGAATATATTCGGAATGGTATAAATTTATAAAATAACGATGCATTTCAAATAAGGAAAGGATGACTATTATCAACCAGAAACACAATTGTTTTTCAGAGTATATGTTTATAATAGGTGAATCTTAAGAGTACTGTATGTAATGAATATGTATTCAACACAGATTGAGAGGTAAAGATGATTAGAAGGGTTGTATGGTATTTTGTGCTATGTTTGTATTGATTGATATTAATTTTTAATTAAGTGATTTACCCGTTTTTGTGGAAATATATTATTAATTTTATTGAGATGAATAAGTTCATAACCGTAGCTTTGATTGCTTTAGTGAGTGTTCAAGCGTTGGATATTGATTTTGCACTGTTGTTGTAGGTAATAATAAATTGCAATCAATTTCAAAGACAGGATCACAATCAAATGATGCTGTTCAAGCAGTCTATGATTTATTGAATGATTTGAAGACAAGCAATATAGAAGCATAAGGACTAGCAGATGAGAAAAACATATCAGATGAAGAAATTGGATAATCCAGAATTGCAGCTTTATCAAAAGTGAATGAATTGAATCAAAAGGCTTGGGCAAGTGCAAAGGCAAGAAGAGAGTAAATCGGAGTTGAATATAGAGTAATTGAAATAATATAACACTTCAGGAAGCAACAGACTACATCGCTTGGGCTACACAAAGATTAGCTGATATCGACAGAAGAGAAGTTGAATTAGAAGAACTCAGATGTTTCTCAAATGGTTTGTTTGTAAGAGCAATTAAATAACATAATGATGCATTGGGAGTCATCAGAATATTGAAGAATGATTTGAGGTATAATATATGTGGAAATGCTTAGCGGATACCTAACAGGAGCTCCATCCTCAATGGTTGAATTGAAAGTCGAGAATGTTGCTGACAAATTGAAACAATACAGTCAATTATTTAATCAAGATGCCATGAGCAAGTTCGCTTAATTGGCTGCAGAACAAGCTTCAGGAAATGCTGAATTACATGCTTTGGGAGAGAGTGAGGGCACAACTGGAGGAGACAGACAACCAGGAGTCAATGTTGGTCAATTAGTCTACAATGCCTTGAGTGATTTGGAAGATCAATTGAAATCAGCTTTGGCTGCTTTGGAATAAAATGAAATTGCTGGATACTATCAATTGGCTGATTGGTTGGCTGACTCTGAGGCTGAGAAGGTTCATTTGTAAGATGAAATCTAAAGAAAGACTCAACTCCAAGATAAATTGGTTGTGGTAATCATATAGTGTCTAATATCTTTTTTAGTAAGAATAAGCTGCACTAGCTGTTTAGGCCAAAGCCAATTCAGTCTTAAAGGATTCATAAAATGCTATCAATGCTGCCACAGCTAGCTTATAAGAGTTGAGAGACCTCTATGATACCGAATTGAATAGAAGAAATGGTATTCAAGTTAACTATTACTTTAGAGGAGAACGCCATCATCGATGAAGTGATCCACATCTTCAAATAACAAGTATTGGAAATGGCTAACTAAACTTCATATGGCAAGAAATGAAATATTAAGATTATCAATATAAACTGAATATTTTATATTAAATAGACATCACCCTTTTCAACTAATCCACTTATTAAATTATCCATTGTTCCAGATTCCCTCTCTTTCCTTCCCTTGAGGATTGCATTGGATTCCCTTTCCATGTTGCATTCCAAAATACCACTACCCTTTATACATCCATTAATCTGGCCTATTTCACTATGAGAATGATCAATACCATATAAATACTCCATCTCCATGCTCTAAGTCGTTTTCATATTGTCCCTCATACTTCCTGGAATCCACCCATTGATAGATTCCTTACCCATTCCTTTTTATCTACCCATCCACCGTTAAGACATATCCAAAATATTTGTCCCCATTTTTATATTCAATCGTAGCCTATCCTTACAACTAGTCATTCAAAAACTCCCCTTGATACACATTCCCTGTCACCAAATCAACCAATGAACCCTGCCCGCACTTCATGTTATTCTTAAAGTCTCCTTTGTATTCATACTTTCCTTATACTATCTCTTACCCTTTCCCATGTTTTTGATCCTCCTCCCAATCTCCCTCGTAGGAATAAATCCCAGACACGAACTATCCTTTGCCATTTGCCTTACCATTTTATGAGAACCCTTCATAATAATCTCCTGAAGCCAGAATTATTCTTCCAAATCCAAAAGGCAATCCCCCTCTCCAATATCCTTCGTAATAGTCTTGTCCAATGATGGCTCTCCCCCAACCAAACCTCTAATTATTCTGAATCTGACCTTCATAGATGATCCCATCAGGGAATTAACAAGGAGGCACAGTTTCGATATTATTCAACAAAGAATCTGCCTAAGGAGGTTACAAATGGCCTATCCTGTTCAAAATTTATTAAATCATATGAGACAAGGGTGGGAAGGACTCTAGAGTCTTCACACTCATTATCTAGGATTAACTATTTGAGCGATGGAATCTCTGACTCTAGTGTCCTGTGCTTATGAACTGAGAAGATCCCAAAGTCCTTTATACCACTTATGATTATTTTAGTGATTAAGAACCATCCAAAGACCCAAATTAATACAAACTACGCTTCATGTCTTCAACAGTGTGGAACTCTTAAGTGAGATCCGTTAGTTTCTAGAATAAACAATTCAAACTTTAAATGAAGTCATTTTTAAGTAGATTGAATAATTACTATTGATTTTAGGTACTCTTGTAGCGAATTCTGTTACTCGTAGGTTACAATGTACCAACTACATTATTTAAGCAATTGAGAATGTCACATCGTAGTTAGTTCAGATTTCCATTTCTTCATATTACAGTATTTTATACTTGTTGATAATCTACATCAAAGATTATTCAGACACGGGTAATTCCCTATCTTGGTCTCTAGAAAATATAGTATTGAATAAATAATTGTTATTGTCGTTCCTTTTTTACTCATTAGATTGTATTTCTTGCAATTGCTATTTAAAATTCAGATTTTTCGCTTGTTACTCACACAAATCTCTTCTGATTATCTCTTAAATCTGTTTCTTTGCTTTCTCTGAACTCTCGTGAAACATCTTCAACAACTGTTGTATATCCGTATCAATTTCCTATGCCTCTCTGTCTATCAATGCATTATATTCCTTCAATCTTTTATCTAATTCTTAAAGTGTACTATTAATGCTAGGAATCAACACTGTTTTTGTTTTCCCATTCTACTGATAGACAAATTCATTAAGCTGATTCAAATAATTCTTGTGCTCATTTTTATGTTATAAATTTCCATTTATGCCTATTGTTTCAATAAAATCATTTACATTGCTAGCAAAGAAGATTGCCATAATTGCAATTCACTTTAGTGCATACAAAAGATACTTAAATACTTGGATGCTTTCTGCATTAAAGTCCGTATAACATTTTATAATTAAATTAATTATTTATTCATTTAGGAGTAGCCGTAGACAACTACAACTTACTCTAATTGAAATTGTCTACTCCCCATTATTATTGACCATATGCAATACTGTCTGGTACCTTTACAATCCAATCACTTCTGATCTCCTGCGTTTAATTCTAGTTGTCATTCCCATGATAATCCCTCCTTCCCTTATTGTCGTGAAATTGCTTATCCTAGTTATCCCGCTTATCGTAATTATCCTTCTTGTCCTATTTCTGATATTTCTCATGCTTATTTTATTGATCATGCCTATCATTTCTCTCATGATTATCGTATTTTTATCTTCGGTCATTTCGCTCGTTTCGATCATTTCGATCATGCTTATCTTATCGATCATATCTATCAAACTTCTCGTTCTGATAATTTTTATCATTGTCTCTATTTCTATAATCCTTCTACTTAGTATTCTAATTATCAGAACCATATTTCCTATTAAATTTATTTTATTCATCATTAAACTCGAATTTTTAGTTATCTTTGTAATTATTAATACTCCACAAATCAGCCTAAGGTTTTTCTTAAACCCTTTGAGACTTATCTGCAATCTCAAAGATTGATCTCAAAATCTCTATTAGACTCTTGCTCTCCGAATCCTTTGCAAATTAATCTAATATATCCATCAATGTAATCTTCGATAAATTAGTAATCAATTTATCGCAATTGATCATTGGAGGAATGTTACTGTTCTTTTCTTGTCCCTTATCATTTATGTTACTCTTTTTTCTAATAATTGGCATTTAGTTGTCCATAATATTTGCAAATAAGTTTAATTAATTGAATAGTAGAATAATTAAATAGTTTAATTTATTCAGTTGAATTTTAGTTACTATTTTAATTGTAAAGTATTTTGTATTGCAAAGCAAATTAGATAAAATAAAGGTTGATACAAGGATGATTATCATCAAATGGAACCTTTAATGAAGGATTTAATGCCATATATTTTATAGCCCCAATATAATAGTATATTCAATATCTTAGAATTCCTTATCTTCATTATAATTCAGGTAGAACATAATAGTTATTTTTTAAAGATCTTAAGTAAAAATCATAATTATAATGTATAAAAGCTAAAAATCATAATTCATGATTATCATGTAATACCTGCAGACATAATAATTATTTATAAATAGGTTTGAAGTTGATTTCAACAGGTTACAGTTTGAATAGTAAATAAGGATATTATTATTATTAAGTTTTAATAGGAGTTATTGGATTGTGTTCCTAATTAACTTACTTCATACACATTATTGTAGAACTTACATAGTATTTAATTAAGGATAAGAATTTTGTGGAAAAGTTTCTACGGTTGAAAAATGTGTTTAATAATGATTCCATTTGAACATGATTATTTAGAAATTAGATTGCCAATTGGTCTATTGAATAAAGTTTTCTAAAGTAATTTTTATCATATGAAAATAAAGATTAAGTTAAGTTATCTATTTTATTTAATTGATTTTCAGACTATAATTAAATGATTAGATCATGTAATTGATCTCTGTAAAAAAATAGATTTCAAGGATGTAATATAATTGATCAAATTTCAGGGGTTCAAATTTTTATAATCTCTTAGGTCTATCTTATTTTAACAATTAATCTTATTTTCTAAAAGTTATTGCTAGATTTGGAACTGAAGAACATTTGAAACAAATTCAATAATTATAAGTACAGTTCATATCTACAGATCATATTCCCCAATTTGATAAATTATTTATTTTATTCAGTACGAGTTACTCTTTAAATTGGGTTTAACTCAAGTGTTAGAGTGAAGATTGCTCATAAAGTCCCAATCTTTGGCCTTGTTACAATTAAAATTCAAGTTCTTTATATTGTATATTGTAGAATATAATAAGATCAAATTATTGTATCTGAAATTTATCTAGTTTTTCAAAATCACTTCTCAGCAATCTTCATAATTAGTATTTCAAAAAAATCTCTTTATTTATTTAATTAAGAAACAAAATTTATTCCTAATAACTTCTTGAATTCTTTTTATGATATTAAAACAAATATCAAATTAATCCAGTATAGTGTTTTTTAAAAAAAACAAAAATCAATTAATCTAATAAATATTATGTTAATTTAAAGCGAACAAAACATAAGTTCTAGAAGATCAAGTATTGGACCTACTTTCACTAGAAATCCTTCATATATACATTATAGAAAATAAAATTCAGATTGTTCGATTTATTCAGAATCCAAAGACCAAGCAGAGTCAATTAAGTAATTGAAACAGGAATGTGATGAAAGATAGTCAAGGGCTTAATCTATTTATAGTTCATTTGCAGTATTATGATCATCTAATGTTAGAAAAAGCTGGTTTCGAATAGGATGGACAATAATAATAAATAAATTAGTGATTCAGGACAAGTTACAAACTTTTTAAAACAAATCAAAAGCAAAGCTATCGTTAATAGGTTTATCTAAAATCTTTTCAGAAACTCATACATCCTCCCTCAAAAATTGTAGTTGTAATTCTAAGATGAGTACATATCTAATAGGTCATCCGATTGGAGACAAACATTGAGTACTATTTCATTCTAATATATGTAGATTAGGGAGATAATCCTTAATTTATTAAAATATTTCAACCTGGGAGTTAATTGCTAATGTATTGGGATTTGGTTGGAATTATGATAAACATGATTTCATTGTGGTTGAGCCCTTTCTAAGCGGCCTTCAGTTATCAATCTCCGATCGTCTTGATTATCACGATCATACTGTATTTATTCCTAGAAATCTTGGTCAATTTAAATAGATCGACAATATCATTTGGAGAAATCATAACCACAAGAAGCTAAATCGTTAAGCACTATCTCTAAGGACAAGGAGTGTAAGATATAACAAGTCTTATAATTTGGATTATTATATTCAATAAACCTGGATTTAGTATAATTTTTGAAGTGCTCCAAATAATATAAATAATTGTGACAACCAAAAAAGTGATAACAAATTTTGATAAATTTTTAGAATCACTCTATTCCAAAGGATAACTGTCAAATTTGATTGACCTATTTTCCCTGGTCATAACAATATTCTTTTTTGCTCATATCACAGCCTGTGTGTGGTATTATGTAGGAGAAAAGAGTGATATTTTGTTAGATAAATCTTGGTTAAAGAAGTACGAGATTGAGAACGAGAGCATAATGATGAAATATAACTATTCAATATATTGGGCTACAACAACCATTGTAACAGTTGGATATGGGGATCTAACACCTCAAAATTGGATAGAAATAGTATTCACAATAATCATGATGTTTTTATCAAGTTGTGTTTATGCATACTCACTCAATTCCATTGGAATTATTTTAAAGAATATCCAAGATACAAAGTATGAATATAAAAAAATGCTATTGAGAATAAATGCTTATATGGATAAGAATAACGTTGAAGTGGAATTACAGTTAAGAGCAAGAAACTTTATAAAGCATCATCTATTTCAGAATTAAAATTAGGAGAGTCAGGAGGAAATCAATAAAATCATGGAAAAACTACCAGAAGATTTGAGAAACCAAATTACAAAATCGATTCAATTACGAATTCTTAATTAAATTACTTTTCTAAAAGATCTATTTTCAACCCAAGCAGTGACTGATATCTCCAGATATTTGGAAACCTAAAATCTCGTTTCCAACGATATTGTATTCTAATAGAATGGAAGTACCGATTCTAGTTTGTATATATATTATATCATTAAATAGATATTTTATACAATCAGGATAAATAGCCATATTCGAAGAGTCATCTAACAAAATCTTAACGACATTAAATAGAGGTGAGAAATTTGGGGAATACTCCTTCTTTACTGGACTTAATCCTAAGTATTCAGCTAAATGTATGAGTGATGCAGTACTATACAAAATACAGAGAGAAAAGTTCTTATAAATCATTCAATATTATTAAAAAGATTTTCAGAGATTTCACAATATTAAAGATTAGATACTGCTCAATTCCGATTACTCCAAGTGCATCTCAAGTTGTTAAAATTGTAGACTATTTACTCACGAAATTATAGATTGTCCCCTAATATAATATAAGCCAAATTTAGAATAAAGAATAAAAGTTGCAACTTTTAGGGAGAGACAAAATCTAAGGATGTATCACAAAAGGAATTTGCGTAAAACTAATTGCAGAAAACTTTATAAAACCATAGAACTATCAATCAAAGCATTCTAAGACGAAAATGAATCTAAAGTTTAAATTTCAGATTATTAATCTGGATATCTCTAAAGAAACACTTTTGAAGAGAAAGATAAAAATACATCTGAAGAACCAAAATCTAAAATCATCATAGGTGAATAAGATTATGTTCCACCTACAAATTTTGTATCAGCTAATTCACTTTAATAGAAAAGGCATTAAACATCAGTCAGACCTTCTATTGTAGCATAATTGCCAAAATAAAAAATGACAATACTGCAACAAGACCTAAAATCGCATAACTATTTACTAAATAATTCATTCCAGTCTTAATCATTTAATAAATTTTAATCTGAACTATTTTTGGCGTCATTTCACCAAACTTCTCTCCATCTTGATCAAATGAGAAACTATAAGGATTATATGCCTTAAAATAACATCTCAGCAATCATAATCTAAATGGATAAAACCCCCAAAAAATTATTGAAGCGAAGAAAAAGAGAAATTGAAGATTTAAACAAATATACATTCTTTTATTATGTAAAGATTATGGCCATTAAATTGAGAAAATTTTAGAGAAGAGCTGATTGATTAATTTGAAATCATATGTTTATTTTTAATATCATAATTATTACCTTCAAGATACGAGTATGTAAGGACATATTATTATTACTAAACAATTACTGTATAAAATTAAGAATATAACCTCTGATAATTTAGATTATATGATAATACCATTGTATTCTCTTGAGTAATTGCATTTTAGTATTAATTATAAATAACAATTTATATATAAGAAATTATAATTTTAATATAATCCTATTCTAATAAATTTATATATTATATGGGAGAATAAGATTAAAAATTGGACAAGCAGAAGATAAAGATAACAAGATTTGTTATCTTAATCTTATCAGCTCTTTTACTTTTTGGAAACAATTATGCTTTTGATAATCCATAAGCATTACAATCTTAAATAATGGAAGAAGTACACATTTCATTAACAGAATTTAACTACCTCTACTCTTTTTTCAGCCTTCCAAATATCTTACTTACATTGATTGGAGGATATCTAATAGATAGAATTGGTATTATATAATTGTAGATGTAGGATGTCGAAAAAGCATCATAATATTTGCATCATTGGTTACCATTTCTTAGACTATTATAGCAATCGGTGGAAAATAAAAGAGTTTTTATATGATGCTGATTGGAAGAGTGTTTTTAGGAATAGCAAGTGAAAATTTGATTATCTCATAAAATGTAATAATTACAGCTTGGTTCAAAGGTCATTAATTATCGACAGTATATCTATATATCAATTTAATAGGCAAGTGGTTGTATAGTAACTCTCCCAGAAATAGCAGCTGCACTAAACTCTTACTTTTCACCTATGATTTATGATTATACAGGAAGCATCACATATCCTTTATTCACAAGTGTGCTTATTTGCATCTTTTCACTTTTTTGTGCTATTTTGCTGTTGTTTTTTGATAAATCAAGAGAATCAATTTTAAAATAAGAAAAATAAGAAAAATCTACTATTTCAAGTAATGAAGAATAGCATGATAGTTTGAATGATAGTTAATAAATAACTTAAAATACATTACATTCTGAAGCACCCAAATTATAAGAAATCAGAAAATTTCCAATATTATATTGGTATCTGACCGCAATTTGTACTTTATGTTTAGGGATCTACATATCCTTTATGGATGATGTCAGTGATTATTATTAGAAGAAATTCTAATTTAAACCAGTAGAAGCTGGAACATTCATTACCATTCCATACATTTTCAGTGCCTTCCTCTGTCCATTTATTGGTTATTTTATAGATAAAGTTGGGCATAGAAGATTTTTCTTAATGATTACTTCCTTTCTCTTTATCATAGCTTAGATACTATTTGGCTCCATTCAAGTTGGCAGCGATGAGAAATGGATAGCAGCTATACCATTATTTATCTAGGGTTTGGCATTTACAATGTACTCTTGTGTAATGATACCTTGCATATAATACATTGTGGACTAATAAAATATGGGAACTGCCTTTGGAATTCTTGGCATGTTCGAATCAATAGCTTTATCTTGTTTTCCTATAGTTGCTAGCTAAATTGTCGAGTTTGCAGACGACCTCTAAATTGGATATAAAAACATGTCCCTGTTTTATTCCATCCTAGGTAAAGACTTTAATTATTGATTAGGCCTTTTTTCGCTATTTCTCTGCATTAATTTATATCATTATGATTAGTCAAACAAATTGGACTTTATAGATCCTAACAACCCTTTACCAGAAGAAGTGCGCAGAATGAATGAATACAGCATGATAACTGAAGAGAAGTATTCCGTTTCAGAAGAAAAATGATTATCACTTAATACTCTTATTTTATTGATATTTTAATTGTTGAATTTAGTTACACCATTATTTTAAATCGCAGAATTATTTATTCAATTTTCCAGTAGAAAGTTATTTTGGCTACTTATTATTATTATTAAATCATTAATTTTAAAACTACTTTCAAATGAATTTTAATGATATTAGGATATTTAAGCCAATATAGAAGAAATTTAGTTAATGATTTCAACACTAATTATTTGAAATTTCCCGAAACATACCGCACACAAATTTCTCTTAATTAAAAGAAGAATTTTTGTTTTATATCGATTCTAATTCTATCATAAGCAATTATTATTTTTTGTTTAAAATTTATGGACAATGAAGAAAGGAAAGTAGGTGAAAAGATACTTGCAGATGATATATCTGAGAAGGGTAATGATATGAATCCTTAAAAAAAATTATACACTTTGTAAGACAACATATGATTCAGGTTTCACAAAGGCCCAAAAAGTTTGTCTAAGGAAGGGGATTAATATTCATCTCCTACCAGAAATTCAGAAGGTTTTATGGCGACAGAACAATACAGTGAATATTAATATTATAATACTAAGATAAGGAGTAAGAAGAACAAGAGACCTAAAATAAAATCTATCAATCTAAGTCTAAAAGTCAACTAGTTCCTAAGGGATAGAGCTAAGAGCCTGAAATAGCTAGATAGACCTAGTCCCAAATCAAATTTAGATGATAGAATTATAATTAATTCATTAAATGAATTATTATTTCTCATTATGTTCAGGCAAGATCAAATTATAAATGAAGCTCTGGAACAATTCAAAACCATTTTATCTTTGATCTTGTGGTACCATCTAAAAACATAGCATAATATATTTACATGTCCTGCACCTCTAACAACTGCAAAGGTCAACTTATCATAATATGTAACCCAGCCTGCTAGATCTAAATCTTTATTTCCCCAAGCTCTCCAAGGAGTAGTTTCTCTAATTCCCGGAACCATGAGGATGGCTTACTCAGTGTCTACTACACTCACTATAGCATCTAAATCACCAGAATATATTAAAATTTATTATCCATATTCGTCTCTTAGTTGTGCTAATATCTAGTAACTACCTGCTTCGCTGATGTGATAATCTTCGTTGATTTGAAGATTGCAAGCATTCCAGAGTACTGGCTAATCTTGGATATGTAAAGCCTCCTGTACATCCTATCTATTGTAATACTCAGTGATTGGTCCGAAGTCAGTACAAGGAGCACCATTGTCCTTGCCTTTGTTTTCGACTCGATTTCCTTCGAACCAGGGAACATAGGGGTACTTAACTTTCTTCTGAGTTTGATGTTTAGATTTAAGAAAGTCAGGAGTAGTGTCTTCCTTGCAATACCCGTAAACATTATAAATATTAATATTTGATCCCAAACACACCTCTTCAAAATGACTTTGAGCCAATAGACACTTAATAGATTCAGGAGCCACTTGGCAAACCTTTCTAATAGTGTTTGTTGTTGTTGGGGGCATGAAGTTTCTTCTTAAGAAGTACTCTTGTAATGCATAGAAGCGTTTCTTTGGGTCAGATACCAAGAGTCCATTTCCAATCATAATTCCTCTCAAAGATATCCTTAAGGAACTGACTTTATTGCCTTCCAAAATTGCTTTAGAGGTGTATGGTATGTACATTCCTATGCATAATCAAATAAGCAAATACCTGCATATGATTCTCCTGCAATATAGAATGCTCTTCCTTAAAATTATTTAAAAGCTGAAAACCAACTCAAAATTGCTTAATAATTATCTTCTCCTGTATTGGTGTCATTGTAGACATAGAATGTATCTTTATTAATAGAAAATCCCACTCCTGCTGGTGACTCTAGAAAGAGTAGATTTGCTACAGTATTCCATGAATACGGGTTCTTCTTAAATTCTCTATCCTCATCAACCATTACAAATGGGCCAATTTCTTCGTTTAATCCAAGCAATGATGAACATCCTGGACCTCCATTTAACCATAGCACAACAGGATCTGTTGATGGATCCCCCTGACTTTCCAAAAACACATAATGTAATTATCTAAAATGTTATTAAACACATACCTTTATCCTGTGCCAATTGGAATATATCCAGAATAAGTGTTGAAGTTATAATTTCCCCAGCCTGGGAACACTGTCTTGTCATCCTTGGGATCCACAGCCATCGTCATCAGAACACTCAATGCCACTATTAGGTATGACATCATAATTTGCTTATTTATTCAATAAAACTCATTGGTTAATATTGTATATAACTGCATTGGTAGTATTGATTTTCAAGATAGATAAAAAACAATAAATTTCTTTGGAATCTTGGAGTTAAACCTCAAAATTACATGAATTAAATCGACCTTTGTGCTCAGTTATGCCAATTTTTATTTAAATAGATATGCAATAAATTTCATTCATCCTTCATTTTGTTTTCAATTTACTTCTATTGATTCATTTAACCCTAACTAACAGTCTCAAAGTCTGTCTAAGGATCTATTTGCTATGTACTTTATTGATTTTAATGCAAATCTTATTTACAATTATTTTCGAATGTTATTTTGGCTTATAAGCTAAATTGTTCCTTGATTCCCAATTTAGGTTCAACATATGAAAAGATGGGTTTCTTATTTTAAGCAACTTGCTTAGGGATGTTTTCATTTAATAATTAAAGTAACTCATTATAAGATGCCCTTTATTTTTCATCGTGATCCAACATCCTCATTAGGATGAACTTAATTCTTTGATTTTAGACATTCCTCAATAATTCTCTTGTTGTTTGCTCTCCTTGTTCTCCCTAGATCAATTATGTAAATTTACAGAATTTAATTTTTGAATCTCTGTATTCAACAACAGGGTTGTCTATAATAGAGTAACACCCAATGAATAAACATCAGATTTTTCTACATTATGAGTTATTTTATTAATTTTCGAAACCTAAAATTAGCCCTCTTCAAATGCCTTCCATAAAATGGGAGATAAATAAGCAGGAGTTCCAACCAAAGTACCATTGATTGTTGGTAGCTTCTCCTTCATGAGTTTACGAGAAACCCCAAAGTCAGAAATTAGCAGTTGTTATTCCTTATTTAAAAGAATGTTTTCAGGCTTTATATCTCTATTTTTGATTAATCAATTACCTATGATAAATATTGGAATGCAGTTTAATGTCATTCAAAGTTTAAATACATTGCAAGAAGAAATTATGCAATTAATCATCAGAAAAATATTTCTTAGCTTGTATCCTCTCTTCAATCTCCTTCATTAAACTTTTGTCGGCTAACTCCATTACCAAAACCAATGTATAAGTTTTTGTGATCTAATTCGCCCACGCATAACTCTATTTATCTGATCTAATTATTACCTTGTAAAGTCTAATGATGTTCGGATGCGATTTTGGCAAACTCTTCAATATCAGAAATTCTTTCTATATTGTTGAAAATGATTTTTCCGTCTTAGCATCCATCATTTTAACTGCATACTACTACCCATTAAACCCCTCTTATCCTTCCTATACCTTCTCTAATTCAGGATTGATGATCCTTTTCGTCTTCATTTTATACACTTCACCATACGTTCCTTTTCCTAATAATTCATTCTCCTTTTCAAAATCTTCCAAAAACTCTTAAATATTAGGATAACTCATATTATAATTGATTAAATTATATTCACAAATTTGCAATACATTATTCTCCTTAAATTTGATATTTATGTAAATCAAGCCATCCATATCTTAGGGGGATAAATTAATTGTTAAACTGTTTGCTCTTCTTAGTGCATGTGGAATATAACACTAATAATAAGAAGAGGGTAATAGATATTTAATAAATTATCAAATTTAACTATAACCAAGATGAATATCAAATACACTTTTATGTAAATGTTATTCTATCCTCAAGTCATTTATAAATATACTAAAAATATCTATGAATATTCACATTTAATTACTAAAATTTTCTCTTTGAATTAGTTATCATTTTCTATTATCACATCAATTTAAAATGACTTTATTATAAATATTGGATTAATTCTAATATTGCGATTGATTTCTCAATTCCAATTTGATTAAGCAGTAAATTCTAATTAAATTATAAACTTTAAATATCGTTAGCATAGCATTTATTATTGGAAAGTTAGTAATTTCCTTAGATTTATTGAAATTTAATACTTAGAAGATACATAATTTTTGGATTCTTGTTCATCTAGTTCTCCATAAAATGACAACAATTCTATCAAACCTAAATATGTATATTAGTAATCAAATAAACTTTATTTGTTAATTTATATAATTAATGATAAACTACTTATGTAATTATATATCTGTAATTAGAACAAAGTGAGTATTCTTCATTCCCTTTTACTTAGAGAAGAATAAGCCATCTAGTTTTAAATTACAGTAATACTGAATCGAAATCTAAATAAATAATCACAGGCGATCCAAGAAAAACAGCAAAAAAGAGTTCGCTCTCACATTTGACAAGATTGTTGAAAGAACGTGATGAGCGTGAATAAGATGGACTTACACCTCTGGCAACAGATAAGTAAATATAAACTAAAAAGTTTATAAATTTAAAACCACTCAAGAAGGCAATAGAGAAAATAACTCAAATTAGACAACAGTAATAAAGCAGAAGAAAATCAGCATATGGCGAATTCTTTGGTGAGTTGACATAAAAGCAGATGGAGAATCTTCCAACATCTATTGAATAGCATAAGTAAATTAATGGATAAAGATTTGCATTAACAAGCTTTGCTGATATTTTAGAGAGAAAAAAAAGAAAAAGGACCACTAAAAGGCAAAGTCTCTTAAGAAAATTATCGAAATAAGAATCTTTGGTTGGTAAGATTAAATTTTATTTTAGAATATGATTATTTGGAAAGACCACCATCTTGTAAGACTCCTCCAAAATAAATAATAATTAAATAACAACCTAAATAGAAGATAGAGTCAACAAATGCGAAAATAATTAAATAATTAGACAAGAAAATGATCAACTTTTTATTAGGAAAACCTCCTGAAGTTTAATAGTTTGTACAAAGAAGGAAGGCATATACCATTAATTATTAAGTAACAACTCCTTAATCTTTGTCCATAACTGGAAATCATAGAAATTCAACACTTTTACCAAATTTACCCATAAACAAAGTAAATAGATGTTAAACTAATTCATATGAATCAAAATATGCATCGTAATTTAGTAATCGGTAGATTTAGAATACGGATAGACCGTACATTAGATACAATAAAACCTTGATAAAAATCATTAAATCAGATGGGAAAAATAATTGATAAAATATGCAAAAGTGATTATATTGTGATGTTAATTAATTGTACTTTAGTGATTTTAATCTAGATATAAAAGTGGCCCATTTCATAATCTTTATTTAAAGCTGTAGAATATTATAAAATTTATTATAATATTGATTAATAATCCGTATTAAGATAAAAAATAATTAATTAATTAAATGAAAGCATTCGTCATATCCAAATATGGTACCAAACCACTTTGGTAATAGGTTCTTAAACCATCACTATTATCACACTAAGTTCTTATTAAGGTGAGATATGCCCCAGTAAATCCATCAGATATCTATTACTCCTTAGGTATCTATGGAATCAAGAAGGCTCTCCCAACTTAATTGGGAATGGAAGGAGTTGGTGAAGTGGTTGAAGGAAAACACAAAGGTAAATTGGTAGCATTTCTGCCTGCAAGATCAGTGGGAAGTTGGGCAGAGTATGTTGCTGCAAATGAATATGATATTTATGAAGTGGCAAATGAAATCCAAGGCAGTATGGCCATAATTAATCCATTCACAGTTCTTGGGTTCCAAGAGAGAGCCAAGTAATTTAAGAGTATCTTATTTTCATCTGCTCGATCCTCCACTGCAATCCAAGGAATCAAACTATTTAAAGAATTGGGAAAGGATGTTTGGGCTATTTCAAAGGAGAACAAGGACTATGTCAATACGATATTGGATGACGAGAATCTCCTTTCAAATATCCAGAAGAACATCAAAGATAAGACTATATTCTTTGATTCAACTTCTGGAGATAAGGCTGGGTCTATCTTGACATCATTGCCAGGAAACAGTGTTTTGGTGAATTACGGCTCATCAACAGCAGCCTACATAGGGAAGATCAATCCCAACTAGTTGATTTTCAATGGTAAATCTGTTGAAGGATTCTGGATGCACAACTACTATACTTCATTAACAAGATAATAAAAGGAGGTTGCCTTTAACTACATCAACTCTAAATTAGACACAGTCTTTAAATCAGACATATATCAGATTGTTAAACCATAAGATATTTCAGGTGAGGAACTCTACAAACTCCAGTCACAGACTCGTGGACAAGGAAAGATTCTTTTGGAGTTTAAATGAAATATCAATAATAAATTAATATGGTTATTATTTTTACATAAGACTTCTTCCAATGTTAGTATGCACTTGGGTACCTTGCTAATTTATAATAATTATTGGATTTAATATAATAATAATTAAAATAATGCATTTTAATATATAATATATAAAATCAACCTAATAATATAGCATGTTATGTGTTATGTTCATCCAATTATTATTCAGATTCAAAATACCTGGGATTTATGAATATATTTATACTTAAAACATGTATCAAGATCACAAGAATAAAATTTCTCAGTGTCATCCAATCTTTTGACTGATACTACAATATCATTGCAGAATTTGCAAAATGTTTAACCATCAATGTAGTAGCACTCATAGCACATAAAATGTTTGCAAGGATTTATAACAACTCTCACGCTTGCAGGAAAATCACAAATTGGACAAAATTTAGCTTTTTTCTAAATTGATTTTGGATTTAAAAATGTTGCTGCCGTTCTCGGATCATATCTAACTTGATTTTCAGGAGGAGGATAATTTGGATATTAAGGTATTTATTGCTATGGGTTTTATTAGATTTGTTATTATGGTGGCTATATTGCATTCATTTATGCAAATTAAGAAAAAATATATTAATTAAATTAATTCAAAAGTAGAGTTTTTATTATATTGTCTAATCATTCAGATTTCTATTCGATAGTCATTTTCCTTTTGCCATATTTATCCTAATAAGTTCTAATTTCTTTGATTTTCTTATCAAAAATACTTAATTGACGCATCTATCTCTCTTTTTCTGCCTCTTCTTCCAACCTAATCAAAAAAGATTGTATTATTTTTGGCCTAAACTCAATTGATTAATCGGTTTTGCTCGACCTATCTATTCCTTCTAAAGTCACTTGAATACTCTTATTCTCAGTCCTTAATTTACTTTATTCTGATACATAATATTTGTTTTTCTTATTATAACTGCTTACATGTGATCTGCTACTGTCTAAATTACTTTAGTGCACCTTAGAACTGTCGTAACTCCTGGACGACAGTTATTTATCTTGGTTCACAGATTTATAATGCCTTTTTCGTTGTTCTTTTAGAGCTTGGAAGGAGAGAGGTTTCTTATCAGGATGCACACCTTGAATCAAAATATGATTAAGGTTCAGTAAATGTTGGAATGATTCGAAAATTCCTTACTTTTTTTTGAAGCCCTTTTATTAGTACTCCTCCATATAGCGAGGGTGATATATTTCTTTTTATTTGACAATGTATTCAGGTCGATCCACTTTGTCTGTTAATTATACTAAGGGATTGTAAATGGAGATGGGAGGTAATTTCTTTGTTACGTAATATTGAGGCTTATCATGATGTATAAGGACATCTTAATGGATAGGACTGTTAAATTATTTATTATTGGGCAGATGACTGTTGCTCTCAAAACGCATAAAATCCTGTCCTCTTTTGATCCTGGGATTATCTCTATTTTCAAGGAATTTTAACATTAAGAAATAAATAATTAAAAAGCAGTTCTCTTTTTTGATATCGGAGATACATCAACAAATGTTCTACTAGAAACCTAAAGAGAAAGAACTTATTAGAAAATCACCATTATTCAATAAGATTGGAAGTGAGTAAGCGTAGAGAATGGAAATAGTTTTTATTGTAAGTTACATCCCAACATGAAGAAATTTCAAAGACCTAACGTGAAGGATCCAGAAATGTACAGATTAAGAAAATTATATATGAAATGAGTAATAATAATTATAAGTCAGCAATTAAGTTTAGTTTTTTTCATTTTCTTAGGTTGAACTTCAGTAGATTCTTGCTATTCGATGGTTGTTACTACCTTCTCTTGGGCTTATTTGGCTAATGTCATGATTTTCTTGATGTATTGATTTTTCGTAAACTGAGACTTATGTGTTTTTGATTTAATATGCTAATTTAAGTGAAGTAATACATCTAGATAATCTTCATAGTGTTGTTTGCAAACATTGCAGTATTTTGACTGGCTTTTGGGTTTGGGAAAGTGCTGAATTTAATGGAAATACTTACAAGGACTTTGTTTTTTTAGGTCAATTCCTAATACTTTTTTTAGTATTAGTTTTGATATTAATCATTATGTTAAAGATGAAGGGGCTAAATCAAACTAATTCATACTTAATCAATAAGAGGTATAAATCCGGGTTGAGCTGGATCCATGTCATTATTGAATATTGGTATGGTTTCCATCATACATTTTGTGGTTCTTATAAATTAGAGGAAATCAATACTCACTAAATGAGGGCGAATAACTTATTTCGACATATTTGAACTTTGCATCTCTATTGAATGGATAGGGATACAAGATAAACAAATTTTGGCGTTCCTGTGTATCCATTATATGTATAAAAGTTAATTATTTTTCAATATATTGTTGCGTAAATTCTTAAATAAGAATAGTGAATTTAATTATAATTATGTATTAACAACATTCTCATGATATAGTAATCAGCAAAGACAATAGAAATGCTTAAAGTGCCAACAAGTCGAGAAGTAGACATTCGCCCTATAACTTATACCAGAATCTAACACACAAGAATTCTAGTCACTCCAAAGATCACTCTCTCTTTCCAAGTTTATCAAATATTTTTATTCATAGTCAACAAAATAAACACCAATCATGACTATTAACCATCCATCGATGTGCAAGACCTGAGCAGACCATCATAATCCAGGCAATCTCACAAAAGAAATAAAACCGATGCTGACAGATCAACTAACTTAAACAACAGGATCTCCTTATTAAGTAGATAAATATTCAATTACATAAGGAAACGATGCAATCCAAAGAAATAGTTAGAGTACACTAAATAAGATTTCAACAAATAAGATTAACAGACTCAGAGCAGTTAAATTGAATTAAACAAGGTTTTTTATTTACAATATATAGAGTACAAAGAGACATCTTGGATAGATACAATAAATAACACATTAAACTCGATTTCGAAGACTAATAATTAATAAAACCTAACAATTATCTAAGTATTGTATATAGGGAAATATTAGTAATTAATTCCTATGCCAACGACAAAGACAGGCTCTCCTATGAAGGATCTCGTTAAGATAGTCAACAAAAACAAAGAAATGAATCAATAAGTTATACCGACTCGAAATAATTTAAATAATCAACAATTAAATAAATATAAGATTTTCACTCAACCAAATTAGAGTAATTGCAATTCATTTAATCAAATTAGTTAAGTTAATCTAAATAAGCAAGAGGATTACATGAAATTTTCCTTTGGCTTTCAATGCACTAAGATCAAATCTACTAAAAAGTTCCCAAAGGATATATTTTACAATGATGTAAGGAAAGCAAAAAAATGTCTATCAAATTAATGAAATAACCTTATTCATTTTCATTTTTATTTTAATTCTATTTCACCATAAGAAATTAATATTTAATAATTATAATAATTATTTAATATTATAATTCTTAATTAAAAAATATTATAATTCTTAATTAAAAAATATTATAAAATATAGTCTGATTACATATTCATTTCAAATGAGCACAATACTCTACTTAATTCTTAAGTAATTTAGCTTAATTCACTGCAAAAATGAAATTTATTCTTAATAATTAATAAATCTTAATTCACACAATTTAAAACTCTAAATTTGTATTTGATTAAATTATTAATAAATTTATTGTTAAAACATCATAAGAATGGACTGCCCCATTAAAGTTAGCTAATTAAAATCGGTTACAGAATAGAAGGAAGTCTTCGATAAATTATTCAAGATGCCTACTTAACACGTTTAAAGATCTTAATACAAACAAATATCAAAATCTGATTTAATAAATGAATTGCGCCAAGAGAATGATGAGTTGAAAAATACCATCATTGAGTTGAAGGATAGGATCAAGCAATTAGAAATACAATTAAAAGGAAAGCAGAGTCTCCAAATCGAAGAAGAAAATCAAGAAATAATTTCAGTTGAAAAGCCATAATAAGAATTTTAAGAAGAAATGAATGAAGAAGAGAAATCTCTCCATTTTGCCCTTATACTCCAATAACAAGAAGAGATGGAATTCTAAAATCGATTAATCTAGTATAAATACTGTTATATAGTATAGAATGCAAAATAATGTTGATTTGGATGAAATGAGTTACGAATAATTACAGGAATTATAAGAGAAAATGGGCTTTGTAAGCAGAGGTTTGATGGAAAATCAAATATCAATGCTCCTCAAATAATGTACAATTCGAAATTAAGCTGTTGATTGGTATAACAATTGGTTACTAACATTTTAGTTGCACAATATGCTTAGAGGAAAGTGGAAATCCTGTTGAAATTCAATTATAATGTGGACATGTGTTTCATAAGGAATGCATTTCAGAATGGTTGTCTAGAGAGAAACATTGTCCAGTGTGCAAGAGGGATATTGATTTGGGAAAGTTAAAGTGATATGACATTGCTATTTATTTATTGTTTATTGCAATTTATTATTTAAGTTATTAAAAATTAAAAAAATTGAAATGTGGACATTTCTATGAACATTTCAATTTCTACTTTTATGTGGAATCTTATTGATGTTCGGGAGAAAAGTCTTAATGGAGAGAATTTGAGTTTGGTTTATACGGTTAATAAAAATTGATATATTTGTTGAGTTTAAAATTTCAGTTTTTTGCTTATTTTGTTTTTAATTAAAAAATAGTATGAAGAGTGCTTTTGTCATGATGATCAGAATTAAAAAAACTGCTAAACTTGAAAGGGTGAGAGTACATTATGGAATTGGTCTTAATGTATAGATTAGATTGAAAACATAATCATAAATAATAATATATAATATTAAAAAAACGAATAATGGATGATAATTACAGAGATGAATTTCAGGGATCAGAGTCTGAAATTGCTAAAAGGTCAGACGAGATGTAATTTAAGTGTATACGCATATCGATAGCATTTTCGATATATTTAATATTTCAAATGTTGGCACTTAGAATAGAGTACTAGATATAGTGGATTTATATTGCAATAGTTTTCATTATTTGTGACACTTTCATCTGGATCCTGACTACGATATGGTTATGTACTGAATATTTATTTTAATAGTTTAGTAGCAATATCCAAGAATAGCTAAAGTATTCTTAGGAATAGCCTAACACTCCACTTTTGGACTTCTGCCAATTTTTGCTCTACTTCTTTGTTTGCAGTTGGATTAAATTATTAATTAGAACTCCATTCTAGTGGCATTTCCACTGTTTACATGGGAAATTTTGCTGTTATCATTTTTGATTTTTATCATCCCTGGATTGTGTGATGATGCTCAAGGATCCAAGAAATGGGTAGCTGTAGTTATTCTATATTACATTGCTATTATTTACACAGAGATTGCCACACTAATTCAATTGCAATTCAATTTCAATTGGTTTTGGGTAACATCCTTACTAATTTTTACATTTTTTTACCACATAATTATACTAATAACCGACTACACTATCACTGTGATTTGGCAATGCACTATTTTAACTACATGTATTTTCTGTCTATTTGAATTCACATATATTTTGAATGACGTAAGTAAAGATCAAAATAAATAAATGCAATATTTAGCAATCATTCCAATGTGTGTGATCAGTATTATTAATTTCATTAAATAAATCATAGTGTGAATTTGATTATATGTATATTTAATAATAAGTTTAAAAAGTTATAAAACTTTAGTCTTTTGATCTAAGTACTTTATTTTACTAGAAGATATCCCCAATATTTCTGAATTATATTTAATTCTCAATTTCATATAGTAAAATTTTAGAAACTTCAGTTGCTAATTATTATTAATTAATATATTTTATAATGTCAATAGTGAAAAGGCAATTTTCTAATGGGAGAATGAAATCTGATGCCGATGTTTTTAAATAGGCAATTGAAGAAGTAGAGAGAAAAAGACCTGGATCAGGACAACCTATGTCAACTGTAAAGTCACCTTTGCCTCCAAGAAAGCCACTCTTTTCAGGAAGTCAAAAATAAAGATTGGTTGTCAATGCCAATAATATCGAGCAACAAATTCCTTAACAGAAGATTATTAAATCCAATTAAAATAGTTAGCATTCTTCAAAGGCATCCCTAAATATTACATAGAATTAATAATAATTGCTTTAGATTGTAATTACCATATTAGATTTACATCTTTAGAAAAGCCCTCAAAAATAATCGAAGCCTCCAATTCGCATTGACAAAAAGATCATAATTGCAAGACATGAATAGATTGGGAGTTCTGGGAGACCTACCATGACTGGAGATGCTTAATCAAGAAACAATAGCAAATAAAAAGTATCAAGTGCAGGAACGAACACTAAATAGTTTAATTGGACTGAGGTAATTGACATACCTTAACGAGAGTCTTCTTTAAATGTAAACATTAATTTATAGCAAGAAAAGAAGGTTAGTATCCAGAGAAAAATTACAAGCTCTTCCACAATAATATTAGACACATTAATAATAATCAATCACTCAATCCTATAGATCAGAATAAAATACCTATCATGATTTTGAGCAGCAATTAACAAAATCGGTAGAAAATAAACAACCCTTGTGTTATACTGATTTTAGTATGACTTCTAAAAAGAATGATTTATCAAAGGCCTTGGCTTCAATCAAAATGGAAATCAAATAAGCCTCTTAAGAAGCTAAACAAAATCAAGTGGATTTATACATGAATGGTAATTATCTTGTGTATTTATATCATAGCCATTCCAGAGTAGGAAGATGATGGATGTTCTTCATTGGCATAGAGTACTCTCTATTAGTTTTAATGATGATTACTCCAATTACTTAATTGATTTACAATTAGGAGCAAATATATTATAAATTAATTATTGTTATTTCTATGGGGGGATGTGGATCAAGGGACAAGGAAATTAAAGAGAAAATTGGATTCTCCTAAACTGATTATGACCATGCGATCAAACGGTTTTCTAAATTGACTCAGTAGAAATATGGGTATTTAAAATTTTTATTAAAGGAAAACAGATCAATATTTTAGTTTGAAGGATTAAAATGTACTTTACTGAAAACATAGTATTTGCTTAAAAATTATATATTTTTATGAGAAATTATGGAAGTTTAAATTTTATTGACTTAAATACATTTCTTACAGTTAGTAATTCATATTCATTATAGCATAGTTGATTTATTCACCTAATTTAAATCATTCAATTCTAAACGATAAAATCTTTAATGATAAAATTAAATAAGAGACTCCTTAAATATCAAAAATCGTTAAGAATTATCTAGCTGGTAAATTCATTAATAAGGTGCTAAGAAATACAATGCCTAAATTAGAATCTAGCGATTTGATGAATAAATAATTGATTGGTATGCTATCTATTTCATTTTAATACAGCTCTTCTTAATTTAAGTGTCCCTTGGTTTAATAAGTGTGTATCTGTAAACTAAATCTACAAATTTGAAGTAGAAAGTGGATCAAACTATAATTTTAATATCTTAGGAAATAGTCTATTTAAGCGAAAGGGCCAAACGTTATTTTGTTCCGTCATCTCTAAATTGATAAGGATAGGGATAATGTAGAGAAGTATGTATTTTGCTATTTTTCACCTTCCTAATGGAGAGTGTCTCCTAACATATCAGGAAGTAAAGGATCCTTCATCTTCTCTGTTCATCCTAGATTTAAAATATTCTCCACAAATACTAACAATAAAGTAAGTTTGCTCTATTAATACCAATCATTACTAAAAAATTTAGTTAACAACTCAATTCTCAATTAAATCAAGGGCCAAAGTAACCTGGATTAGGTTAGGTGGCAGTGGATATGAATAGCACAGGATTTGGATTGATGGAAAGCAATTGTAAGCAAGTAGATTGATAGATGAAGACAAGACCTTTCAGAGTGGACCAATATTACAAAATAATATTCACTTACTTGATGTATGATTGAGTTTTAGTCCTAGATAGATTTGATCGAAATTTGAGATTTACAATTATCTGCTGGAGCATAAAGCACATCATATTTTAAGACTAATTCTCATAAACCTCATTTAAATGAAGAACAATAACGATTCCATCAGAATTAATTGATGGATGTTATCATTACCTTAAATTAAAAAGGAAACAAAGATTATGTAATACTTAAGAATATAATTTTAGAGAGGAGGAATTGAGGAATAGTAGACATCGAATCCTTTGCTCCCAATTAGCGAGGAGGAGGAAGAGAAATAACAAGGGAAATGATATGAGTGTATTTTATATTTCTAATATGATAACAAAATTCCTTATCTATCATGCATTATTAAAATAGAAATAATCCTATGGCTTGATGATTTTATTTAAGATATCTCCTATTGCCGATAAGTACCGAATTTTATCTTAGAGATTTGATCTCAGAATTTGAGCATAAGCATGGTTTTAGTAAAACTCGATTGATAAAGTTTGAAATAGTTATTTAAAAACATCTTAAATCTTCCTCGTGTTTGAAGGGTTTGTGTAACACAAAATTAGCATTTCCTCCAAGCCTTTTAATTCGATGGATTTAATCCACTTCCAGAAATGAGGTAATAAGTTTTCATTGTCTGCAAAATAAAGTTGCACTCTTTCCTTGGATACAAAATCTTCAATTATAAATTTCATTTAACTTTTTATCAAATACATTTTAATTTGTGTATCTTCTAATTATAAGCATAGGCATTACCATCTTGATGTTTAATATTTTCTAATTTTTAATATTATATTTATGTAATGAGGTTATTAACAGCTTCTGATTATTCTTGTTTTACAAATGGTATTTTTGGTTCAATCAATTGATTCAATATCTTATTCGATTACGCCTATTAAATGAGTTATTGTAAAAAGCTTAATGGAATCGTAACAGCAGGAGTGAATTATTTATAATTTGTGCAGCTATTATGAAATGGGAATTATAAATTAAGTTGAGGATATGTTGCCATCTGATTTTAAGAGACATTCATCTCATTTTAGTTTTACACTATTTTTATAGGTGCAACTTTCACATTCTTCTTCGTTTCTTAATAAGGTTCAAAACTCATAAAAACTAGATTTTATAAATTTTGTGTATTTACTATTAAATTTTGAATAGCATAGAGAAAAACACTACTTTATTCGAATCTATACTTATAATCGCAACCACATTATAATTGACCTTCAAGAAAAGATATCAATCATGATGTTCTTGTTGATGAATACAGATGAAAATAGATTGATGTTTAAGAAATTTGTAAATGTTAAAGAGAATTAAAAAATAAGGGATATTTATGATAAAATAATTATTGGAGTGTTGTGAAATGGATAATTTATAAATTAAATATGGATTATAGGATAAAATAATATTGATTCGTTTAATTAATTGTGTTTGTTTATATAATTTCATCTTTAATACAATTCCATAATGTTGATGGGTCCATTTTATTTATATGATTATTATTACATGTGATTCGTTTATTACTATTGAAATAGATTTTGTTAAAATTATTATTATTATTACTACTGTTAATTGAAATAAGGATTGTTATTTTAGTATTGCTGATAATTGTATTATTATTATTGCTATCCTAAATTTTGTAAGTAAGCATAATTAGCATTCTTTTAAGGAATGGTTTGTTATGATTGCATTTATTATTTCTATTATTAATCTGGCTTATAGAGATTCAGTATATCTAGAGATGGCAATGAGTGCATTACATGATTAGCTTGTTATTTGGTCTGATTAAAATCTGTATTATCTTTTTCTGGTGATAAAGAATGAGTAGTTCCATACTAAGTGTTATTTCCATGGACTATTTCCATTTTAATGTCTTTAGAACCAAAATTGTCGAATTACTCGTTTAAATCAATCAAATCACCTAATTTCACTTTTGGTTCTTCTTATTTAGTTTCTGCTCTAAAGTAGAAAGGTTTAACAGAACTAAATGGTTACTAAATTTTGAATACGTTTTAGTTAGCATATATTATTATTTTGGATCAAGACATTATTACTAAGGTATAAATCTCTTTTTGACATATTTCTCTTAGACAAATCGAATTAAAGAATCCAACCCTGTATTAATTGTTGGTTTGCTAAATTACAATTAATATTACACATAATCCTTAGGCATTGTATTTTCCCAATAGGAGTTTGCTGTTGCATTCCCAATAGATTCCATAATATCAATATTTTCTTAATACCATCCATCTATATTTGTCGATCTTACTCGTGTAACACTGGGACCCAAAGTTCTGTGAGCGCCTATCAAAATAACAATAACTAATCTACCTGCACAATCCATACAAATAAATACACCATAATCCAAACTAACCCATCTAGGACCTTTTGTGGCACAATCAGCGCACACTAAATTCTCTGGTCGTTTCAGGATCAAAGCAAATATTTTTTCTTATGCTTTAGCTGGAATATGTTATTTATTCATTATATTTGAAAATATTTTTTTATAAAATCACCCTAATTACAGGTGTTATCAAATCGAAATTCAAATCTATTTGTGGTTTCATCATTCAAAATCTATGTAACTATTATTATTTGATAACAATTTGCAATGCACATGATAAACTTTACTTAAAACAAATAGAATTAATTGTAGATCATTATTAATGAATTCTAAATTAATTTGCAATTATATCGCAGAACTAAATACAACATTAATGATCTTTACTTTATATAAGTACATATTTTTTACAATTGATTATGTGATGGATATTAATAATTAAATATAATTAATCATATTAACAAATTCTCAAAATCTGAAGTTAAATTATATACATTTTCTGTAATATTGATAATATTATAGAGAGTATATAAGTTATTTAAAATATCTTACTTCCTTTTGGATCATGTTCTCTTATAAAATTAATCAGGGCTTCAATATCAATTTTGTAATTATCAACAAAATATAGAGAAATTTCTTATCCATATGAGAAGTAATATTAGATAATTATTAGATAAAATTGATTAATTACAAAATGGATCTAATGTATAATTGTCTGATGAAATATGAATTGTTTGATTGATATTTAATATATTTATAAAAAGAGGAAAATCCTTATATCAAAGAACAAGATTGATAGGGATTAGATGTGGTGGACTTCAAAGATACTGGGGGATGATTAGAATTAATGATTATAGTTTATTAATTTATATAATTAAATAATTAGCATATAATGGTAAGGATTTCAATTCCACATATTTTAGGCTTCTCTTCTGAATATGGTTTAAGGGCAACCAATAATTGAGGTGGCATTGGATGGCATAGAGACACGCAAGCACACAAGATTTTAGGATAAACAATTGGGGGCTTTGAAGTTACCCGTCTATTCTGTATTTGATATTGAATAAATTTTATTAAATAGGGAGATGATGACATATCAGGAGTAATTGAAGTAAAGATGAACAAGCAAAAAAAAATAGAGCATCTAGGAATTCGAGTTGAGTTGATAGGACGTATAGGTAAGTATTTATGTATCTATGAATAAAAGAAATTCTCAATGACCAAAAATAAAGTTCAGATTTCATGTCAATGTCTAGAGAATTAGAACCATAAGGATTTTTGTTTGAGGACAAAACATATAAATTTTAATTTTAGAAGTTTGAGAAACAATACGAAAGTTATTATGGAAACACAGTGAGATTAAGATACTATTTGAAAGTGTATATGGTCAGAAGTTATGGTAAAGTGTAGAAGGAAGTGGACTTTGCAGTTTTGATTCCACAACCAGAATTGGAGGATTAACCATAGACTTCATTGAAGTTGGAAGTACAAATTCTCAATGACTAAATAGGTTGGTATTGAAGAATGCTTGCATATTGACTTTGAATATTTCAAGAGCAGATATCACTTAAGAGATGTGGTAACTGGCAAAGTGAATTTCTATTTGGTCAAAATCAAAATCAAATACATGGAATTGGCAGTGATCAGAAAGGAACAATATGGATAAGGACCTCAATAATAGACAGACAATGAGACACTAGTCAAATACGAATTAATGGATGGATGTCCTTNTACATATTTTTTACAATTGATTATGTGATGGATATTAATAATTAAATATAATTAATCATATTAACAAATTCTCAAAATCTGAAGTTAAATTATATACATTTTCTGTAATATTGATAATATTATAGAGAGTATATAAGTTATTTAAAATATCTTACTTCCTTTTGGATCATGTTCTCTTATAAAATTAATCAGGGCTTCAATATCAATTTTGTAATTATCAACAAAATATAGAGAAATTTCTTATCCATATGAGAAGTAATATTAGATAATTATTAGATAAAATTGATTAATTACAAAATGGATCTAATGTATAATTGTCTGATGAAATATGAATTGTTTGATTGATATTTAATATATTTATAAAAAGAGGAAAATCCTTATATCAAAGAACAAGATTGATAGGGATTAGATGTGGTGGACTTCAAAGATACTGGGGGATGATTAGAATTAATGATTATAGTTTATTAATTTATATAATTAAATAATTAGCATATAATGGTAAGGATTTCAATTCCACATATTTTAGGCTTCTCTTCTGAATATGGTTTAAGGGCAACCAATAATTGAGGTGGCATTGGATGGCATAGAGACACGCAAGCACACAAGATTTTAGGATAAACAATTGGGGGCTTTGAAGTTACCCGTCTATTCTGTATTTGATATTGAATAAATTTTATTAAATAGGGAGATGATGACATATCAGGAGTAATTGAAGTAAAGATGAACAAGCAAAAAAAAATAGAGCATCTAGGAATTCGAGTTGAGTTGATAGGACGTATAGGTAAGTATTTATGTATCTATGAATAAAAGAAATTCTCAATGACCAAAAATAAAGTTCAGATTTCATGTCAATGTCTAGAGAATTAGAACCATAAGGATTTTTGTTTGAGGACAAAACATATAAATTTTAATTTTAGAAGTTTGAGAAACAATACGAAAGTTATTATGGAAACACAGTGAGATTAAGATACTATTTGAAAGTGTATATGGTCAGAAGTTATGGTAAAGTGTAGAAGGAAGTGGACTTTGCAGTTTTGATTCCACAACCAGAATTGGAGGATTAACCATAGACTTCATTGAAGTTGGAAGTACAAATTCTCAATGACTAAATAGGTTGGTATTGAAGAATGCTTGCATATTGACTTTGAATATTTCAAGAGCAGATATCACTTAAGAGATGTGGTAACTGGCAAAGTGAATTTCTATTTGGTCAAAATCAAAATCAAATACATGGAATTGGCAGTGATCAGAAAGGAACAATATGGATAAGGACCTCAATAATAGACAGACAATGAGACACTAGTCAAATACGAATTAATGGATGGATGTCCTTAAAAGGGAGAAGTGATTCCAATTAGATTGTATCTAAGTGGAGTGGATGTGACGCCGTCGGTCAAAAATGTTAGTGGTAAATTCAGTGTCAAATATATTCTGAATCTGATTTTGGTCGATGAAGATGATAGGAGATATTTCAAATAACAGGAAATTACAATATATAGAAAGAAGTGATTGAGTGATTTAATCGTAAATCATCATATATAATAATTATTTGTAAGAGAAATAAACATATCATTATTGTTACAAATAATTATATTTTTAGAGTCCTATATGTTGGTAATCGATTATGTCACTAATAGATCTAAACCTCTATTCCTTCACTTTTTGACAATTCTATTGTTCTTACTATTACAGTTGCATCTATTCTATTTTCTCCTGCAATCCACAATAAATTAATTCAGCCAGACCCAATAGAAACTTTTTGGAATCTTCAATGTTAATTGGAGAATAAAGGGAGTAGAAGTTTTATTATTAGAATTACTAAATTTGTTATTGTTACTATTGTTATTATTACATCTATTGTTGTATGTATTTTTGTTCTTGTAACTCATTCGATATTATGGCTTCGTTTGCATCAATAAACGAAGTATCCAAGATCATTTCCTGTGAAAGTTCTGTTGGACTTTAGGAAAATCTTCGATTATGACTTTGAGTTGTGGTCACTTAATCTTTGTTATTGATGTAAAACTGTTGCAAAAAATAATATTGTTTATTGATTTTCTGTAATTTCTCTTGATGTCTTAAGTTTGAATTTATGAGAATTTAGATTTAACTCTAAAGTATAACTATTGACATACTTCGAAATCATCGCATTTCCTTTGCAATTCATTATTTGATGTCTCAAGAGTTTTATTTAATAGCATCTCTCTTTGATAGTTCTTCCTCAATTCCTCTAGCAATCTCTCATACTTATTGATTTTTTCAGCTATATTGGGATCTATCTACTTTTTCATATCCTACATCTATTAGATTTGTCTTATAGCATTTATCTCTTATATTTATTTAGCCTTAGTGAGATCTAATTTAGGAACTTCCTTCATTTATTTAGCCACTTAATTCTCCTGTTTCAGTGGTAGAGGTGACATCAAGGGTGAGCTACCAACTGAAGAATTTTCTTCGTTTTCAGAAGAATTCTCATTTTCTTCTTTGTTAATCACATTTAATAAATTATTTTAGACTAAATTAATAATATTATGATTACATTTAATCAATTATTCAGGTCCTTAATTGGTCTATTATTATTGAATGATTAGTTTATTCCCATGATATGTCATAGCTGTATTCTTCATTTGAACTAGATTACTCATTAGTTTCTAAATCAATAGGGACAATATTATACTAAATTAAATCCTTGTAGTTTGTATTTTTCAGCTTCAATGAGTTTATTCTTCTTAAGCTAATCTATCAATTGAGCTTTTAGCATTTCTATTTGATTATGAAGTTTGATAGCAATTTTGTCAGGTTCACAAATTTCTTTGTATTTAATGAGAATACCTGATACTTCATCGTATTCAGGTTTGAGTTATTCCATCTTACTTAATTACTATTCAGCTTTATTGAGGTTATTTTATAAAGTTAAGATTTTATTCTATAATGATAAGATTAATTCTTTTTCATGTCGTTAAGCCTCTTCAGTGATTTATTAATTTATTAATACTTAATTTTATGCTTGGTTCCTTTCTTCTATAAGTTTGTCAATTTGATTATGCAATTTGGCATTTTCTTCTTATAAGTTTTTCATAACCATCAATAAAGCTTTATTTTATTCATCATTATGTTGTGGTGTCATAATTCTCAATGCCTTTTTATTTAATTAGAGCAATCCCTTCAATTCATTCAACTACTCAGTTAATTGCTTGTTTTCTTGTTTAAGATAATCGATTAGTTCTGTATGTTAATTGTTAGCTATGTAAAGACTGCTAGTCAGATTCTTTTTGGAATGAGATTATTTCATAATTATTTTTATTATTGTTAAATCTAATTCATTTTCTTTTGCTAAATGTGAATTGTAGCTAACCCCCAAGACAATTACACCTAAATAGACTTGATAAGATCCCAACAAGTCTAAGGTTCCAGTGTTTTAGTAACAGTAATGAAATAAGATCCCTCCTTCAAATCTTCAGCCTTCTTACTCAATTGGTTCATTAGATCTGGTTCGAAACAAGTAGTTGAAGCAAACAAGAAGGTGCCATCACTCCAATCCAACTTGATTTCGTGAATTTAATAATACCTCTTGGAAATCTCCATTGATAAATTCAATTTTTGGTTGTTGATAATCTTTTATTCCAATCTGTTCCATTTCTTCTTCAATAAGAGATTTCTGTTTTTCCACTTCTTACTTTAACTTGCAAGCTTGTTCATGCAAAGAACGCAAAAATTCAATGCCTTTACAAATGTCGAATTAATGCATTAATGATGCAGCAATCACACTCTTACCAATGCCACTGCCTAAATCATAAAAGACTCCCCCTTTCTTTGGTGAAACCTATTGGAAGACCACAGATAAAGATGTGAATTCCTTTTGTTTTAAGCATATTTACTTACTATTTCCCCGTACGATAGAGAATTGGATGTCAAATGATTCGCCACCCTCTCTTCTCTACTCAAAGTCTAAATCAATAATCCCATCATTACTTACCCTAGCTCTTTGCAATGAATACTCTTTCGTGAATTTCTCATATAAACTCTTCAGAGATTCCTTGGGACATTGTGCATTATCCATTTATTGAGTACAAGCTTATTTCTGTAAAGAGTTTAGAAAACTTAGAATTCGTGCATGGTCCATTTTATTAAATAATTTATTATAATTTAACTCTATAATATTAAATTAAATGCTTGAATCTAGAAATCTGGCTCAAATTTCCAAACAAAATATCTCAGTCTTGAAATTAATAAATAGTTCTAAATTGTTTTAATTGTAAAATAGATTCTATTTAAAATAATTTTAGCTTCTTTTTGCAATTCATTCTGATCATAATATGAAGAATTCGATCTAAGATAAATAAATAAGAGAACAATCAGTGATAATAATAATATCATAGATAATTTATTCAAATAAATATCAAACAATTGTAACAGTATAAAATGGTAAATATCTTGCAACTTTTTATCCAGTGATTTCGAGGTACATTAATCCTTTTTTATTTAACCGATGATGCATAACATCAATTTCAAAATGAACTCCATTTAAATTAGAATTCTCAGCAAAGAATTTGGATAATTCCTATGATACTTATTTAAAGAGTAATACTTTTCTTCTAATTGATGCAGCATCAATGTGATTAATATATGCTTAAAATATTTCAGTGGTCCCACCTTCATGAAATGTAGTTGACGTATCCCCTTGAGGAACACTTGCCAAAGTAATTCTTCTTTTTGGTCTAAGAAGTGGTGCCATATTCTATCTTATGCATGCTTCATTTATTCTAACTTCAAGAAATGCCCTCTCTTCATGTCTACCTGCCATTACTTCAAGTATCAATCTATGATGCAAAGGATTACTCTTATTCCACAATATTGTAAAATAACTTCGGATTAAATATCCAGCTAGTTCTGGTCTCATGTCATAACTTTCAGGGTTCTTTAAAATACTCTTCAAATGCATACAGCCTGTGTTTTCTGATTTTAACAAAGAAGTTAAGAGATCGTTTTTAAGCTATAATATAAAATATTGTTACTGAATTTGGTGGATCAATTAAAGCATCAACTGTCAAAGTCATACCTAATTCCTTTTCTAAATGCTTTAGAGCATCATCATCTGTGCACATATAAAATCCTTCTTATTTCATGTACTGTAAATAATTGCTAAGAATGCTATCTACAGTATCTTAGACCAATGGAGTACGGATGGTTTGTTCATACACTGATAAGGCTAACAAGAACTCACCAAAATCACCCCCTGGAGTTCCTAGTACTCCTTTTTCATTTCTTCCATCCAAACATGAAAAATGATAGCTGTTAGGATCTCCAAATTATAATTCGTTAAGAGGTCCTATCAGATTACGGATTTATTCAAACGATGCAGTTTTCCCATCATCTCCAGCAAAGTCTTAATGCAATTAAACCTTAGTTGGATCACAGAATGTTTCCCCAACATGCAGTTATGAAGTAGTAGACTCGCATTGACAGGATGCTTCGTATTCTTATGNGCTTATTTCTGTAAAGAGTTTAGAAAACTTAGAATTCGTGCATGGTCCATTTTATTAAATAATTTATTATAATTTAACTCTATAATATTAAATTAAATGCTTGAATCTAGAAATCTGGCTCAAATTTCCAAACAAAATATCTCAGTCTTGAAATTAATAAATAGTTCTAAATTGTTTTAATTGTAAAATAGATTCTATTTAAAATAATTTTAGCTTCTTTTTGCAATTCATTCTGATCATAATATGAAGAATTCGATCTAAGATAAATAAATAAGAGAACAATCAGTGATAATAATAATATCATAGATAATTTATTCAAATAAATATCAAACAATTGTAACAGTATAAAATGGTAAATATCTTGCAACTTTTTATCCAGTGATTTCGAGGTACATTAATCCTTTTTTATTTAACCGATGATGCATAACATCAATTTCAAAATGAACTCCATTTAAATTAGAATTCTCAGCAAAGAATTTGGATAATTCCTATGATACTTATTTAAAGAGTAATACTTTTCTTCTAATTGATGCAGCATCAATGTGATTAATATATGCTTAAAATATTTCAGTGGTCCCACCTTCATGAAATGTAGTTGACGTATCCCCTTGAGGAACACTTGCCAAAGTAATTCTTCTTTTTGGTCTAAGAAGTGGTGCCATATTCTATCTTATGCATGCTTCATTTATTCTAACTTCAAGAAATGCCCTCTCTTCATGTCTACCTGCCATTACTTCAAGTATCAATCTATGATGCAAAGGATTACTCTTATTCCACAATATTGTAAAATAACTTCGGATTAAATATCCAGCTAGTTCTGGTCTCATGTCATAACTTTCAGGGTTCTTTAAAATACTCTTCAAATGCATACAGCCTGTGTTTTCTGATTTTAACAAAGAAGTTAAGAGATCGTTTTTAAGCTATAATATAAAATATTGTTACTGAATTTGGTGGATCAATTAAAGCATCAACTGTCAAAGTCATACCTAATTCCTTTTCTAAATGCTTTAGAGCATCATCATCTGTGCACATATAAAATCCTTCTTATTTCATGTACTGTAAATAATTGCTAAGAATGCTATCTACAGTATCTTAGACCAATGGAGTACGGATGGTTTGTTCATACACTGATAAGGCTAACAAGAACTCACCAAAATCACCCCCTGGAGTTCCTAGTACTCCTTTTTCATTTCTTCCATCCAAACATGAAAAATGATAGCTGTTAGGATCTCCAAATTATAATTCGTTAAGAGGTCCTATCAGATTACGGATTTATTCAAACGATGCAGTTTTCCCATCATCTCCAGCAAAGTCTTAATGCAATTAAACCTTAGTTGGATCACAGAATGTTTCCCCAACATGCAGTTATGAAGTAGTAGACTCGCATTGACAGGATGCTTCGTATTCTTATGCTGTGTAACTAATTCAATTGTTATCATTTACAATCAAATTCAGCTCTCCCATTTATTCTTCTTATATCCTTTGCTGAGGATTCCATCTTTAGCTTAACTTCTGCACTATATACTACACTGATTAATAAAACAACTATCATATATTCGTTTTTTTAAATATATATATTAAAGTATATTATTTCTTTCCTTATCAATCCCTATTTCAATCTAAGTAACTGAATCGTCATCTTATATAAATACATCAACAGTTATCCTTTAAGTTGGTTAATTGAGATTTAATGTTTTTCTATTTAATATAAGTATTAATTCTATTTACCTCTTATATGTATTTCAATGTTTTTTTTTTATTAACTATAGGACTTCTCCAATACCTTTAAATATCCGTCATTAGTGATTGAGTAAGAGTCATAAACAGTGAATAATTTCCAATTAATATTTTGAGTCTAAATTATAATATTAAATTACTTAATTTTATTTAATCAAACTTATTGGATTACTATAGGTATTTAATTTTGTACTCAATGATTCATTATTAGATTCATCTTGTACACACTTCAGATAGGCTGTACATTGATTGTTTTTATAATTTGCTATAGGTTGGGATTACGATCATTCTTTTAAGCAATTGAAATACTCAAAAAATAATAATTATGTTTGATCATGTTCCAACTTTAGTCTATTAATTTAAATTTGTTAATGTTTTAATGATTATTTCAAAATTATGGTTGCCATATTGTCTTTCACTAAATTTTAAGCAAGGTTGCCATCACAAGTCTTTCTTCTAAATTAAACTTCTTTTTATATAACAATTAACAGACATGAACTCTCTATTAAATTGTTTATAATCTATTTATAGATTTTGCATGAAAATCTAGCAAGCCATATCAGTGATGTCGAAATTGACATTGTTATTAATGAGTTCTTCCTTTACCTAAATGAAACCATAACTACAAACTAATCTCGATATTTTAATATAGCAGAGTAAGTACTATTCTAATATGAATGCGATATTGATCCCTTTGCAGAGGTGAAAGCAAATCAACCCTAAATTTCAGCTTGAGGTTGCTTTATAAGTTCTATTCGTTTTAATTCAAGTATGCTGTTGATAGTTAGGTGACAATCCCTATCTCTTGTAAATATATCTAAACTCTGGCTTTATCATCCTATTAGACTCTTCGAAGTTTGTTCAAATCAAATCCTTATAACACATATAATAGGCTAAAGTTCTTGTTTTGTGCTGAACAATATTATCATAATTTATAATATATTAATTATTATTTGAAGTCAATTACAAATGGAGATTAGTCTTCTTAAGCATTTTAAATATAAAATTTAGTAATTGTTTTTTTACGGCTACATCTACTTGTATTTATTGTTTTGCTGTGATTTATTTTCATAAATTAAAGATATAAATTTTTTTCAAATTAAATCATGGGAAGAGTTAGAAATAAGACAGTTAAGAAAGCAGCCAAAGTTCTCATCGAAAAATATTACATGAAACTGACCTCAGATTTTCACTTTAACAAAAAAATCCTATCTGAAGTGGGATAAGTGCCATCAAAAAAATTGAGAAATAAAATCGCTGGATTTGCAACACATCTTTTAAAGAGAATTTAGACTGGATCTGTTAAGGGTATCTCCCTCAAAGTAATTTTACATATAAAAAATCTTAGATTCAAGAGGAGGAAAGAGAGAGAAGATTGGATTATGTTCCTGAGAAATCCTCAGTCGACATTGATAACCTTAGAGGAGATTAAGATGTCAAAAGAATGCTTGAAAAGGCTGGATTAGAAATTGATATTCCCATTGATGAGCCAGTTGTCGAAGAAAAATAATAAAAATAACCAAGAAGAGGATAAAGAAGACAATAATGAATATGATCATCTAGTACATATATATAATATATTAAATTAATTAGGCAAAATAAAATTTAATCTAAAATTGTATATTATATTTAAATACTAATTATTCATGCAGATTTCCTCTTTAATTCATTCTCAGTTTATAATCTTAATTAATTTAATAGCAAAATTTTTTATTCATTTACATAATTTGAAATATCATCGTCATATGTATTGAACCTTTTTGATTTTTATCTTTGAGTTCCTGATTACTCCTCCAATATTTTGGTACTTAAATTAGTACCTCTTGTGCTTTCCGTTAAGTTGATCTCTTTGGGATTGTAATAGAAGTTTTTTAAGATGGTTTCTTTAGGAAAATTTTCCATTATGTTTTATTAAAGAGTTTTGATTGACTGCNTGCATGAAAATCTAGCAAGCCATATCAGTGATGTCGAAATTGACATTGTTATTAATGAGTTCTTCCTTTACCTAAATGAAACCATAACTACAAACTAATCTCGATATTTTAATATAGCAGAGTAAGTACTATTCTAATATGAATGCGATATTGATCCCTTTGCAGAGGTGAAAGCAAATCAACCCTAAATTTCAGCTTGAGGTTGCTTTATAAGTTCTATTCGTTTTAATTCAAGTATGCTGTTGATAGTTAGGTGACAATCCCTATCTCTTGTAAATATATCTAAACTCTGGCTTTATCATCCTATTAGACTCTTCGAAGTTTGTTCAAATCAAATCCTTATAACACATATAATAGGCTAAAGTTCTTGTTTTGTGCTGAACAATATTATCATAATTTATAATATATTAATTATTATTTGAAGTCAATTACAAATGGAGATTAGTCTTCTTAAGCATTTTAAATATAAAATTTAGTAATTGTTTTTTTACGGCTACATCTACTTGTATTTATTGTTTTGCTGTGATTTATTTTCATAAATTAAAGATATAAATTTTTTTCAAATTAAATCATGGGAAGAGTTAGAAATAAGACAGTTAAGAAAGCAGCCAAAGTTCTCATCGAAAAATATTACATGAAACTGACCTCAGATTTTCACTTTAACAAAAAAATCCTATCTGAAGTGGGATAAGTGCCATCAAAAAAATTGAGAAATAAAATCGCTGGATTTGCAACACATCTTTTAAAGAGAATTTAGACTGGATCTGTTAAGGGTATCTCCCTCAAAGTAATTTTACATATAAAAAATCTTAGATTCAAGAGGAGGAAAGAGAGAGAAGATTGGATTATGTTCCTGAGAAATCCTCAGTCGACATTGATAACCTTAGAGGAGATTAAGATGTCAAAAGAATGCTTGAAAAGGCTGGATTAGAAATTGATATTCCCATTGATGAGCCAGTTGTCGAAGAAAAATAATAAAAATAACCAAGAAGAGGATAAAGAAGACAATAATGAATATGATCATCTAGTACATATATATAATATATTAAATTAATTAGGCAAAATAAAATTTAATCTAAAATTGTATATTATATTTAAATACTAATTATTCATGCAGATTTCCTCTTTAATTCATTCTCAGTTTATAATCTTAATTAATTTAATAGCAAAATTTTTTATTCATTTACATAATTTGAAATATCATCGTCATATGTATTGAACCTTTTTGATTTTTATCTTTGAGTTCCTGATTACTCCTCCAATATTTTGGTACTTAAATTAGTACCTCTTGTGCTTTCCGTTAAGTTGATCTCTTTGGGATTGTAATAGAAGTTTTTTAAGATGGTTTCTTTAGGAAAATTTTCCATTATGTTTTATTAAAGAGTTTTGATTGACTGCAAAAATTCAGCCTCCCCTTAACCAAACTCTTCCTCATCAAAGTTGAAGGAGAAACAATCTGGTTTGAAAGGAGGATCTATCTTTTTCGACAATAGGTCTTTGTACAAGTATTTATCACCCCATTAGGTCATCCAAGGATGTCGTAATAGTGTTTCAATCTTATCGATTCTGTTCTTAGGGTTCTTAGCTAATAATCCATTCAATAACTCTTTTAAAAGAGGGGACATCTACACATGTTATGGATAGCTTAATTTCTAATTTAAAATTCTTTGATAAATTTCATCAGTGTTTCTGGAATAGAAAGGTGGTAATCCTGTTATCAATTCATAAAGCAAAGCTCCTAAACAATACAAATCTAATTGCAAGTTGTGTCCTTGTTTCAGCAACATTTCAGGAGCCATATACTCTGGAGATCCACAAAATGAATAGGCTATTTCCTAATCTAATTGTTTTGAGAGTCCAAAGTCTGCTATTCTAACATGACCATCAAAATCTATTAATATATTCTCAGGTTTAATATCTCTATAAATTATGCTTCTATCATGTAAGTGTTTCATGCCTAAACAGATTTCAGCAAAATAAAAGAATGCTTACTCTTCGCTCATCCTCTTCACCTAATAAATTAATAGAAAATGATTACTTTTCTTAACAAGAAGAACAATTCTCCTCCAGAGCAATATTCCAAGACAAACACTAAATATCTTCTTGATTCAAAGGCATACTAAATCTTAACAATAAAAGGGTGATTGAGATTGCTCATAATGTCTCTTTCATTTTGGATGATAATTTGTTTGTTCTATGAAATAATGGAGTTTTTTTCGATTAATTTCATGGCATAAAACTGGCCTGATCTCTTTTCCCTTACCATGTAAACTTTAGAGAATCCACCCATTCCAATACATCTAATGAATTCGAAATCCTTTAGACAAACTCTTGATGATCTGTTTTCTTATTCTGCTTATAAGATAGGTTCTATGATTAAAGGTTGATTAGGACAATTGGAAAGTAAAGACAAGGGTCTATCAATTGAAGAAAGTATATAATCAATAGGTATAGAAATATTGTATGTTTTAATTCCAATTATCGAAAGAGAATCATTATCAACGAATTTTTTATTGAGTTCATCTTTGATTAATTCCACTAAGTGTGATATTTTATTAGTCGAGATATCAATAGTCATTTTCTACTTGAAAGATCTAAATTGTAAGATGATTTGAATAAGATCCTATTAAAATTTTCTAAATCCATTTAAATACGTACCTGGTTGTAATGGTTTTAATTTTATCAGTAAGAATTTCGATTCGAGGTTAAGAGGAAGATTGCGTAGATAATTTTTGTGATTCGATGTATTAAGCACTGTTCGATTTTTAGTGGTTTTGTAGTTAGTAAATCTATGCTCCAGAAAACTAAGTAGTTTTGTGCTTAACACTAGATACAGTCAAGGATGTTTAGAAATTCAATCTAGCCAAGAGATCAGATGAATGTTTCTGTTTTGTATCAGATGCTTACTATTTAAATAGCGATTCTGCTTTGGTTGATGGTGAGTAGTGCTGATTTTTAAACAATTATTTTGGAGCTAGGATTAAGAATTCAGACTTTACAGTCATCTTATAAGCTCTCGACTGATTTCATTTTGATTTATGAACTCTGATTGGAATTAGGTTGAGTTTTCATATGATTACCCCGAGATTTGGCTTGTGCTTTGTTATTAACTCTCTCTTAACTAGTAATCTTAGGAGACATGAATCCTTTCGATTTGAGTAAATCTTATTGTTATATTTTCCGCTAGGTTTATCTATATCTATAGCCATAAGTACTATTATTAAGTAATTGTGAGAGTGGGTTGCGAAGCATTGGATTTAAACAAGTTAGTTTGATGAAGCCCAATTTATTTGGTCTTAAGTAAAGATAAATTGATACTTTGCATTCTATTTGGAATGTTGGAGAATTAGACATTCTTGCATGCAAAGCCTCACGATTTGATAGATAATTCATAAGAGCCTAATTAGATATCTCTGAGGATTATGTTTTGAGATGTTACTTCTTGGGTGGCATTTTTGTTAATAAATTTATATATATATATATATATTTAGTTTAAACTATATTTTATTAAATTCAAAATATATCTATTCAATCTTATATTTCTATACCATTAAATAGACACCAGACGCAAATTGAGACTACTAAATCATTTTTAACCATTGTTTTTGCTTATTATAACCTGATATGTTTGTATTTGTTAATTGCCAACTAAATTTACTTATTCTTTATTCTACTAAACAATATTAGATTTAACTACATAATTCTAATTAGAATATTGTTTCATTTATATTAATGTATCTCTAATAGACAATAATTTTGGTTCATAAATCATATTGTCAATTGGAATTAGACAAACAATGCATTTAAATGATGAAAACGCCTATAAGTTGTTCTGCAAACACTCCTAGTGAATAAAATGGGAACATTAAAACATGATCAAATTATCGTCGTATCTCTAGCATATGATGCAGGTGATATTCATTTCAATCTTTACATCACTGTCTAATTTTTAACCGCACAAACAACTTAGATTCTTAAGATTATTTTATTCCACTAAATCATATGAACATAACAAATGGTAATAATGGTTGCATTAATTCACTTAGATATGCTAGGATTGAACCTCTTTTTTGCATTTGTTACAAGTTTTAATTTGATCGCATTTAATACAATAAGAATCCTCATGCATATTCTTGCATTCAAAAAAGAAACCGCAATTGTTTTTACAAAATTACCAACTTAATTTTGACTCCTACATTATAATTTATAACTATCTATCATAGATATCATTCCATTCTTCATCATAATTTATTTAATCAAATATCTTTTTAGAGTAACGATTACCACAATGACACACAGCTGCCAGGCAATCTTTGTAATATACAAACAAGCATTTCTTGCACCATTAGTGATTACAAGACAGCATAACTAAAACATCTGTTATCCTCCAATGTTCTTATACTGAGCATCCTATATCTACGGTTTTTAATTTCAAAAATATTTAGGTATCACTTACATTATTATCGTTTTATACAGTTTATTAATCGATAAATTTACACATTTTTCCATCATATACCATTTCTTATTAACATCTTGGGCAATAGAATTTTTTCTTTTAATTTTTGTTACATTCTTTTTGGTATATAAATAAAAATGAACAAAATTATGTTGGACATTGCACAACAATAAAAGTTTTGATATTTGCGATTAATTGTTTCAATTTATACTTCATTATTTCATTAACTTAGACTTTTGGGTATTTTGCTTAATTTATTATTATTTTATCTTTAGTACAGCATGTTTTATGTTCTTTGAAATGATCTGTAAAACAGTTAATATCATAAAGGTGTTTACAAGGTTTAATTGTCACTTTTTATCCTTCACGAATGTGCTTCTTGCATTTTTTACATACATCACTTATTAGTATTTGACTACCCAATACAGCCTTCTATTATTATTGGATCGAATTTCTCTATTTCGAAGGAATAGAAAAAATATCTTTCTCTTTATCTTGATCATTTGATCCCATCCCTTACGCCATTCTTTCTAGACCCATCATTTATCTGTTATCTTAAACTCTTGAATTTACATCCTCCTCCATTCTTCCTATTGCCATCTACTATGGGCCCTAATAGTGTACTTATAATTTGGCCTATTATGGTTGTTGATACTCATAATGATCCTATCTACTCATTTTCCTTTGACTTTGTGCACATATGCCCATCTTTAAAATTATTACAAAATAAATAAATTTTTCTATCAATAATTCATATTCAGAACTTGTTTTTGATTTTAGTCAATAATAATACTTAATTGTCCTTCAAGTGGTTTAAAGTAAAGTCAATGAATAAATGATTTAATTTTTATATTACTTAATTACAAAATTTGATTATGAAATGCCAGAAGGCAGAATCTGAACTTCAAACAACTATTCATTCTAAATTATATCCTTCTGAAATACATAGTCCCCAAGCAGAGAGATAGGCAATCCAATAGAAAAAGAGAAAATGGAATAGTGATGAGATGGCTAAATATTGCCCTATTGATATCCCTAATGCATTCTAATATGACAAGGTCAATTTACAGAAGTTTAGATTGTTTCTCGATGGGAAGTACTCTGCAAACAAATTAGTAAAAGATATGAATGTCGTGACTAAGAGGAAACGATTAACCTAATTGGAGTAAGAATTCCATAAACAAAAGGAGGAACAACAATTACGAAAGGAATAGGTGGAAAGAAGATACACAAAAGTGAGAACATTGATTAATACCAACATTAAACTAAGAGAAGTAAGCATTTTCATTTATCTTTAATTTAGTCCTTGAAGCTCGAATCTAACTTGAAAGGGAGTAGAATGTTCTCTCAATTAAATAATCACATAGTTGATCACATAGCCAAAATAAAATCTAAGGATTTATTGACTGATCGAATAGATGGAGTCAGATAATGCGAGCCAACAAAACTTTATGATTACAGCAAATCTGGGATTAAGTTAAAATTTAACAAGAACTAAAAGCTTATCAAATCTCAGACCTAGTTCTGTTTGAAGTAGGCAGCTTCATTAGAAGTCTAGGATCATGTCGAGCAGTATTTTAAACAATAACAAGAAGCCTAGCATTCCATAGAATTCAAATAAAAACGAAAGGCAAAATTGAAAATCATCTCCGACAGAAAGCATCGCAAGTACTTCACTGAGTTTGACATCAATATATAGAATAAGAAAGCACCTCCTTCGATTAAGGATGTGCACCTATTTAAATACATTCATGGTTAGATGTTGATTGAAAGGTTTTAGTAAAAACACGAAGATTAAAAAGAGTATTTCGAAAACCCCTTGAAAAACAGAAAAAGTTATCATATTCTTTCAAACTTTGATGAGCCTCTAGAACTGTATGCATTTGATGATTGTGATTAATCATTCGAATCGATGAAAGAGATGAAACTCTCCAATCTCTATGCTCAAAGTATTGATTTGCAAAAGAAATTATTGGCAGAAAGAAGAATCGTTAATTAAGTCTAGCAATCCAAGCAAATAGATTAAACTACCAATTTGATTTAGGTTGTCAACTAACAAAAATTAAAATGATTATTATTGATATATCCAATCCGTTCTCAAATCTTAATTATTATATATATATATATGATTTTATTTTAAAGAATCATACGAGTGTAATAAAAGTTTAATGCATAAATCTCTTGGCCATCAATGAATTTATTTCTTCCCAATTTCCACTCAACACTGAATATCTACAAAATATACATTCGAATCTTACTTTTCAACAGAATCCAGAGGACCATTATCAAACCCTCCAAATACATAAATGTATTAATTATCAGGAGTTGCCAAAGCTGACAATGTGCATCTCGGATGAATCATAGACTCTATTAAGGTCCATCGACCATCCTCATACTTTTCGACACTATTCAAATATTATGTACCATCAAACCCCCCTATAGCATAGATACCATCAGGTAATGAAACACCTGCCAATGCTCTTCTTGGTATATTCAATGGAGCACAATGACCCCATTTACCTGAAGTAAACACCTCGACGGTTTTAAGACAAGTGTTGACTAAAATGAATGATGAAATACTATTACATTAACCACCGAATCCTCCTATGGCAAAGATGGCATTTTCATACATGCAAACAGCCAACTCATCTCTGGCTTCAATCATAGATGGGAATTTAATCCAATTATTGTCAATCTAATTAAAGCAATCGAACTCCTTTAAATTCTCTAAAACCATTGATTATGTTAATTACCTTAACCATCATTCCCACCAATCACATAAATAAATTGGTTCACATTCAAAGTTCCAAATCCACTTCTTGATGATGGCAACTTGATTTTTGATGGAATAACCTTTTTATCCTTATAATTATATTCCTCACAAGTATCAATACGGACTCCATCGACTTTGCCTCCCATCAATAGAACATTCCCATTTATTAAATGTGCAATTCCAAATTTACATCTATTATTTTTTAATTAATCCTTCTCACTCGGATAATCTGTTTTTATATCATATTTTTCAACTATTTATTTTAAACTATCAACAAAACCACCTATTGTGATATACTGATAATCCATTGACATATGACTAACATTGGTTAATTCAGGTTCAAAATCATGGATTGAATTTAAGAATGTATTGATCTCTTATTTTGAATCATCCTAATTCAAAAAAGGAGATTAGGGATCCTAACTAACTTTTGATTGATTCTTGAATAATCTTCTAGGAGTACTGTGATCTCTATCTTTCCTCCTTTCTATACTTTTTTCGTAGTTTCTCTCTTTCATTTAATTTCTAGCTTCCTGAAAATTAGTCAATCTCACTTAATTATTTTGTTTTTCCTCAACCTTCTTTTTTAAATTAATTTACACTGCACAAGGTCCATTGGTTTCACATAATGGCACCTTCTTTGATTAATTCATTTTTTTTTATTGTTATTATTGTGATTACAGTTAAAGGATTTAATTCTATTATTATTGATATTGAGCGTTATATGATTACTACTACTAATTGTTATTACTCTGTTTTTTTATGGATTAAACTATTTTTTGTTGAGTGGATGCAGTCTATTAAGTAGGTGGAGGAGGTAAGACTTGTTGAGTGTTAACTTTCTTTGATAAAACCTTAATAAGGTTTTGATTCTCTTATTCTTTATTTAATTCAGGAAATTTAATTGTCTAATCGATTGTAACTATGGATTTTGGTAACTTATTGATGAGTTTAGTTCTATTTTGAGTAGTCTATAGGAATTTTATTGGATCCTAAGACTTTTCATCCAACTCTGATAGTTCTTGCAAATAATCATTAATATCTTATAATTGGAGTTGGAGCTTTGATTGGTTTTGAGAGATCTGTTGCCTCTAGTTGAGGAGTGACTGATTTAACTAATAGATAGGTAGGGATGTAGAATACTTGTTCTTGAAGTTTAGATTCTCGCTCTTGAATGGATTGACGAATTGAATTGAAGAATTTGGTGATTTCGATGTTGAGTCTCTGATAGTCTATGTCTAGTTGGTCGTTCATCTATGCTAACTATTGAAATTGTTTAATGGCTTTCTAATGATTCTATTGGACATTTTCAGAGATGGAGTAGAATCTATTCAATTCCAATCGTAAACTCTAAATAGAAGATAGGGTATACATCTTCTAAGGATTGAAACTAATGGCCTTTGTGACCATCGTAGAGGATGCAGTTGATGCATAGCAAAGAACAATCGTCGGAACAGAATGCTAAGTATTTTGTTGATAAGGTACCTTCTATGTGTTTGATGTGTTTCTGACAAATGGTGGATAGCGTACTCATTAAAGATGAATAGTCTTTATATACAAAAATTCAAATATTTAATTAATAATATAGTTAACATATACATTTTCTTTTTAGTTTTATTGATTATAAATTAATGCATTTAACAAAGAGGAGTGTGTGTTGCATATATAGCTTAATTGGAGATATAATAATTTAATAATTAATTTTTAACCGAAACATTAATGTCACTTCAAATAGTCAATTTGCCAGAGTTTAGTTATAAGTCAAACACACGTCAATCATTGGATCTCGAAAACTTCTTCAAGGAGTTCGAAATGAACCAATTCCTTGAGGAATGCAATTACTCGGAGCAAGAATTGTACGTTGAATGCAGAAAGATGAAATAATTCCAACAGAAGCGCAAATTAAAACTCAACCATTACATCAATAGTTATTTAGAGTCACCCTCAGTAATTAGTCCAGTTTAATTATTGCTTTGAAGTGCAATTACTATTATATATATTCTACTTATTTATTAAATCATTCCAAACTGATTCCTTGTTTTCTCAACGAATCCAAAACCAATTGTTCATAATCTTCTAAAGTCACCTTACCATCTCCATCAGTATCAGTCATCTGAATCCAAATAGTCACATCCTCCTTTGTTGGTTGATAATCGTTCATTCCCATGTGCTTGTATGTTTCCTTCAATAACTCTGGCACCTTTATTTCATAAATACAATTCTGTTACTTCCTCCTCAGTCAAAAATCCTGATCCATCCTTGTCCACAAACTTGAAGATACGTCTGGCCACCTCCAATCTTTCCTGTGCTATTCTTGATAACTTCTCTGGCACTCTCTTGACTGGTTAAGCTGGTGGTTGTCCTGAGAAATACTTCTAAACCAATTATTCAACATCCTCTGTGTGAACACGTCCAGTCGATTTCCCTTAAAATATCCATAAACTTACTATCTAAAATGGCCTAGCAATTTGAAACATCCTGAGAAGTTGGATTGAACCCTTTATTCATAGCTCTATAGGCATCTGATAACATCATGGCAATTTCGTTTTATTCAATATAACCATCTTTGTTTGAATCATATAACTCCATCACTTGCTTTGCGATCTGTTTGCATTTCTCTGGCTCGAAGACTCCTCCAAATTAAACTCTGTCTGAGATTTGATAACCTGAACTTCTTAACTTATTAGTATCCATTTATTTATTAATATCAATCTTATTTTTTATTAGAATTTTATTTAATAATCATATGCATCCCTATATCTATTCCAATCCCTTAGGAACTTATGCAGAAACCACAAAAATAAATACTACACATATTAATATATGAATAATCATTATCCTTATATATATTATTATTTTTTATTTAAAAAGATATTAAAATGGTATTAAATATATTTGTATTCATAGCCTAAAGCTCCAAAAACATCTAAAGCTAAGAAATAATAAAAGAGAGTGGCTGACAGAAAAAAGAATCCTTTATTTGTTAAGGAAGCTAAAAATTTCAGAATTGGCAATGATGTTCAACCAAAACGAGATCTATCCAGATATGTTAGATGGCCTAGATACATCTTATTGCATAGATAAAAGAAGATCTTACTTCAAAGAATCAAAGTGCCAGCTGCAATCCATTAATTCAGCAGAACATTAGATAAAAATTAATGTAAAATACCTATATCTAAACTTATCAGCTTCTAAAGTCTTGAGTTTATTGAGGAAATACTCACCAGAAACCAAAACTGAAAAGAAACAAAGACTAACAAAGTTAGCCGATTAAAAAGCATAAGCTTAAAAGGGAGAATCAAAGAAAGTGTAAGTCTTGAAATTTGGTCTTAACCATGTCACTACATTGGTCGAAACTAAAAAAGCAAAACTAGTGTTAATTGCTTATGATGTAGATCCAATTGAATTAGTAGTCTGGTTACCCTAATTATGTAGAAGACAAGAAGTTCCCTTCTGTTTCATTAAAAGTATAGATGTTTATGATTCACTCCTAGACAAGGCCAGATTGGGAGCATTGGTTCATTAGAAAACAGCTACTTGTGTTGCTTTGACTGATGTCAGAAAGGAGGATCAAGCTGAATTCGATAATTTAGTAATGAATTAAATAAAATTGAAAGGCTCGTGACTTGAGATAACATTACAATGAAAACCATGAACTTTTGAGAACAATAGGAGGAGGACAAGTAGGAATAAAGTCAAGACATCAATAGGAAGCAATTAAGAAAGCTTTTGAATTGGAAGAGTTAAAAAAGACATCACAATGAACATTCTTACATTACAAAGTATATTAATATAGTTCATTATTCAATAAAGAATTATTAGTCTGTTTTTAGTGGTGATTCATTGACTGTTTCTTCCTTCTACTAACTTTATTGGCTAGTGACCATTCTTGATAATGGATTGTAATCATCAAAAAAGATCTTATATCTTACTAAAATACAATATTGCTATTACATTTGTTAATGTCAATTTAAGAGAAGACCAGTTTTCGTCTTTGTTATTATTTAGTTTGATTTTGGATTCCAAAAAATAATGGTTTTGCCAGTTTCTTTTCTTTGTCTTTGTCCTCATTCAATAAGTACCTTCCCTTCTTATAAAAGGGACTCTTTATTTCTGCAATCATTTCAGTAATCTGATGTTAAAACTTCTCCTTCTTCTGATCCTTAGCTGTATTTTTAATTTAAGGTCCATGACTAGTCTTCTTAGTATCATCTTCGAATTATTGAGTTTACATTGATTCATGTTTTTGTTGCTGTTTTGTTTTTTGGATTAAGTTCTTAGACAGTTTTCTGTTTTCTTCCAATTACTTAATGTAGGCTTAGAAATTGTGATCTGATTTCAATCCTTTGCTTTCTGAGTTCCTTATAAACAATGCATAATTATTGATTCCCATTTGATTATAGGGATTGGAAGAAACATTTTATTGTTTAACCAGTTGAACAGAATTCTATCTATTTGTTTGATGAGTGGTTTGACTCCTTGAGGAATAGAGTCTGTATGTTTTGATAGGGTTGAAGGGATTGAAAGGTAATTCCTCATTGTTTTGAGTCATTTTATATTTTATTATTAAATATAATTGAAAGTAGTGTGATTCTTATTTTGATATCTCGTAAAACAGCTTTAATATAATATTATTAATTATTAAATGAATGCTGATAAATTGAATAGTTTGAAGAATTTCTTTGAATCAGAATACTTTACTCCTGAGATGCTTTTACAGAATATCTCGAAATATAGGGATTAACCTGATGTGTTAAATTTACTAGCGGAATGTCTGAATAAAATACCGGAGAAGACAATAACATTTTATTCTCCTTAATTTTGTTAATTGCTTATTAAAACTGAAGTTTAATAACTTTTTGATTTCTTTAAGAGGTTATGCAGTCAGTCGATGTCCATGTTTTTTAATGTACGTTATTTATATGAACGTTAAAGCTGTATTGGTTATTGGGGGCCTATCTGTAATTGGAGAAGCAAAAGAAGAAGAAGTAGAAGATCGATCAATTCTTGAGAGTAACGATATAATCATTAACGTTAGTAAATGGAAATGGCAATGGTCAATGGCCAATTTAATGAGAAGAGATTTGAATCATTAGATTAAGAAGAATAAAATAAAATCTTATTGAGAGATTTCCAAGAGAAAGACTTAAGATAAGAATACTTCACAGAGGTTCAAAAGTTTATGGGAACCTTGATCAAGCACTCCTTAGTATTGAGGGAATTTGCAAGAGAGGATCGCAAACACCATCTCAAATTGCTCATTCAAAAACAAAATTAAAGTTTATAGAGAATAGTTAAGAAATTTTAACTTGGTATATCTCTGCCGTTTTATGATGATGATAAATAACAGAGTAATTCATATTGCATTGTAAACATTTTGGAAAAACATCAAATTTGTTTCCATACAAAAAAAAGAGTGCCCTATTTGATACTAGTAGAAACAATCAAGTAACTATTTGGGTTATTAGAGATAGTCCCATAGAAATGAATCAATATCAGGTTATACCAGCACAATTGTAGGCAAATATTGAGGTAGCTGGTTATATCGAAGCATAATTGAATGATTAGGGATTTGAAAGACAAATGGCATAAATAGATTTGGAAGAATAAAAATTATATCATGAGGCTCTGGAGAAGATCATGAAGATGGAGAAGAAAGGGAAGAGATAGAGCTAGATTATGTAAAGCATTGATCAATATATGTAAAAATAAGTGAAAGTAACATCAATTGATAATTGTAGAAACAACAAATCTCTGATGATTAAGACAAAAAGAATATGGAATAATAATAGCAGGACTCATTTCAACGCAAGAGATTGTTGTCATTACAATCCATCAGATAACCATAAAATCAACGTAAATCAAGATCATAAGAAAAGAATGAAGATAAACATCAAGAATTTCAGAAATAACTCTAGTTGATATTGCCAGTAGAAAAATTATATATGCTCAAAAAATTCAAGAAGAGAAACTTTCAATTGTGGGAATAAGTAAATTCATTATATAATTAACAAAGACTTGGGAAGAAAAAATACAGAGTTACAAAAAAGAATCAAGATACCAAAACTTTCCATCCTTCAAGATTAGACCTATTATTATAAAGGGAGGCGATGATCTCAGACAAGAAATGTTCGCAATTTAAATGATGAAATAATTCAATAGGATATTTAAAGAATCAGATTTGAAACTCTATTTAAGACCCTATCAAATTATTGTCACTTCAGCTAACTCTGGAATTGTTGGTATGGAATATCAGTATCAATAGAGTATATTCCAAATACAACATCAATTGATTCCCTCAAGAAAATGTATGGAAATGGTACCAAGACACTCTACTAAATTTATCAAGAAGTCTTTGGGAATTCTTTCGAAGAAGCATAGAAGAATTTCATTGAAAGTTTAGCCAGCTATTCATTGTTTTCTTATTTGATGTAGGTATAAATCAATATTACTGAATTGATAGATTAAGGATAGACACAATGGCAACTTGTTAATAGATGATAGAGGCCATATTATTCATATTGATTTTGGTTTCTTATTGTAAACCTCTCCAGGTGGAGTTAATTTTGAATCAGCTCCTTTTAAGTTGACTCAAGAATATGTGGAATTAATGAAGGGTAGAGAAAGTGATTATTTCGGATATTTCAAAACCTTGATGACCAAAGGATTCTTAGCATTGAAAAAATATGTTATAGAAATCGAGAATTTCTTTAAGATAATGGTGGAGAAATCAGATTTACCTTGCTTTGGTAATTTGGATTTGAAGGCATTTACCAATAGATTCTAATTGAATGCAACTGATTAAGAAGTATGAACATTATTAAATATACAGATTATGGGTTTAGTGGATAGATTGATAAATTAAAGTTTATCAAGTTGGAGAACTGCTTAATACGACAATTTTCAGAAGAGAACAAATGGAATATTGCCTTGAATCATACATTCGCATTTTATATTAATATAATTAATGGTAATTAAAAAGACAGCAAAAAAGTAAAGAGTCTTGCGTACATCTCAAGGAGTTCTAAAATAATCAAATAAAAAAGTTGGTTTTATCAGTGCCACTGCATTAACATAATAACCAGGAAAGCTTTTGAGAAGACTAGGAGAGAAAAAGAAAGGAATGAGGGAGTTAAGGAGAATCAAACGAGAAACTCAAAAATAAACTAGAAAACCAAAAGACAAACAACAAGAATAACTTGAAGAATAAGAAGAGGTACTTGAATTACCAAATACATTCATAATTGATTCATTGAAAATATCACCTGAAGATGAATAAATCTTATCATAATTTATGGTTGGAAATGATACTAAAACTAATTAAATTATAGAAGACTTCTAAAAAGGATTACAGGATGATGAAAATAAGAAACACCACGAAAATATCATGAATAATCCAAAAGTAGTATGTGTGTATGAAAAGTAAAGAATAATTAATATTTTATAGTGTTGCAGAATTAATGAAAACATACAGATCAGGTAAATTACCATAACCATTCCATCTCATTCCAAAATTGGAACATTGGAAATAAGTGTTTGAATTAACCAAACCTTAAGAATGGTCACCTTAAGCAATCTTTGCAGCTACTAAAATATTTTCATCTGCTTTAGATAGATAACAAACTGAATATTTATATTCAACTGTTATATTACCTGCAATCAGATTAAGCATTCAAGAAGATAAAAGGTTAAATGTCCATTTATACAATGCATTAATTAAAGCAATGTACAAACCATAAGCATGGTTCAGATCAATATTATTCCCATTGTGTTTAGAGAAGGATTTCACACTAAAAGAGGCATAAATTATTGGTAGTGTTATCCACAAAGTAAATCACTTAATTTGATATTCTAGTTACATGTTCCACCTATTCATGGTTCAATTGCTATCTTTAAAGTTGCTTAGTTAGATTTTACAGGTCCAGTTGCTGTGATTTTGAAAGTGTTAATTGAAAAGAAGTTTTCTCTACCAGAGAGAGTATTAATTAGCAATATTTTAGGCTTTGGATGAAGTGATTAAATATTTCATGAGATATGAAAATGATCCAAGAGAAATGCCAGTTATTTGGCATCAAATGATTTTGAGAGTCTGTGAATTGTATCAACTTAAATCAGATCATAAAGATCAATTAAAAAAATTAATTAGTAAAAAGAAGCATCATTTAATCACCAAAGAAATATAAAAATAACTAAATAAAGGCACTAAAATGGATGTAGAAAAATGATTATAAAACTAATGTTCATATATTTATTTAATTTCAATGGACCTTAATTTTTAGAATAACTCATTCTTCTATTAATGTTTACGAGGCCCATAGTCTACCAGAAGAAATTCGACTCCTCGGAAAAGACACACATAGCCTTAAGCAAACATCTAATTAGACTTAAGTCTATTGCATCACAATAGCAACCTAGCTGATTCTGCGATTGTTAGTGTCTCCAGAAATCGGTAATACAAAGATGTTCACTGTGCTTAAACAGTAGATATATTAAAGAAAGAATTCCAAATCAGAAAACCGATGTTAACGAATAAAAGTTCAAATGTTCACAGATAATGTACTCAAATCAACGACCTCAATAAATAACTTATTTTATTAGATCACACAAAGGATCAATCAGATGTTATACTATAATATCTACCCTAAGGTTAATAATTTCTAAATAGGACCAATTAATCAATTCTGTAAGCTTGGATACCAACTTTACCATAAGATGAAAGGAAATAAATAGAAAGGAACAAAAGGAACTTTCCCATACCCAGAAACATTGCATTTCATGAAATTATTGATGGATTAAATATAATATATGGATAAGGCAAGAATAGGAGGTTATGGCCTGGAGAAGAAGCCTTGTTGATGGAGACAATCAGATTATACATAGGGAAGATACTCCAAAATCCAAAATTGCTAATGCATAGTGTACCATTCACCCTTCAATAAATCATCAAAATATCAGGATTGACAGAAATAGCAAATTATTCATTTTGTATGCTTTAATTGGAATGTCATTGGAAAATGATGATCACCAGATTTAGATATAGTGGAAGTAAAGAATTGAATAAAAAGTCTTGGCAGCACTGGCTTGAATTAGCCCAATTAAGAGGACACTTCTTAAATTTACAAAGTGATAATGCCTTAACTTAGTACCTATTAAAGCATCAACAAACAGAATGACTTAATTTATTTAATGTATTTCTTCATTTTTTGATTCTCATTTAATTAACTATCGACTCTAAATTCTATTCCATTGTATCTACAAAGTTAGGATAAGAATTTAGAATAATTAGCTTATTAAAATACTACTTATGTAAATCTAATTGAGTCTTAATAAAAGAAATACAAATAGTTTTAAATGGATATTAGAATCTCTTAATGCTTATTAGTAATTATATTGTTATATTACTTTTTATTCATTCAAAATAGTAGATTCTATTTTTAGTTGAATAATTATGAAGTGATGATGAAATAAAAGTAGTAACAGGAGTAATAAATAAAGGATGGTAATTGTGTTTGTTTATGATTGAAATTCTAATGGAAAGAAAATCCAATATTTATATGAATAATATTTGATTAAATGATTACGATGTTTTTATATATTAATGTACTTAAAAAGAACAATCATCTTGCACCCTTTCCTCTTCTTGCAGTGTGGCTGACATATGGCTTAGCATGTGATCCTGGTAATCCTGAGGCTCTGCCAAAATGCTTCAATTCTTCTCTGACTCTTGGTCCTCTCAATAAGATTGTTCCAGTGCCTTTAAATATTAAATAATTTATATACCAGTTGGGTTTTATTGTGCTAATTGATCGAATGTCAAGACCTTTCCACCGGCGGCAAGAATTCTCTTTCTTGCGGTCTCAGTGAATCTCAAAGCACACACGTTGATCTTGGGAACAGTGAGGAGACGCACACTAAATGCTTTTTTACAAATAATTACTCATCTGTGACAGTACCTACAACAACAAGTGTTCTAGTCTTGTCTTTGGCTGTATTAATTTATTTAACAAGTCTGCTAACACTAATTGGATATCTGGCTGTTCTTGTTTATTAGAGTCTTCTTAAGACTGTTGCATTGAAATTTGAATCTGTTCTTCTGGCTAAGAATTTATATAGCTAGGATTCAAATCAATTATTAAAATACCTTGATTAACAATTTCAAATAAAGGTTTGTTGAGGTCACCTTTCTTTAAACATTTCTTTGTACTCTTGTCTTCTTATATGCATCAACTCCCTAACATGATTATTAGTGATATTTGTTACCATTTTAAAAATAAATATATCTTTATTTAATTTATGTCATATATAACTACAATAAAATTATTCATCAATTCACACAATGCTACTNGGAAAATGATGATCACCAGATTTAGATATAGTGGAAGTAAAGAATTGAATAAAAAGTCTTGGCAGCACTGGCTTGAATTAGCCCAATTAAGAGGACACTTCTTAAATTTACAAAGTGATAATGCCTTAACTTAGTACCTATTAAAGCATCAACAAACAGAATGACTTAATTTATTTAATGTATTTCTTCATTTTTTGATTCTCATTTAATTAACTATCGACTCTAAATTCTATTCCATTGTATCTACAAAGTTAGGATAAGAATTTAGAATAATTAGCTTATTAAAATACTACTTATGTAAATCTAATTGAGTCTTAATAAAAGAAATACAAATAGTTTTAAATGGATATTAGAATCTCTTAATGCTTATTAGTAATTATATTGTTATATTACTTTTTATTCATTCAAAATAGTAGATTCTATTTTTAGTTGAATAATTATGAAGTGATGATGAAATAAAAGTAGTAACAGGAGTAATAAATAAAGGATGGTAATTGTGTTTGTTTATGATTGAAATTCTAATGGAAAGAAAATCCAATATTTATATGAATAATATTTGATTAAATGATTACGATGTTTTTATATATTAATGTACTTAAAAAGAACAATCATCTTGCACCCTTTCCTCTTCTTGCAGTGTGGCTGACATATGGCTTAGCATGTGATCCTGGTAATCCTGAGGCTCTGCCAAAATGCTTCAATTCTTCTCTGACTCTTGGTCCTCTCAATAAGATTGTTCCAGTGCCTTTAAATATTAAATAATTTATATACCAGTTGGGTTTTATTGTGCTAATTGATCGAATGTCAAGACCTTTCCACCGGCGGCAAGAATTCTCTTTCTTGCGGTCTCAGTGAATCTCAAAGCACACACGTTGATCTTGGGAACAGTGAGGAGACGCACACTAAATGCTTTTTTACAAATAATTACTCATCTGTGACAGTACCTACAACAACAAGTGTTCTAGTCTTGTCTTTGGCTGTATTAATTTATTTAACAAGTCTGCTAACACTAATTGGATATCTGGCTGTTCTTGTTTATTAGAGTCTTCTTAAGACTGTTGCATTGAAATTTGAATCTGTTCTTCTGGCTAAGAATTTATATAGCTAGGATTCAAATCAATTATTAAAATACCTTGATTAACAATTTCAAATAAAGGTTTGTTGAGGTCACCTTTCTTTAAACATTTCTTTGTACTCTTGTCTTCTTATATGCATCAACTCCCTAACATGATTATTAGTGATATTTGTTACCATTTTAAAAATAAATATATCTTTATTTAATTTATGTCATATATAACTACAATAAAATTATTCATCAATTCACACAATGCTACTCATCTTGCACCTATATTTCATTTAATTGATTCCTCTCATCCCAAATCAGTCCATTTAATATTGCAAAAATGATCTATAGCAATATACTATTCTAAACTTAAAATTTTTAATTTTTGTTCAAGAAATCGATTCACTCAGTTGCCTATTGCTCATTCCTTCATAACACCGAACTCTGAAAATATAAGAGAGATAGTTATATTGATAGAATTTAGAAATATATATATATTATTCTTAGATGGAAATGTTGGATTACCTTAATTTTGATCATAAGTATTTAGGACTTGGAATATAATTTTATAATGCTTATTTTATAATAGATATATTATTCATCTAGTATAAAATACTCCGCCGAAATTTCTAGAGTATCCATTGTTTGTGCTCTTGGTGTGATAATCATTACACACAAAACTTGATTTTCCAATTCCTGGAAGACGATTCCTAAATTGATATTTCAAGTTTACACTGCAAATTCCTTGTTTTTTAATAGATTCAGTTGTTTCAATTTATATATGGATGTCATTAACTCTCTTTTTTGAAGCAACAAATCAGCATCACTAACAATACTGTCAATAATTTGATTTCTGATGGTGGATTTGGGCACTTTATTGATTCTTTCATCAAAATATAGGCTATCCTTGAATTATTAGAGAGTCCTCTGTTTTTGGATGCTTTGAGAAGGAGTAGAACTGTAAAATTTCTATTGCTCCTTCCCTTATGCAGTCTTAGGAGTCTGATTTGATAATCTGTATCTGTTTTAAGTTACATTTCTTTGCTTATAGGTTTCAGCCTTAGGTTGATTGCATTAAGACTATTATTACTATTCTTATTCAAATTGTTATTGCTCATTCTGATTTTGGTGATTACGATTTTCTTGTTCATCTTGAAACTCTACTTTCAATTGTTTTTGTGGTGATTGGTGTGCTTATTGATTGTAAAACACTTGTTGAGTGGCTGAATATTTGGGTATTTCTTGTTTGGGAACATATACTGCAAATTTGTTGTTGGTTGAATAGGGTTCATCTTGGAATTCAACATTCTTATATATTGATTTGCTGTTGCTATTCATTAAGGATATTGATTATTTTATTATTTAATAATTAAATAATAATTAAATAACCCTATGAAATAAGATAAAAAAAAGTAAACTCTTCTCCAAAACCCCAAAAATCAAAGCAAGGGTCCCAAACAATAAGTCACTCAGAAGCTTCCTGATGATATGGTATCTTAAATGATATTAATATTATGATAGGAATCAGAAATCAGAGACTGTTTCAATTTTTATGATCCCTCCAGAACAGGATTCATCAATCGTCAGAACATGAGATCAATATTGGGCAATTTTGGTTTCATCAATAAAACAGTGAAAGACATAGAAGAAGAAATCAGAGATGTTGTGGAAGAGTATTCTTTCCTCTTATTCTTAGAACTCGTGATAGCTTTTCATTGAAAGATGTTATATAATTGATTTCCAGAAAGTGGTTTGAAAATAAAGGCAGAGATGATGAAATCGATGAAATTTATGAATTGTTTGTTCGAAAGTAAAAATGACCATTAAATCAAGGGATCGCAAAGTTGGATTGCCTGAAATAAAGAATGTATTTGCTCAATATTTGGATATTCAAATAAGTGATGCCGACATTCTTGAATTCATCTAAGATGCAAGCAAAGATAAGGATGGATTGACAAAAGAAGACATCGCAGCTAAAATGGGTTACATCTGATATTATAATTATAAATGAACTTAAGATATTTAACCTTGTAAACATTTCTTAAAAAACATCCTACCATCAATGTAGAAAACTATTTACCAACGGCAGCAACAACCAATTCCGTCCCAATATCATAATTATGGACTGGAAAATATTGTTAGACTGTGTTGAGACTTAGCAATCTCAACTCATTTTAATAATTATAAGTGAAACAGAAAAGAATAACAGCACCTATGAAAGTCTAAAAGTTCTTTCAAAAACCTAAATTTGATAAAGTTAACTATAAATATGATGCTACAGAAATATATGGGCTCAATTTACATCATAGATGAGCTTGATAAGGATATTGATATTACTAAATGAATAATTTTATTAATAGTATATATATATCACCAATCATATATGTGTACTTGACCATCACAACCTCTTTTTTAATTATTTGCTAAATTAATTTAAGTCTGCAATGATGTGCATTATTTCTTTCACTTCAGGAGTTTAAGAGTTATTTTAATTCTTCTTATTCTTTTATGCAATACTTTTTTTAGATTTCTCACTCATTTTTGTTTCATTGAGTTTTGGTTTAAATGTACAATCCTTCATTTCTTTTTCGCTCTTCCTTTTTTGTTCAAAATTAATTTTATCTTGGAGTCTTTATTTCCATTCCTAGTTTCTTTTAGCAATATCGGGAGGTGACTGTGGTTTCTCTTATTATTTAATCTCAATCTCAATCCTAGGGGCAGTTGGAGATTTGCGTAAATGAATTTTGGCATAGCTTCCCTAATAATCTGAGAGAATAGACTATTAAGACTGTTTTTGAAGAGGAGAAGTCAAGTTTTGAGATGAATTTCTTCGAAATGCAAAATTACTGTTATTTTGTTATTTGATGGGACTAATGTCTTCTACAGGAAAGAGTTCTTCTTTAACCTTAAAACTTGATAATCTCAATTCAGATCTTTCTAATGGAACAGATTATCTTCTCAATTCTTAGGAACTTGCATATCTTTAGTATTGACTAAGAAGAGCTTAGTCATCATCTTTTTGTTCTGTTGTTTCCTCTATTTGATGTGGTTTCATTATAGATGGAGAACTTGTAATAGAATCAGAAACTTTGTTAGGAGTATTTACAAGTTTTAAGAATTCATCATATTTTTTGATTGTCAATTAAACATCTTTTTAGACATCTTTAATTAATGAGCAGGATTTCTTTGCGACTATTTTGGCATTGAATAGAGATTCATTCAATTTGATATGAGATTTATCAGGAGTTATGGGATGGGAAACCTTTTATGCATATGATTGTTCATGAATCCTTTTTTTTGATTCCGAAAGTATTTGCATATTCAATAACAATACTTGATTGTTTTAATTTAATTTTATTATTTATTCTGTTTTAGTATTATAAAATATATGTTCATTTGCGTAATTAGTAATAATCCAATGAGGAGAGTGACAAATTCAAAGTAACTAATTTATTGAAATACACAATAAATTAATTACAGAAATAAAATTTTATTATGGATTAATCACAACTATTGAACATATGGAGAGGAATCAAGGAGGCTCTACAAAAGAAATACAATGACAGTAATACAGCATACTATGATTTGGATGTGAATAACTCTGGAGAAATTGAAATTGATGATCTGGAATCAGAATTAAAGAGAAATCACAACATCCAATCTGATGAGTATTAGTTATTGATATCTCAATAATAGAACCATTAAATAGATATTTGAATATTTGAACACCTCAAAGTCTGGAGCCATAGATTTAGAAGAATTTGAAGCTCATTGGACACAAGTTGATTAAAATATAAAGCAAGCAACAAATTAATAATAGTCTTAACAAAAACTTAGATAAGAAACTGAACAATAACTCTTAACATCATCTGGATAGAAATCAACACAATAGTTCTCTGATCTATTTAAAAGTTATGCCTCTGGAAATTCACCTACTAAATACATCAATATTTAAGGTGATTTCTAAATTAATCACTTTACTCAAACTATTACTCCTAAATATGAGCAATAACGACCTCTTAATTTTTTGGATAATTTCAATTATAATAAGAAAATATCACCACCCAAACATTCCTATTTATTGAAAGATAAAAATGAAATTTCTTAAGATAGACTTAGGGAAATGTAATAAAGAATTACTAATATATTTAATGGAATTCCAGAACGCAAAAATTCATCTCCAAAATTGAGAATGGATTTTGATACTTACCTTAACAAATAATTGGGAAAACCAAATACAACCAGAAGGCAGACTTCATATCCTTAATTTTCATATGATTTTCAAAATCTCTATCCATAAAGAAGAAGTTAGAAAAATTATGAATAAAGATTTTCCTTTAATACAAGAACTGACCCATCTCCTAATAGATCATAAGATAGAATTTCATTATAACAATATGCATATTAATTTTTTGATAGAACTTACGAACTCAAAAAAACCTCGCCTTTTATTGGGTTGTAGAAGAAATAGTAGGTTTAACCTAAAACAACGTTTATGTTCCGATTATGACAATTTAAAATTATATAATTATTTATCTATAATTAGTCAATTATAAACTTATTAATAATGGCAGAAATCAAAATTAGTAATAAAACCAAAGACAGAGTCAATGCTTGCAAAGCCTACATAGAAAGAAAATACAAATTGTTTACAGATGAGGAGAAGGAAAAGATATAAGATTGGCAACAATTGGATTTAATTCTAAAAAGCCTAAGTTTCACTCCTATAGAACAAGAGCTGATAAAAAAGGAAATACAACGCAAGGAAGCAATGTTATTAAGAAAGAAGTTAATATGATTTAATCTTTAGGAGATAAAAAATTACTGTTGAAGATTTCGAATCCCTTGCCATTATTGGTCGAGGAGCTTTTGGAGAAGTAAGAGTCTGTAGACATAAGAGCACGAATGAAATTGTTGCAATCAAAAAAATAAAGAAATCCGAAATGATCTTTAAAAATCAATTAGGTCACATAAGAGCTGAAAGAGATTTGTTGGTATAATCTAAATGTAAATGGATTGTCGAATTGAAATCTTCTTTTTAAGATGATGACAACCTCTATTTAGTAATGGAATTTTTGAGTGGAGGAGATTTGATGACTTTATTGATTAAAAAAGATATAATTCCAGAAAGACATGCTAAATTCTATATAGCTGAACTCGTATTAGCAGTCGAAGAAATTCATAACATGAATTATATCCATAGAGATCTTAAGCCTGATAATATTCTGATTGATGCAAATGGCCATCTCAAAATTTCTGATTTCGGTCTCTGTAAGCATTTAGGTGTACATTATGATATGACTATCCCTTATTAAAATAACACTCAAGAAATGCAATCGAAAATTGCTAGTTCTCGTCGTCAATTAGCATATTCTACAGTAGGCACCCCAGATTATATTGCTCCAGAAATATTCTCTTAAAAAGGATATAACTAATTAGTTGATTGGTGGAGTGTTGGAGTCATTTTATTTGAAATGGTCGTAGGTCATACACCTTTTTATAGTGATACTTCAAAAAAAACGTGTCAAAAGATTGTTACTTGGAAAACTCATTTTAAAATACCCAAAGAACCTAAAATATCCTCCTAATGTTAAGATTTAATTACTAAATTGATCTGTGATCAGAATGAACGACTGGGAGAACCAAAAAAAATCAAAAAACACCCTTTCTTTTGTGGCATTGATTGGACAAATATAAGAAATCAATAACCTCCCTATTTACCTGATAAAAAGAAATTAACGGCTAATTTCGATAAGTTTGAAGAAAAAGAACCCTGGAAACATATTGTTCATAATTAAAACGATATTGATTAAAGTAATAATAAATCTATGAACGAAAATAAAAAATATTTTCATGGATATACTTATAAAAGAAATTGTGAAAGAGAGATTAGTCCAATCAAAAGGGCTCTTGAAGAATTAGATAATATAAGGCCTTCAGGTATCAAAGCTGACTTCGATAAAAAATAAAGATCTTAGTCTCCAAAACCTGTAAACATTCCTCCAGAAATTAATAAATCTTAAAGGTCTCAATCTCCAACTATTAAAGACTAAATCAAAAATACTTATATGCAATATATAGGAAAGTTTTTATCACCTGTAGAAAAATAGAAACAAAATTGATAAACAAAATCAATCTATTGCAATTTCATATATAATTTTAATATATTCCCTTGATATTATATTGTAATTATAAACATCTTGAAGATTATCATTGAAATTTAGTATTAATATTAAATTTGTATATTTATGTAGGAATAACTTAATAGAGTGTTCAACAAATGTTATTTCATTGCAATTGTATTCATAGCTTATCTATCTGATAAAAGAAAAATTTGTTAAATAAATCAATAAATGATTTTATTAAAATTGTGTTAATTCACCTTTCCATTTTAATTTATATAGAAAATTTTAAATATAGAAAAACAATTATTTAATTATGTCAAATAAAGTTCCAGCCTTAATTACACTTGGAGTAGATAGATAAGATCTCTAAAAATTTGACGATAAGATGCAATTAGGAAACGAGGAATTCAAAATTTCAGGTGTTAAAGTTTCTCTAAATGAAACCTAAATATGTGGAATCGCTTTTACTTATTAAAATATCTAGAATGGAAGAAAAATAATCTGTAATGACACCTGCATAACTGGGAAAAACATCAGTCAATATGAATTTGAAATAGGTCAAAGTAATAATAAATTTTAAATTTAGATGATTATATTTAAGTTCTTTTTGGATATTACGAATCTGGGATTACTTAAATAGGAATAATAACTTATAAGGGATAACAAGCAATCTTCGGAAAGGATTAGGGATACAAATTTAATTACATGTTTATGGGATATACATTTACAGGATGTTCTGGTTCTTACAAAAAAGGATGCCTAGAATCCCTTACTTTCAAAGTAAGCAAGTTACCTAGAGAATTTTTGGCTCAACAAGTATTTACCATACTTATATAGTTCTCTCCTTTGCTGGAAATCATCTACCCAGGTAATCCATATGAAAATATTGTTCTGACTAATTTTGAGCAAGAATCTCAATACTAATATGAATAACAACCTTAGACTGTAATGTAACCTGTAGTTTCATCTGAATTGATATATTCAATGAACCAAAATCAGACACCCTAACTACAACAAGGTTATCCAATTTAGAATCAAGTAAATCCCCCAAATTAGATTCCTCAAAATTAGATTCCTCCTTATGGAAATCCATATTAGTAGCCTAATCAATATTAAACATACTAATAATATCCAAATAATTAATAATACTACCCTACAACATAATAAGGACCCAATCAAGTTGTTGTAGTAAATTCACAATAATAACCATAATAATAACAATAATAATAATATTAAAAATAAGGTCCTGGATTTGCAGGTACAATGGCTAGAACTGCTTTAGGAACATTCGCAGCTATTGAAACTGTTAGGATGATTGAAAATATTGGACATCACCATCATCATTCAGCAAATGTTGTTGTAGTTGGTATAATTCTCATTTAAATATTTTAGGTAATAAACACCATGGACATCATCATCACAGAAGATGAATTAAGAATTGTGATTAAATTATTTATTAATATTTTCAGTATTTTCTAAAAATAATTATCAATGCAACAAAGTGAATAAGGAAAATTGTGGTAAACTATTCCTAAGGATTTTGTGTAATCTAAGGTCAAATATGAAGCAACAGTAACAAAACTAGGGAAACAGTAACATTAAAGACATCTTGTAGTTACTGATAAGCATATATTGTTATTCAAAGTAATTGAAACTATATTCAAAGCAAAATGGAAAATTTGCACATAAATTATTACCTCTTGATTTTTCAACTAGATTTGAGATGTTTCGAGATGCTCCTATTTTAAAGTCTAATGCATAAACAAAAAAATCAACTCCAAATACTCCTCATTCTAATCGAGTTGATATTGTTAAGCCAGAGGATATTTAAACTTTAGGAGATATCTTGCATATAAGATTATCAATTGAATCATCTGATAAATACTGGGATTTCACTAGTGATCAAGAAACCTTGAAAACATTTAGAAAACTATTTGGTTAAAAAATAAATCAAATGGGATTTCATCATATGTTTAAAGTGTTCAAAAAGATTGGCAAAGGCAATTTTGCAAGTGTGTATTTAGCAGAGAGAATAGAGGACGGCTAATAGATGGCAATTAAAGCCTTTTCAAAAAGTGCTGTTTATGCTGAAGAGAATGGGAAAGTAATATTATCCATATAAAAATAAGGAAGGACTCATCAATGAAATAACCATAATGAGAGAATTGGATCATCCAAACATCATGAAACTTTATGAAGTCTATGAAACACAGAATTCATTATACATGGGTCTAGAATTATTATAGGGAGGTTAACTCTATGATATAATCAAAAAGAAAGTGATATTAAACAATAAATAAATACAATCTATAATGAAGGGACTGCTAGAAGGATTGGCACACATGCATTCCAAAAACATAATGCATAGAGATTTGAAACTCGAAAATATATTGTTCAAAGAATAAAAGTTAGTTTAAATATTATTATAATAGTGACATAAATTCTGTAGTTATAGCGGATTTTGGTTTAGCAACATTTGTGAATCTTCCGGTCTACTTGTATTGTAGATGTGGAACACCTGGTTTTGTAGCACCAGAAGTCATAAATATTACAGATATGTCAACTACATATGACAGCGTTTGTGATATCTACTCTTTAGGATTGGTGTTCCATATACTTTTGACAGGGAAACCAGGATTTCCAGGAAGAAGTTATAACACTATTGTTTAATAAAATAAGGAGGCCAAGGTTAATTTTAAGAGTTCAGTCTTTGAAGTCGTACAACCATAAGCCTTTGAATTATTAAAACAAATGTTAGAACCTAATCCCAAAAGTAGAATTACTGCAAAATAAGCTATGAAATTTGAATACATTAAATTATGTGAGGCAGTTCAATTAAACATCTCATCTGAAGAAGATGGCGACATCGAGGAAGTCGATGATAAACCAGAATTAAATGCTAGAATACAATTAATCAATCAACAGTAAAATCTCTAAATCTATATTAGAGCTGTCAAGTTTGACATGCTGAGAATTAATCAATTGACTAACTCACCCTTAAAATCTCCAGTTATGTAAGCCACCAATAAAATGAAAGAAGGGCAAAATAAAGATTAACAAATGATCATGAGAACTCCTGTTATTACAGGTAGAATTGTTGAATGCGAAGGTTTAAGAATGAAATAACAATATATTTAGACTCTCCCAATATGAACTAGTTTGTTTCACCAAGTGTTCAATTCAAAAAACTCTAAGAGAAGTAAAATACTTTCTTCATAGTTAGTTAATAATAAGCTCCAACCGGAAATGTTTTGTTAAAGTATACTTAAAAACCATAACAGCAGTAACAGAAAGACAACGAAGATGATAAAAAAGAATAGTCTAATATTGCAAAATCAGTAAAAGCTGCCCTTAGCAAACATATCTGATCTAAATAAATACAATTATTTATTATTTAAATTATACTATGAAATGGAGGAGTTTTGAGAATTATGATCTTATTTCTAATATAATACCTATAATTTTTGATCATTCTTACCCATCTTCCTTTGGTTTCTCCTAAGATTCATCACTTTCAGATTGAGAACTTTCATGCTCTTACTCAACTGGCTACTCTTTTATTTTCTGAGTTTAAAAGTCAAGGAATTATTAGTATGCTCTTTGTAACTTCTCTTTTAGGTCCCTTTCCATTTCCTAAGAATAATTTAATTTTCATTTTACGTTAAATCTCTCATTACTATATTCTTTAAGTGGGTTCATCCCTTCATTTGTTTTAACTGGTTACCATAATAAATATGGAGCTGTTCTAAGAATTTCTAAGATATATAATTTACTTTGTGATAAAAAATTCTCTCATTGTTTTTAATTAGAGCTCCAATAATAATTACTAATAAAATTGATACAATATTTACTTGTCTTCTAAATTCATCAGCTGCTAATTCTCTCTCTAATTACTTTCTTTCTGTTACCAATTATTCTTTTCTTTTCTATTTTTTATTATTTATATTATACATCTTAATCCTCCTTATATACCATCAAATCTTGTCTGTCTTTATCTTCCAGTCTTTTATTGATTTCAATTTATTTGTCCAACTAAGTTTACATAACACTCTAAATTACTTTTTATTTTTCTCCATCCAAGTCTTACTTAGCTCTTTGTAAATGGTTGCCAAATAGAAATTTTGCTATTCTTCTATCCTTCTCCTTCTAGGCAATGGGTACTTTTTGATCAAGCTACTTTTACTTTTCAGCACGTTCCTCCTTTGCACCCTCAAGATTTATAACAAAAGTCTTCAAAACATTCGTATTCTATAATTACCTTTTCATTTTCATCCTTAGGTTTCTTATTTTTGTGATTATTCCTTCTATTATCATATTAAATGCAAATTACTAAAAGGGCATGCTTTTAATTTCTTTAATCAAGCTTTTTCGTTTACTTAAACTTTCCTATTGTTTCTTATTTAATTCTTTCAATTTGTTTTTTATGTCATCCACATTCATTTTAGAGCAATTATATATTTATTAATAAATTATATTATTCTATACGATTGAAGACCAAATAAATAATTCTCATTGTGGTTTTTAATTCTCATTTTCGCAATGATTTAAATGAAACTATATTTAGATAAATGAAGGATGAATTTATTTCAAATAAATAATAGAATTTAAGGTTGGAGATTCGATTGTTGAATGGGGAATTGGATGTTAATTGTGTATTAATTATTTCATGAATATCAACTTAATTTTCTAATGTTTTGATATTAATTTTTTATAATGGTTTATTTAGCCTAAGAAGAATTTGTAAAATAATTTTAGAGTTAAATAATGGATTAATATATTTAATGTGTATTTTTAAATATGATTGTACATACTAAGTCAACAAGAACAAGTTTATTCTTTCGCTTCTTCCTTAGAGGAATGTGTAGCCAATAGAATTGGTTTTAAATCGTTTTTCTCTATTAATCCATTGTCTATCCTTTAAACTAACTTCCCTGATAATGTCAAGAACATATTCTCTATTAATTCTCCTGTAACTGCACTTGTTTCAAAGTAGGAATCTATTGAATATTCCTTCACTAATTTCTAAACTTAACTTTCTGTAATTCTTCTTTATTCCTTTTTTAAAATAAATTAAATACGATCAAATCTATCTTATTCCCACAGGCAATTATACAGATATCAGGTCTTGCAAAGTCTCTTGCATCTTTTATCCATTACTGCATATTTTAAAAGGATTCTGCATTTGTCAAATCAAAAACGCAAATTGCTCCTAAAGCACCTCTATAATATGTTCTTGCAATCGATCGATATCGCTCTTGACCTGCTGTATCCCATAACTACAATTTTATGGATTTTCCTTTTATAGAAATCATCTTGGATGAAAACTCAACACCTACTGTCTAGGCAACATTCTTTGGTTCTAATTTCTTTCATAACATCTCTTTACATTTCCCATTCAAATAATGATACAATATGCTTGTTTTCCCACAACTACCATTTCCAATAATAATTATTTTAAATATATAATCATATGGTTCTTTGTCCATTTCCATTTCCTTTTTGTTTATAATTTATTTTATATTGTTATTATATAATTTCTATAGATGTCTCAAATATATTATTATTTAATAAAATTATGCAACAACAAATAACATCAATCAGGAAATGGTTAGGATCTAAACAACATAATTCCTTTAGATTTATGTCTTACAATATTTTGGCTGATTCTTTGTTATAGGATAATGAAAAGAAATTAAAATAATATGACTGGAAGAGTAGATGGCCCTTAATTTTCTCCTAAATAAAGAAGTATAAGCCTGATATTCTATGTCTTTAAGAATTAGATTGCGATGAAAATGATTTGAGTTAATTATTGATTCAGGATCAATATGAAAAGCTATTTTTAAAAAGAAGTTAAGAAAATCACAAGGATGGGTGTGCTCTCTTTTATTTAAAATAAAAGTACAAATTAATTAAGTCCTACAACCTTCACTTAAAACAAGAACATCTATTTTGCAATTCTAAGACCAGAATGGATAAACCAAATGTTTGTCTTATCGCAGTGTTACAAGGCTTAAACGACTAAAATCCTATAATTGTAGCTAATTCTCATTTGATATTCAATAAAAATAGAGGAGATTTGAAACTGAGTCAAATTCATTTAATTATGATCGCACTTTAATCCTTACAATTAATATATTAGAATTCAAGAATTGTTTGGTGTGGTGATTTCAATCTAACGCCTAACAGTGCTTTATACTCCTACATTTCTCAAGGTCAATAACAATTTAACAAGTTAAATCCTAAAAGAATTAGCGGTTAGCATTCTATCTCTTACCATCCTACTGATTATATGTAGGATAGACTAAATATTTAGAAGAAATGTGGTGAATTTAATATATAATACGAATAATAAGACCTTGATTATGATTATGATCTATATGTCTAAGCTTTGAGATGTCAAATTGTTAATGATGCATTTTAATTTCATTAAGCTGAATTAAATCCATATCCAATTGTAGAAACACCAATTCAATTTCGAAGTGTTTATGCTGATTTACAGAGAGCGAAAAGCAAAGATCTACACGACTTCTATGCCAAATGGTCCACTTATGAACCCTTAATAACAACAATGTCTTCATCGTAAGTTGGATGTGTAGATTATATTTGGATCAATAAATTGTAAGTGTCATAAATATTATAAATGCCTAAAATCGAATATTTAATAGAAAATCCCATAGTTAATTCTGAAGAAGGAAGTGATCATCTCCCATTAATATGCGATTTATATTGATTTAATATTCGTATTATTAAGTAAATAACATAAATAAGAATATTAATATTATTAAAGGTAAATAAATCATGAGATATATTCACGTTTATTTAATTAAATTCAGATGCAACTTTTAGTATTTTTACTTTATTTATTTTATTTTATATTTAACTATTAGTTCTTTTCATTGTTCTATAAATTTAAACGATATTATTATTATTCTTCTAAAATCACTCTAGCTACAAAAAGGAATGAATTTTCAATATTAATTGATTGTTTAGCAGATGTTTCAAAAAATTTGATACCATGTTATTATGCTATTTTGATAAGATTTCTCTATACCTAACAAATAGCCTTCTTCAAAAGTGACAGCTCGATTATCATTTTAATCACATTTATTTCCTATTAGTATTCTTACAACACCCAAATTTGCAATTCTAAAAATATCCATATACTCCTACCTATCAATTTAAGTCATCCATAATTAAATGCTATTAAATGAATCCCTATTTGTTATGTCGTAAAGAATTAGGATTCCTTGTGCTTTTCTAATCTTATCAATTTTAATACCTGCAGATTCTATGTATAAAAATGTATTTTTCTGGACCTGACATGTCATGCTAAAATTAATTATTAAGATACAATTTATAAATGAATGCATTGATTCTCAATAAATATTTCCTTCAAAGTATCATTTTTTAACAAACTAGAGCATTTAAGTGTTTTTTTGTGAATATCAGTTTCTTCAAAAATATCATAAACGTATCGAACAATCAAACTAGTTTTACCAACTGAAGTGTTTCCGACTACCAGAAAAGCTAAGTAATGTTCAGTTGATTATTTGTCATAGTTTTTCATATCTTCAGATTTTTTCAGAAATAAATAATTGAATTTTCTATAAAAAGTTCCATTTGATTAATATTCTCTTTTGCAATATATTCATAGAATCAGAAAGAAAATTGCCGAATTTCTCTTCTTACATAGGATGAAAATTATAAACATTGGAGAAAAAATCAGGTACTATTCTATAATATAATCCTATTAGAATATTTGAGTTTAGAAGATAGTAGATAAAGAAATATATAAACTTAAGTGGATAAGCTCGAAAATAATTAATATTCATAATAAGGGTGTTGCTGCTGATCCTAGATCTTCCTATTTCTTTTATTGACAGAACAATTACCCTAGTTTGATTATCATAACCTTTGCCTACTAAATAATATCTTTGATTAATGAAAAAATTTAGATAGCTGAAAATGTAGATATGAACCCATCCTAAATTTGCATTGAAGCTTTAGTTCAATCGAAAAACTTGTGAATAGTCAGAAAGAATAAATGTTATTGTGTTGAAAATAATAAAGGATTCTGTAATAATAATTTTATAATACTCATAATGATTCTCTAAAGGATTATTTAAAATAAATACAGTTTAATTTGTAGCNATTATTAAAGGTAAATAAATCATGAGATATATTCACGTTTATTTAATTAAATTCAGATGCAACTTTTAGTATTTTTACTTTATTTATTTTATTTTATATTTAACTATTAGTTCTTTTCATTGTTCTATAAATTTAAACGATATTATTATTATTCTTCTAAAATCACTCTAGCTACAAAAAGGAATGAATTTTCAATATTAATTGATTGTTTAGCAGATGTTTCAAAAAATTTGATACCATGTTATTATGCTATTTTGATAAGATTTCTCTATACCTAACAAATAGCCTTCTTCAAAAGTGACAGCTCGATTATCATTTTAATCACATTTATTTCCTATTAGTATTCTTACAACACCCAAATTTGCAATTCTAAAAATATCCATATACTCCTACCTATCAATTTAAGTCATCCATAATTAAATGCTATTAAATGAATCCCTATTTGTTATGTCGTAAAGAATTAGGATTCCTTGTGCTTTTCTAATCTTATCAATTTTAATACCTGCAGATTCTATGTATAAAAATGTATTTTTCTGGACCTGACATGTCATGCTAAAATTAATTATTAAGATACAATTTATAAATGAATGCATTGATTCTCAATAAATATTTCCTTCAAAGTATCATTTTTTAACAAACTAGAGCATTTAAGTGTTTTTTTGTGAATATCAGTTTCTTCAAAAATATCATAAACGTATCGAACAATCAAACTAGTTTTACCAACTGAAGTGTTTCCGACTACCAGAAAAGCTAAGTAATGTTCAGTTGATTATTTGTCATAGTTTTTCATATCTTCAGATTTTTTCAGAAATAAATAATTGAATTTTCTATAAAAAGTTCCATTTGATTAATATTCTCTTTTGCAATATATTCATAGAATCAGAAAGAAAATTGCCGAATTTCTCTTCTTACATAGGATGAAAATTATAAACATTGGAGAAAAAATCAGGTACTATTCTATAATATAATCCTATTAGAATATTTGAGTTTAGAAGATAGTAGATAAAGAAATATATAAACTTAAGTGGATAAGCTCGAAAATAATTAATATTCATAATAAGGGTGTTGCTGCTGATCCTAGATCTTCCTATTTCTTTTATTGACAGAACAATTACCCTAGTTTGATTATCATAACCTTTGCCTACTAAATAATATCTTTGATTAATGAAAAAATTTAGATAGCTGAAAATGTAGATATGAACCCATCCTAAATTTGCATTGAAGCTTTAGTTCAATCGAAAAACTTGTGAATAGTCAGAAAGAATAAATGTTATTGTGTTGAAAATAATAAAGGATTCTGTAATAATAATTTTATAATACTCATAATGATTCTCTAAAGGATTATTTAAAATAAATACAGTTTAATTTGTAGCAATTAGCAAAATTTAAAGTTTCCCATCTGTTTATAAATAAAATTAAAATAGTATATATGAAAACAATGAGACTTATGAAAATCAGTTTCTTAATTAATAAAATTGTATTATATTATGAAATTCAAAGGTATTTGCTATCTTAAACTCCTTCAAATAAAGATTAATATTAGTTTGTATTTTAATGTAGTTTAACTAGAAAATTCTTTACAAAATGGCTAAATATACAAAAAAATTAAGGAAAAATATGAATTTACTGAATCAGTTATATTATTACTCTAAAAATAAGCAAGTTATAAAATAATTGCAAAAGAAACATCATAAGAATTAGACACTACAATTCTTAAGAGCCCGTTATAGTAAAAGTCTTTACAAGATTTAAAACATTTTTTTCGTAATAGGTATAATCCTTTTGCTATTTTTAGGCTCATTTTCTATAACAACCAAGGCTATAGGCTGTATAATAATTTCTAAGTGGATTTAAAGAACATTTATCCTAAAGATGTAGTTGTTAAGCAGAATGCAGAACTGCTAAAATTATCTAGAAATCTAATGCTAATATCATCAATCACAAATTTATCAGCTACTTAAATTTGGCTATTGTCACCTTATTAAATAAGATCTAGTAAATTATCTATTCCTAATGCTTATATTGCAGGTTTCACGAATTTTATTCTTTAAATTATTTAATAGTTGCACTACATTAAAGGAACATACTATCTTTTTCTTTGTATTATAAACAATTATTACATAGATAATATATACTTCATAAATTATATATTTCAATAAATAACAACTAATTGATTAATCTCAAGCGATAAATTATATATTTTAATTAATTAAATCAAATTGATTTAACTATTCTACTTAAATATATTTTAATGGTATATTTGGAGTAAGGGTCCATATTCAGTAGTTAAGATTGAAATGATGTAAATATATTATTTAGTTAATAGCTTGTTTTCATGATTAGTGGAGGTGGGTCATATGATAATGGATATGATGAAATAAAATAAGGAAATTTGTTGGAAATATCAGACTTATTTCAATGGGATTCTTAGTAACATACAGTGGGCAATATAAAAATGGCAAAAAGATTGGGGATGGGATATACGTTATGAAAATTAATAAATGTAAAAAGATTTTATGATTTAGAATACTTTATGTCTAATAAGTGGTGTGGGCTCATATGACGAAGATTCTGAGGAAATTAAGCAGGGTAATTGGATGGAAATATCAGGTGGATATAGATGGGATTCTAAAGTAACTTTTAGCAGACAATATAAAAATGGGAAAAAAGTCGATAGGATAGGATATTTGTTTGACAATTAAAAGATGTAAATTATTTTATTTAGCTTAATTTTAAAATACGTTTGTGTATATAGTGGGGTAATTGGGTTGAGGTATCAAATGGATATTCCTTATTCTCTTAAGGTTCTAGAAATGGCAAAAAAGTTGGTTAATCAGATATCTGGTATGTCAAATATCATAACGGATGGTAAAATGAAAAAATGTAAAATAGAGATGTTCTCAAATTTGATAATTAAAATAAAATGAATCTTAGATTGGAGCAATTTGCAGCACCTTTTTATATAACAAAAATAACATTTTTTTCATCTTATTAGTTTTATGAATTACACATAATGATATTGTTAATTATTTTTAAAAATCTAAGCGGAGGATATTAATCCTATTATTTCATGAATAATAACCCATTAAATTATCTTTGACCAAAAGATATTTTATTTTGATAAATCATATAAACTTAAATAATAAAATATTATATAGAACATTAGATAAAAACTGAATTAACAACAAATATTAAATTAATAAAATGAATTAAATTTTATGCAAGTATCATCCTGATAATCAAGCCATCTTTTTGCTTTGGAATTCTGAAACTCTTAAAATTGCTTGCGAAGAGTGTTATGAAAATTTTTCTAATTCTGATTACGGACAAAAATTTAAAAAACTTACAATTCGAAAAGCACTCAAAGAACCTGACTATTTCATAAAATAGTTTGATTTAGATGAAAAAAGCAAAACAATTATGAGTAGCTTAGAAAACATTCCAGAAACCATTTTGACAGAGCTAATAGAAAAAATAGAAAAATCAATATAAGAAATGTCAATTATTTTAGAGAAAGTTATTATTGAAATGAAAGACAGAGTATGTCTCTTAATACAAAGCAGAAATTAATTAAGGTATAACTTAGAAAAAGTAAAATGTTAAGACTAACTTAGAATTCATATTACTCATAATTTATAAAATTAATTGATAATCTTAATAGCTAGTAATTTGTTACTCATGAATTTGTAAATGAAGCAGAAAATAAAATTAAGGAGTTGTTTTTATAAATAAATAACAATAAAGCTGTTTTTAATTCAGAAGTTTAGGAATAATTGAATTTACCAAAACTGGCCAAATAGGCAGGAATATCCTAAATAAATGAATTGCAGAATAGAATGAATCAATTTAGAAGAGAGATACATCCGTTTTTAGTTCATAATTACAATAAATCCTTAACTTTCTCAAAAGTTCATAAAAATATGCATTGTTTGATTTCTTAAAACGGCAAAACGGTTGAGACAAGCCTAAATTGTTATTAAAGTTGTTTATGTGATTAAATGATCCCAAATTATGGTGTCACATAATTTGCTTTTTTGATTGTAGAATTAACAAATGTTATGATTGGAGTTGGGAACAAATCTATAGTAGAGAGTAGAAAATATGAATTGTGTAACAATTTAGGAGGAGGGTATGTATTCCTAAATTAATAGTTTTCAAAGAGCTTATAGTATATCGAATTCTGGCTAATGCTATTCTCATGATTAAATAATAAACAATAAATCGACTGGGTTTGGATTCTCTAAAAATGATATCATAATTGTTGAAATTGATATCAGTGATAAATATATAAAATGGACTAAATAATCCACAAATCAATCGTTTGTATTCATCTAAATATTTAATTAAGGTCATGGCTATCAACACTACTTTAAATTTGTAACCTTGTCTGCAATTCATTGGTAAAGGTAAAGTTGAAATTATAGATTTTTATTCTCATGGAAAATAAGAGAAAAAATGATTCATTAACAATATCAATTTTTTTATTTATCATTTTCTCTCTTACTTTCTTCATATTTCCGCAGGTATAGCAAAATTGTGCATAAAAACAAACAACTATTTGAGCAATTCATTTTAAAATTTAAACTTGATTAAATGAATTTTAATTCAATTTATGCTAAATCTTGGAAAACAAATTTACATGAATTAAGATGTAAAATCCAAACATCATATAACACAAAAATCCGAAAGTGTGAAGATAGAATTTTGGAAACATATCAAACTATCTTGTCAATTAATAAAAATATAAGGCAGCGTAGTAAATTATTTGGAATTTCAATTAGAATTGATTTGTAAATTTTTGATCTGATTGATATATTTTTATTATTAACTACAAAAGATCTTTTCTAATCTTTTAATTATGAAACATGGGAGAGTATATCATTCTTGGAATATAGATATAGTATGCTTAACCTATTGCTTTTCAAAAAGTAAATTCATCAATTCCAAAGATTTCATCATATTTATGTATGTTAATATATACAGTTTACTCCTAATTTTCTTATGTTAACAATCAATAAATACAAGCTTTTTTCTTGAAATTATTGAGAACAGTATTTTAATTCAAAAATCTCGTTCGTCATTTTATTATCTTGATTATGCTCATAATACATATATAAATTTATGAATCATATACAACGACCACAATAATTGAAATCATGGAGCACAGCAAATACATTTATATTTCAACCAATGATATAAATAAACATATAGATTATTTACATTCTTAAATACTTTAAATAATTAATAGTAAAATGCTTCAGAAGGATATATTTTATTTATAAGTAATATATAGAAAGCCCTTCAAATAATTATTCTTTGTAAATAATAAATGATCCAACATTTTACATTTTATTATTACGCATTTAAGCTGTTGTCATCTCTTGGAAAGTTCTGCTTACACATTTGTAGTAAAAAAATTATATAAAATTGATCAAGAATGAAGTATATATAGATTGTATTAGGGAAAATTTATATAATAGTAAATAGTGGTAAAAGAAAAGTTTGGACGAATATTTAAGTTATCATCACGGCTATAAAATGAAAGTAATTTGGAAGTTTTGATAAAAAAATACAGGAATTATACTGAAATTTAATTCTATTCTACATATACTATACAAAATAGTTTTACTCTATGAATTCTTAGTTTATATTATCAACTAGAATCCATATTTTTTTTTTTCGATTTCAAGTGATTAAAAATGAATTAAAAAGATTATAAGAATCATACAATTCAATTCTGCCAATTAAACGGCTTAATAATAACCTCTCCTGCCCTTAAGATCAATTTGGGGAATGAAACGAGCAAATTTATTTTAATTATATTCATGTATCTAGATATTCGTGAATTAAAATAAGGTTTCCATTTATAATTTAATGATAGTACGCAATTTGCATTATAAATTAGAAATCCAATAAATCAAACATTTATGATCAATTTCAGTATTTATATCACAACTTGTCCAACAAATTTATTTATTAGAATAATTATGTTCCTCAAAGAGTTAAAGATATGGTAACATCGTAGAATTGATATAGTATAAATTAATTAAAATCAAATTTTTTGATAAAGCAACTATCTCATTTACAATTCTTTGGTTTTCCCATCCCAAGTTATTAAGTATTCTGCGTTATGACTTAATTGGCCAAATATCAGTCCTGTTGACTCTTGATTAAAGTTGATTGATTATTCCACAACAAGCTATAAATTGCATTGTTTTTGTGAGTTCTACTCTTTGTTTTTGATCACTTTTATGATATTAATATGAAAACCATTTTTATTAATTAGTACATTTTTTTCAGTAATATATTGTTAGGGAAAGAATATTCTACAATCTTAATTGCCTCCTTTTACTTGAACATCGAATGATTTTATAAATTGGCCATCCTAATTTAGCTCATAGACATTCATTGAATCAGCTAATCTTGGTTGAAATGTAAAAATATTACTACTAAGAAAACATAATCTATATCCAAATTATTAAACCTATATTATTTGAGTTACTTTCCAGACAGATTGTACAAGTGAAATTATTAATATTCTTGAATCTTCAGAGCAAGAAATTAATTTATCTTCTTTTTGGGATAAACTTAAATCATATATATTATGGGTATGTTATTGAATAGTTTAGATACAAGATCCTAAGATACAACCATTTGATAGGTCATTATTTTTTTTCCAAAATTTTAATGTCGTATCTCTACTTCCAGTAATAAGTAGATCTTCAAGTTGATTTAGAACAAAACATAAAATTCCATTTAAATGAGCCTCAATTTTTTATAGAAATTTTGGTCTGGCCAATTGAGTATTTGACCATAATCTTAATGATTTATCTTCACCAGCAGACATTAGAATGTTCTTAGAATTCATTTTCATAAATTATATAACCCTCACATTATCTACATGACCATTCATNTTAAAAATGAATTAAAAAGATTATAAGAATCATACAATTCAATTCTGCCAATTAAACGGCTTAATAATAACCTCTCCTGCCCTTAAGATCAATTTGGGGAATGAAACGAGCAAATTTATTTTAATTATATTCATGTATCTAGATATTCGTGAATTAAAATAAGGTTTCCATTTATAATTTAATGATAGTACGCAATTTGCATTATAAATTAGAAATCCAATAAATCAAACATTTATGATCAATTTCAGTATTTATATCACAACTTGTCCAACAAATTTATTTATTAGAATAATTATGTTCCTCAAAGAGTTAAAGATATGGTAACATCGTAGAATTGATATAGTATAAATTAATTAAAATCAAATTTTTTGATAAAGCAACTATCTCATTTACAATTCTTTGGTTTTCCCATCCCAAGTTATTAAGTATTCTGCGTTATGACTTAATTGGCCAAATATCAGTCCTGTTGACTCTTGATTAAAGTTGATTGATTATTCCACAACAAGCTATAAATTGCATTGTTTTTGTGAGTTCTACTCTTTGTTTTTGATCACTTTTATGATATTAATATGAAAACCATTTTTATTAATTAGTACATTTTTTTCAGTAATATATTGTTAGGGAAAGAATATTCTACAATCTTAATTGCCTCCTTTTACTTGAACATCGAATGATTTTATAAATTGGCCATCCTAATTTAGCTCATAGACATTCATTGAATCAGCTAATCTTGGTTGAAATGTAAAAATATTACTACTAAGAAAACATAATCTATATCCAAATTATTAAACCTATATTATTTGAGTTACTTTCCAGACAGATTGTACAAGTGAAATTATTAATATTCTTGAATCTTCAGAGCAAGAAATTAATTTATCTTCTTTTTGGGATAAACTTAAATCATATATATTATGGGTATGTTATTGAATAGTTTAGATACAAGATCCTAAGATACAACCATTTGATAGGTCATTATTTTTTTTCCAAAATTTTAATGTCGTATCTCTACTTCCAGTAATAAGTAGATCTTCAAGTTGATTTAGAACAAAACATAAAATTCCATTTAAATGAGCCTCAATTTTTTATAGAAATTTTGGTCTGGCCAATTGAGTATTTGACCATAATCTTAATGATTTATCTTCACCAGCAGACATTAGAATGTTCTTAGAATTCATTTTCATAAATTATATAACCCTCACATTATCTACATGACCATTCATTGTAGAAATAAATCTCAATTAACCTTGATTAATGATATAAGCTTTCATATGCTTTAAACAAGCTCCAACTAGAAGATCACTTGACTTATTAAAAGCAAATGCACAAAATGGTTTATCTGATTTATAAGGCATCTTCTATTATATTTATTAATAGAAATTATTGGTTTAAATATTATTCTTTGATCCACTTTGGTCTTGAAGAAAATTTTGTAATTCCAATTCCTCTCTTGACATAGAAGCATTTATTGAAAAATAAGCGTAAGATCCTAGTTTACATAAAGATGAAGATGAGGGTGATGGTTTTTTGTTGAAATTTTAGAGAAATTCGAAGCATTTCTGATAATGTTGATTATTTCTGCAGTTCTCAAAACATGATCTGGCTTTTCGAATCCAGTTATCGTGAATATATTCAATTTCCATTGTAATTACTTCTTCAAATGAGTTTTTGTGGGACACCTGCAATATCAAAGAATCTAATTATTTTAGAATACTTTCATTTTTTTTTTCTGCAGTTTTTTTTTGCAAGTTGACCATCCAATCTTGAAGTATTTGTATAAGTTCATTAATTTATTACAATAATTAAGATTTTAAATTTTGAGTAATTAGAAGAAACTTTTCTATTTAATATATGCTACATCCTACTAAGGTCTCTATATATTGCACCTTCTGTAAATAATTTTTCTCCATTAAATACATGACTTCTGAAAATAATTTCAAATTTTAGGAACCATTGATACTTTCCTATTTTTTAAATTTCCCAGTGCACTCATTGCATAAGAGCCTTTTTTCCATTTTCACATTCAAATCAAATAAAACATGGCTGATGGGCTATTTACATAAACAGAGCAAATCTTCTTGGTATTAATGCATTTAATTAATCAAATGTAAATAACTAATTTTAATATTGATTTAAGAATCAAAGTATTTTAATTCTACTTTGATGCACTTCCATAAGAATTATACTGAAGAACGAGAAATCAGACTTAGCTCTAAAAACTTCAACTATAAAAATGAGTTTGAAAAAAACTTGATAAAGATGTTAAGATTTAAGGTTGTTTAAGGAATTGGAGTCATATTATATAAGTACTACTATACAATTGATTCATTATAATCAAGATAATTATTATTAAAAATGTCCTTTAAGAATACTCAAAGGACTTTTTTGCTAATCACCAAAATATATTTGCGTATTTATAAATTCCTATGCCATTATTTAAAAAACCATTTGGATCTTTTTGCTCATAATCAATAATATGAAATGAGATCTAGTGAATCAAATATGGGGAGTAAAATGGTTGTTTCCATTTTATTTCAGCAATGAATTCCTTATATTAATTTCTTTTCCAAAATTTTTCCTAATCTAAATTCCATCATCTTTGACTTGCCAAAAAGAAATTATGCGGTTAACTCAGCTAATCATTAATCATCCATTAAGATAATGATGAATTGAAATTAGCCTTATTTAAATTTACATCTTTAATTTTCGAGGTTCAATTCATAATACATAATCACTTCTTAATCAATATCAAAAAATATTTGAATATGAAAAATGGAAGATAAATATTAACAATTTAATTTTGGTATTAGTTAAGGAATAACGAAAATCTATCAAAAGTATATATAATCAATTTAAAGTGAATTTTGGATGGCTACTCTAATCTGATTAAATACTTAGTCTATCTATAAAGTGTAAATAAATAGTTTTGCATTCTTCTTCACTTTATAAATATAATATCTATCATATTAATTTAGGTTCAATTTTTATATATACACTAAAATGAGTTAAGCAGCTGGCGAAAAATGAAGTTAAAGATGAATTTGAGGGTGGAATCATAACAGAATTTTCATTATATTTAGTTATTAATTAAGAATAAAGAACAATGTAAAAAGCTCTAAATACTTTTGAAAAATTAGATGCATTTGGTGTTCCTATTTTCCTTCTGTCTAATACAAACAATTAAAGATACTAAAGCAAAGTTGGAGGAATATTAACAATTCTGTTAAGTGGTTTAAGTTTAGTGTATTTTTTATATGTGATTGCTCTATGGATTGATAACAAAATAGCACCTACTATCAGTTCTAAGACAATAACGATTGGTTATGCTGAGTTTTAAGTATAAGAATCTATGATTCAATTATCATTGGAGGATTTCACTGGGGATGTTGATCCTTTCAAGAAAGAGAATAATATAATTACACCACTTTTAGTGACTTTTATGAATACAACTGTTTAAAAAAAACCAATTCCTTTGTTTTCAAATGACTAAAATCCTTATATAATTGAATTAAGCAATGTTAGCCTTGTGTTAAATACATTAGATTTTTAATCTCAGAACTTTAAAACATAAGAATAACATTCCATTTTTCTTGTAAGATGCTAAAATTAATTTCTTGTTGAGGGAAGTTACTGTGCTGATGATACAACAATAGATGAATATATATCTAAATTTCATGGGTTTTTATTTATTAAAATCAAATTAAGCTAATTAAATTCAATTACATAAGAATTAGAACAATTTAAAAAGCTGTATTATACAAATTTTGATGTTAAAAGACCACAATACTCTCAAATAATGTTGAAATAGCAAAGTTCTATAATCGATAATGGTATTATATTTAATGACTATGAATATTTTAATTTTGTAACTAACTATGAATTAATCACTTAAGAGATTGATAAAACATATGGAACAAATGTAATGAATTCAATGTCAAAATTTAATTATACATTTGATTGCTATGGGAGTTATTTATTTAGGATAGATAATATTTCAATTGTTGAACAAATAACTTATCCTAAATTGGGTTCTGTTTTAGCATAAATTGGATCTATAATTTAACTAATATTTATGTTGAAATATGTTGTGTTATAATATAATAATTAATTATCCGAAAATGAGATATTAAATGAAATAATTACAATGTACTATCCAGAATTTAAATAATATTCAATGAATTTTTTAAATCAATTGTAATTTGATAATTAGGATAAGGACTTATTAGACAATTTGAAATTAAAATACTAGACATTGCGAAAATTTGCAAGAGAAAAGTGCCGGTTGACTAACATGCTTTATGAAATTTCAAGAATACAATTTATTCTATAAGACAAATTTGGAGATTCAATTTTATCATAAAGTCACTAAATGGGAGGGAAACTTTAGAAAACTTAAGTAGAATTACTAAGTTCAAGAGAATAAAATCGGCTGTAAATAAAACCTATAGATTCAATTGATTTAGAAAACTAATGCCATTCTTTAGAACCATTGGAAATATTAATAAAATAAACCTGATTAAATTATTAAATCCAAAAATAAATATTTTCTCATCATTCTTTCTTTTTTGTAGCACGATTCTTTCTGAATTTTTATATTAAAAGATACCTCTCATAAGACAGCAATCGGTTGATAATGTATGTTAGTATTAATTAACAAGTTGTATTAAAAGTTAGTTTTCAAATTGATACTAGTGTAAAAATATCTTAAATTATTAAAAATTTAGATATTTAGAATAAATTTTATTTCAACAAATAGTACATTTTTACTCTCTTAACAATCCAATCATTCTGAAGTGCAATATTTCAAGCATTTATATGATTAACTTAATTACTCTCTACAATTACATTCTATTTCTTATGGAAAGTCAAACTAAGTCTATTAAAATCCTTAATAAAAATATTGGTTTAGTAAAAAATTTCATCATAAAACTCTAGATTCTCTAAATAGAGGCATCCCAATAGGTCTCTCCTTCAATTATTATTTTAGCATTTATAGATTGTGATGTTGGTTTATACCAATTTCCATATCTGGTTGAGGTTATAAACCTTACATAAAAATAGTGCATTTACTTCAGACAAATGAATGATTATAAATTATAGACAATTTGAATTAGCTTGCCACAATTAATTATTTCTGGCGCCACACTAAAATCAGTAGCCGATAGAGTGCATATTTCTTAACCATTTAAATTAACAATGCCTTTAAGCAAGGAAGGTTATTTGAAAATATAAATTTTAGAAAAATTTAAGGACTTATCATTATA